CGCTAAAGCAATTTCAATGCTAGAGTTAACAATGAATTATGGTTATGTTCATTCCAGAAAGTAAAAATGATAAGCCAAAGTTGTGTGTTATCGCTGTAGTATGTTCAAAGCTTTTAGAATGCGTATGCAAACAGGTTTTGCCATTTGATTTTTCTTCCACTCCACCACGTCGAAAATTATGTCAGAAGAAACGTTTCTCTCTTATCATTTTGATGCTTGATTTGAGTGCTCAAACGAGACAGAGTAAAAAGACGAAAGACGAAATATTTCAGAGGACAAGTGTAAAAAATATGCATGTAAGTGTTGCTGTTTTTATTGTTGTTATCCATTATAAATGCTCACGCATTCAAGATTTTTTCTTTGACTTAATCCTTTTATTGCTTCAATTACCTTTTTCACTTAACGTTCCATTCGAATCTCGCTTCATGCAGTAAGTTGATGTTCTCATGCCAAAATAAATATCTTAAAGACTTTTCTCTCGCCGTTTCTAGAGCCTCTGAAATTGAGGATGAAATAATGAAAATTCTTTAAAATTGTATTTATTCTTAAAAATAAATTCAATTGATACGAAACAGCAAGACACAGCAAGGGGACAGTTTAAAAGAGGGCAAAGAGGGTCTTAAATTATTACAAATTATTTTGTGAGGCAATTTATTGCTTAAAATCATCATAATCCTCAATAAAAAAGAAGTTCTTTCTTCTTGAATTCAATTCGATTCTTTCGAGGGTCAAGAAACATTAGAGAAGCCATGACAAGCTATTATCTGAACAGAAGAGAATATAAAGTAAAATAAAAATATTGCAAATCTCATAATTTATGGTGAAAATGAGTTTTTGTGTCACAAAAGCACTGAAACCGATAAGGAGAACCTGCTTTTATAATACAAAGTCTGAATGTTATACAAATGTACGAAAGGTTCATAAATTATTGAAATCTAAAGACGCTCTCCAGCACTTAATTTGCCAAATATCCTGATTAACAAATGTCACACGACGCTAATGTCATTGAAGTTTATTGCTTATTGGAGATGCTTGTTTAGAGATTAAGAATTTTGATAAATAAGAAATTCAAATCAAAAATTCTCACAAACTGGATCTCAAATTTATTTGATGAATTTAGAAATATTTATGATTATTCAATAATGATATAAAATTAAGCAATTTATAAGTTTGGCACATGCTCGCTAAACTCTTGTAAACTTGCAGCATGATGTTCAACTTATTATAATTAAAAATTGTCTCGAATTATGCTTGCTCAACTTATTTCTATAATTTACTATTTCAAGCAATTCTGTGCAAATACTGCAGTAGATGAAAAATATTATTGCGAATAATAATGGAGCTTTTGTGTTGTCTAATTTCATACATTTGAGTAAATAGAGAGAAATCCGCGAAATATCCAGACAAAACCAGAAGAAGGAAAACTTTTCACGTTTTCAATTTTTTTTTATTTTACAATAAAATGTCTAATTGCACAGCGATTAATAATTCTTTTAACAATAATTTTATGTTGCATTCATGTTCCAATTTAAATTAACTATAAGGAAATCGATTGAAATTTTATTTCTATAAAGTGGGATCTAAGAATAGTAATTAATTGATTAATAAAATTCAACATGAGCTTACAAAATATCTTACAATGAACATTCACTCGACATTAAAATGTTTTTATTCATTCAAATTGTTTTGAGTTCTTTATGAGAAATTTTGAATTTAAACTATGTAGATACTCATAATATCGTGTGATATTTTGCAATTTTGAACATGAAAAATATCGCTGCATATTAATAAAATAATTAATTTAAATTCAATCGTGAAAAAACAACAGTGAAGAATAAATTAAATATTTCCAATTGATTTCCATTTATTCGATTCTCAAATGAGGCTTATAAAAGAGGTCAATCAATTAAATGAAAATCAAAATGTTAACAAGCTCAAAAATATTTTCTTAATGTTGAGTCTAAGTTTAACAAACCTTTACTGCTTATAATCTATCATAAATCTCGGGTCTTTGAGTGTTGAATTAATTTAAATCATTCAATATCATTTCACTTAATCAAAATTTGCATATTCATTTAGTTAATTAAACCTTTTTTTATAAACAAATCGCGCTATTTGAAAGAAGTTTTAATCGAAAAATGTTTTTGCTTCACTACAAGCTATTTTGATCTCTTGTTGACTGTAAATTTTTAATTAGCTAACAAACTAGTAATGGAAGTAAATATTTCAATTAGTTAAAAAAGAAAGAAAGACATTAAAAGCAAAAAAAAACTTTCAAATTGATATTTGTAAAGCTTTGCTTGTTTTTCTACTCGCTAATACTCAACTTAAAGGTTGCAAACGACATTAAAATTGTTGTTTCGCTGAAATCATCAGTTTTGAAAGTCAAAATAATAACAGAAGGCTTAAACCTTTCAGACAGATTGAAATTTCACGCTGTCTGTTTGATATTTGCTTGCTTTAAATATTCTGCACATGAGAAGAAAGTTTTTCCACGTCATTAGCTTATAATTTGTTTGTTTACATATCGACATCATATTTATCCACATAAAATAAATTCAATTAATGTTTAAGATGATCTTGCTATATTAAATATTTCTTTTATGGAATAATAAAACTAAAATGATCTCAAATCTATAACAACTTCAAATTATCAGTAAATAAAGTCTAAGTGAAAGTATGTAACAATAAAACCTACAGTTGCTTGTTCAAACTGAGAAAGCTTCTGAAGAAGTGACATGATCAGTCACTACAATGTTTCGCCAACATCATCTTGTTTCCTAACGAAATAGAGAGTGAAGTAATACCTCGACAAAAGAGTTGTAATTATTCAATCACGTTTGATAGATTTCTCAAATAAGTACGAAACACTCGCTCGGATAATATTTTTGCTCTTGGGGATGGTTGAGATCAAATTCGTGATGAAGAAAGAAAGTGAACAAATTATTCCCACTAATTACATACATCTCATGAATTTTTCTATCCAAAATAGTTTTGAATTTGCATATTACACAAACGAATACTCCATCATACGAACAAAATAATTTTTCTTGCTATTGTTGCGTGTTGTCTTTGAACTTTGAAGTAGAAACAACGTGGTCGATAAAAATTAACATTTCGATCAACGTTGATATTTTCAATCGCTAAAGAAAGAAGGGAATTATTTATGAGTGCCACCAGGTTTTACATTAAAAATAATTGTTTACAATCACATTTAACATTACAAAACATACATCTGATTCTTATCTAAATCATAATCTTGAATCAAGTCGAAACATGAAGTCGAAACATGTGTTAGATAAATGATTTTAAATGTTCTTTTTATTTAAAAATTTAACAAGTAAAATTGTTGAAATATTTTCATAATGATTAATATAAAAATTTAAATGTTAAAAACAAGTTAAAGTTCAATAAACTTTTGGGTTAGGGATAAAAAATTCCTTTCAAACGATATATGATTAATGAATTCAGGAATGATCAACAAACTTTGCTTAAAACATGAAAGTGAATTTATAAATTTATCTCAAAAGCTTTCTATAGAAAATTCACAATTTCTCCCTTACGGGTCATGTTATTTTGAAAGCGTATCTGATAAGTGAATTTCTTTACATAATCTTTACGTCTACCGATTTGTGAGTCACGTCGACGTTACTTACGCTTGATGAACTAAATCAAAAGTGAAATATTTGAACTCATTTTGAGGTCTTTGCATGATGAAGTGAAAAGTTTTTGAAATGATTAATTCAGCGCAAAATTCATCAAACATGCTAGAAATGCTGTTTATGATCTTGTTTTGACATCAAAAGTTTTAGATACTCTAAAATGAAATAATAATTCGTACTTATGCTGTTATTTGGTTGATTATTTAAACGCGTACCAATCATTGACCGATGCTTCATCTATATGTCGGCTTGAAAAAATAAAACCATTCATCAATGCTCCTAATGAACTATCGAAGCAATCAAATGGGCACCGAAAACGTTAATCACATTAAATGCAAGCAATATATTTTTTCTAGCACAACAAACATCCATTTTTCAATTTCTGCGCTGATGGATTTTACTTAAAACGGAATGAAGTGTCAGATGTAACACTTATGACTAAATATAAACAATGATCTATGAATAATACATCGTTCACTCACTTTTGCTAGCACTGCGGGTCTGTTCATAGCTTACGAAACCTCTGACACTCAACCCTCCTTTTATCTGTTTTCGCCAAAAGTAAAAAACTTTGTTTTTCTGTATGTCAGCATTAATAATGTGGCGGCGTAACATTTTAATGAAAACTGAGAGTTGACGAAGCTGGTGCTTGTCAGGCATCGGATCAGTTGCAAGATTTATTGCGAAACAATTGCGAGGACAGCCTTTTCCATACTCTTGTTCGATCAATAATAATTTTCACATAAAGATATGTGGAAAGATTGAACACAGAGGACGGGACGGGAGAGGAAGAAAAAAGTAAGAAAGCGAAGTTTTTAATAAATAAATACATCATTGTCACATGAAGCTGAAAACACTCGATTTTAACTTTCACTGTCTGATCAGATTTTCTACCATTTTCGTTTGATTGATTCGCTTTCTTTGAAGCTCGTTCACATGATTATGAACTCAATTGTCAAAAGACGTAGAATAAGACAAAAAAAGCTGTTGATTTTAAAACCAAATCTCACTCGTATATCAATGACTAACACACAATAAATCATAAAAGCAAATGAATAACAAGAAAGAAAAATTACACACAATCGTTTGATTTGCATTTTTCGCACATTCAATGGAGAAAGAGAACTTTTGTACTTACTTACATTTATTTCTTATTATGGTTTCATGTCATAGTAGATAATTTGAATATAGAACGATGTCTACAAATTTGTGCATGGGCGAAATGATTATTGCGGTTATAATATGAAGTGAAACAGTAACTGAATCTACTCAATGTTTATTACAAAAGGCACTTATAACAGTTGAAGGAAATATCAAGGTTTGAATTTCATTTATAAAATGTTATCCGCAAGCTACATCTATTGTTGTTGCGTTGAATGGAATGCAATATGTTTGTGGGCTACTGGTCTAACTACCTGGTCTCACAACTCACCGAATCATTTATTATTGTGCACTCAATTCGATTGCCTTTTTCCATAGAATTTCTTTCTCACTTTTCATGCCAAATCTAATCGACTGCTAACTGGACAAAAACGTCATAAATCATTACAATCTCGAGGGAATTGCATAAGCCACAACACTTGAGTTTTCCTTTTCATTATTTATTAGAGCAACATTCAAAAACTCATATTTTTATTCGCTAGCAACCTAACTTGAAACAAACGACCTCAACCACAGAGAAATTTACTTACATACTTATTTATTAAAGAATGTCAATTTTTGATGACTCGTATCGAGGTTACACAACAACAATTTCTTATCTCTTCGACTAAATTTCCCTTCGTTAGCTTATCTATTTCCAAGAAATTCACTAACATGCATAAATGGGCAATAAAGCATTTTTATGACAGTAAAAATTATGTTTTGCCACTGAATTATGCAGAAGAAAGCTTTTTACATGGAGGTTTCGACAAATTCCTTATGCAGTTTGGATAAATCATTGCATAACGAAAATTTCTGTTGTTACTGAGAATACATTCGGCTGAAAACATCGAAGCTACACGAGAGTGTACTCATTGATGGTCTCGGAATGGAAATAAACATTTTTCCGCTCAATTGTGACTAAACTTACCTTACTCGAAACAGTAATGATATTTATTCGAATTGAAAAGAATTCTTTTCCTATTTCTGTTATGTGGTTTTGTAACTGAGAAAATATTATTAAAGTTTTATGTAAGAAAACATCTGTAGATTGTTGGAAGCAAATTTTTCAACCTCGAAGTAATCATCTGACTGCAATTAAAGAGCGAATAGAACTTTCCGATTATTTACAAACCATAAAAATTTATGTAGCGAGAAATTGGAAAGTGTGGTAAGAATGATTCGTGTTCATGTCAGCAGTACTAGTGGTTAAAAATGAAGTGTAAATTAATTAAATTGTATTGAGACAACCAAAAAAGAAAAAGAGTCAATCAATTAATTTATCATACTAGATAAATCTTCTTGAATTAATTTTATACAAGCATAAAGTTAACTGGGGAGTATTTATTGCATTTTATAAAATCATGCACCTTTGTAAAGGAAGAAAAATATTCAAAAGAAAAGAAAAGTTCGAGTTATCGCTAATTGACTGTCTTCTGATGCTTAAGCATACACAATACAACATTGAAGCAATAAAAAGATAAAAAAAATTATACTAAATAGCTGCTTATTTACAAGAAAAAAATCTTTTAAAAAGATATTAGAAAATCTATTACATTCAATTTGAGCGGTGATACTCTTCTGGTTTTTTTTTGTGTTGTTCCTTCACTCAATCGTTACATGTTTTAACGGTACAAGTAATATGCAAACAGGAAAAGTTAAATAAGAAAAGTTTCAACTGATAACGTGACAAAAATTACGAACAAGTCCATTGAGTGATGCTGTCGGAAAGTTTAAATGAAAACAAAAAACTTCAATTGTCAAATAGAAACGAAGTTTAGAAGTGAATATTGCCTTTTGTTCCATTCCAAAGTATAACACAAAAATAAAAGAGTATTTAGAGACTTTATGGCGAGAGACCTTTTTGCAGGCATTTTTCATTTTAGTTTTTGTTCAACGGATCTTATTGTGCTTTGGAATCAGCATCAATAATCCATTTGAATGAGAAAAGATTTAGAAAGCAGGTCTCGTTTGAAATCTCGTCGTATGTTGCTCGCTTTGATGAAACAACAATCGGTTAGTTTTTGTATGCTTTGAAATTCGCGCTCGCAATAAAAACAAGCGAGATTCTGTTTTTAGACGGCAATTAGGAAATGAAAATGAAAGAAATTCAATGAGAAGGTAAATCAGTTTAGGAAGCAGACATTTCATTTTCTTTAAATCAGATTATTAATTAAATATGTTTTCCCATTAAACATAAGATATTTCTTTTACGATTAATCAATACGTCATTTAATTTGCCTTAATAAAAATTCTTTAAAGCCCATTAACCATATTTCATCAGTTAAATAATATTTTTATACGGTTTTGGTTTAGGAGTGTCATTTCAATAAAAACCGACTATTACTTTTATAAAACATTTTAGATGTTAAAATCTTTTTTTTTCTCATTTTTTATTCAATTAAAACTAAGCCGATATTTTTAGTCGAAACTGCTTGTAAAAAGAAAATTTTCTCTTTGCATGATCATAACGATGTTTTTATTTGTTTGTTTTTAATTAAAAAATCAAGAGAATAGCTGGAAATGATCGCATTAGGTGAATTTCATCAGTTAAGAGAAAAAGGTTGTTGGAAACGAGATCTCCATAACCAAAAGTTTATTTTTGTTTACAGAGTAGATATTTAGGTAAATCATGTTTTTATTTTCATTCGTTCATGTCACTTTTATTTTACATCGCTTCCTCAAATGATCATGAATTTTAAGACTAGTTGAGTGAAATAATTAATGTTGCATCACATTCACATGTTTTAATAACAGACATGCTGCTTAAGAAGTCTCAAGAAGAAACTTGAATGAAGAGTAGTCGGAAAGTTTTTATCACCAGCCGTTTAATTACAAAATCTTGTACCACAGCAGAAGGAAATTTTTTCACATAAGAAGTCTGAAGTCATGTCAGACCAAATTCATACACGAATTAATTGACTTTTTTATTTTTTATTTTTCACTTTACGATTGCAAGACATTCTCTCTTTGCAACTACATGTATCTATGTACAATATGCTTGAAATAAAAAAAACAATCTTTGAAATATGTTTTGGATTTTCCATAACCAAATGCTAGTATTTCACGACAAAATTGTTTGCATTTCTCCTGCTCTCTTACTAGTAAAACTACTTGACTGCAAGCAACCAAAATCTAAAAGGAATTCGATGTCTTATCTTATAATTAATTTATGTAATGCAAATTAAAATTAATTAATATGTGAACTTTTACAATGCAATGTACTAAAGTAACAGATATCAAAAGTTAGATATATGCTCCAGATTGTATGCTTTCATGAAATATAGGAGAGTAGAATACATAACTGTAAGGTTTGCTTAATGCGAAAATTTATTACTTAATGTAAGCAAAGATCAGTTGAAGTCATAACTTCGTGACCAAATTTAATTTTTCTTTCATTTATCACAGCCAGATTGCTCTGTTAAAGTTATCCTTAACCAAAAGCTTAAATTTCTACACACATTATTTTAATGAAAGGCAATAAATTTTCATTATTAAGTTAATATTTTATCTATGAAAGACTAGAATATTCTTCCTTTCTTATTTCGCACAGCAAGTACGCATATGTATCTTAGTAAAAGGAAAAAAAGCTGTCCTTGCAAGGCCTTGATGTAAATATTTAGGAGAAAAAAAGCAAAATAAATCTTTTTGATTTGACATAAATTGCCAAACGAGTTAACAGAAGTTGATTCGAAGAATAAAAGTAGAAATAAGAAATCTGTTTATTGTTCGAGTTTATTCAATAAGGAATTCTTTATTTTTATCCTCTCCGTCATCATTTTGGTGTAACAAAAGTTAATACATGAGAGTGTCGTGACAGAAAACTGGGAGGTAAATTGCACAAGTTTCTGGACATTTCTTGTACTTACTTGTCACAAATCTATTTTTCTCCATATTTCTTTCCACGCGTTTTGAGCATAAATAATCTGAAAAGCGAACAGAATAACCCTGAACTCTAATAATGATCGCAGCAATATTAAAAATATAAAAATGACCTCAAAAGTCAAACCGCATTCCTTGAAATTGAAAAATTATGTTCATTTCTCTTGCTTATGTTTAAAAAAGAATGATAGCAAAAACAGTGGCGAGTAGAATTGTTTCAACCTGCTGCTGACTTAATGCACAACAAGCACAGCCTCACAACGATCATATACTATTAATGATTAAGACTCCCTGATGTCATAATAACTCGATCTCAACGTTGTCGACGAGAATTTGTCTCTAAGAGCATTAAATCGAAGGAAAGTTGTATTAATATTTAAGTTGAATGAATTGAAAACCATAAATCGATATCCATTTTAGCAATTTTTGTGGCTAGATTTTGACTGCTTCATGAGCCGCTCCTCAAAACTTTGATAGCCGTTTTGGAATGTAATAATGACATAAGAAAAGCTTTTTTTTCAATAATTCCATTTTGGAATGACACAAATAAAAAGGCAACAATAATATCAATATTTAGAATTTTTATTTGCCTTTTGCTCTCAACAAGCGCTTTATGATTTGTTGAGCAATATTTCATTAGTTATTTAGTATTTTTTTAAGGAATTAATGATTGCCGAAGCTTCAATCGAAGATTTTGATGCTTGATTGGAGTGGCTTAAATATTGTGTTGCTTAATATGCATACCAATTATGAGAACTCATAAAGCTAAGAACTAAGCTACAAACATACTTAGAGGATTAAAACATTTGAATCTTGATGAATAAATAAATAACCTTCTCAATAAAATTTTTGCATAACAATTTGAAACGGAATAAAATCGTGAAAAAATGAGATAAATTGACTACGCAAATGATCAATGCAGTGTCTTGGAGCATGTATCGATCTACTCGTCGTTGTTACTTCGATTTGATTTTAAAATGAATATAAAAAGTGATTCATTCTTCTTATGAGTTGAAATCAACAATGTTGTGTCTTAACGACGCATATATCTATTGGAATAAGTGTCTGAAGAAGAAATAAGAAAAAAGTTATTAACGTTCAAGTGAATCACACAGTCAGATGATAAAAAGAATTGACTGAAAAGAAGGAAGAGAAAAAAACAAGGAATGCGATGAAAAATTATGCAAAAAACAAAAAGTAGTAAGAAATGTATAACAAAATTACCATATTGACAACTACAACTTGATGGAAAGCATCCATCAATCGAAAAAAAGAAGAAATTTACATTTATTTCACTTATGAATGAGTTTGGTTAATCTTACAATCATTTCAATGACATTATCTTGTTTTGAATAAGATGATTGTCACCAATTGTTTATGAAAGAAAGTTTACAATATTCAAGGTAGTAAAAGAAATTCGTGAACATGTGTTCAGTCGAAAGCCATTAGCAGTTGTTTGCGCAATAATTGACTTTTGATGTTGTTGTTCGATAGTAAAATGACATATCGTTTAATTGATTTCTTTCTCTTTCTCTTTTCAGGTAATCTAATAATTTTTGTTATGAACGAACATAAACTGGCGTTATATTGTTGCTCATGTCCAATGTGAAGGAGAAGAAATATGAATAAAAAAAGCAACTGGCATTACATTGAATACTTGGGCACACACTTTCACTTTCCATCTCAAAATTCAATTTGTAGTCAATAAATTGCAATTAGACGTGAGTAGCAAAAAAGGCGGAAAATTGTTTCTCGTCGTGAAATTGTTATAAATGATGTAAATAATTAATCAAAAGTCAAGATTTGTCTCTCATGGCAACTCAAAAAGTCCTTCATGGAGGTAAATTTACAACAAAACTTATAGAATAATCAATGACAACAAATATCAGAAAGAAATTTTTACTTGCAGCATTTCATTCTCTTAACGACAGTTACGCAATTTTGTATTAATTCCACTCGCGAAATAAAATTTTCGTGGTCAGATAAAAAAAATGAAGTTTTATAATTAACGTTATTGATCGATCAGAATGAAGATTACTATTGTTGTATAATTAAATAACTTATAATAGTTTTGATGTTTTAGATAACGTTATTTAAAGTCCAAAATATTTGCAGAAAAACAAACTTTAAGTTGACGAAAATAAAGCATAAGAGAAACAGGTCGTATTAACTTCTTCCCAAAAACAATTTCATTTATCTCGCCTCTGCTTGTTGCAACTTCCAACCAGGACAAATTAAATTATTTTATTTAATACATAATCATCATTATTGAATGGAATTACAATAATTGAATAATTGTGAAGTTGAAGAAATTTACGAAAAGTGTACAAAAGAGATCAACTAAATTTTTGACAGCAAAAAAAAACGGAAAGAGCTTCAACTCATGTAGATTGAAGTGAGTGAGAGAATATTGAATGTAATTACAGCGATTTTATGAGATCTGAGAACGTTCTGTTGAATTTGAAGACATGCTAAGCTTCTTTTTCGTCTGCTTTTAAAAGAGTCTTGTAATTCATCAACATAATAGAAAAACCAAACAACGTAGGGATTCTTTCACTTTGCCTAAGCACCAGCCGATCAAGTTATTAAATCTCTTCGTATTGGAAGTCAGCGGGATGTCGCAGCCATAAGTTTCTACTACTGCTGCTTCCATTTCAAGTCAATCAAATATTCTTTGAGTTTGTTCAGAATAAAAATATTGTAATAGCTCACTGAGAAACAATTTGTTCACGAAAAAAAAATAAAGCGAGGAGATCGCTCGACATTTGTTCAATTAAGCTCCGAGGAAAATGCATAAAATATTTGTCATGAGCTTTGTGTAATGCCCAACTTGTCAAGTTTTATTTCAAACTGTATAAAGAAACGTGCAGGATAGAAACTTTTTTAATTATTTAACTTTTATGTTTCAAATGTCCAACTTGCGAGAACATGTAAGGTTTCAAGTTGGAGACAAATTGTTTATAATTTTTCTAATATTCATTTACGTAGCACAAAAAAAAATATATAAAGGAGTATAGAGAAGCATGAATTCTATTTCACTTCATTAACTGCGATACAATATGAAACTTGCTGTAACAAATTGCATAATAACACAAAGCGTTTTCCTCGCGCTGAGTCTCATGATTATTCACAATCGCTTCGTTTACATCTATGCGTGTCGTCTTAGTCAGCACTCGCCATTGAACAAACCACAATGATTCCCATAAAGATTTGTTGTTTTCAGCTTTTTTACCTTAGCAATTTATAACGCACATTAAATTCATTGCTATCTTCATTATTGATACAATTATTTCTAGTCATTGTTTAATTGAAAATCATTTCTCACTGTCTGAAAAGCCTAAAAGCATCACCAAAGACTTCCATATAACGATTAATATTGAAATTTTCTCAATATCGTAATATATGTTAAAGGCTTTAGGAAAAATGTAAACAACGTGATCCCATATCGATTGTCTGCAGGGAGCATCTTATGAAAACATTGAACTTGCAACTGTTGAGTTTCATCATTCGATTTGCATAGATACTTTTTTTTCTTTTCTAAACATTAATTTGAATCCAAATGTTGCGAGATTTAAATTTTTATGTTCACAAACGCATCACAATTTTATTGATTTGTCATGATTTTGATTACACGTGTTCAGGGTTTTTCTTCTTTTATTTGAAATGTATTTGAGTGTAAAAATTTCCGCTATCATGACTTTAAAAATAAATAACGCTGCTTAGTTGTGTCATTCTTAACTGTTTTATGTTTTATGTTGGACATATTTTAGCCATTTCTCACTTAACTAAGCGATCTTAATTTCTTTCTGTATCTCTTATATTTTGCATTATAAGAATAATTAAATTATAATAAATGACTCAATTCTCTATTTCTTGTCGGCTATTTCATCTAATTTATTAATCTTCGGTGAGCAAAGCGAGCTCACAATCACATTAGAATTTAGATGCTAATCTTTTTTCCTGCGATTCTTCAACATTTATCGCTAGGCTGTCTCGTTTTGACATTTTCATACGATAAATAGTGTCCGTTGGCACATGAAAATACATCATTAAGTGTAAAATGAGCTTGAGACATTTAGCCGGTCATTGTTGAAGACATTTGAATTTATTTCGAATAACTCTGTCAAAGAAGTTGTTGTCTTTAACACTGAACTTTCCCTCAACACTTAGTTGTTTTTGTCGGCCATAATCTTCTGTTTAATTAGCATATTACTACGCTCCCTGCCATCTTCTAATTTTCATTCTTCTGATCATCTTCAACGAGCGAAAACAACGAAGCAATGCGCCTTGATAAATTATTTAAATTCACCACAGGAGACTTCCCCAAGTTGACGCTTTTTCTTACGCTCTTCTGAACATGCTTTTAAATTAAGACAAAAAATCGTTTCTTGTCTTTCGTCTCATTTTTTTTCGGGGAAGTTTGTGCACTCAATTTCATACCTGAACTCACACACGAAACGACTTGCTCTCCGACTTCTTCAGGAGATGTAAGTATGAAAAAAAAGAAAAGAACTGGTTTGGCTTATAGAAGAATGTGCGATGGAAAAAATATATAAAAATATTAAGTTCAACACTTGAGTTTTGAAAGAGATTCCATAGGATTTTACAAGAAAAATTGTTCAAAGCTTAATTACGACACTTCTTGTTTCTTCCTTTGATTAGCTACTAAATTTTGAATTATTGTAATGAATTTCTTCTCAATCCGACCTCATGCTGTGAAGTATCCTTTCATGATTCGATGCATTTTCAAACGAGAATCTTCATCAACGATATAAGATGTTTCACTTTCTGAAGCAATAATTCTTCTTCCCGTGAACATAATAAAGTTGAAGTCATTAACGTACACTTTCATGCAGAAACATTCCCCTAATTAAATTACATGTGATACTTTTCCTTCCTATTTATTCTGTTGTTTGTGAGAAACTTGCCATTAACACAGTCGAGCTTGTAAATTTATTGAGATAAAAGTAGATTTTAGCACGTAGCAAATCTACTACAAGCTTATAGCAACAGCAACGGTAGCGGAAGCTGCAGCAAGCCGACACACAGTCAGATGGCTTTGAAATGTGTGAACAAGTTAAAACAAGGTGAAAAATATTTCGAGATTGGATTGTGCAAAGCGCAAAATGTGTTCAAATATTTGTGTATGTCTATGCAAGAATTAGACGTGATTTATAGTTCAGTTGTGTCTGGTTGGTGTGGCTGACGATAAGTTTACTTATTTCAAAAGGTGAAACTAGAAAATGTTTCAGAACAACAATTTTTGTTTTTACTCTTTTTCATTGTACAGAGAAATTTCTTTATTTTATCTAGTTTAAAAGAATCTTTGATTCAATTTCAAATAGATAGAAGTGGCACTGTATTTAAGTCCAAGCAACTTCGTTTCATTGAGCCAAATGTTCTCAAGAAATTGTGCTAGATTAAGATCACAATTTATTCTCATAAACGGAAAGTTATTTTCATGAAGAAATTATCTGATAATAATCTTCAAACGGAGACTCTAAATTTACAATATTTTCTCAAGTCAACATGAAAACTGCTTCGTTTTAAAGCTGATTATGTATAAGAATTGCGGCATTTTAATTTGAGTCTTCAAGATAACTTTTTCATTCGTTCTCTTCTTCATTTCTCTATCTAGTTCTTTGTCTAATATTTTTTTATATATTTTTTTCAGTTTTTTGTTGAATCATAATAAACATTTTGTGAAATTATGTAATCAATATAACAATTGATTGTATTCATCAGTGAGTGAAGTGATGAAGGGAAAATATTAAAAATTTCAATTCTTATTTAATATTTTTTTGTAGGATTTCATCGCCTTTAGTTTTGATTTCTTTCAATATGAATAAAAAACTTCCTCTTTAAGTGGATATAACATTCTTTGAACCTCTTTGTAAGTTCTCAACTCGACGTTGAGATGAAACGAAGAAATTATTCTTCATGAAATTCAATTGAAATCGTTTTAGCGAGAGATATCTTCGAGGATAAAAATAAACGTGCGGGTTTGCTTAAGGACAAAAAATTACGATCGATGAACAACTAAAAGTAAATTTTTGGCATTATTTCAGTACCATAAAAATGAATGCCTTCCTCCATCATCATCTATAGCAGAGCATTCTAATCTCTCAAGATATTCAAACGTAACCTTTGTTGTTAATGATGGCTAGAAAGATCGTGGAGAAGAGATTGAAAAAGAATAAAAGAAACTCTTGAAAGTTTCAAGTTAGAACTCAGTATGGATAATTTTTAATAATGGTCTCGAAACGAAAAATTAAACAACAATAAAAGTTTTTCGAATTTCAATGTTGTTGGCTTCAGAAGGGGATCCGAAGAAATGAGAATGAAGTCAGTTGTTTCTAGACTAACGAACGATTGAAAGTATAAAAATCTTACCAACATTACGTCACAGTTTCTTCATTAAATCCAAAAAATCCAAAAGTTAAGTGTGTTAATGTCTTCATTAATCATTAGTATTTAATAGTTTGAAATGATTAATGTTCAATCAATTCCATACAGAGTTCATTAGTCGTGTTACTTGAGTTATAAACTAACCCCATACAACATTAAACCGCTGCGTTTATTTCATACGACATAAACTCTAATTTTTTATTTAAAATTAATGCACCAACTCTTTACATTACCTTTTCTTGCTGTTCAATTTCATGTAAAGTTACCAAGGAATTTTTCAATTAACTACAATTCACCATGCTAATTCGTAAAGCAATTTTCACGCTCACGAAAAAGGCTAAAAATTTGTCGATAATATTTTGCATTCCGTATGATTTTTGCTTTCAATAGCTTAACAAATAATCCGTCAAATAAGTGTATTGCTTTTCAGAACATCAAATATTAGTTGGAAAAATGAAAAAGTTTATGCGAAAAAGCGAAATCGCAATCAGTTGATCCGATCAACGAACAGGGAGAACTTTTATGACTGCTTCACAGTGATGACATCGTCATAAATTGCCTTTAAACCGGATTACCGTGGAGTAAAAGCATTCGATTCACCCGAAAAATTATCATTAGCAACTTTTTGAACGTCACGTTGAAATTCTCGAAAATCTTTTGCCAAAAGGTGTGCCATAAACAACACAACAACTTAATAAAAATTCTTCTGAAAGTGTTGTAAGATTATGGAATCCTGGGGAGATGCTTAAGGTGACATTTCTGAAATGATTATGCCTTTTTCAATCGACAAGGAAAGTGAAATGAGAAGTTAAAGCTTTGGTAACAATGACAAGCCAATATTGAAAGAAAGAAATTAAAAGTTTGTTCTTTTGTTCTTCATCATAACACTTTAAGTTAAATAATAATCTTCAGCTCAGCTTCATAATTATTCGTCGAAGAAAGCGAAGATGAGTCAAAGCAATGGTCAGTGGACCCTACAGTCAATTTAAACAGAAACACTCCACCGTAACAACCATAAAAATATCAAGATATTCCACACAATAAATGACAGACAGTGTAAAGAGTGAGATGCACACATATCGAAGGTAGTTAAAAGAAACGAAGTCAAACCAAAAGACTTCTCAAGATAATAAAAAAAAATTAACATAAAAGAGAAGATTTTAAGAAATGAATGAGATTTTTCAGAAACGGAGGAAAATAAAATTATGTTTATTTTAATGAACCCAAAGAGAGACGAATAAAATGCATTTTCAAGTTGTTGATTTTCACATCTACAAACGCATTGAAAGTCAAACCAACAACGATGATGTTTCATATTTTTGAGTTCTCCATCTTCTTCTACTCATTCATGATCATCATCATAGTTGGAATGCTTAGAACTAATTTTTGATTTTGAGAAAAATAAGAAAGTTGTCAAATTAAAACTTTATTTCATGTTGAAGAAAACATAGAAAAGCTTCTGGAACGATTGAAACTGTTAATTGTCGTTACATAAATAAATCTATTTATGTTCCATGTTCCTATAAAACTGCAACATAAAACAGTGTTCGATTAAGAAAACGAAGAAAGGGAAAAGTAAATAAGTTTTATAAGAGACTTCTGGTGTTACGATCGATATTTTCTCTTTTTTTCGCGTTGCTTCTTCTACGCCTCATACTCAAACTTATAAGAACTTAATTTCTTCTTCTTTCGTCGCACATTTTTCTCTTACTTCATTACATTAATTTTTTTTTTCTTCATTAAATATGCTTGTATACATGAACCATTTTTTAAATAGTATACAACAACAAGCTGGTGAAACAGCAACAAGATTCTGTTGCGTTGTTTTGCATTCTTCGTTCTTTCTTATGCGATTACGACAGAAAAAACAAAAATATAAAAAAAATTGAGGAGAAATGCGACAAGAAGGTAACTGTGGATGTAAGAAATTATATTAAATTCCAATGCGACCCTTAATGGGTGCAAATAAAAGAAGAAGGAAGAGGCGGGCTTAAAATATAATAATCATTGGATAAATTTGTCTCATTTTGACGCATGCCATGGAGTTGAGCTTCATACAGAAGCTGCCACGACGACGCAATATCGCTAAAATTATGATGCGCGCTGTTAAAAATTGTGTTTTTATCGGTAAGAAAAGGCCGTGAGAGGAGGATGAAAATTAATCAATTGCTTTTCAAATTGTTTTATGGCGATAATGGAAGCCGGAAAACAAGATTTGCTTTGGTACGTCGTTCCACGCACAGTTCAAGTGGAAACTGCTCTGATAATTTTTTTTTTCGTATTTAACAATCCGACAATATTCATTAAAGATCAATTCATTCTTCAGTTTCTTCTTGTTGTTTGTCTGCTTGTGCTTTTATGTGCGTTTTAAACCATACTTTTATTGATTATCGATCGATTAGTATGTGAACAACTCACTGATTACTCGTTCTCTTCGAAGAAACATTTTACTTTGGTGGAGAGATTTTGAGTTTTTTTATGAGTCAATTTGTTTTTTGTTTTACTGACCGATATTTCAGTTCACACATCGTGCTAAGTATCTAATGATCATCAATACATGTTAAGCAACGTGCTCGATTATCGAGGTTACGACCATTTATAAAATATGTAGATGCTTTTGTCTTTTTTTTCCTTTCTTTTATGCAAGTTCAGGCTAAAATAATAATGAAATTTGGAGAGAGTGACGGGAAGCGTCACCTGATTAAAGAAAAGGTCTTTGTACAGGTGTAGTGAATCTAGCGCGCTATCAAGATGATGACAAAAAAAAATAGAAAGAAATTGAAAGCATTGATTATGTTTGTTACACGAGAGAAATGAAAGACTTCAATTAACTTCAGGAAAAAACTAAAAGTGTGAACATAATAAAGCAATAAATATTTTCCTAAATTAATTTGGAATGTCGAATAATATTGATAAGCTTGAGAATAACGTTTGTTTTACAAACATCTCTAAATTATTATTTTCTCAGTTGAATATTTTGCCCGTAATGCCATATTGATTTCCTGACTATCAGCTTGAGGCTGTGAAAGTGCTTTTTGCAAACTTTTGAACGCATTTAATTACAGCTTAATTTTAATTTACATTTCGGTAAACCAGGCGCGTTCCACCATAATTGCTTTACGCTGTATCTCTTTCTGATTTCCGAAAACATGACAAAACTTGTCGATCACATATATTTATCAGCCTCTCGTTTCATCGAATGTAGAAAAAAGAAAAATATTTTGAATATATTTAGTTCGGCAATTTATGGAAATAAAAAATTCTTTCTCTTCTTTTTTTTGGTGGATAAATTTGAATGTCGTGGAACAATAAAAATACAATTTCATAGCACTTAAATATGCTAATTTTCGTCACGCGGCTTTAAGTCCACAAAACGTTGTTTCTCGACTAACGTTTAAGTTCAAAAAGGAAATTTTCTGTCAAAAGACAAAGTGATCGTATTAAAATTTTGATGAAATGAATTAATTGTGCATTTATGCATGGTTTGTAGACTTGTTAGTTAGTTATGTTGAATTTAAACAGTGTGACTAAACCTCATATCGACGTTAACATTCACTCTAAATAGAACTTCTTTCCCAGACATTTATAAGACTTTGTTCACTTGTAACCTGTTGCGAAATTGTCGTGACCGTTTCAATCATGCCCACCAGCATTCATTCGTTACCTCGCCGCATTCCTTTATGCCTCTGAAGCTTTTCTTTTTCCCCGTTTTTTTAAGCAATCGTCTTCGCGATTTATGGCAATAAAAAAATGATATATTTGTATATTTATTGATATTATAGATCTTTTATTATTTAATTTTTACGATAAAGTCTTTTGGTAAACATTGAAATGAAAAAGAAGAAAGGAAATGAGAAATATTTTCAACGTTGCAAACGAGATTGAACCTGGTTCAAGTACTTGGGGAGCCATGTGCGGATTACCAAGTACACCGCTTGATAAATCACGGCGAAGAGAAAGAAAACAACAAGAGCGATGCTTTAAAAATGTTTTGTTATTTTTTTATTTTTAAGTTTAACGGAGATTTATTGAGAGATTGGAGTTTTATTGTGGATGAAGTAAAAATGAAAAACGAACGATAAGGTTAGATGAGAAGTGAAGCAAGGAAAGGACTAACGAGAATTACTGGAAACAAAATTTAATGGTTGCGGTTTTGGGATAACATTTTCACTTTTCTCATGATTGTTGGTAAGTTAAAGTTATTATCACATGAAATAGAATTGTTGAAAGGTAGAAAGGTGTGAAGTTGTTGAGAAAACTTCATCAAAGTGTCCCATATCAGAAAAAAAGCTTTAAAATGAAAACAAATCGCCTTCATGTATTCATAAATGTTTGCTGTTGTGAACGAATAAAATATAAAATTGAATAAAGACATAAAAGTCTGTCGAAGGATGGGAAGACAAGACGATTAATAATTTTTCTCATGGACTGGTCAGCGTCATATCGAGACCAACAAGAAATATTTAGTGATGCTTTTCAGCTTGAAAATAGAAGAAATGAATGCAATAAGCCATTTCAAATCGCAAATTTTACTGTTTCTCTGATATTTTTGTCTCTTCATTTATGCTTATATTGGATTTATTCAAATTTCATCCTCAAACTTAACAGCTAACAACTTCTGGCCGCTTTACGATTGACGAAGGAAACGAAAAATGTTCGACATCATAAAAGAGCTTCTTGTGTATTCTCGTTGGTGAAGTATCGTCTGTTACTTGTTATAGCTAACAAAAATTCTTACACGTTTTTAAAATTGATGTTTATGATTTCTGCATTTACATTTATTGTGAATAACTTTACGAGGCTCGTTTTTAAGAAAATGAGAAAAAGAAAAGCTCAACTCATTTAAGTTGAAATGTGCAGATGTGAAAGTCGTTTAATTTAATGTCATTCAAAATTCGCGTTTTAATTGGATGTAAATATACTTCTAACGATCGTCAAATGATCATCTAATGAACCATCAAAAAAAATCTTGAATATGATTATTAATTCAATATGTTCCATAATAAGTAGAGTAGAAAGCTAAGAAACAATCTTTTAATTTTTTATGTTTTAAAATTCTGCTTTGAAGTCAGAAAGTGACAAACTTTCAAGTTAAAAGAAGACCAATTGGCGTGAGTGAATGAATAAATTGCATTTTTCGACTACCATCTCGGTTTTCAAGAGTCTTCAGATGAAAATGGATTCATAAATAACATCATGCTGATTCGTTTTCCTTCCATGAAACCGACGTTGAACTATCAACAATAAATATTTATTTTGATAGTTGCATTATCGTTTTAAGGTACACATACAAATTTTCGATTTCATTCGGAATATTTCGGGAGCTTTGTAATATTAAAAGGAAATTTTGCTTATATTTCATGTTGTTAGCTGTCAGAAATTAACTGACTGCTCATAAATAGCTATAGATGCCATCGTAACTAATGAGAACATTTTTTCCATCTTAAAATGCAATAATTTTAGCAATGGAAAGGAGAATCCTTGCTTTTAACGCACTACTACAGATCAAGATCAATGCAATTTAAATTTCTCTGACACGCCATTAATTTAGGACGCCATGAAATTTTATGACAGCATTTATGCAAATTTTGACCGAAATACAGAATCTTCAGGTTGTTAAAAATAATGATTTGCTTAGAAGGTTTCTTGTAACTTGCATGTCTATCAATTAACATCGAACGGACTGATTGTAAATTCAAATGTTTTATATTTCCATTCTTTCTCATTTATTCCAACTTCATAAACATTAGTTTTCCTAAAACACAAGATGGAATCACCTTTCAAACAAATTTCTTGACAATTCGCTTTCAAAATTCGTTGGCACTTTGAAGTTGAAGTGTTTTTGTTATAATTTTATTTATTCTTTATTCTGCGTGGCTTAGTTGAATAAATTAAAGTATTATTACACGTTGTACTTATTTCAATTCATGAGATAGGATTAAATACGCTAAATTAAACTTTTATGAAGCTTATACGGCATCTTGTTATACATTTAAGAAGTTTAAATAATAATTTATTCGAAGAATCCTTTAAAGACTTGATTTTTATTGATACAGTTCAATTTTTAAGTATCAACAACTCACTTTTAAAAGAAGCTTTTGCACTGCAATGCGATTATATTTACATCTCGTAACTTGTAATAAATAGCATAAAATATTTTCGTGTGTTGAACTTCATGATACAATCTCAAAAATCTGAAAAAAAGTATAAAGAAAAGTTTCTATTCAAAGTTGAAGAAAGAAATCTTTTGAAATTATTAACGGTACCTCAACACAATCAAAGAAACAAGCGAACAAGTAAAGAAAGAGGTAAATAGTTAACTTATGTTTTTGGGAATCTAATCTTGAACTTGAAAATGGAAATAGACGTTCAATCAAAAGTCACAAAATGAGATGCTTAATAAAAGGCGAAATGGTTAAAAACCGTGCATAAAATGATTGATTATGGGGAGTTAAAATTTCTCATAGGCTCAGCCGCCTTTCACACTCAATCGATTAATTTAAACATTTAAAGTTTACGTCTGACGATCAATTCAAACATTTTAATGATCATTTATGTTTAAGCATTGATTTGATAATAAGCTGTTCGACAGGTGAATGCAGTTCTAATAATATTTTATGCAGCAAAGCAACAAGTTGAAGTGACATGTGGTTGTTATTCACAAAATGCAAGCCATGTCTTTATCTAAAAACAACATGTTCATTTTAACCATGGCATTTCGATGATAAATTCACAAGAAAGAATTCTACTTCACTGATTTTTAAGTCGTATAAATGTTTGTTATCGTTAATGTTACTTTAGAGACAGACATTGGAGACAAATAGGAACATTTGGCATTTTTTGAAGAATCGGATGAGCATGATAAATCATTTTAAAAAGTCAACAAATTTTACAGGATATTTGTTCTCTATAAACGACTAGTTTGTGTATTCGATTCTTCTTTTTCTTATGCTTTTTTTCCTCCAGGTTTTGGTAGCTTGTCTATCAACTTCATCGCATATTTCATGCTTTTTTAAACTTCGTATGTCTTTACATAAAAGAAAGAAAAAAAAAATGAAACCAGAAACCTTCGATCGAAAAGTTGAATTAGCTGTGAAAGCAGAAAGAAAAGGGCCAAAATGTTCTCGTGTTTTGCTCTGTTCTCGATANCATTGGAAGGTAGAAAGAGTTTGTAAGATTGAATCATTTAAGTTCATTGACATTTGCAAAATTTTTTTAAATCTGTTTGCCGGGGGAGGTATTGGAAGGGAGAAATTGGCACAACCAAGTTAAGTTGGAGGCTCCAGGGAAGTTTACATGCATGGCAGAATTGAGGCATTAAACGTTTTGTATGTCTTCCACTACGGAATAACTTGCTAGATCGAACAACGTTTGAACAAAATAAGCAGGAGGGGAATGTAGTGTATTGGTATTAGTGCAGATACGTTCAGTTGTGTAGGAGTTCAGTGAGTGAATAAGTAAGAGACTAAACGGACGTGTTATTGAGTCGTGTGATAACAATTAGTTATTTTACTCGTTATTCTGATAACGATTCATTATAAATACGGCCGACTTTCTAGGACATTACATTTGGTGTCAGCGGTGGGATATTTATTGCAATGAAAGAACTCGAAAATCGCGTGGAAATAAGTTTTAATTTTTTTTTTTCCTTTCAATGGCGTCAATTGGTTAAATTTGTGAAATTCGCGGGTAATGTCGGAATAAAAGTGATAGAAAGCTAGTGGAAAAGCATAAGATAAGATCACAGGAGAAGTGTAAGTAATGAAAGCCGCGGAAAAAAACCGGAAGTTTTGGTCGCGAAAATGAGATTTTGGAAAAACTTCGCGGCGTCGGTTGTGATTCTGAGAAATCGAATGCTTTGACATGAAATTTAAATGTGAGCTTTGACAATGGATTTTGTAATGAATTTTGACATGAATTTTGACATGAACTTTGACATGAGCTTTGACATGAAATTTGGCTTGAATTTTGACATGAATTTTGATATGAGATTTGGCATGAATTTTGACATGAGTTTTGTAATGGAAAACAGCTCGGCGAGAGGCTTGAAGTTGATTTATTTTGTTTAGGATGTAATGGGTAGCCATTTTGACTTTTGAGAGTTTTGTAATGCATTGAATACTGATTGCATTTGTGTTGGCGCAGAAGAAAAGATTCGCAATATATTCCAATTGCGACAGTGTTAGTACAAAAAAAAAAAAGTGAAATTTAGCGTCTTTGTATTTTGCTCGGGAGAAGTTTGAAGGGATTTTAAATATGCTAAATTAATTGTATAGGAATTGAATTTTGAAATGTTGAAGCAAGAAGGTGGAGAACGATTTATTATCAACATGTTGCCATGGTCGACATTATATATGTATGTATAGAATTTCTTTTGAACAATTTTGGCTTGAGTTATATCCTGAATTTTGTCATGAACTTTGTCTTGAACTTTGTCATGAATTTCGTCTTGAGCTTTGTCTTGAACTTTGAAACGAGTTGTTGGAGCCAGAGTTTTGAAATGAATTTTGGAAATTGATCTCGTGATAATGAAGTTTGGCTTGAATTTTGGCATGAGTTTTGTGATAGAAATCAGTTTAGTGAGAAGTTTGAATTTGATTTATTTTTGTACGGAGCAGCCATTTTGACTTTTGCGAGATTTCCAATACCTTGGTCACCGATTGCATCTGTGTTGGTGCCAAAGGAGGAATTTGTAATAGATTTCAATTGAGTTAATATTGGTGCAAAAAGGTAGAAAACTTGAGTCATTCGAATTTTGAATGGGGAATTAAACCGGATGATTTTGTATGAGAGAATTGAATTTTGGAATGAAAGTGAACATCGATCGTTGAGGTTTCAAATTAAGGGATTTCTCTTGAGCTATACTTTGAGTTTTGGCATGAACTTTGTCTTGAATTAAATGTATAATTTTGAAATGAAATTTGTTCTGGAATTTTGACAGAGGGCTTTGAAATGAGATCTGGAAATTTATCTCGTGAAGGGTTTTGAAATGAAGTTTGCTCGGGGGGATTTGAAATACATCGTTTACTATTGCAGATGTTTAGAGCAGAGAAGAGAAGTTTGACCGCATTTGACTTTTGAGAGATTTATAATAAATTTGTATGTCGTTAGTGTTCTGTCAAAAGAGAAAATTTGATTCGTAATCTGATAGTTCTTATAAAGGAAAATTATGAAATTTGAAGTAAATGTTGACGCTACAATTGGTGTGTTATGGCAAGCGAAGTAATCAGCTGTTCGATCATAATAAACTTCGAGATGCTGTTGTCATGCCATGATATCGGAATCAAGATCAACCGAAATATTTCTATGTCGCTGAAGTTTGCTATCATTTGACACCAGAAAGTTCATTTCCAGGTGAAGATTATTCAACATTCCGTAAATATAATATTGAAAAACAAAACAAGGAGCAATCGCAGCTTGATGCTGATCATACAAGTGCAGGGAGTTTGGTATGCATTTTGATTTGAAATTTGACATGAATTTTATGATAAGAATCAGCCCAGTGAGAAGTTTGAATTTGGTTTGCTTTTGAGAAATTTGTAGCTAATTAAAAGCTACGAGAGTGAGAAAGATGTAGACAAACTTAAGAAGATGGCGAATGATTTGTTGTTGATTACTTTTAAATCTTGTCGATTGTATTTGTAAAAGTTCATCTGCAATCAAAGTGATTTATGCTGAAACAGAAATCAAGCTCACCGTTCATAAAATCATTGAATTTGCTTACTCAGCTTTAAAGAATACTTCGTCAATGGAAACATTATATTTGGATGAAATTTGGAATGTTGTTCGTTGTTATTTGACAACCACTATGGATTGGAATGATGATAAGTACGCTTTATATAACTTCTTTACTCATCACCGTTTCTATAATATTCAAGCAATGACAATCTTGACATTCTTCCATGGGACCTTGAATCGTGACAAGCAGGAAGATTTGTAATGGATTCCAATTGTGTTGATATTTGTGTGAGAAGATAGAAAATTGATGTCATTTGAATTTTGCATAGGGAATTATACCGATGATATTTGTATGGGAATTGAGTTTTGAATGAACGGTTGAAATACATGTGCAGAATGAGTTTTGCTACAAATGTTAATTTTAAATTTTGACCGAGAGTTTTGAAATAAATGCTTAAGTGAATTTTTTTAATTGAGTTTTGAATTTTCAAATGTTGAAAGAAGAAACATCGCGAATTTTAGCAAACGAAAGAAGAGGCAACGACTTGAAGATTTGTTTGGTGATATTTATGATATTGATGTTGATCCAATGCACAATGCGAAACTTTTCAGAAATTATGAATCCGAAAATCAGTTTACAATGAAACGGCGGAAAATGGAACAAGATTTTATTTTGCCTTGCTGATTGAGATTATCAGAAAGAAGTTGAGNATAAGTTTTAATTTTTTTTTTTTTCCTTTCAATGGCGTCAATTGGTTAAATTTGTGAAATTCGCGGGTAATGTCGGAATAAAAGTGATAGAAAGCTAGTGGAAAAGCATAAGATAAGATCACAGGAGAAGTGTAAGTAATGAAAGCCGCGGAAAAAAACCGGAAGTTTTGGTCGCGAAAATGAGATTTTGGAAAAACTTCGCGGCGTCGGTTGTGATTCTGAGAAATCGAATGCTTTGACATGAAATTTAAATGTGAGCTTTGACAATGGATTTTGTAATGAATTTTGACATGAATTTTGACATGAACTTTGACATGAGCTTTGACATGAAATTTGGCTTGAACTTTGACATGAGATTTGGCATGAATTTTGACATGAGTTTTGTAATGAAAAGCAGCTGGGCGAGAAGCTTGAAGTTGATTTATTTTGTTTAGGATTAATGGGTAGCCATTTTGACTTTTGAGAGTTTTGTAATGCATTGAATACTGATTGCATTTGTGTTGGCGCAGAAGAAAAGATTCGCAATATATTCCAATTGCGACAGTGTTAGTACAAAAAAGTGAAATTTGGCGTCTTTGCATTTTGCTCGGGAGAAGTTTGTAGGGATTTTAAATATGCTAAATTAATTGTATAGGAATTGAATTTTGAAATATTGAAGCAAGAAGGTGGAGAACGATTTATTATCAGCATGTTGCCATGGTCGACATTATATATGTATAGAATTTCTTTTGAACAATTTTGGCTTGAGTTATATCTTGAATTTTGTCATGAACTTTGTCTTGGGTTTTGTCATGAATTTCGTCTTGAGCTTTGTCTTGAACTTTGAAACGAGTTGTTGGAGCCAGAGTTTTGAAATGAATTTTGGAAATTGATCTCGTGATAATGAAGTTTGGCTTGAATTTTGGCATGAGTTTTGTGATAGAAATCAGTTCAGTGAGAAGTTTGAATTTGATTTATTTTGGACGGAGCAGCCATTTTGACTTTTGCGAGATTTGCAATACCTTGGTCACCGATTGCATCTGTGTTGGTGCCAAAGGACGGATTTGTAATAGATTTCAATTAAGTTGATATTGGTGCAAAAAGGTAGAAAATTTGAGTCATTCGAATTTTAAATGGGGAATTAAACCGGTTGATTTTGTATGAGAATTGAATGTGGCAATAAACGATTGGATTCATTTTCAGAATGAGATTTGTTACGAGTTTTGATTTTAAATTTTAATCGAAAACTTTGAAGAATTTTCTAATAATTTTTGAAATTGCCGCCGATGTAAATTTATATGTGTAAGTTGCAAAAGAGAGTAATGAGAGGTTTCGAAAACGTTATTTGCGTTAGTGTTAGTTTCAAAGAGAAAGAGTAATTTGTACATTCGTATTTGAAGCTTGAACGAGTTAAGGCGTCGGTTGAAGTTAAAAATAAGATTTTTGCGATAAACGAATTAAAACAATATTAAACGCATTAAAAAGGGAAATAAACATTAATTGAAGCTTGAGTTGAAATTCTTTTGCAATTATTGTTACTGGAATACAGGTGAGCTCGAAGAAATTTCGAGATAATATTGAAATTTGAAACCGTTGTGGGATATGAAATTTGACGCCTCGTTTTGTATTTCTATTAGCAAAATGTCGGCTGGAAGATACGTTAGAAACCCAGATGAAAGATCGTCTGATGACGATTCTGAATCTGTTAGTTCAGAAGAAAATGAAACTTTGACGGAGAAAACGGCGAAAAATAAGTCAAAAGAAGGTTATGAAATGTCGTCTTTGCGTATTAATCCGTTGATGTTAATTGACCAATTCCCAGAAGATCCAACAATGGAAATAGCTAGAGAATTTTGGATAGATTGGATTGCCATGCTGAAGCGAATTTTTAAGTTGAACCCGAAAGCATTTAACTCGGATGAAATGCAGATTACAGTTCTTATTACTCGGGGTGGAGCATTTTTGCGTAATATCCTTTTCAACGCAAAATATGTATTTCCGAAGTCATTTGATGAAGCAGTTGAGCGAATTGAACAAGTTTTTAAAGTTAATTCGAATCATTTGGCTGATGAAACAAATTTTGGAGCATTAAGACAAGAAGAGGACGAATCTTTTCAGAGATATTCAGATCGAGTTCGGAAAAAGGCGCGTGCTTTTGGTTTCGAGGAAAAACGTGTGATTGCAAAAATAACTCAGGGTGCAAAGCAAAAAGAGAAATTAATGGATTTCGGAATAAGAGGAAAAGCGTCGCTTGTAGAATTAATTGGTTACGGAAACCAGTTGGAAGTTTTGACGCGTGGTAAAAAGATCGAAACGGAGAAAGATAATTTGCTTACAAGTGAGGTCAAAGGGATCAGAGTTGGATCGGCTAAAAGATTTCGGTCTTACGAACGTCAAATGAAACATTAGGTCGAGTAAATTGCGGTTGCAAGGAGACAAGAGCTTTGAAGTAGACTGTTATAAGATTTGTGATCAAATAAATAGATATTTAAGTGATAGTTGGTTCGCATTCATTTATTATTATTCGAAAAAATTGTTAATTGAAATTTGTATTAGAAGCTTTGAATCAATCTGGTATGCATGCATTTTTCTCGGCTAAAGATTTGACAGTGGAACTTTATTTCATGATATTTATGTTTACTTCACTCGGTTTGAGAATCACCTTCAAGAACATATTGAAAAAAAAAGAGGAAAAACATCGAGAAAAAGTTGAGGGAGTTTGTAAGATTGAATCATTTAAGTTCATCGACAATTGCATAAATTTTTTAAATCTGTTTGCTGGGGGAGGCATTGGAAGGTAGAAAGAGTTTGTAAGATTGAATCATTTAAGTTCATTGACATTTGCAAAATTTTTTTAAATCTGTTTGCCGGGGGAGGTATTGGAAGGGAGAAATTGGCACAACCAAGTTAAGTTGGAGGCTCCAGGGAAGTTTACATGCATGGCAGAATTGAGGCATTAAACGTTTTGTATGTCTTCCACTACGGAATAACTTGCTGGATCGAACAACGTTTGAACAAAATAAGCAGGAGGGGAATGTAGTGTATTGGTATTAGTGCAGATACGTTCAGTTGTGTAGGAGTTCAGTGAGTGAATAAGTAAGAGACTAAACGGACGTGTTATTGAGTCGTGTGATAACAATTAGTTATTTTACTCGTTATTCTGATAACGATTCATTATAAATACGGCCGACTTTCTAGGACATTACAATTATTACACGTTGTACTTATTTCAATTCATGAGATAGGATTAAATACGCTAAATTAAACTTTTATGAAGCTTATACGGCATCTTGTTATACATTTAAGAAGTTTAAATAATAATTTATTCGAAGAATCCTTTAAAGACTTGATTTTTATTGATACAGTTCAATTTTTAAGTATCAACAACTCACTTTTAAAAGAAGCTTTTGCACTGCAATGCGATTATATTTACATCTCGTAACTTGTAATAAATAGCATAAAATAGGGTGGTTGGCTAATTATCGACCACCTCGAAATCGCGTTCAATTATCGACCACTACTTTCGAACTTAATTTTCTCAGCTATTTTTTATTATTTATGGCTTAAAACTTTGTAGAAAGTTACTTTGGACTATGCTCTACCTCTCTACAAAGTTCTAAGCCATAAATAATAAAAAATAGCTAAGAAAATTAAGTTCGAAAGTAGTGGTCGATAATTGGACGCGATTTCGAGGTGGTCGATAATTAGCCAACTACCCTAACTCGAGTTGACATCNAAGTACTTGGGGAGCCATGTGCGGATTACCAAGTACACCGCTTGATAAATCACGGCGAAGAGAAAGAAAACAACAAGAGCGATGCTTTAAAAATGTTTTGTTATTTTTTTATTTTTAAGTTTAACGGAGATTTATTGAGAGATTGGAGTTTTATTGTGGATGAAGTAAAAATGAAAAACGAACGATAAGGTTAGATGAGAAGTGAAGCAAGGAAAGGACTAACGAGAATTACTGGAGACAAAATTTAATGGTTGCGGTTTTGGGATAACATTTTCACTTTTCTCATGATTGTTGGTAAGTTAAAGTTATTATCACATGAAATAGAATTGTTGAAAGGTAGAAAGGTGTGAAGTTGTTGAGAAAACTTCATCAAAGTGTCCCATATCAGAAAAAAAGCTTTAAAATGAAAACAAATCGTCTTCATGTATTCATAAATGTTTGCTGTTGTGAACGAATAAAATATAAAATTGAATAAAGACATAAAAGTCTGTCGAAGGATGGGAAGACAAGACGATTAATAATTTTTCTCATGGACTGGTCAGCGTCATATCGAGACCAACAAGAAATATTTAGTGATGCTTTTCAGCTTGAAAATAGAAGAACTGAATGCAATAAGCCATTTCAAATCGCAAATTTTACTGTTTCTCTGATATTTTTGTCTCTTCATTTATGCTTATATTGGATTTATTCAAATTTCATCCTCAAACTTAACAGCTAATAACTTCTGGCCGCTTTACGATTGACGAAGGAAACGAGAAATGTTCGACATCATAAAAGAGCTTCTTGTGTATTCTCGTTGGTGAAGTATCGTCTGTTACTTGTTATAGCTAACAAAAATTCTTACACGTTTTTAAAATTGATGTTTATGATTTCTGCATTTACATTTATTGTGAATAACTTTACGAGGTTCGTTTTTAAGAAAATGAGAAAAAGAAAAGTTCAACTCATTTAAGTTGAAATGTGCAGATGTGAAAGTCGTTTAATTTAATGTCATTCAAAATTCGCGTTTTAATTGGATGTAAATATACTTCTAACGATCGTCAAATGATCATCTAATGAACCATCAAAAAAAATCTTGAATATGATTATTAATTCAATATGTTCCATAATAAGTAGAGTAGAAAGCTAAGAAACAATCTTTTAATTTTTTATGTTTTAAAATTCTGCTTTGAAGTCAGAAAGTGACAAACTTTCAAGTTAAAAGAAGACCAATTGGCGTGAGTGAATGAATAAATTGCATTTTTCGACTACCATCTCGGTTTTCAAGAGTCTTCAGATGAAAATGGATTCATAAATAACATCATGCTGATTCGTTTTCCTTCCATGAAACCGACGTTGAACTATCAACAATAAATATTTATTTTGATAGTTGCATTATCGTTTTAAGGTACACATACAAATTTTCGATTTCATTCGGAATATTTCGGGAGCTTTGTAATATTAAAAGGAAATTTTGCTTATATTTCATGTTGTTAGCTGTCAGAAATTAACTGACTGCTCATAAATAGCTATAGATGCCATCGTAACTAATGAGAACATTTTTTCCATCTTAAAATGCAATAATTTTAGCAATGGAAAGGAGAATCCTTGCTTTTAACGCACTACTACAGATCAAGATCAATGCAATTTAAATTTCTCTGACACGCCATTAATTTAGGACGCCATGAAATTTTATGACAGCATTTATGCAAATTTTGACCGAAATACAGAATCTTCAGGTTGTTAAAAATAATGATTAGCTTAGAAGGTTTCTTGTAACTTGCATGTCTATCAATTAACATCGAACGGACTGATTGTAAATTCAAATGTTTTATATTTCCATTCTTTCTCATTTATTCCAACTTCATAAACATTAGTTTTCCTAAAACACAAGATGGAATCACCTTTCAAACAAATTTCTTGACAATTCGCTTTCAAAATTCGTTGGCACTTTGAAGTTGAAGTGTTTTTGTTATAATTTTATTTATTCTTTATTCTGCGTGGCTTAGTTGAATAAATTAAAGTATTATTACACGTTGTACTTATTTCAATTCATGAGATAGGATTAAATACGCTAAATTAAACTTTTATGAAGCTTATACGGCATCTTGTTATACATTTAAGAAGTTTAAATAATAATTTATTCGAAGAATCCTTTAAAGACTTGATTTTTATTGATACAGTTCAATTTTTAAGTATCAACAACTCACTTTTAAAAGAAGCTTTTGCACTGCAATGCGATTATATTTACATCTCGTAACTTGTAATAAATAGCATAAAATATTTTCGTGTGTTGAACTTCATGATACAATCTCAAAAATCTGAAAAAAAGTATAAAGAAAAGTTTCTATTCAAAGTTGAAGAAAGAAATCTTTTGAAATTATTAACGGTACCTCAACACAATCAAAGAAACAAGCGAACAAGTAAAGAAAGAGGTAAATAGTTAACTTATGTTTTTGGGAATCTAATCTTGAACTTGAAAATGGAAATAGACGTTCAATCAAAAGTCACAAAATGAGATGCTTAATAAAAGGCGAAATGGTTAAAAACCGTGCATAAAATGATTGATTATGGGGAGTTAAAATTTCTCATAGGCTCAGCCGCCTTTCACACTCAATCGATTAATTTAAACATTTAAAGTTTACGTCTGACGATCAATTCAAACATTTTAATGATCATTTATGTTTAAGCATTGATTTGATAATAAGCTGTTCGACAGGTGAATGCAGTTCTAATAATATTTTATGCAGCAAAGCAACAAGTTGAAGTGACATGTGGTTGTTATTCACAAAATGCAAGCCATGTCTTTATCTAAAAACAACATGTTCATTTTAACCATGGCATTTCGATGATAAATTCACAAGAAAGAATTCTACTTCACTGATTTTTAAGTCGTATAAATGTTTGTTATCGTTAATGTTACTTTAGAGACAGACATTGGAGACAAATAGGAACATTTGGCATTTTTTGAAGAATCGGATGAGCATGATAAATCATTTTAAAAAGTCAACAAATTTTACAGGATATTTGTTCTCTATAAACGACTAGTTTGTGTATTCGATTCTTCTTTTTCTTATGCTTTTTTTCCTCCAGGTTTTGGTAGCTTGTCTATCAACTTCATCGCATATTTCATGCTTTTTTAAACTTCGTATGTCTTTACATAAAAGAAAGAAAAAAAAAATGAAACCAGAAACCTTCGATCGAAAAGTTGAATTAGCTGTGAAAGCAGAAAGAAAAGGGCCAAAATGTTCTCGTGTTTTGCTCTGTTCTCGATACGATAAAGAAAAAAAATTATCTGGTTTAGTATCCCGCAGTTTTCTTAAATTCACCCGAAAAAAAAATACGCCGTGGAGCGTCAGAAACAAATCTTGAATTTCTTTTAACTGCTCTATTTCGAAGTATAGCAAGATAAATTTTGGCTGGGACGACAAAGCACGTGTGTGTTTGTTAAAAAAAAAGGAATTAAAATATTTTACATCGTAAAGTGTAAGCTTTATTACAAGGAACTTATAGAAACTTGTTTAAGACGCTATCGTCGAAGGCTTAAGATAAATTATTTTCATCAATTACTTATTCACAATCCCTAAAAAATAATTTAAAAGTTTGAGGCAGGAATCAGAAATGAAAGAAGGCTTAAAACTGATTGATTGATTGAGTTCGGGATATTTCTTTTATTTCTTTGCAAGTCGCTTTTTGTTTGTTTTGAAGTTTATTCTTCACATTTGTTCTTAAGATGTTTATAGTTATGATCAATGCAAATTGCTTTCTGAACATGTTTGATAGAAGAAAATTGATAGTTTGAAAGGGATTTTAATTCAACTTGAATATATTAAATACAGAATCATATTAAGACAATGCAATTAACTTAACTTGATACGATCAAGGAATGCTTAAATTGTAAATATCCTTAAGAGAAATTAATGTTCATAATTTTCATCATACTTTTGTTGCATTTATTGCGTGCTGCGCCCAACTGATCACGAAATATTGAAGAATGCGGATTGTTATGAACAAAAATCCTTTGATTACAATTAACCGGAAACTTCTTGTGCATGTAACTGTCTCAAGAATCTTCATTTTTACATTTTTGTATGAGTCAATGTTGCAACTTGCAACATTTTAAATGAGGAAAAGAAAAATTCATAAACCAGATTTCATTTTAAAGCCAAAAGACAACGAATGAAAGAAGAAAGTATTTTTGAATGAGAATGAAGAAAATATTTTTCATAATCAATTATTCACGAATCAAAAAAGAAAAAATGTTAATAAATTCGTAGCGGTGGAGCAAAAGAAATCAACATGAGAGAGTGAAGCATTTAATGGCGTTCACTTCCATTTCAAACTTTTTTGTCTCGTTCGTTTGCATGCTGTGGATAATTTTTTTATCATTCCTGATGTTTGGAGATAAACGTTCTTGTTACGCACATTGAATTGCCAAACGTACAAATGAAATGAAAATATAATTTTCTAAATATTTAAGTCTAATTGTCAATTTAATTTTTATTTTCGGAGAATCCTTTGAAATTAAGTGGCTGAAAATTGCAATGATATTAACTTGTTCGGTCACGTAACCATGAGATTCCTTTTGAAGCATCCCACACAAAATTATAATGGAATCAAAATGCTTTTTGAAATTATTTTATTGATGACATTTGCAGTCTTTAAACTTTATAAACAATTCGTACTCAATTTAAATATTCTCACTTTCATGCTTGTCTTCTCTCACCTCAAAGAATTCGCGACTTTTCTAGGATTCTTTAAGCATTCTTTATTTAATTCTTGTTTTTATTTTTTTCCACCTGGAAAAGGGAAAAGCAAAATCAAAGTGTAAAATTCAATAAAAAGAAAAAAACAAATAAAATAAAATCTTTTCACAAAGATCAGACGCGCGTAATATGTATTTGCTCATTATTTTAATCCCATTCGACTTGTTGAAGATTTAAATTTACAATATCACGAAGTGGGAAAAAGCGAGGAATCTTTCATTTAAGAAAAAGACGTTTCATTTCTTTTCTTCTTCTGTTTATTGTTGAGCTGCCATTTTAATTCGCCGCTTTGGGTGTTATAAAAAGCTCAGAGAAAGAGAAATGAACATCTCAAAGCTAATGCTCTGTATCATCTCTGCTCCAACTCATAACAGCACGACAAAATAAAAAGACGAAAAACCAACAGAAACTACGACACGAATCATCAATAATTTACGTAAAGGTGTGAATTTTGATTGAGCTTCAACTGTGGGGAGAAAACATTTAAAAATTCTAAATCTGGTTTGGGAAAGGAAAAAAAAAACATTTTTGCTTATTTGTGATGCGGTGAGATTCACGAGAATATCTCGGGATTAATGAAATCCACAATATTGGTTTTAGATTCTCACTTTTTGAGTTTGTATGAGACACCGAATATTGAATGACAATAAACTCTTTAGAATGAATACCAGAGAACGTTCGTCGATGTGATTTTGGATAATCCGGCGGTCGTATGCTTTCAAGACTGTTTGAAAATTGAATAAAGGTGTGACTTTAATGTCGGCTATCTATTCGTATTTCGTAGAAGAAACAAGATTCATATATTCATAAGACGTACGCCTTTTTGAAAGTCACATTATCATAAATAAAATTTATCTAGAATAGTTTTCGAAAAGCTTAAAAGATTTATTTGTTTAACTCCTGAGATCTCGGTTATGTTGTTAAGACAAGAATAGAATCTTTGATGTGTGAAATTAAATAATTCATTAGTTTGCAAATGTTCATTCGAGAATGGATAAAAGTTGCATTTCCAATGAAAGTTACTGTCAATAAAGCAGCAATAAAATATTAAAAGGCAATTGTTTTTAATTGTTGACATGTGTTATAATTCACGTGAAGTGATGACGTTGTTCGCCCGTATTAAAACATGTCAATATTCAAAGTTGATCAAAGCGCAAAGGTAAAAGTGTTGAAATAATGTTTTTATTAATAAATATAAATATAATCAGATGTTAAATTTGCTTGCATTTTGTTACACGAGATTCCTCATCAAATATAAGACAAAACATATTGAACGTGACTGAAAGAGTGCGAGACGTCAGAAAAATATTTAAATTGAATTGGAATTGAAATAAGAAAGGCAAGCAATCAGCGATCAGACACACTACAGCCGTGTCCAATTCTTTTTGTCAAATTTTATCTCCCTCACTGCAATTCCAAATTGAAATGCAGAAATAAATTCAAAGAAAGAGAAGAACAATCATTCGTCTCGAGGCATTTGTTTCTTACTCGTCTCAAATCAAAGAGAATAAAAAACTTTAATGTCTCTTTACTTTTGATGTCGATTTGAAATCAGATAACATTCGATTGATATTTGTTCATATATCGTTTGCGTGATGCTAATATTTTGACAGTTTTGTGATCAGTTTCAGTGAAGTTTGTTTCCTTCATTTTATTGTTGTTAAAACAATGTTAATTGATGATCGATTTCAGAATTCTAAAGAAAAGTTTCGAGTTTTAGATGGCATATGATATCACGGAATAATTTAGTTGTTCACGTCCATTTAATCTTTCGAGACGATAAATAATCATAAATTATTGGATCATTAAAATATTTAATTGTAATTGTTTCTTTTTTTTCGGGATATACAGGAGAAGTTGAAAGCATGAGGATTAAATGTCGAAAAATTTACGAGTGTTTTTAAATAAGAAAAGCTGTCTTGAGTTGGTTATTAAAGCTAGGCATTCAACAAAACAACATTCATATTTTGCTGCACATCATGATTTAACGTGAATATATGACAACGTTAAACGTCTCAAAAATCTCATATAATAATTCTTTTAGTTACTTTAACATTGTTGGGAGTTCCTTTGGCGTTTTATGATAGACTCAAGCCAGGATAGTGTGCCATGAGATCAGCAATAAAAGTGTCATGGAAATCTTTTCAGTAATCTGTTGGTTGAATGCGAGCAAATATCTATAATTCAAGTAGATTGCAGATAGCCGCTAGACAGAGCATATTTATATGCTAAATAGAACAGAATATATTGTGAAGTCATATCTTATCTGGTATAAAATAAAGCTGAAGATCGCTTCAGGCCCACAAACGATTTCCGATGGACTCCGAATGATGAAAATTATAGATGCAGATTTAAAACAGAAATATGACGATAGGCTGCAGCTATAATTCAATGAAGCACGCTAGTTACTCATATTGCTAGAAGAATCCTTGAAGCCACGATTTGAAATGTTAGCTTTGATTTCAATCAGAAGATTAGTGAATTGCTTTTAGGCTTCAATAACCTTCGTCATCAAAAATTTATTCCAGAAACATTCACTTTTCTCAATCGTGAGAGAAAACTATTAGTTTCTATTTTCATTTCTTTAAATAATAAAAACAAATGATGAGGTCAAATGTTAGATCATATAACAATAAAATATATTCGGAGATTTGAAAATGCAAAAATATGAAGAAAAATGTTTGATTGCTGATAGCGAAAAACCTATTTCGTACCGACATCAACCATGAACTTTGCTCGATTGATCGAAACACGAAGTTTCGAAAGATGTCGATAGCGTGCTTTGCCCAATTGCGTTTCTTTCATTTCATTTTAAGCATTCGTGTTGTTGAATGTAAGAGTGCGTTTCAGCTCTAGGCAACACTTGTGTAATGAAAAAGTTTTTTTTAATTGATATATGATACGATCCAATAGTCGAAAGGAATTTTCACAATTAATTCTGCACTGCGGGAGAACTAATTAAATTTACACGTGTTGCTTCATTAATTGAGGCATAAGGAAAAAATGTTGAATTGCAAAACTGCAGCATCGAATGAGATCTCTCGACCCGCCAAGCTGAAACAAAACATGAATTGTTCTTTATGTCATTTAACAAGCGAAAGATTGCTACTCGATGATATTGAAACCGCGTCTATTTCTCCCTCATGCTCTTTTTTTTTTGTCTTCCTCCTGTGCAATTAAATATTTTCTTCTTTTGTTCTTCCACTTTTTTTCTTGTTTTGGCATTATCGCGTTTTATTGTTGGATGTATGTAAATGTTTAACTATTCTCAAGTTGATATATCCCAACAAAAAACTCTTGTTTAGTTGCCTTGCAACACATAACAAAATGCAGAAATTGTTCTGTGGGTAAGAAGAGATTATTCGATATATGTAAGAAGTTATAGGGAAGATAGAAGGGTTATGGTAACAGAAAATACCTGATCAGAATATATAATAAAGCACAATATCTCTTCTGTTACACATGACATTCGTTTCAGTGAAATTAAAATGAAATAGGAAGAGGAAAAAGAAGATTGATCATGATGTTCAGTAATCAATTTCGATCTTTTTTGAAATACGATGACTGTTGATGATGTTAAGTTTCTTGTTCTGAACAATATCGATGTGTAGAAGTTTTGAAACTGACAGACAATCCAAATTTAACCTTCGTTAATTCAAGAAAAAGAAATAATTTAATGATTAAAGCTTACCTAGATCTTATAAGCTTAAAAAGATATTAATCATTCGCAATTATGACACTGCGTGGGCGGTTTAACTTCACGATTCGACAAATATTTGCAATTAAGGTGCCTTTCGGTTCTTGCTTTGACTGGAATTTTAACCGTCAAAGTGGAGCCACTTCATTTGCATTCCTCGCGGTTATCGCAAGAATGAGAAACGAAAAATCCTTTAATTGAGACAATAAATTGATGCTTTTTGTTTAAATTTGTTGTAAATATGTAAAAGAAACAAGAAAATTTCTTCTTTATCGAATGAAATTAAAATATCAAAGAAATGCCATAATATTGTTTAAATTTGGTATTAAAAATTACAGAAAATAACTCATGACAAAGCGAGGGTTTTGGAAACGAATATTGAATCCTTAAAATTCCCTGAAACGCAATCATACATATTGAACGCTTAACGGAGATCAGAAAGGTGGAATTTATACGTAAAGTTTATTGTTGGCACTTTTTGCAATCAGCTAAGATGTTCGGCCAAGGTCCGAATTAAACAACTTTAGCAAATAAACAGCACATAAAACTTAAAAAGTAATTGAAAAGATTTTTTTTCCTCTTAGCATTCAAATAAGTTGAAAAGAAAAGAAGTTTAATGAACGGAAGATTTGTGTTCGCCTCTCGTTGTGGAATTAACGAAAAGATTTGTGTCGTCATTTAATTGTACAACAAAGCGTAATTTATTATCTGTTGATATGAAATTGGGTTTAAAACAGAATTTATTACAGGACGAGACGGTTTTTTTTCTTAAAAAAATTGTGTTTCCCATCACTGCTGATTGTTTTGAAAGCGACGGAACTTGATTCTCTGCAAGAAATTCAAAAAAAAAGAGAATCTTAAGACAGCAAGCAATTTCATCGAAGCTAAACAATATAATTTCAATGCATAGTATGCAAAACAGGTATAACCAGAATGCGGACGAAATACATAAAGCCTCTGTTTATATGCACGCATTCTAGGAAACATAATTAAATAACTTCGAAAATTGATCCATAGCCGATAAGTTGAAGAGAAGTCGATGCATAAAATCTTGAAACAAAAGAGAGAAAAATAATAATAAATTGACGCAACAGCAAAAAGGCAGCAGTGAAATAAGAAAATCAAGAGTGCAATGATTCGAAAACGAAATTTTTGACAGCCTTAAGCTACAAATATACTGAAAAGGGAAACCGAAATAAAGTGCAGAGTCGGATGGTAATTTTTGCAAATTTTTTCTTACCAACATCATTTAAAGATACCTAATTTTTAATATTTTTTCGTTTCGTTTTATATTATAATCAATGAAACATAAAGGAAATTCTTCATCGACCTTATGATATGATGAACAAATGCTTCACGTTCATAGACAAAGATAAAGCAACAAGACAAAATTCCAAATCGTGTTTTAAATTCACGAAAAATTTCTCTTGCATTCTTTTTCAAAAATTGACACAATAAATTTTCCAACGAGAGTTAACCGCCGTTAAATGACAATTGCCAAAAAATAATAACAAATTGAATGCTCCACATAAAAAAAGAAACAAAAAATTTTAAATCTCTTAATGACTACATCACAAGAAGTAATGTCACACATTCTTAGCAGTGAATAAGAAAAATTGCGAGAGAAAACGAACATGGTTAAAACAGCGCAGCGAGATGAAATTGTTCTTATAATTTCATTTCCATTTGTTGTACGCTTATGTCTTGAAGTGAACAGCGAATACTAAGATAAGCATCTTCATATTCACTTCAATCAAATAATGAGTCGTCTGCGAGCATTTCAACACCACGTTGTATGCATAAGCTTTAAAATTGTCATCATAACTTACACACAATATTTTTGTTGTTGCTGTTTTTGGATATATTTTTGGGGCTTGGTTAAATTTAGTGCAACAACATTATGCATGAGAATGTTGTGTTGTTATGTAAAAGAAAGAATGAAAAAATATGTCGCGTTGTATTCTCTTACAAGCATCCATCAAGTTAGTTTTTCTTTCTTTTTATTTTGAAAAGAGAGCGAAAAGAAAGAACTTTTGTAACTGCACATCACAGACGAATGAGAACGGGAATGACAAAAATCTCTTACGAGAAATCTGACTTTTATTGCCAATGCACAAAGTACAAAACATAACATGTATACATATCGGAAATTTGTGGTTTGTCTGAACGCATAAATTAAGTGTTAGTGCCCAATGAGGCTCTGACAAAAAACATTTGCTCAATGATTTAAGTAACCACGGTTACAATGAAAGATTTCCTCAAACGAATTAAATTCATATCAATTAAACCTCTCATTTCATTTGATTTCTTGTTTTTGAAATTTAAGAGGCGCAAAACCTTTTCAACTCATCATCGAAAGATGACTGCAGAAAGGCGCACAAAAATCTTTGATTGACAGTTAATCCTCAGGTCCCGGTTTGAGAAGAAACGAAACAAGCGTATGTGGGAATTTCACATCAAAAATATGACAGAAAAATAAATTTTGCGATTAAACATTTATGAAAAATGGTCTTAATTGATGATAGAGCTTAAATGCAATCTTGCGGGGATAAGAAATGGGTGCAAATCAAATCAAGTGGTTATGGAAAACTTTTCAGAAGGTTTAAAATAAATTATGATCATAATTTAAGCAAGTAACAAATAGATAAGAATCCATTTGTTCTGTGACACAAATCTTTTATATTTATGTATGAAGAAATGCAACAGTAGTGAAATTCTTTTAACACTTCTTATTGCAAAGTATTTCGGGGATTGGCAAGTATTCTTCTTAATGTTTCCATCATTTATTTAAACAAACTGATAAATATCAAGGCAATATCTACATGAAAATGCTTGAAGGTGAAAAATCATTTTTCAATGTCCTCCTCCCGATTGTCTCTTCTCAAACACATTAAAGAACACCTTATGCAAAATATAAATATAAATAAAAAATGATTAATTTCGCCTTTAATGCATTTATGTTGTTTTCTTTGGTGGAAAACGATTAATGCTCATAAGGTTCTGTTTATTCACTAAGTAATTGACTTTTGAAAGTTTCATTTCGCTTCATAATGATCCATTAGTGATGATGATGATGGTTTTTGGTGAAGGTTCAACAGTGTTGTATGCATAATATAAATTTATTTGACGATATTGGCCCGCAAAATTAAGAAAGAACAGCTATAATGAGTCACTTTCTGTAAGTGAACGTCAGATTTCTTGCTGCTGTAAATTTTCAGACCCTCTCGTTAAAGAAAAGTGAACAAATTAACAAAAGTTTAGTGCATTTACTGCCGGTATGATGTAGCAGCAATCAATTGGAAACGACTGTTGGTTGATGAAAGTTTTTTCATCTTAAAAGAACAGAGCGTATCTCTCTGCGGGTCAATAAAAATTTTTAGTGTGTGCTACATTGTTGACTCACGGTATCATCCAATGAATAATAAAAGAAGTTTTAAATGTTGAAGAGATAAAATCACATTCCATTTCGGTTAGATTTTGCACTTTTGATCTTAGTTTTTCAATCATTCAATACTTAAAGATTGTTTTACAATTTTTGAAAATATTTCGGACAAGTAAGTTACAAAGTAAAAGAAAAATTTTACTGCAGAAAGCCAAAAACATTTCTCACAAATTCAAAAATTAAATCTTTGGTAGTTGAGCCGAGTGATGGCTAAACAAAAATACAACAATCAAGTTACCTAAGCGTAGGTAACGGAAATGTTTTCTATAAATCTTCTTCTTATTCTTGATAGACTTAATCTTACGTTTCAAACTGTGGCTTTAAAAGGTTTCTTAAAATCATAAGATGATGCATTGGAAAAGGCGCTAGTTAAGAATAGAAAATAAGAGTCATGAAAGATAATAAACTACAAGGCGCTAAACTTTATAAAAACTGAACAGCTGTTGTGCAAAAAAAAAATTATAAGTGATATTCTTTCTTAAGCCAACCGTTTAATCTACCTCCAATTGACGTCCTACAAAAGCAAACGTAAAGTGAGATTGTGGTCTCTTAATTATACGCTTTTTAAATTATAAATGAATCCAAACACCTTTAGAACCGATTATTATAAAATCAAAGCTAATTTCTCATACAGTCAGTTCGATTGAGTTGAAATATATTTGCACCTTTTATTTTGTTGAAATAATTCAAAATAATCATCTGCATGGTGGTTCATTTCAACTTTTGCTGTTCTTCTTTTCATATGATCAACCATTTTTTAAATAACAATTATTAAAGGGCTTATATAATATATCGAATGGGTCTTATTATCGTAATGAATGAAAGAATAGGAAATCTCGAGACGTCTGGCGATTGCCCTTAAACATCACTAATCGACTTATACATACACTGCACTATTTGTTGGGAGATTTAATAATGAAAAATGAGTATTTTTCAGACTTTTGCACAACAAAGGCTCGTGATACTTAGCGAGCTATATTTATATTCAGTTGAAGCTACCGGCAATATTTAAAACACATTAAATAAAAATATATGTACAAAAGCGATAAGAAGTTTCTTGTGCGAAATAAAGCGAGAAATGGCTCAAAAACCATTGGTTTCTTCTTTATTCACAATCACTATAATATTGGTCGGCCCAGAATGTCTTGCAAAAAGAAAAATATTATTTACTTGACATTAAAAGTATTCATGGGAGTTTTTCATGACTTCAAATGAATTCATAAATTGATCAAAACCAACTACATGCATTTATATGATCGATATCGATGCCGGTTATTCCAATTATTTATTAATCTTATTTATTTTGAGAAACTCTTTTCATTTTCCTCAGATTATGTTTATATTTTCAGCTACATATGAATTTCTTTCTCATTGGATTATGAAAACAAAAACCTAAAAATTTAACAACATTCATTAATTTACATGTTTTGTTTTTATTATTCTAGGTTAAGGTGACTGTTATGGATAAAAACGACAACCCACCAACATTTCGTGACATGCCACAAAGCTACATGGTGTCAGAAGATTTGGGAACTGGCCAACTCGTTGCGACCATCAAAGCCTTCGATCCAGATACGATTGGGAAATTGGAATACTCTTTGATATCTGGTGATGATGGAAAGTTTCTTTTGGAAAAATATCAAGGAACATTGAAGCTTCGCGACACTCTCGATAGAGAAACCAAGGACTTGTACAAACTTTTAATTCGAGTTACTGATGGAGTTCAATTCACTGAAACAACAATTGCTATTCAGGTAAGCTGCTAATTGCTTTCAATAATCTTCAGTGACTTAAAGATTTTATTTTCATCAAAGGCATCGTTTATTCACAAAGTTTTATGTTAATCTATTAAAAAAACATTTATGTTTGTTTGTCTTGTTTCACATCAAAAAAAGAACAAATAATTCAACATGAAAACGTAATACGACACCAACTTCATCATTAAAAATTACTACGATGGAATTTTATGAACTGTGAATTTGTTAGGGGGAAATTTAATATTTTTTTCATGATGCTTGATTGCCCTTTAAGTTCGGAACAAAAGAAAGCACTTGAACTTTCAGAAATGAATGAGTTTTTTATGTGAAAGTCTTACGCAACTTCAATTCCCTATAAAATTGATCATGTAATCCTATTAACATTCAACAAAGTGATCATCATCTGATAATTCGAAAGCTCACGTTATTAAAATGTTACTAGCGAATCTTTTATCAATACAATCGACACGTTGAGATTTCAATTTTTTATCCCTAACAGAATCTAAAGATTTCATGACAGTGCTTTTATTTCTTCTCTCTTTTGATTTGCGATGCCCCACATAAATAACTCTGGCCATAATTTATGATTTTCTTTCATAAAGAATAGACTTTGAATCTTGCAATGGTCTCATGAAACAAAAAAAAATTCCACGAGAGAATATTAATAATAATATTAGAAGGAAAAAAAACTGATCAGTAATGATGGGAACTGATTGAGCGAGAGCGACCAAGTCAATCTGTAAGAATATGAAGAATAAGTTTCATAAACGAGCCTCGTTTTCCAATTTTGGCCATTCGATCATTTAGAGAATCATTATTATGGTCAGTTCACATCAATTCAATTGTGTTGTGAATCAAATGAAATGTAAAAGTAAACAGACTCGACTGATCTCATCGAGTGCTCTAAATTTTCTTCAACACCGTGAGTTCAGCATTTCTCAAATATTTAGTTTACGAAAAAAATAAATATTTGGATGTTAAGTTATGTTATGAAAACGGGAATAAAAGAATCGCATTACCAGTAGCGTAAAAATGCAAATCATTCGCCTTTTTTTCGAAGGGCCAATTGTGGCACATTTATCATCTCGTGTGAGTTTTTCTTACGCGTCTTGCATCGTTTCAATCTTCCACGAGCTGATTTTATTCTTTTTAACATGAGATAAAGTGAAACATCGCCTGGCGTCATTGCTTTTGAAGCCTTTGCGAACAAAATAAGAATTGATTCAACACTTTAAATAGCAATTCAGAATAAAGGAAAGAATTTAAATTGGAAAATAATGCTTTCAGTTGTTTTCCAAATGAGAATGACACAGTCGCATGGGTTTTGCATGAAATCGAAGTAAAATATTTTCAATTATCTTTTAATTAAAGAATAAAAGCAGATTACGCAGCAAAAAGAGTTAATTTAAATGGTGTAAAATTGAATTAAATTGATTCCCTTCCACTAATAGTATTAACAATCACAAAACATTGTCTGCTATTAAATCAATCGATTCATCCTATTAAAAGCACTCATCCGGAGACCGTAAACACCTGTTAAGCGATGCAATAGTTAAAAAAACATCATTTCCGATTCAATTTGCTGCTACTTACAAAGTCTCACAGATAAGAATCAACAGAAACGTTCTAAAACGAACTAACTAAAAGACATAAAATGATTGAATGAATTTTTAGTCATGCACTTTTGTTGTTTTCATTCATCTCACTTTGTCCTCTCGAAAAAAAAAAGGAAATTCAGCAAAGAAACGAGAAGACGTCAGTTTGGTAAAAAATATAAAATAAAAATTATCTTCGTGGTTAACGAAATGCCTAATATTAACAACATAAAATAACCGACTAAATTAAAAACACATAAAAATTTATTATGAGTTGTGCGAAAATTGCAGGTTGTTGAAGCAAAGCACTGACAAGATATTTTACTTTCCTAACTTTAAAAATTAATTAGTAAAAGTTTTAGCAAGAAATATTCATGAAAGCAATGATAGTTGTCAAATCAAATCGTTGTCTTTTCCAAATAATTGATTTTGATGATGACCTAAAGAATTATTTATTCGATTTTTGTTGTTTATATCCTCGAGTTCTTTCGCTTAACTTCTCTTCGCTCGTACATTTTTACTTTATTTCTTTTCTTCCCTTTTTATGGATTGCGCAGATTAAACAATCAATTTACATATGTTTTTCGTTTGTCATATATTCTTATTTCATCCACCGTGCAGCACACTGAGCACAAGATATACAAGAGATCTACATATACCCATTTGGTGTCATTTATTTCATTTTTTTTGTTGCCGTCTTCTTATTCATTCAGTCGTTTCGCTTTGAGAAATTGACTTCAATTTGATCAAAACTGGATGATTGGGAAAGAAACACTTCGATGGGAGAATGAGAAAGAAATAATAACAACAATAGTAGAAGTAAAAATGATGGAGTAGATTTGAATTTTTGTGAAGCATGTCGAGAGCAGGCAACAGATTTAGTTAAAGATAAAACAATCCAATGAGCAAGACAATTTTTCGGGAGAGACATGCCACTAGAAGCTAAGATTTGTTGTAAAACGTTTAATATATTGAAATATTAACTTCAATCTCCATTTCTTCTTATTTTATTGTATTCAACTTTGAACGCTACTTCAAGAAATTAATTTCTTTTGATATATCTTAAACTATTTATTTTTTTTAATCTCAATGATTGATATAATTTCGATACCATTGACAATTTATTTATGGAGTGGAATTCCTTTAATTTTTCAAAGTGAAAACCAACAAAATCCATCACAAAAATAGTGTTTCTCAAAATCCCTGTTTTTTGAAAAACAGGGATCAGGGATCGATGATTTTCTACTAGATATCGACTTTTTTTAAAAGAAAAAACTGCATTAACGTAATGTTCTGACATAGAAAACACTAAACAATCCATCTTTATAGGAAAAATTAAGCGATTTCTAGTAGAAATTTGACGATTTCTTTTTCCCTATTCCCTAAAAATAGGGATTTTGAGAAACACTACACAAAAAGATGATTCAAACTGTGCAATGAACGAACACGTTTTGAAGCTTGACAAACGAAATGAGATTAGTTGACTGTTTGATTTGTCTTCGTCTTTTTACATTGACATTCACGATTGGACTTAAATTTGTTGTAATAATTTAATAAACAGAAATAATTACCAATTCAAAATGTCCATGACGACTTTGAGACATTTCAATTCTTCTTCTTATGTTCCTTCTGGTTGACCTCATTTCTACAGATACTTAGATCGATAGAAAGAAATGCTAATTCCATTGAAGTAATAAAATAGAATGAAATTGATGGGCACGACAGTTGAATTTGAATAGAAAATGAAGCAAGAGAAATTAGTTCGCTCGTCTGTGTCATACACTCATCTATCGAAACGATCTTCGTACGAGAATTTGGTGAGAATGGCAAGAAGTTCTTTTTTTGATGTGCAGTTGACGATGATCTTACTTGGTAAAAGCAACAAATCATCTATGAAAATCGACGACACATGTACATGAATCATAAAAGATTTGCTTCGAATTACGAAAGGAAAAGAGAAAGAACAGTTGATAAAATCAATTAAAAATATATCAATCATTATTTTAATTAGAATTTTGAGTCGTAATCAAGATTCAATGAACTTCAATTCTTTTCTCTTCCCTTTCCTTTTTTTTTTTTGGGTCAGATCAGATGGTTAATCAAATGAATGAATTAAGAATTACAAAATTTCGTTTTGTTTAAATCTAAGTTGGCAATTTATTTTATTTCATGATTATTTTTGTTTACTTCTAGGTCACTGATACCAACGACAATCCGCCAACATTTTCAGAACCTGCATATTCATTTGACATTCCCGAAAACGCTCCACGTGGCTACCAAGTTGGACTCATATCTGCTAGTGATCCCGATCTTGGCGCCAACTCAATGCTAACTTATACAGTAATTTCCGATTGGGCGAACGATGTTTTCTCGTTAAATCCTCAAACTGGCGTGTTTACACTGACGGCGCGTTTGGATTATGAAGAGGTGAGTAAATCGTGCTTTGGAACATTCATACAATGGAATCTTTGCTTTTATTTATAAAATTTCTTTGAAGCCGACATTTATTCAATTGAAAGATTAGAACAAACGTCTTCTTAACAACGAAGCATGAGAAAAGAATAAAATAAAGTTTTTCTGCTTCTAAATACTTCTATGAAGTAGAAATGAAAAATTTTGAAGCAGATTCATCAAAGATTAAGTCGATCGAAAAGAAATAAGACAGAAAAAGAACCGATTTCTCTCAGAAAACTAACCACGGTCTTTTTCTCCTTACTTACAAGATTGAATTTTGACAGACACTTTAATAATTTCAAGATAACAAACTCTGAGTTTGATATGCTTGTGAGAAAAAGATTCTTTTATTTTCAACTTCGATTACGATCGTCTGATGATTTCTCTTTTTCAATACATTTTTGGAAGGATTTGAAAGTGTAGAAAATCACTTCTTACGTAGCTTCATTTAATTAACTTTTTCACAAATAATTTCTTTAATTAGATTGTCAGATGAAAAGAAGTAAGAAATTGTTTGTTTATTCGCAGGTACAACATTATATCTTAGTGGTGCAAGCGCAAGATAACGGACATCCAAGTCTGTCGAGCACACTGACAGTTTATTGCAATGTTATCGATCTTAACGATAATGCGCCTGTCTTTGATCCCATGAGCTACTCAAATGAAGTTTACGAGAATGTTCCGATTGGCACGGAGGTTGTAACAGTTAGCGCTACCGATACGGATTCAGGTGTGTACATAATTTGATTGCTTAATTTTCTCAGTTATACTCCGGCCATTAAAAGACGCTTGAAGATTAATCATTGTCTCAACGTTTTTTCTCACTCAGAGTTAATTTATCAGCTGCTTGAGAATCTCAGATTCCAACTTCTACTTTCCAGATTTCGCTTCATTTGTTAAAAATCGATTAGATGTGAATCTTTTATACATTTTCTTTCTTCACAAAATCTTTCATTCTTCCTATCTCGAAGTTTGTATAGATCAATTACCCAGCAAACAAACAAAATGAAAAATTGTACGAGGAACTGGAAGAATAAAACAAGCGGAGAAAAAAATAATTTCTAAATGAATTGTCACTAGATTTTTTACAACTCATCATGCTCATCACCACAAGAATTGTCTTTACATTGTCCTTACTCTCATCTACTTCTTTCTTCGATATTTCTTATACATAGTTTTATTTTCTACTGTTTATCACTATTCATTACCTTTAACGTATGATGGATTTTTATTCGTTTTCTTTTAATGAGCTTGGCTCTTCGATAGAGAACTGCAAAATTTTTCATGAATGAATCAGAGAATTCTTTTTCTTGCTTTTTATACGTGCAACATTTCATCTGGTTAACAGACGTGCTTTAACATAAAGGTTAAGAATAGGACAAGATTTTCCTTCTTTTTCCAATATAAACTCTAGTATTATCCGTGTTTTATTTTTCTTCTTTCGATCGAATGTTCTTCGACTTGATTATGCTTCGGCATCGACACAAGACATTACCTTTGAAATATTGACTCTAATTACTTGAAATTATTCTGCAAGTTGACTGTTTGAACGTGATAAATTCTCTACCTAGGCTTTACTTATAATTATTAAATGGTGTGATATGTATTTAACTCACATACAACTCTTTTTATTTCTCAATGCGCTTTGCAAGGCGCTTAGAATCTTCTTTTTCTTTTGCGATTATAAATTTGACAGTAAAGACGTTGATCATCAACATACTCTTATCTTTTAATTTATAACTGAAAACTGCACAAATCGTCGCTTCTTTCTCATCTGCTTTCAGAATCTATCCCGTTTAAGTTTCTTTTCCTTTCTTGCTTTTATGATTTATTTAAGAAACAAGGCGACAATGTTCGATGGTGAGAATTAAAAAAGTCCATTAGGAGTTGAGTGAATAATTGTTGGAGCATATTTAACTTGTCGCATGCTTTTCACGAGTTATTTTGATGTAAAGGCATCCTCATAGCCTTAAGTCTAACATTTTTCCTGTTTTAAAATCATTCACGTTGGTAGCGAATTAAAAACTTAACATGTAACAAGAAAAAAGCTGCAATTTTTTTTGTCTGTTTCACAACACCACAACTATCAAAACTCGAGAAAAATTCCATTAAATCTCAACATGTGGTCATTAATAAAGTCAAAGTAACAAAGTTCTTCGAGTTAGTGTTGTTTCAAATTAATATACGACAACTGCAAAGTTAAGAGTTGATCACAAGATATTTATCAGCGCGCGTGAGTGAGCGAAATGGAGACATAATTATCAATGATTGTTGCCACTGTATTGGTGTTGAGTGTTTGTTTAGAAGCATAAACAATAAAAGTTGCATATCTAATAATCGACATGCTGGAGAAAAATTACCGTGCACTGGAAATAATTCATATTATCTGCACAAAAGTCAGACGCTGGCAATACAGCTCAGACGTTTGGCTGGCCATAATAAATAAAAATTAAAAGTCGTGGCTACATTGTATTTAAATTGCTTTATTGCAAATTTGTTTTCGATCGATCGCAAAGGGTAATATCAAGCGAAACAGCGTGAGACTAGGAAGTGTTTATCTCAAGACTATGTGGTTGCTTCACATGTGCCATTAGTTTAAACACTCATAATCATTAACTGATCATTAAGAAAAGGAAGAATGTTATTTATTTTAGTGAGATAACTGATTTAAACAGACATCATCCAATTGCACAAAAAAGTTTAAAACTCTTTTCGTCTTTCGAAATATAAACGCGATAAATATTTTTATTTCGTTAATAATTTCATTTAATGCAGTGCTGATAAAGTTTTCGCCTTCAAAGGCGCTTATAACTCGCTGTTTCAGTTTCATTCTGTTTAATAACTTAATTAAAAATACGAAAAAAGTTTTTTTTTACTTCCAAGTTGCATTTTATTTTTATTAAAACGAAATATGCAAATTTTGTTTAAAATAAAACGCTTTTTTATTTCATCGCCGTCCAAAGTAGTCTGAAAACAACTTGAAATCTTTTATTTCGAAATCTCTTGAGATTTTTAAATTTTCTTACGCAATTTCTTTGTGTCTTGACTTCTAATTGCTTAATAGTGAAAAGAAACCTTCATGTTAAAAGCTAAAGCTACAAGTTCACCAATAATTTTGCTTCTAGCAGCTGTTTGTGAGTCTCTGGCATTCCGTTCGCTAGCATAAATAAATATCGGAGAATTCTGATCAATAGACAATTTAATGGCGTAAAAGAACCTTTCGGCTATTTGAATACAATCGAAAGCAATTGTTGAAAACGCAACAGTTAGAATCTATTTGTAACTGAGAGTAGCAAAAATGCCCTGTATTCAACACATTGAAACGACGTAATTTTATGCAAATCGAGAAGCTTGATTTGAATTCTCATTCACTAAGCCTTTTCTCTATCAGTAACTTTACTGAACTTCATAAAACATTTGCTAACAAACCTTTCTCCATCTCGACTTCTTACTTTGTCTTCATGAATTTATGTGGATTTACAGCTATAAATGTGTAGAAGTTTGTCTTCTTCAAGAAATTTTGTTTGTCTTCGTCGAGCATTTCTTAAGCGAAGAAAGAAATCTCTCGAAGATGATAAACTTGCGAAACAGTTGAGGCGCGTTTTATAGACTCTTGAACAACCTATAGCCACAAATCGGAACAATAAAAATTGTATAATAAATGGAAAGAAGAATATAAGATGAAATAAAATAGAAAAATATTAAATTCATTACCCGGGCCTCCTTTTGTGTCGTGGTCTTCGAATGATGTTGGAATGGGCTACATGAAAAGGAATTCAATATTTTTCCGAATGATTATCTCAAGTGCTTTCTTTGTGGGTAGAGATTGAGCGAAAATAAGTAAATGAAATAACAAATGAAAGCACACATCATCATAAAAATAAGCATCAGGTTGACCTAGAAGTGGTCACTATTTTAAGTGGTAAAGTTTCAAGTTAACAGAACAAAATTTGTACTGTAAAAATTTGTTGCTTTGGAGATGTTTAGAGAATCTTCATATACTAATAAGCGACAATGAGAAATGAATTTGTTGATACATATTTAAAACAATCTTTTAATGGTCATTTAAACATATATATTTTTGAACACATGAAAATTATTAATTTTTTATATCTTCCACAGGTGAAAATGGTCGTATTGAGTATAGCATAACCGCAAATGACGATGATGATTTCGAGATCGTACCAAATGGAACAATTTACACGAAGAGAATGTTAGACCGAGAAACCAAAAGTACTTACAACTTGGTGGTCACCGCACGTGATTGTGCAAAAGACATTGATAAACGTTTGTCATCGACTGTACAGGTAAAAATGATTTTATTGTCTCATACAAAATGTTAAATACCTTAATGATTTCTGAGAACATCTTCAGCTTTTAACTTGTAACAAATTAAGTAAAGTTGGGGTTCAATGATTTCAAAATGAGATAAATATTCACATTCTTTAAAGTTTCGAAAGAGTTCACGTGATTTTTAATGTTTACTTTTCTCTCCTTGGAAATTTTTTCAAACCCCACTTCATATATGAGAACACTTGTCATGGTTCAAAGTCGTCTCTTCGCCAACAATTAGAATTTTTTCTTTCATTTCTTCACTCTTAAACTCCACTTGACACTCGTGTTTGAATTGCGTTCCAACAAAATCACCATAAAATAAATATTTGTTTAATAAACATCAACAATGAAGTCGAACATTTCTAAATGTTTTAAATCTCATCAACTGAAAAGCTTTATTTTCTTACATACAATGTTATGTTCCGCTTCAAGACATTATTGTTAATTTTATTCTCAGGAATAGTATTACTAATATTAAGAGAAACTTAAGGATTCAAATAATTGATGAAAATTCCTTCATTTAGTAGTTTTATGACTTTTATAAAACAAACAACTGAAATTCAATTTGTTAACTTTTTATTGCAGGTTACAATCATTCTTAAAGATGTAAATGATGTGAAACCACAGTTCATAACACCAAATGAGACGAGTGTTAGTGAAAATATTCCCATCAACACTGTCATGATGGCTATCAAAGCCATTGATCGTGATGAAGGTCGCAACGGGTATATTGAGTACATGCTTGAGTCAAATTCGTCTTCAGTACCGTTCACATTGGGATCAGTCGATGGTTTGCTGCGGGTATCTGGTCGATTAGATCGCGAAACAAAACCAAATTACGAATTGATTGTAACAGCTCGTGATCGTGGTGAACCACCAAAATCAACGCAAACAAAAATTATTGTAAAAGTTCTCGATGAGAACGATAACAGCCCAGTTTTTGATCCAAAACATTACAGTGCGTCTGTTGCAGAAAATGCTAGCATTGGAGCGAGTGTTCTTCAGGTAAATTATATAAACACACACACGCTCAATTCGTTCCAGATACTTAATAAAGAAATTTAATTTTTAAAAAGGTTTCCGCAACTGACATCGATGAAGGTGCCAATGGTCGAGTTCGTTTCTCTATTGCAAGTGGTGACAACAATCGTGATTTTAGTATTAGCGAAGACTCTGGTGTTGTTCGCGTAGCAAAGAACCTTAATTACGAGCGTAAATCACGTTATGTGTTAATAGTTCGTGCTGAAGATTGTGCAAGTGATGTTGGAAGCGGCGAGACGCGCTTCGATACTGCTGAACTGATTATTTCTATTACTGACATCAATGATAATCAACCAACCTTCCTCGATTCTCCTTATCTTGCTTACGTTATGGAAAACGTTATTCCAAATGGAGGCTACGTTATCACTGTTAAAGCATATGATGCAGATACACCGCCATTTAACAATCAAGTCAGATATTTCCTTAAAGAAGGCGATGCTGATCTGTTCAGAATTAACGCGTCAACTGGAGAAATATCACTGCTTCGAGCACTCGATCGTGAACAACAAGCTGAATATACTTTGACATTAGTCGCTATGGACACGGGTGAGTCGATGTTTAATCCTCTTAGACATTAAACCAACAGATGAAATGAAAACTTTACAAGAATTGTTTGCAAACAAAGGTTTTAAGAATTTTGATTCCGGAATCAATTTAAGTCGAAATTTTTGTCAGATTTTTCAACCGTGTGGTTTGTTTTGCTGCTCAAAGAAGAGAAGATTTCACAGATTATTTCTTAACAATATGAAGCCTAAGGCAAGAAAAAAGAAGAAGTCGAAAGGGTCTACAATCTCTTAATATGTATCTTCATTGTTCATAGTAGCTTTCGTTATGTGAATTCAATTTAAATTCCTCTGCAATTCCTAGAGTTGCTTGACGATGCTCTAATCTATCCTTCTCTGTTTTGCATAAGTCACACACCAATAATAAAGCATCATTAAATTTGAATAAATAAATTGAACTTACGATGATTGCAGAACAATGCATGAAGTGAATTACTTATGCAAGCAAGAAAAATAAGAGTGAGAGAGAGAGGGAAAGAGAATGATGTCGATAAATTTTCGCACGTCGTTTATTTGCGTTGAACGCTTTCATTCATGGCCACTCCAACAATAATCATACAAATTTCTTACATGTTGTCTTTTCACCTTTAAATTCCAATACTTTTTTTCTAACGACAAAAATAATTTGTTTCCTTCGTCGATCGTGGTTTCACGTAATTAAAAAATCTTTTGTTGATCTTTCGTATTTCAATTCGCGATGTTCTGCGTCAATGTAGTAAATTTGAATACAAAGAATGAGAGACAAATAGGTAAGAAAGGAAAATAAATAAAGTTCGTTGTATAAATGCATCTGCACGAAATATTTAATGCGAACAAAACTTATACATTTCAAAACAAATCTTCAGGGTAACAAAACTATGTTCGTTGAATATTTGTCAAGAATTCATTTCCTTCTCGCAATCAATTTTAAATTTCAAAAACTTCTAAAAGATTTTTTTGTTGTATGCCGCTAGCGTTATGTGATGTCGTTTGGTTATTCATCCTTCTTTCACAGATTTGTTTGTTGTGAACCTAAAGAAGAAGTAAAGAATTATTTAAAAGCTTCAGTTGTGAAAATGATTTGTGTGAAATGTTCAAATTAGAACATCAAAGACAATAAATTCTGCAGAAACCGTGAATTTTATTTATCATAAAGTGTTTCTTATATTTATGACATAGACAGAAATCCCACGATCAAAACTAAAGAAAATATTGATGCAATTAAGGAAAACTATTTCGTTTTCATGTCATTTGTCGATTCTTTGAAGAGTGCACACGATGAATGTAATGACAGGTTCGTCGCCTACTCTCATGTTTCAATCTTTTGATTTTTTTCAATTTTTCTATTTCGATTGCTGGCTTTCCCTTGGCAACTTTCATTTTATTATTTTTTCTTATTAAGACAAATTTTCCTTATAAAAGCATTGCAATCTTTCAAATCGTTTAGAATTAAGTTGTTGTAAGTTAAGTGCTCATAATTACGAGTACGTTTAGACAAAGAAAGAGATATAAAGAGAAAAGCGATTATATTCTCATCTAAACGGCATCGCGTCTTTTACGCCTAATAAATCGATTGGCAATCGCTAAAAAATGAAGTTTAATTTTTCAAATGAATTATTGTTTGGCTCTTGTTGCTATAGCAAAAAAAGGCGCGCAATAAATTTATCGATAGTACAATTGCATGAGACAGTAAAACAAATAACTAAACATCTACGAGTGAGTCGTCGAATGTGCCTTTCGTTGTGGAATGTTAGTTGCAAAATATGTATAATGATTGAGCGATCTTTTAAGATTAATGACGTTTTCATTTTAAAGCCAACATTTATTCTTATGAACAACAAATATTGTTTGGATAGTCATAAGAATTTGCAGAGTGTGACTGTAATCGGAGAAATAATAATTTATTTAAAATAAGTAGCGATAAGAAATTTTAATGGTTAGCTATTGAATAGATTTGGTTTCATAGAGTTGGCTTTTTATTACTCTTCTTATATTATAAAAAATTCAAGTCAATTAATAATAAAAGTCGCACGTTTCCAAGGAAGATAAAGCTTGGTGATGCAAGACAACAGTTAAAACAACTATATTTACTTCACAGCAGGGGAGATATTTGTACGCATAATTGAAAAGGCATTGATTGAAATGGAAGTGCATAATTAATTAACTTTTTTTGTGGTTTTACTCAGATCTCCTTTCTTCGAGTGATAATGATCAACGGAATTACTTTATTAATGTATATTTATCTTACTATTTATTCTTCGTTTCTTTCCCCTCATCACAGTGTCAAGATAGAATTTATCTTTCGTCCACAATTAAATTAAAACGAGAAAAGAAGAAAAACAAAAACAAAACTTAACGTAACATTGCAAATGTGACTCTGAAGATCGCTACGAATGCGACTTGGACGATCAGGTTTTACAACTCTTGATGAAAACAAAAACAATTAAAATTTTCACACCAATCTCTTTCCAATGCTTATAATCAGTCATCGAATAGGCTCGCGCAGCGAGTTACGCAAAATCGTATTTCTCTTTTAAATACTTTTAACACTTCCACTGGATAACAATTAATTAATATCATTCATGTTGGTGTTTGAATAATTTGCTCGTCTGCAAACACGTATTCCTCAAGTCACCTTTAATTAAAAATAATTGAATCTTTTTCGTATTCGGTTTCTTGTTTCACAAGCAAAAAAGAAAAAACCACTTGCCTAGTCCACAAATGGAAGGTTTTTGTTTAAGTATTTGATCAGCTTAACGCCCACGCATTCTACCTATGCTTGATTATTTCTACGATTTCAGAACTCACATATTTTTGCTTTTGCGATTTTTATTGCATGCATTGAAGTTTTATTTTCTTGCTTAAGTTTATGATGCAAGTCAGCAAACAAGCACTTTGTCGAAGTAAAGCTACATGTAGGATCGAAATATTCCTGTCTGACATTATTTCCAATGCCTTTGAGATAGGAATAAATAGTTTCGACAACTTTTATTTAATTCTCAATTCATTTTAAAGAATTCCAAAAATGTTAATCATCATTAATTATTGCTGGCTAGTCAGCGATTCAATTGTGAATGAAAGAAATAATATTTTATGGTATTTTCATAGAAAAACTTCTGTCATTGCACGTGGTAAGGTTTCAAATGATTGCCGGAGAAGCTTATGAATTGAGAATCATAACAATCAAGAATTTAATGCTGCTTCATGAACGACCCCCTCGAGGATTACAGTTAAATCCACCTCACTCTATTCTGTCTCTGTAGAAGTTTTTAAAACAGAAAACAATATTAAATAATGTCTTATGGAGAATGAACTCAAGTGAAAATTAAATTGCAATCAAAGACGATTTCTTGTAATGCAGTTGGTGTAATTGTCGATCGTGTAAATTTATGTTTTTCCAGAATTAATTCTTAGCTCAAACAGTTCTTCTGATTTTATTTTTATATCATTCGGATGAAAATTACTTCTTTAAGAAGAGAAGGAAGAAAATTTATTAAATGGCCCTCCATAAATTCAAAAGTTTTTTCCTGTTGCATTGCTGTTTTGTGATGATATCTATGTATCATTCCATTGCATTTTGCAATATTTCTCACTTCTTTTTACAATTATTAATTTATATGGACTTATAAGTAGAGTGCGATTAAACCTTTTGGAATAATTTTATAGCTTAACCTCGAGACGAAATTATCGTCAATTTAGTGCTGCAACTGAAATGAATTTAATTCAATTGGTCGACGATCAATCTGACTCGTTTTTAGTCTTTATTGTTTGTGACTTAATGCATACATCTCGAAACCAACCACTTTTTCTCTGATCTTTTCACATAAATCACAAACGAAGTTTTTTTCTCTTTTAAAACATAAAATCTGTTTCTTTATTTGTAGGATAGAGAAAGAGAATTTCTTTTTAATTATAGCTCGTAGGCATGACTTCATATGACGTTGATTACAAGCTTAAAGAAAAGTAAAAAAATATTTCGCCATAAACATAAGCTTGAATGAGTGGTTCTGTCATACGCTTCATGTTTGAATGTTGGGCGTTGGGCAGTTGCTTGTTTTTATTGCAATGGATTATAATTTTATTCATATGAGTATCCATTCACTTAAAGCATAGATTGGCATATTAGCATAACTCTGAGTTCTTCCGTAAATCAGTTGGATTAGTAAAAGTCTAAAAGCTTGAAGATTTTTCATTAAAAGAACTTTGTTCTTTAGATGTGGTAACATGACTTGAAAGATTGCTTTGCTTATCTTAGTTGGTGGTTATAATTAAAGTGTTGGTTTAAAGTTATTGCAAAAAGAAGAAAAAAATTTCAGCGGTTTCATCATGTGCAGTAAAAAGAAAAATTTTCTTTTTAAAATCATTAGGAAAATTCTACCAACACATTTATGTTATTTCATGATGCATCTGATCATCCTTTTGATTCTCGAAGATTCAACTACCGAACATTATTCGTTATCACACTCGGCCCCAACTTGTTTCTTCTTTCGTTTGTATCGATTTCGAAAGAATCGGTCGTTCTTTTGCTGCCAGTAGCCCTCGAGGTAATCAGCACAATGCACAAAGAAACAACAAGAATATGTGAGATCGAGATAAGTCTCTGTTATGTTTCGTGGTAGAAGCAAATGTTTGACCATTAACTGGAGAAAAAAAGTCGAGAGGATTTGATAATTCTTTACGATGCCTTCGTCCTACCGCGCGACATTATCGGAACCAAATCAGTTTGATGTTCCATAAACGTTTATCCATTGACAATAATGAATCGTAATTATAATCAAAAAGCCGATTTAAGTGCGCAATCCTTCCACCCAACTGATAAATTGTTTATTGTTGTACATTAATAATCACTAAGAATTTTCCAATGAAGTCCATTTGAAACATTCAAAACCAACTATTAAAGGTGCTTCACTTCGCTCCGCCCGTCGCCGTTTCAATTTCTGATGAATTTTCTTATTGTTGCACAAATGAAATTATGCACTTTGCATGCATGTAACGCATACAGAACGCAGTAAGAAATCCAGCCTAAAACGTTCGAGGGCATTTCCATTGTGTTTCCCATCTGATCGTGAAACGTAACAAAACGTGTATTGTATGCAGTGGAAATGAAATTATTGGAAATTCACTTGCTGCTCATGGCAAAATCTTTGGCTAAAACATAAAATGAACTTGTACATTTCTATTTATTTATATTAATGAGCGTCAGCCGTTTCATTCCATTCATAGTTAAGTAAGTAGCGAGTGACCAGTTCATTAATAGATATAAAATCCTCATTTAATTTGCTGTTTTATGATTGATGATTGATTTAAGAATTTAATAAATAATTTAAAGCTAAGCTATACTATGAAGAAATAGAACGCTGTTTAGTAAACGATGTGAATGCAATCATTTGAATTGTTGCTTCTAGGCTTATTACTGGTCATCTGAAGCTATTAATGAACGTTCGAACGTTCGATGAGATTGATGCTGACCATTTTTTGTTCAGTTTCTTAAATAAAAAATTCTCTCCCTGCAATCATTCGTTATTTTGAAGTTTAGCTTAAGGTAATGTGTAAAATATCGAGTCATGATCGAATGATTAAGAAAACAGCAAGACTTGCATTTCTATGACGTGAAGAATTTCATTTCATTTTTCGATCAATATCAAAGTACTCGTTTGATGTTCCTTAATTTCAATGCACATTCAGTTTCGCAAGAAGACGTTACATCACATAAAAATCTCATCATCAGAAAGCTTTTGGCGACCAATCAGAAATTTCCTTTCTGTTGTTGGTTCGTTGCCAGTAGCGAAGAAAAGCGGTGCAAGCAAGACACAAACTTTGTACTGCATAAACATAATTAAAAATTAAATGTGATGGATAGCAATTATTTGATCTTGAGAACGTGAGAATGTGTGTGTGTATTAATGTAAGGGAAACTTCATTCTTTTATCGTACATTTGCATCGTTACGTGAGTTGCATAGTGAAGAAGAAAATAGAAATCAAGAAGAAGATTACAAAATGGCTGAGAGAGAACAACAAAATTATTATTGTTCTCGTTACAATCGTTACCCTCCTGCAATATCACACATTCTTCACATTCCACCCACCAAAACCGAATGACAATTTTTATCAGTGACATTTATGCATTTTTGTGCTGGTGCTCTCGATGTCGTACCACAAAAAAAGCATAAATTTGTTTTTTATGTCGCTTTCGACTGTCGTCATTGTTTGCATTTCACTTTGTTGTCTTTAAGAAGAAATAAAATTGTGAATGAAATCATTCCAAATATATAAATTGACCCAGACTTGAGTAGGTACTTTTGTTTTGCTTATCGATTTCATTTCTTTACCTCCCTCGCCAGAAATCCATTGATTCAGATATTTACATGCTTCATGTTAATATGCACTAATAAGTTTTCAATTAACAATTCTCCATTTCAGAGTTTTAACATAAAAATCTTTTTATTTTTTTGTCTCCAACAATCTTTTTAACCGAATGTGAACCACAAATTCGTGATTTTTCTTCTTCAATCTCATTCTTTTCTCGTCATTTTGTTACTCAATCGCCCTGGTGCCCGTTTTCATGGTTTTGCCATTCTTATTATTGATTTTTTTCTTTAAGACGCATCTCTTCGATTTGCTATCGACTTGTTTGCTGTTGTCATTCCTCTATTGTGGCAGATTTAATTGAATGGAGATTCAGGCCAAAAAAAAATAAAGCGGAAAATAAAAAAGATTTAAAAAAGAGAAACATAAACAACGCGGAACTATTGATGACAATATGAATCATGAAAATTATTCAATATGACTACTAATTCAATAACGTAACTTTCCATAGTAGAAATGGAAATGCAAAACATTTTGCATGATATGACAGTTAATTTGAGATGATAGATGTTAATAGAGAGTGAAACAGAAGGTAGAGTAAAGCATGACATCAAGTAGATTCTGTGTTATGTACGTATGCTTATGTCCCCCAACGGGACAGCAAAGTGCCAATCTGATTTGCAATATAACATGATACAATTCATGCTACATTTTTATTTATTCTACAAGAACATGAAGTCACTCGAAACCTACTCTTGTATCACTTCAGCTTACGAAACGTTTTGTAATTATTCAATCTTTACGTGTAGAACATTTGTAATAAGAAAAGATCGAAACATATCAACAAATAATAATGTCGAACGGCAGCATAGTGAAAAAAAACGTAACAGCTTCTTAAATGAACATAAAAAACATGAAATCATTCAGAAATTCCTTTTCTTTCTCTCTTTTTGTTCTTCGAAGGTTTATCAATAACGCTAGCCGTCGATTGTTGTTTTTGTTGCTACTTTTCTCAAGTTGCGTTAGCTATTCAGTAATGTACACAGCAGCTGATGATAAAATGTGATAAATCAGCAGAATTTTATGGGCTTCATTATTTTGGTCACTAACAGTGAAGAGATGCAAAGATGTGACGTTTAGATATAAGGAAATTTATTAATATTCTACTTGAGTTAATGAGAATATTGCATAGCAAATTGTGGTGTCGTCTGTTTACAATGTAGTCGTCAAATGCTGTCAACATACATATTTTCATTCTTAAACATTGTTTCCTAGCAAAAGTCAATTTTTTCCATTATTCCTTAATACCTTTTTTGTTTCAAACTGATGTGTGTGGAATTGGAATTGGAAAAAAATGTTCATAATGAAACAATCTCTGCAATGTTAAAGCAAGAAAGATCAAAACTTAAAAAAGCTATTAAGTAAGATGACGAAAACAACGACGACGACTATTGAGAGTCTAGGAGAAAATAAATGTCCACTACTTAGATTTATGGACTTGACTCTGTTCTTTCACTCTTTGATTTTGCATTCATTTTCAATGTCATTTTATGGTGCTCATATGTATTAAGAATATTTCTTCTTTTAATGCTTCTCGCCATACCTATAACTTCCCCTTCCTAATGAAGATGACAGTGAAACGAACAGTCGAAGATTTGCATGCGAAATTCATTTTTATCGCTTTGCTATTGCGTTGAAGTGTAGCATATCCTAAATGAGTCACTGTAAAAAGCTTCATTTCGCAATTGTCAATTAGTGAGCTAATAGAAATTCTATGCCAATTCATGGATCTCAAAGAATTGCGTTCAAGGAAAAAGTATATACAAAGCGATGCTCTAGAATAACTTGCAGCCAATATTCTTAACCAGCTTCATATTTCTGCAAATCTCGATGAGAAACAGAAAAGCGAAAATATAAAAGTTTTATTTAATAATATTTATTTATCACAATCATATAATCGCTTTTATATTTCTCATGAATTTAAGCTCACGTTGCTTCATAAGACTGTTAGTAAAGCGAGAAGGGATAATAGCAAGCATTAATGGGCCTTGAAGCTAATATCACAATCGTTGAGTCCCCGAAAAAAATGAAAGAAAAAAGAAAGAAACATTCGTCGTATCATGGTGCGAAATATCATTGCATTGTTTGGTTCATTTGTGTGTCTGTTCTACAAAAGAAAACCTCGCTGCGGATTCCAATGCCACATCGAATGCGATTTCTTATTAATATTATTATTGTTGTTATGAAATAATTCTTCTTTGAATCATTTTTAACAGTAAGAAAGTGTAAAGTTTAAATTGGTAGCGCAATGTAAACGTTAAAGACGAGCAATCTCTACTGCATTCTTTGCAAGATAAAATACAAAGTTCAATTTGGGTTCACATAATAAATTGAAGTTTACTACTCGATTAATCTTGGCATACTTTAGAAAATATTATAGAAAAATGTATGCTAGTAATTCCTTTTATGGTCATGTAACACTCGATGAATCCAGAATCGTAAAATTTTCTTGCGATTTGCTTTGGTTGGAGAAATTGCGAAAAAAAAACTTTCTGTTATTAACTTGATCGATCCTTTCATGAATGATTACATTGTGAATCACACAAAACAAATGTAACGCTTCACTTTCTTTATAAAAACGTAGTTTTGAACAGAGAACACATAAAAATAATTTATAATCTTACTTAATCGCAAATTTTAGATTTTTATCATCCAGTTTGCTTCTGTAAAAGTGTTTATTCTTTAAAACTTGCTACAATGAACTTTTAAGTATTGGAAAAAGAGGAGAATTTATCACTTCCATCGCTAAACCAAAACAGCAACATAAATCGTTAGATTCTAAGTTTATTTGAAGCAAACGATAATAAATAAAAGCGTGAGAACTTGAGTTCAAGTGAGAGAAATAGAAAGAACGGAAATAAAAATGGCCGCGACCTAATCACGTGCCAAACTTTGTTGGCATTCAACTTGGAAACTGTTAGTGAGTTAAGAAAAATTTTGTTCAATTCATGTTCAACAATTGAAAAGTGTGACATTTCATGCGATCATTGTGAAACAAATAATTAATTTTCCCATAATTAGGATCGATTCAATGTCCATTTGTTGAAGAGATAACGGACGAAGCTAGAAAACAAAACGATTTGCACGACCGAATCTCTTTTCATTGTAATGAAATTGCCCTTTAGCTTCAACTTAAAATAACTGAGCTTTTTCTTCTTTCGTTATCTTTGAAAGTTTGCTTCTATTTGCTTTAATTATTTTTTCTTCTTTTGGGTTAATTAGATATGCGAAAGAGAATAGCAAATGGTGTAACTTTTTCTTATTGAGATTAATTAGACGATGGAAAAATCACAAGTACATAATTATAAGTTGCGTTCATTCTTCTCAGAGCATCGTTTTAAAGAGTTAAAAAGATAAATTAACAAGGTGAATTTGTTTTCTTAGTTTAATCAATGAACATAGATAGTTGCAGACTTCAGAATTTATAGTCAATATCGATGAGAATGTTCTGATCATATTGAATGGTTTGAGGGAAAAATGATAAAGGAAAAATAAATAAAAAGAACTTTTGGCTATTAAGAAATGTCTAATGATTCTTTCTGCACAAATTTTGTTCGCTTTATGAGATTGATTCAACATTTCTTTTCCTTTTCATTCGTTGTTTTGCCTGAAACATTTATTGTACTTGCTGCTGCCCTTGAAAACAGAATAAAATTTAAAATATAAAAAATGTATGTTTAAAAGTCGTGACGGTTTGACGTCACGAGATTTTCCTAAAGGCTTTTTATGTATGAAGCACTTCGATAGTGCAATCGAGAAATAAAAAAGACAAATCTTAAGAAAGTAGAAAGAAGGAACCTTGCCTGTTGCGATGAAAAACAAAAAGAATATTTATCAAGTTAAGAAGAGGAAAAACATCAAAAGCAATTTAAAATTACTTAAACTAGTTTGAGAATCTCCACTTTTATTGCAAAAGAAAGAAAAAATAAATGCTTTGTGGCAACAATGTTGCTTACAAACATCACAACTTAACTCAAGTTGTTGATTAAATGTAATTATGTCTGTTTAGTTCCTTTATAAATATTTTACTTCATCGCTGCCGTTCTTTTAAATGCATTTTTAACTCAAAACAACATTCGAAGTATTTTCTTTTCTTCCCCTTTTCAATCGCGACATTTCCAGAGTGGCAATTAACTTCTCATGATGAAGGTTAAACAAATATTTAAGATAGTTTTCATCTAAATAAAATCATCCAGCAACAATAAAAACATAAACGATTTTAAATATGAAATCGGTTAAATGTCATTGCGGGTCAACTTCAAGTATTGCTTTAAGCATCGAATAGAGCTGAGCAACATAATAAGCTGGCAATAAATAATAATAAAACATATCGATTTACAGAAGGAAAAGCAAAGAAAACATTTTTCAATTGTTTAAAATAAATATTATTAGATTTAATTTCTTCTTAGCTTGATAAAACATTTTTCTTCGTGTTTTCTTTTTCATTTATAATTTTTTATGGCTTAAAATCGAAGAAAGGAAATGAAATTGAACGTAAGGAAAAGAGCTCTCAATTGAAGTTTATTTATTTCTTAAATTTGAGTTAATGGAAATAGTTTTGCCTCTCATAGTAACAGTCATCGTTTGTTGCTGTCTTGTTCTGAAGTCAAAGAATTTACCAGCTGGATATTTTAAAGATTCCATCGTTCATTAAATATTACTTAAAGTGGGAGATGTAAGCATGTAAATATTTTTTCATCATAAAACTTGTGGTCAAATAATTTACAATTTGTTATCAGAAACTTCAAGTTATTCGAAAAATGATTTTCTCTTTATAACAAGGAGAAAAATATTTTAATCATTCCCATGGAATATTCCTAAGGTCATTAAAGATTCAAACATAAAATGACCCGCATTTGGAATCAGATTTCTTCACAATACCTTTTAGTCTATTTGCGAGTTTGCGATTGGAATAGAAAATAAGCAGCACAAACAATGATATCGACAAAGCTTGATTTCCAATAATTTACTCACTTGGTGGAATATTCATTGAATTCTTCAAATGATCCAATAAATTCCAAAATACCACTAGCAAGTAAATAGAGTTACCAAGGCAGAAAAAATAAAGTAATAAAAATAAATATTCACGTTGCGAGATGAAAGGGGAAGAAAAATAAAGTGACAGAGAACAGTAACATATCATTGAACTTCTCTTTTTTTTATTTACCAATCTCATTTACGTCAATTTACTTCCAATGACAAAATTTCAAAACCAAACGCTTTCTCTTTAATTGAAGTTTAATATTGTCACATCATCAATTCGATAGAATTTATGGTTCCTTTCCAATTCAATGGGAAAAGTTACGATTCCAAAACAACTCCCGTTACATCCTGAGACTCAATCCAATGCACATTGTGAAAAATAAAAGTTTATTTTATGATATTTTATGTTTTTTGACAATTGTTTCGTGCAACATTTATCACATTGTGTTTGCTTTCCTTCTCAACTCTCGTCCCATTTCATTTAAGACATGTGCTTTCTTTCATGAGAGTGCCAATGCCAACGAATTTGATTTAAGCTAGAAAATTGAAAAATAATTTATTTTCCATAGAAGTCAATAAATTTTAAGAGAATATCTAAATGGGTTTCTTGCTGTTGGTTTTATGTTGTCTTATTTTTCCCTCCTTTAAGTCATCGTTTCAAACTGTGCTTTCAATTCTCTTCAAAACTCAATAGAAATATTTCACGGAGTGTCTTAGAATTTATAGACTTCTTAAAGAAAATTTATATTAGCTCGAAAAGCAAAAGCAGCAGAAGAAGAGAAGTTGTTATGCTATTTCAATAAGTTTTTGATGTTTCTGCGAAAACTTTTAACTACAAAACATGTCCATCGATTATGGTCAAGCAGAGAGAGAAAGATTGAAAGAAGAATGAAAATTAACTGCATCTCAAGAATGTTAAGTGCACATTTTTATGACATCACTGTCAGACACTGCCAAAGAACGGAGCTAAAGCATTAAAATGCGAAAGAATGGAGAACAAATAGTCAAAGTCTAGAGCAATAATAATAAAATAAATATTATAAAGTATAAATATTTTCAAGCAGAACTTCGATATTTTTTTCTCCTAAATGATGACAACTTAAACACACAAAAGCAGCTCAGCTTAACTTTGCTATGTCAATGCTTGGATGGGTAATGAAGTGAAATGAAAGAAAGAAGAATGAAATGAAAAAGTATAGAAAAATGAACAATTAAAGGAATCGCATTCAATTATTGTTTTACAAACTATTTAGATGTCGAAATGTAGAGACGAGAAGTTTGGTTTCGCTTCTCTTAGATATTTTTTTTTATTTATTGAACTTTAAAGTTACATCATTTCAAGACAGAGTGCTGTTGGAGAAATGTCGCAAATGTTAATATTTTCCATTTATACACATTTTTTTTCTAATGAATGCACGTTGTTTGTTCACAGGTTCACCACCCTTAACAGGAACTGGCACGGTACGCGTCATTGTTCAAGACATCAACGACCACAGTCCGGAATTTGAACGCCAATCATATCGAGCAACGGTTTCTGAAAATCTGCCGGCAGGTACCAAAGTACTATCGCCTATTGCGCACGACAAAGATACCGGTCTTAATGCAAAAATACGCTTCAGCTTGTTGGGAGAGAAGATGGAAAGGTTCAACGTGGATGAAAACACTGGAGAAATTAAAACAGCTGTGACTTTAAATCGAGAAGATACACCTTCATATCATTTTACATTGATGGCTCAAGATTCGTCAGCTACCGAGCCAAGAGCGACAGCTGTTAACTTCACAGTCATTGTTCTTGATATCAATGATAATTCACCAACATTTGAGAACTCTGCAATCACTGTCAGTATTCCAGATCGAATTAAGACGGGACAATTTGTATACGGTGCAAAAGCGATTGATCTCGACGATGGAATAAACAGTAAAATTGTTTATTCGATAAGCGGAAAAGATGCAAATAAGTTTAATATCAATTTGAACACGGGAGTCATTAAATCAGCAGAAGAATTTTCACTCAATGGTCAAGGCACAGACAAAATCTTCAACATCATAATTCAAGCTGTTGATCAAGGACATGAACCAAAATCAGCGAAATGTGAATTGACTGTGGTTCTTAGACCAGCACATTTATTCCCAACATTCTCATACATGTCAGAAACGCAATTCATTTTATCAGAAGACGTTGCTGAGAATAAACTCGTGACAAAAATTCAAGCGACATCACCGAAGAAAGGTCCAATTGGAACAATCAAATATTCAATTGCTGGTGGTAACATTCGTGATGCTCTTAAAATTGATTCATCGACTGGTGATGTCACTGTTGGTCATGGAAGACTTGACTTTGAAACATCACCGCAATATGAAATTTGGGTTGAAGCATCAGATTCGGATCGACCAAGTCTACGTAGCGTAATGAAGCTTTTGATTAATGTAACTGATGCTAATGACAATGCACCGATAATGGAGAAAATGTTGTATAATGCTGAAGTAATGGAAGAAGAACCACCGCCTCAAATGGTCGCTCGTGTTCGTGCAACTGATGCTGATTCCGATGAAAATGGACAAGTTTCGTATCGTTTGGTAAATGATTTCGAAAGTGCTTTTGAAATTGACTCCGATACGGGTGAAATCTTCACCAGCATGAGACTTGATCGTGAAGATATTGCAAGCTATGAATTGACAGTTGAAGCTGTTGATCAAGGAATGCCACAAATGACAGGAAGTGCAACAGTTCTAATCACTGTTCTTGATAAGAATGATAATCCTCCAAGATTTACAAGACTCTTCAGTGTCAACGTTACAGAAAACGCAGAGATTGGAGTGTTTGTAATCAAAGTGACTTCATCAGATCTTGACATTAAGGAAAATGCTAATGCCACTTACAACTTCACAGAAAATCCTGGCAATAAATTTGCAATTGATCCCATCACTGGTAATGTGACAGTCATTGGACGATTAGATCGTGAACAACAAGATGAATATATTCTTAAAGTTGTAGCTGTTGATGGAGCGTGGAGACAAGAAACTCCTTTGACGATTACGATCCAAGATCAAAACGATAACGCTCCAGAGTTTGAACACAGTTATTACAGCTTCAATCTTCCTGAATTGCAACGAAACATCGCATTTGTTGGACAAGTCACAGCAACAGACCGAGACAAGCAAGGTCCAAATTCTGTCATTTCTTATTCACTGCAACAACCAAACGATTTATTCACAATCGACCCAGCAACTGGTGAAATTTTCAGCAAACGAACGATCCATTATCGACACTCACAACTTGAAGCATCGCCTGAAAATATGTACGCATTAACTGTTCTCGCAACAGACAATGGAAAACCACCGATGTACTCTGAATGTTTGGTGAACATCAACATTGTCGATGCCAACAATAATCCTCCGAAATTTGAGAAACGCGAATATCTTTCACCTGTTCCAGAAGGTGCTGAAACTGGTCAGAAAGTCATGCAAGTTCAGGCTAAAGACGTTTTAGACTTTGGTGTAAATGCTGAGATTGATTACATTGTGACAGGTGGTAATGGAAGCAGTAATTTTGTCATCAGTAAGAGTGATGGTTGGGTAAGCGTTAACAAGCCATTAAAAGTCGGACCTGGAGCTATTTATCAGTTGGCCATTCGTGCTGTCGATCGTGGTGTTCCACCTCAATATGATGACGTCACAGCAACAATTGTCGTAGCTGGTGAAAATCGATTCTCGCCTGTTTTTACTGCTTTGAGCTATCAAGTGATTGTGCCTGAGAATGAACCAATTGGGTCAACGATTCTTGTCGTGTCGGCATCTGACAATGATGATGGTCCCAATGGAATGGTTCGTTATTCAATATCTGGCGGTAATGAACGTAAAGAGTTTGCAGTTGATCCACTTTCTGGAACTGTCACCATTCTCCAATCTCTTGATTACGATGTCATTCAGGAGTATCATCTCAATATCACCGCTGAAGATCTTGGATTTAAGCCAAGAAATGCTGTTGCAATGCTTCGTGTTACATTAACAGACATCAACGATAATCAACCAACCTTCAATCAAAGTGAATATCACGCATATTTGTCGGAGAACTCACCAGCAAAAACGTTTGTTTATAAAGCTCATGCAACTGACAAAGATTCACCAAAGAATTCAATCATTCAATATGCAATCACTGCCGGTAGTGGCAAAGATTTCTTTACAATTGACAGCAATACTGGCACAATAACATCGAGAATTAGTTTCGATTATGAAGAGCAAAATAAATATCAAATTGTTGTGAAAGCTTCAAATCCTGATTCGCCAATGTCGAGTGCCACTAAAATAACAATTCACATCACTGGCGTCAATGAATTTTATCCTCGATTCATTCAACCAGTTTTTCATTTTGATGTGTCTGAGTCAGCTGAAGTGGGCACAAGTGTGGGATTAATTCAAGCAACTGACAAGGATTCTGGTGAAGATGGTAAAGTTTATTACCTTCTAGTGGGCTCAAGTAACGACAAAGGTTTTAGCATAAATGCTGAAAGCGGCGTTATGTTTGTATCACGCAATCTCGATCGAGAAACGCAATCGCGTGTTGTTTTGACTGTTATGGCGAAAAATTTTGGTGGAATTCGTGGAAATGACACCGATGAAGCTCAAGTTATAATTTCAATTCAAGATGGTAACGATCCACCCGAATTTCTTATGCCTTCATATGAAGCAGTTGTATCAGAAGGTTCAACGGTTGGTGCGAAAGTTGTATCGGTTAAAGCTGTTGACAAAGATGTTCGACCACAAAATAATCAATTTGGATATTCAATTATTGGTGGCAATGTCGATCAAGCTTTTAAAATCGATCCACAAACGGGACAAATTGAAACATCAAGGAAGTTAGATCGTGAAAAAACTTCAGCTTACTCGTTGATTATCGGTGCCATCGATACCGGAATTCCACCTCAAACTGGAACAACAGCTGTTAAAATCACAATCAGTGACATCAATGACAATGGACCAACATTTGAAGCCAGTAACTTGATTGGATTTGTGTCGGAAAATGAAGCACCAGGCACAAGTATTATGACACTTTCAGCTACTGATCCTGACCTTCCACCAAATGGTGCACCTTTCACTTATTACTTGATTGGTGGAAAGCACAAAGCTTTGGTAAGCATCGAGAAACATTCTGGTCTGATGAAGACAACGAGATCAATTGACCGAGAAGCAACACCACAACTTGAAGTGATGATTGAAGTTGAAGACAATGGCAAACCAAAAATGCGATCGCAACACAAAATTACAATAAACGTTTTGGATCAAAATGACAGTCCATCGTTGCCTCGAGTAGCGCATGTTTTGATTTATGCTTTTAATGGTAAAATTCCTAATGGAAAAGTTGCAGATGTTCATCCTAACGATCCTGACACGACTGGAGATTATAAATGCAAGATTATAAATTCACCAGCGAAAAGTGGATCTTTGACTATTGTCGATGGTTGCAATCTTCAAACAACATCAAGAACGAAGCCGCAAGGATATTCATTGTCAATTTCTGGTAATGACGGTAAACATTCCGACGTCATCTCGACAATCACGGTTGAGTTCTTAAACTTTGACAACAACACTGTCGCTAATTCAATTACAATTCGAGTTGAAAACATGACAGCTGCAAATTTCCTCACAAATCATTATCGAAGCTTTCAAGACATCATCAAAGCATCAATGGATAATGGAGATGAAGTTTCACTTTATAGCATAAGAGAAACTCAAGGTGGAGTTGAAGTGACGATTGCTGTTAAATTTTCAGCTGGTTATCATTCAACCAACTACATCACTGATAAAATTATTAAGAAAAGAGATGCCTTAACACAACTTTTACAGACAAAAAGCTTGACTATTGGTTACACACCATGCGATGCTAACACATGTGAGAACGGCGGAATATGTTCGGAGAAAATAAATGTCAGAGATGAAATTCGCATCACTGACAGTCAGAATTTAATTTTTACATCGCCACTTGTTTCTCATGATTTCAATTGCAAATGTGCTGATGGTTTTATGGGATCAAAATGTGATAAGCGGCAAGATCCATGTGCACCAAATCCTTGTCAAGCTGGTGGTCAATGTCGTAGACAAGGCTACGATTTCCAATGTTCTTGTCCATTAAATCGAGAAGGAAAATTGTGCCAATTAGAACGTGGTGATGCATGTTCTAGTAATCCTTGTAAAAATGGTGGGTCTTGTCGTGAATCGCCTCATGATGGATCGACATTCTTCTGCTTATGTCGTCCCGGATATCGTGGCAATCAATGTGAGACTGTCGCTGATTCTTGTAGACCAAATCCTTGTCTTCACGGTGGCTTATGTGTTAGTCTTAAACCTGGATATAAATGCAGTTGCATTGATGGTCGTTATGGTCGTCATTGTGAAAGGGCAACATACGGTTTCCAAGAACTTTCATTCATGCAATTCCCAGCTTTAGATGCAGCAACCAACGACATTTCAATCGTCTTTGCAACAACTAAACCAGATGCTCTTTTGGTCTACAATTATGGCGTCCAAAGTGGGGGAAGATCAGACTTTGTTGCAATGGAAGTTGTTGAAGGAAAAGCTGTGTTCTCTTATGGTGGTGCACGTACAGCAGTCACGTCGATTGTTGTCGGTGGATCATCACCAAATGAATCTTTATCTAATGGTCGGTGGCATAAAGTAACAGCTACAAGAAATGGTCGTGTGATGTCATTAAGTGTCTCCAAATGTACTGATAATGGCGATGTTTGTGAAGAGTGTAGACCCGGAGATTCAACTTGCTATTCAGATGAAGTTGGTCCTACTGGGTAAGTACAAAGTATTCAAACAAAACTAATCAAATAATTTTAATCAATTTTTCAATAAACGTGTCAGTGAGTGAAAATATTTCCAAGAAATTCCGACCTATCACGATTAAATTTCACTTCATTATTCAGACAACAAAATGAGAACAAAAATCGTTTACTCGGTAATTTTTCTTCCATCTCAACAATGAAATTTTGAAACATTGTATCGGACAAGAAGAAAGTTAGCATTTTGATTATAAAAATTTTCCTTCTTATGCAAAATTGATGCTTCGATTCGCCGAATAAAAAAAATAAATAAAAATCTTTGGAAGTTAAGTTATAAATTTCTCATTCAGAGTTCATTCGAAAGAAGTAAGGAAACGCAAGCGAAGAAAGATTGTTTGCAAATCCGAATCTGAGATTTGCATGTTAATTTTCTGCTGCATGCAATATTCTCTGCTCTGTTTTTATTTTTTTGAATTCTTTGAGTTTCATCTTCGGGTATGCTTTTCAACATCCGCTGTGAAATGTTCCCAATTATGTGGCAGTTGAAGTTAAATACTGCGGCAACTGTCCAATTAAAGAAGAAATTGTTCACGTAATTTTTAATCGCTAATGTACCATTGAATATGTTTTATTCATTATCAGTCACTCACGATTTCTCGTTGTAAATCACCACGCATAGTGACACAAGCTCCACATATATCCATAAAAATATGCTTATGTGGAATGTTTGGATTTGCATCGAATTTCGAGTTCTTCAACATTCAAATTTTCGTTGAATGATAATGACACTTGTTTTGCTCGTGTAAATAATGACGAATGTAAAAAAAGGAAAAAAACATAAGAAGATCCTCCTTTCCTCTGTTATTTGCACTTATCTTCATTCGTAAATCATTAATACATCTTGAATTCACTCCAGTTGCAAAACACTTAACGAAACAACACATGAATAATTATAACAAGACAACAAATATTTTATTCCTTTTCAATTGGTCATTATTGTAATAATCTAAACACATATTTTTTGCCACTCAATTCCAGATTATAACAAAATTCTACGGCAAATTAAATGCATATATTTTAAATCGAATATTTCTTTTTTAAAGATCATTAAAATCAGGCCACTTTGTGAACAGTCGTAAAAATCAAACTTCCAAAGAATTAAAAGACCAAAAACCAAAAATGAAATGCAAATAAGAATCCCATAAAACAGCGAGAAATGTAAAAGAGAATCTTTATCATTATTTCGTGCAATGTTGCAATAATTGGTGAATTTATTAATAAAAAGGAACATCGAAAAAAATATTTATGCACCGAAATGTGTGGCTTGTACGAATGTTATGCCACGTTTATGGAGAATACTTTTATATCTTTAAAAATGAACATTTACACGCTTTAACGATATAAGATTATTAACACATTAATCCCACAAACAATTTTAATAAATTCTTAAAACGAGTTGAGTTGAGATTTATTCAAAACAATAATTTTCTCTTGATTAATTTGAAAACAAACTGTTTGATCAAGGAAATGGACAAAAAAAGCGCAAAGAATGAAAATTGCAATTGGAAAAGAAAAGAAGTTTAATGAGACTTCAATTTGTAATGTTTCTTTCTCTTTCACCGCTTTAATTTAGTTTCAACGATGATTTGTTTTAATCCCCGAAAAAAAAGTAATGCCACGAGGCGATCATCAAATTGAGAAACAAACAAGTTATTAACGAACTTGTTTTCGAGAAACGATTGAACCATCCATGAATTGATTGATTCTAATTATTCTTTTATTTTATTGTTGAAAATTTAAACAATTTCAATTTAATAAAATAATTTATTTTGTTTTTATTCCTTTTTAGAACGTTAAACTTTAACAAGCATTCACTCTTAATTGGTGGTTTATCATCGGCTGATCCGGTTTTAGAACGACCTGGACAAGTGCATTCGGATGATCTTATTGGTTGCGTGCATAGCGTGTCAGTTAATGGAAGAGCTTTGAACTTAAGCAGCCCAATAAAGTCACGTGGAGTGTCTCCAACATGCAATAGAAACAACAACGGCGGTCCATGTTCACAAGGTCATCCTGACGATCCAGCTTTATCACTTTGTGGATCATTTGGTGGTTGTTTAGATCGTTGGCATACAGCAATGTGTAAATGCGGTGGAAATCTTTTATCTCCCGACTGTTACACTTCAGTTGATCCAATTTCCTTGGTCGAAGGAGGATTCATTGAATTTAAAATTTCCGAAAAGCACAGACGAATGCAATTACTTGAGAATATCTACAGTGGCACAACGATTTGGAATGTCGACTTGGGGAGACAAAAACGATTCTCAATAAAAGCGGACAACATTTCAAATCTTGTTGAAGTTGAAGATCCTCCGAAATCGATGAGTGTTCGATTCCGAACAGTAAAATCTGAAGGGCTTTTAATCTATGCCGCTACTAACAAGCATTACACATCAATTGAATTACGTGATGGTCGCTTAATGTACATTAGTAAGCAAAACACTCAGATCAACATGACATCATCAAAGAGCGGTTATTTAGCTGATGGAAGATGGCACAACTTAACTCTTTACGCCCACAACAGAATTGTTCAAGTGATTATTGATGGACATTTGTATGGTGATGAGTTAGATTCAGCTGGTGTTCATGATTTCCTCGATCCTTATCTAACTGTTCTATCAATTGGTGGTGTTCGTCGAGAACTTTTCCCTCAAGATGCGACACCGCCATCTTTTGAAGGTTGCATTGCAAACTTCACCATCAATAATGAAATTCAACCATTCAATGGAAGTGGAAGTATCTTCAAAGAAGTTCTTCAACGCGGCAAAGTATTCTTGGGATGTCATGGCTTAATTGGACTTGGCGAAGCTCAGGTCACCGATCCACTTTCAATCGGCATTACACTCGTAATAGTTTTCTTCGTGATTCTTCTTGTAGCCATTCTCGGTTCATTTATTGTTTTTCGTTTACGTAAACAACAAAAAGAAAAACATGGAGCTGGTGCATTGCATAGCAAACAAAACGGTGCTTCAACTCTTCTTGGTGGAGCTGGCTTAGTTGGATCAGGTAATAATGTTGATCTTGGACGTGGAATTCATGACATGTCAGGTGTTGGATTCCATTCAGATTCTTCACATCATGGCGGTCATCATCTTGTTGCACCTGAATTGATTTCAAAAAAATATAAAGAACGAGAAATAAATTCAGCTGAACCACAACGTCCACAAAGACCGGACATTATAGAAAGAGAAGTTGTCAGTAAAAGTCCGCCACCTTTGAGAGAAGCATTGCCGCCACCAGGTTCACATCATCCACATGATCATCTTGCGAACATTGATCAAGGTTCTGAGTTCCCAGAACATTATGATCTTGAAAATGCAAGTTCAATTGCACCTTCGGATATTGATATTGTTTATCATTACAAAGGATATCGAGAAGCGAGTGGTGTTCGACATCAAAAATATAAAGCAACACCACCGCCAACCTCATACACACATCACAAACATCAATCATCAGCAACACAACAACAACACAGACATTCACCACATCATGTTGGTCCATATGCACCACGTGCACCACCGCAGACTAGTCAAGCTCCTACTGCAACTCCACGACCACATCAAAGTACTCCATTAGCGCGACTTTCACCAAGCTCTGAAATGAGCTCTCAACAACCAAGAATTCTTACTCTGCATGATATCTCAGGGAAGCCATTGCAGAGTGCACTTTTAGCCACCACATCGTCATCTGGAGGTGTTGGTAAAGATGTTCTTCATAGTAATAGTGAGAGAAGTTTGAATAGCCCCGTGATGTCTCAATTAAGTGGTCAAAGCTCGAGTGCAAGTCGAAAGAATCCCGGAGTTCCACCAAAAACACCCAATGTTCCATCAGTTGGAAATGTTTCTATGGGATTGACAGCTGAAGAAATTGAGCGACTTAATGCTAGACCAAGAACTTCATCACTCGTTTTTACACTTGATGCAGTGTCGAGTAGCAGTGAAGCTCCGCATGTGCCCGGTCAGCATTTAAATCATCTTCACCATTCACCAGTTGTCGACAATCACAGTTCAACATCATCAGATGAGAGTGGAAATGACAGCTTTACATGTTCTGAAATAGAATATGATAACAACAGTATAAATGGTGACATGAGACCGAAGAGAGATGATGACAGAAGTGGTAATGACAATAGCACTTCGAATAACTCAAATAAACCGCACATTCCTCCACCTTCGTATGATGGCTTTGATTCTTCATTTCGAGGGTCACTTAGTACATTGGTAGCATCTGATGATGATTTATCAACGCACATGGGTGGAATTTATCGTCAACCAAATGGCACGTCACCCTCAACAACAACACTTGGTTGGGATTACTTGTTGAATTGGGGACCAAACTTTGAATCTCTCATGGGAGTGTTTAAAGATATTGCTGAACTACCCGACACTGTTAATGTTAATGGACGTGCTGTTCCTAATTCATTGAGAATACCAGCAAGTGTACAAAATCCATCCGAAGAATACGTCTGAATTCTAGAATTTATTTCTAATTTTTTGTATCTAAATTTTCTTAAAATTTAATATTTAAAAAGACTTTTTTGTTAGGTAAAATTGTGCAAAGTTATACTTTTATTAATGTAGATATAAAAATTATAAAATTTAATTGCCTATATTAGGCGATATCTATCATGTTAACATAACTCAACTGATGTAACTTGCCATAAAACGAAATTTAATTCACCTTTTGAGCAGGAAAGATCAAAATTTCAATAAGAATTTAGATAATTATTCAATGAATAAAATTGGATGTAAAATATAGAAAATTTTAAGAATTAAGATAAGGTTTAGTGTAAGAAACTTTGTAAGAATTTTCCGACATGTAAAATAAAATAAAGAAATGATAAATGAAAAATCAGAGTTTTTAATAGATACTTATGGTTAAAAGTTTCATATCAAGAGTGTAACGGTCAATAAATATGGTTTGAAAATGAGTCCCCGCTTAGTCAAGTAGCAAACTTTCAATCAAGTACCGATCAAGTTTCATCAAATATCGTTTGTTGACATATTTCTTGAAGTAAAATTTAAAAATAATTAAATAAGGTTAACATGCCTCCAAAAAGTGCGAAGAAGGAGCGGAAACCCTTATGGCTTGAATGTGATAAATGTGGGACAAAAATAATAAATGAGAAAATGAAAAATCACACAAATGAGTGCGGCACATTGAATGGTTATGGTATTTCCAATCAAATCTTCAAATCAACATTAACTCATTCTCTTCCACTTGAGATCGATAGTAAAGATACATCCACGACTTATCTTCAAAGGTTCGTTTTCATTCCTGAATCTGTATGTGTCATTTGTAATTTTACAATGAACTGCAATCTGTTAATAGAATTGGATGAAAAGAAATATGTAAGAACATCTTGGACTGTCAGTGACAAACATATGGACTCTTTCTTTTCAAATTCTGAAGGTAGTTTATCTTTAAATTATTGTATTCTATCGAATAATTCATTTAATAAATTTGTAGAATTCAAATTAGAATTTTCTTCGAACAAACCGATCAACATTTCAAGATTTAACAGCCAAAGTGTTCGATTGATGCAATCAATTGAACTTCATATGTCAGAAAAGCTTCAGGATAAAAAAAATATTGAACGACTCTTAAGAGTAAAATTAAAAGATACAATCATTCATTCAAGCAACATATTCGTCATCGATTTCCTCAATAAAAAAATTAAATTTACAATCAAGTCAATGACTGCATTTCCTGAGGATGACATAAGCGAGAAGTTCTCACAAATTAATCTCAACAATGACCATTTTTACATGTTCACTGATAAATCTTTGATAAAATTAACTAATGAAAGTGAACATTCTTCGTTGAATTCTGAAAATAAATTAAAGTTTTCACTCAGTCAAATTGGAGGACTTGAAGATGTAATTGAAGATTTAAGAAAAACTTTAAATTGCGTACTTGGTATTGAAACAACAAGCTCCATGATGAAATTATCTCGAGGAGTTCTTATTCATGGAATACCTGGAAGTGGAAAGTCAATGTTAACTCATGCATTAGCCTCGAGTTATTCAACAGCCAAAATAATCGTCATCGATTCATGGAAAATTTTCAGTAAATTTTATGGTGAATCCGAATCGAATTTAAAAAAGCATTTTGATGATGCTTTTCTTATTTATCCAACACCAGCAATTATAATAATCGATGAAATTTCGAATATTTGTCCGAAAAATGATTCATCGGATGCAGTTAGAAGAGTTTCATCGTCACTTGCTTTGCTTCTCGACAGTCTCCACATTAAGAGAAATGCCAGCAAAACTTTTGTCTTTGTTAACACAAGCAATCTTGATAATGTTGATCCAGCAATACGGAGAAGTGGTCGACTTGATTATGAAATTGAAGTTCCTGTTCCAAACACAGAAATTCGACATAAAATTTTAAATAAAATGCTATTGAAACATCAACAAAATTTAACAAAAGATGAAGTTAAGGAAATAGCTAAACATACTCACGGTTTTGTTGGTGCTGATCTTGAGAATTTAATATCAAAGTCAATGAAAGTGGTGAAGATTAATGGAAGTTTTAAAGAAACTTTTTCATTTTCTGATATTATGAATAATCTTTCGTCAGTTAAGCCAAGTGCCATGCGTGAACTTCTCATTGAAAAACCTGATATTAAATGGTCAGACATTGGTGGAATGAAAGATTTGAAGTTAAAATTGAAACAAATTGTGGAATGGCCAATAAATCATCCTGAAACTTTCGCAAGATTAGGAATTAAGCCGCCAAGAGGTCTTCTGATGTTTGGTCCACCAGGATGTTCAAAAACAATGATCGCAAAAGCTTTAGCAACTGAAAGTAATTTGAATTTTATATCAATTAAAGGATCAGACTTATTCTCCATGTGGGTGGGTGAATCAGAGAAAGCTGTTCGTGATTTGTTTGTGAAAGCTCGTCAACTATCGCCATGTATAATTTTCTTTGATGAAATTGACGCGATTGGTGGCGAGAGATCAGCTGAAAGTGGATCGTCAGTCAAGGAGCGAGTTCTAGCACAAATTCTAACAGAAATTGATGGAGTTCATGTGTTGAAAAATGTTATTATTATAGCAGCAACGAATCGTCCTGATTTAATCGATAAAGCAATCATGAGACCTGGAAGATTAGATCGAATTGTTTATGTTCAACTTCCTGATGCTGAAACGAGAAAGGAGATTTTTGAAATAAAATTAAAGAAAATTCCAATCGCCGATGATGTGAAGATTGACGATTTAGTTAATAGAACTTCAGGATATTCTGGAGCTGAAATCGAAGCAATTTGTAAAGAAGCTGCTCTTAAAGCACTGGAAGATTCTTTTGATGTTGAAAATATATCAGTAAAATATTTTTATAAAGCTTTGGAAATTGTGAAACCAAGAACAAGTCCTGAACTTATGCAACTTTATCACGAATACGAAATGAGACAATAAACTTGATAATTTTTCTATTTAAATTTGTAAAATACTTTTTTATTCAAAATATTTATTATATTGAACAAAGTTAATAATATCAACAGGTTTCAATTGATCATAGCAACTGGAAAATTAGAAATTTGAACCCATTTGGTCAGCATCAAGCTTGTTCAATTTTTAATGAAAAGCAACCAAATCTTAAGTAAATTTTCATATCACGAATCTTGATAAATTAGAAAAATTCCGATACTGCAACAACTTTTGGACAATATCTTTTAGCTAAATTGATGTATGCAACATTTGAATTTACATTAAGTGGTGTAGCTGCAGAATGTTTATTCCAAACATGAGCGATTATTGAATGGTTCAATCTTTGTAAAGTTTCATTGAGGAATTCTTTCTTGAAAAATTTTATATGTTCAGGCCAGCGAATTGAGTAACAAGATTCGATGGGAAGGACATGAAAGTTTTCGCAATTATTCATCGTTATCATCTCCGATACATTTTTGGTATGACAAATCTCTTGGCAGACCCTTGTGATGACGCCTGGTCCGTTATTACCCTTAAAATAAATAATTTCGCCAATTAGTTGAATAATGAGATAAAATTTCTTGATTATTGACTTACCCAATCAGCTCCATTGAAATTTTTAAGCAAATCTTTGACACACATGTCGGCAATTTTATGTCCTGAATCATTTTCTAAATTTATAATCCCTGCAGCAACAAAGTTATTGGACTCAGCTCCAGCGAAATTTGTATTGATTGAGTCAAACGACTTCAATACGACGACATCAAGATCAAGATACGTTCCGCTATATTTCCATAATGATAAATATCGTAGAATGTCTGAGGTATGTGAATTGACATAATGAGATTTGAAGAGTTCTTGTGACTTCATCCATTTTGCGAGTGGCGTATGTGCAGCATATTGAGTTAGATTAAGGTAGTTAAAGTGAATGTTAGGATATGAAAGAAGTGCATCTATTATCGGGAGTTGAGTTGTATTACGAAATCCTACTTGTGAAGTGAACAAAACATACACTTGATGTCCAGGATTCATTAATGCTGCTGACTCAACAGCACAAGCTTGTCTACTATTCATTTTCACAATGCCATCAAGTGAACATGAAGTCTCGTGAAAGAAAATATTCTTTGGATTAACAACAGATTCAAGTCTGGAATTCTCAGCAACACTTCTTAATGTTCTCCCATCCTTCCAAGTAATATCAAAGTAACAATTTTTTACATTCTGATTGAAGTTCACATATATAATAAATGATAAAACAAACAATAACAATCCACCGAATAATCGCTTTCTAATATTATTCGAATTGAGAATACGAAGAAACATTATTTTATTTCTACAAATATTGAGATTCACTTGAGATTCACTTCATTTTAAGGAGATAAAAAAGCGATGATAACTTCTTATGATCTTTCGTTCTCTAAATTAATTTTTAAATTGGGCATTCTCGAATACAAGGGGATTAAACTACTTGTATGTTTTCGAAATAATAATTTTCAATTGTTGATGTTGTTTATATTGGAAATAAAATTTAAGATTCTTTTATCAAATATCAATCATTCATAATAAAAAATGGTAGTATATGGAGTTTATATTGTAAGCAAGTCAGGCGGTTTAATATTTAATCACGATCATTCTGTTCCAAGAATTGAGACAGAAAAAACCTTCAGTTTTCCATTAGACATTAAACTTGATTATGACAAGAAAAAAATTTCTGTAGCGTTTGGACAGAGAGACGGAATATTTGGTAAATCAATTTTACTTTACAGCTTTTGATTGTCTCAATTTTAAAATATTGCTCTTTTTAGTTGGTCATCAGTTAATAGCAGTTAATGGAATCACAGTAAATGGAACAATTCTGGAAGATGGACGGGATGTTAAAGAAATTCTTGAAAATGCAGAAAATTATCCATTGAATCTCCGATTTTGTCGACCAAGAATGACAACAAATGAAAAAATATTCCTTGCTTCTATGTTTTATCCTCTTTTTGCCATCGCCAGTCAACTTTCACCAGAACCAAAGTCATCAGGAATAGAAATACTCGAGGCTGATACTTTTAGACTTCACTGCTTTCAAACTTTAACAGGAGTGAAGTTCATGGTTGTCGCAGAACCAATTCAAACAGGTTTAGAAGTATTACTCAAAAAGATATACGAACTTTATTCTGATTATGCACTGAAAAATCCTTTCTACTCTCTCGAACAACCATTAAGATGTGAATTGTTTGACCAAAACCTTCAAGTTTTATTAGAGTCTTTTGAGAAAACTGGAATTACAAATATTTAAATGTCTATGGTCTTGAAATATTTATTATTATTAAATTGATTTCCATAATTTTGTTGTAAGAATATCTTGACATAAAAAGTTATTAAAGAATTCGAATGAAAATATGTTTATATGGGTTTTATTTTGAAGTGAAGTCCAATCAGCGAGAACACCAAACATTTAAGGTCTTGAACAAGATAATAGAAGAGGCGTAAACCTTCAGAATCTTTTGATTGATCCACATCCAATAAAGACCCGATCTTTGATGTTGTAAAAGAAATGTGTTCATCACCGATGAGTATTTCAAGTTCTTGACGTCCAACACGATCTGCTGGTGGCCACATTGAATCATCCTCAGCCATGATTTCTGAATCTTGAATAATACGCTTTAATTCTTGAACAACTGATGTATGAACATAAGCTTCTTTACGGATCATGGTGTCGTTCTTATAATTTGAATTGTTAGCATATCTTTAAAATGATTCCAATTTTTCATTATTTCCATTGTACTCATAAGTAACTAAAAGCAAGCATCATATTTACCTCAATTTACCATCAGGACGAAATTCAAATTCTAAAAACTCATGACCAAACTTTCCTTTGTGGCCAATGTAATAGCGCAAATAAAAGTCTTGAGTTCCTGAAGACATTTCTGATGTCAGAGTTCAGTCAGATAGGGGGAGATAATAAATATCTAACAAAACGCTATTTTATTTACTCCGAAAATTTGCACCGGTGCAAGCAATAAAGCGCATAAACGTTTAACTTTTTCCGAGGCAGACTGTCACAAGTTATATACCCATTCTTACTTTTTGAACCTTTCTTTGGGGGTATAAAACTTACAAACTATATTTTAAAGGCAAATGTTGAGAAACTTAGAATAATCGCTTTTAATTCGATTTATACTAGTTCAAAACTATAAACATCTTCAAGCTCAAAGCCCTTTCCTTATTTCAGGATAAATGAATGGGTGTCTAAAAACCAAATAACTCTTTAAAACAAAATTGAAAAATTGGATAAAAAATCACGAAGCGAAAAAAAACAAAAGATTTTTAGTGCAGCTGAGTGAAAGTCGACTGGCCGTCAAAAGATTTTGATTCGCAAGTCATGTGAAATTCTATAATTCAAAAGTTTCTTTTGTTGTTCTTATAATTTTAAAGTCCTTTGTGGAAAGTGTGTTTCTTGACATAAAAGAACTTTAAATAGGACAAACTTTTCTTCGTTGACACGGTAAGAAGTTGTGGAAAGTATAAATACAAGTTGAAAACGGAAAATCACTGAAAATGAACAGTCGACAACAGCAACCTAAAAAAGAAGGCAAGATGAGGATTAGAGCTTTTCCCGTAAGTACCAAAAATTTTCATAATGATGTGTTGTGCAATTCAAGTAAAGCTAGAAATCTCTTTAAACTTGTTTGTGACTTTGCTTGCGGCTTAAAAAAGATATTAAATGAATTTTTCTCACATCAACAACTCACTGATTAAGAATTTTATGTTAAATGACTTTTCAAAATCGAAGCAATCAAATATTTTATTTATTTTTTTCTGCCTTCACACATTTTGTTTATAATAAATTTGACGATAATTTTCCTTTAGAGACTTAAAATTAAAAATAATTAAATTCAAAATGAGACTAAACTCATCCTTTCGAAACAAACAGAAACATATGATTGATCTAGAAGAAGTGTATCCACTTGAACATCAAATGTATTTGCTAACCAAATTTTACGTTGAGGTTTAACAAGAGAAGAAGAACAAAACATATTATGGAGGTCATTAGTATTCTAACTATTTTTTCGTTATTATTATTAGATGACGATGGACGAGAAGTTCGTCGAGTCAATATGGACATTGCTGAAGAATGCAATTCAGGAAATCCAAAAGAAGAATAATTCTGGCTTGTCGTTCGAGGAGCTTTATCGAAATGCATACACGATGGTATTGCACAAACATGGTGAACGTCTTTATAATGGTTTAAAAGAAGTTGTTACGCAGCATTTACAACAAAAAGTTCGTGAAGATGTAATGCGTTCACTTAATAACAATTTCTTACAAACACTCAATCAAGCATGGACCGATCATCAAACATCAATGGTCATGATTCGTGATATTCTCATGTACATGGACCGCGTTTATGTGCAACAAAATGATGTGGAAAATGTTTATAATCTTGGATTAATAATTTTCCGTGACGAGATTGTACGTCACGAACGTATTCGAAATCATCTTCGGGAAACTCTCCTCACGATGGTCATGAACGAAAGAAAAGGTGAAGCTATCGATCATATTCTTATCAAGAATGCGTGTCAAATGCTTATGGTACTTGGCATCAATAATCGATGGGTGTACGAACAAGATTTTGAACGCCCTTTTCTCACACAATCTGCTGCCTTCTACACTATGGAATCTCAAAAGTTCTTATCGGAGAATAGTGCGAGTGTTTACATAAAACGTGTCGAAGCAAGAATCACAGAAGAAGCAGAACGAGCTAAGCTCTATCTTGATGAAAGCACAGAGCCACGCATTGTCGATGTTGTTGAAGACGAATTGATAAAGAATCACATGAGAACAATTGTTGAAATGGAAAATTCTGGTGTCGTTTACATGTTGAAGAACACAAAAACCGACGATTTGGCTTGCATGTATAAACTCTTTTCTCGTGTCTCTGATGGTGTTAAGACAATTTCTGATTGTGTCAGTAAATATTTACGAGAACAAGGCACAGCACTTGTGAAGGAAGAAGAAGGCGGCACAAATCCAATAACATTTGTACAGAATTTACTTGATTTAAAAGATCGTTTCGATCATTTCCTTCATCATTCATTCAACTATGAGAAGACGTTCAAGCATATGATCTCTTCAGATTTTGAATACTTTTTGAATTTGAATAATAAATCGCCAGAGTATTTGTCGTTGTTTATTGATGATAAACTGAAGAAAGGTTGTAAAGGGGTAAGTTTGCTTTTATCTTTTAGAATGTCTGTTAAATTAACATAAATTTGTATAAATATTTGAAACATCATCATGAAGATTTTTGATGAAGATAATCAAGAAAGAAATTCAAGATCCTGGGTATCTTCAATTATCCTTTAACATTTTGTTTAAAATTTATTTATTTTCTATTTTTTAACAGATGTCAGAACAAGAAATTGAAACAATTCTTGATAAAACGATGGTATTATTCCGTTATTTGCTTGAAAAAGATGTTTTTGAACGATATTATAAAGCTCATCTAGCTAAACGATTGCTGCTCAATAAATCTGTGAGCGATGACTCCGAGAAAAATATGATATCAAAATTAAAGGTGAATTTTTGATTAATTTATTAAATTTTATTTTATGAGACTTTAACTAATCATCATCAGACTGAATGTGGATGTCAATTTACATCGAAATTGGAAGGGATGTTTAAAGACATGCAAGTATCAAACACGATCATGGATGAGTTCAAGACGCATGTGAATAATCAGAATATGTCATTGAGTGGTGTTGATCTGAGTGTTCGCATATTGACGACTGGATTTTGGCCGACACATTCGTCGACGCCAAATTGTACAATTCCACTTTCACCACGACAAGCATTTGAGACATTTAAAAGATTTTATCTTGCAAAGCACTCAGGACGTCAGTTGACACTTCAGCCACAATTAGGTAAAAGATTTGTTCTTCCTTACTTAAATACAATAAAATAATTTTTTGTCTTTTGATTAGGAACGGCTTTTATGAATGCAGTTTTCTTTGGCGTCAAACAAGATGCGGGAGCTGAAAGCGAAACGAATGGAGCATGTAAAGAATCTACATCATGTTCAAGTTCTGGAATGTTGAATTTGCCAACACGAAAACATGTTCTTCAAGTGTCAACTTATCAGGTAACATCTTAAAGTCATTAATTCAAAGAATATTTAAATAATAATTAAATCTTTTAGATGTGCGTTTTGATGTTGTTTAATAATCGAGAACGTATGACATATGAAGAGATTCAACAAGAAACTGACATCCCTGAAAAGGATTTAATTCGTGCCCTTCAATCACTTTCGATGGGTAAACTTCAGCAACGTTTACTTTTGCGAACACCAAAAACGAAAGAAATAGAACCTTCGAATGAATTCATTGTAAACGATGGATTCTTCTCGAAACTTCATAAGTAAGTGAACTTATCATTAAATCAATAATCTTAATCAATTTTATTCGTTAATTTTTTAGAGTAAAGATTCAAACAGTCGCAGCGAAGGGAGAAACTGAACCAGAAAGACGTGAAACAAGAAATAAAGTTGATGAAGATCGTAAACATGAGATTGAAGCAGCAATTGTAAGAATTATGAAGTCACGTAAGAAGTTGGCGGTAAGTTAATTGAATAACGGTTGAATTGAACAGAAATTTATTTATTCCAATGAATTTAATATGTTTTCAGCATAATCTACTTGTATCTGATGTCACTACGCAACTTAGAAGTCGTTTCCTTCCATCACCTGTCATTATTAAGAAACGTATCGAAGGATTAATTGAACGTGAATATCTCGCTCGTACACCAGAAGATCGCAAAGTTTATGTCTATTTAGCTTAAATCTTTCAAGATCATTTCTTCTTAATAAATTAATTTTTTTTGTCAAACTATTTTGCGAAGAACGTCAAGATTGATGATAGTTAAAAACTTTCGACCCTTCCACGTGATGTTGAAACATGTGCAAAAGAAATGAAATCATTTGTTAAATTTAAATCAATAATGTTTCCTTCCGCATTAATTTTCTCATTGTGATTATATTTTTCTCAACATCACCGACTTCAACATGTGAAAAGGATGAAAGATAAAATAAAAAATAAATTTTTACGCATAAATTAGAAATCCCAAATCTGGTTGATTTCGTCCGGTGAATGTATAATGAAAATTCCTTATTTGATTCAGTCATTTTGGCGATTACTAAATCGGTTTTCCATGTGAAATTGTAGCTGAATTTATTGTTTTCCTTTTTATTTTGTTTTTTAATTATTGAAGTCTGCAAGCAAGTAAAGGAGATGCCAAAAGAAGATTAAATATAAACTTGTACTTTCTCAAGGGCTGGAAAATAAATTTCATCTCCTAACAGCCATTTCACGGAAGAAATGTACAATAGAATTAAATTTAGAAGGATCATCTCTCTGTTGAATTTTATTGTGCAAACATTCTTGAAATTTAAATTTAAATTAAAGAATAAAAATTGCTTTCTTTTTTGTTTTATTATTAAAATTAACTTAGAAATTAAGAAAATGTTTTAGTTGAAATTAAGAGATGAAGAATTGAAAAAAAAAGCTACAAACAACAGCATTCTATATACCTAATTTATCGGGCGAAGATGTAAATAAAGGAAAGTAAATGAATTTCAAAAAATTCAATATTGTTTGCTTAATTTTGTAACGGTTGATCTTCGTTGGTAGAGCATTTGAAATTTCTTAAAATTTCCCCTCAAAAGCGTAATTTATGTCATGTCATTGAAAATAGAATAATTTGAGTTGTTTATGAAGATTACAGATGAATTCACATTTTCTCATCTGTTAGCGTCATGAAAGATTGAGGAAAAGGTAAGAAAATTATGAAAAAAGCAACTTTGAATGTGAATTTAAAAAAATCATCATATGCTAATTTAGTTTCTTCCAGTATAAACCCTTCCAACGTTAGTATTCTTTTCCAGCCAGAGTGCTGTAATTCAGTGAATAAGTGTTTTATTTTTTCTATTGCAACGAAGTGTTCATTCATAGCCAATTTACTTAATTACAAAGACTGATAAATACTTAAGTGATAAGAAATGAGATAAAAAATTAGAGAAGACGAAATAAGATTTTTTATTTTAAATCGCAGCAGTCTCGAGAATTATTCAGTGATATTTTTATTTTATGAATTTCTTTTCGTCCAATGAGACGATCGTTTCGTCGTTCTTCGCAATTCTTATCAGTATTGTGGACATTATTCAGTGAAAAAGCATTTGAAGTTAAAAAGTGAAACTCGCTTATAGCAAGCTTAAGAAGAAGGTCAAGCTCGAAGAGTGTAAACTATAAAGAAAGAGAGAAAATGAATCAACAAGTTGTCTCAGCTCAAGACAATCAAGAAAACGCTGATATTTTCACGTAAATACATCAGAAATAAATCATAGTGAAAAAATAATATAAAAGAAACTTACAAGTTGAAAAGCTTGATGCTTCAACCAGAATTAATCATTTATGTTAAGTTACCACATGAAAAAACAATCTTAAATATTCTAATAATCCAGATCACTCAAGAAACTTCATGAAATCTATCGCCATTTATTAAATTTAAGTGATTGTGAAGAGGTGAGTTGATTGATATAAAGAACCATAATCTTGAATAGCGAGAAACAAAAGAAATAATAATAAATAAATAAATAAAAAAACGAATGTGTTGTGTGTAAGAAGAATAAAAACGCCAAGTTTTTGGAATATATATTCAGTGACGCAAATTCAAAATAATGTTGATACCCAAGCACCCATAAAATCAACTTCTGCTTAAGCTTTAACTCTAACAAGAATTCGAGTTTTATTGTTGAATGACAAAGTGTCGTTGAACAACAGTTTGGGAACTTATCACGACTCATTAATTTGAAGGGCAGAACACAATAAAAAAGGTTCAAAATAATTGCGAACAAAGTGCCAGACTAAAATAATAAAGCAAAACAAAAAAGTAATTTAGCCCTTAATAGAATCAATTCAGAGTCAATCATTTAATAAAGTGACAAGTGTGACTAACTAAAGAGTTTAATAAAATATCAAACTTAGTTGTGGTTGTCGTAATAAATATTATAAACGAAATCCCAATCGCAGAGAAATAACTAATAAAGCTTAGTTAGGTTGGAGAATAGCAGAAAATACAATGTCAAACGTTTGTAAGTTACGGAAGGTGTTTTAGATCAGCAGCGATTGCTCCTAAAGCAAGCAAAAGTTTTTTTTTATTGTGCGATCTTTTCGTTATTATTGTAAGACTTACAAGCCCGATAACACTATTTAATTAAGACCTTTTTTTGCTTTTTCAATATTTATTTAACAACGTTTCATGGTGAAAATTCTTTCAGCTGTCGACTTACAAACGTTATGTTGAAGATCTCACAGATTTACTGAATCATGGTATTGAATGTTTTGAAGATAACGAGTGGCAAATGAAGACACATTATGAACAGAGAGTCAACGATTTGACGACACAGTTGAACTGTTATCAACAACAATCGCTTAATGAAATAGACGAATACAAAAAGTCTGACCTTGTGGCACAACAGAAACAGCAACAAGACCCGTTTAATAACATGAAGTGAGTGTAAAAAACGAAATTTTATTTAAAAAAAGAGAATAAATCTCAATCTCAACTGACTTCACAGCAAATTAATCGTCGCCGGTGATAAGACAAACAACAAAGCCTTGACGAGCGATTTGCGTCACGAGAGCGATTCCAATGACCTTCAAACCACGTGTTTAGCTTTGGAAACGAAGTTTAAGAACGAGAATGATTTGCTTCGAGATGAAAACAACAAATTGAAAGATGAATTAGCGGTGCTTCGTGCTCAAGTTACAAAAAATGATTTCGTGGTGAGTGATTTGAAGAATGAATTGAGTACTTTACGGCAACAAAGTCAAAGAAGTTTTGATGGTCTAATCAATGGAATGAACTCGAATCAATGTGATGATGGATCGGGGGAATCAATAATCTTAAAAGAGAAAACACCTGTGAGTTTGTTTTTTTTTATCGTTCTTTCTTGAAATAAATTAATTAAATCTTTACAATTACAAATAAAGACAACAACAAAAGATGGAACTAAGTCAACATCTGCATTGGAAAAGGATTTGAAAGAAGTTGAGGTCAGCATGAAAGGAAAAGTTCCAACAAAAATTGCACAATTTATAAACATTTCAAGTTATCATTTAAAGAAGAGAAAGTTTAATTAAATTAATGTTTTAATTTGAATTTTTGTTGGTATTTGTTTGAAACATTCTCATGATCATAAACTTTTCTCGTTATTTATAATCTTAGAAAGACAACAGTGATAAAGTGGCTCTTATACTTGAGATTGCTGATAAGCATGATCACATTAAACATTTACGTGCAAAAACTCGAAAGCTTGATGGTCGTGTTGAGGAGCTCGAACGGAAAGTACAATTTCGTGAGAAAATTATTCGCGAACTTCGTCGATCAACCAAATGTCAAGCGCAGGTAAGAAAAGATTTCTTTAGAACCAATAATAAAATTGTTGAATGAGGAGCGGGGAATGGAGAATGAAGCATGAATAAGAAGTTTGTTGATGTGATAATTAGTCAATCATTAAAAAGTTTTTTGTAAACATTCGCGACCTTAGATCATTTTCATTATTTAGATATACCAAAGATGTGAGATTTTTTTCGCCTTCTTCTTCTTGTTCCTTTTTTTATTTCATCTAGCAGCTGTTTCTTGCTTAAATAACTTATATTTACTTAGAATTCACCTTGAAATAATTGTTTACAAACATAGCTGATAAGATTGTTCACTTCAATTCAGCTCAAATGTAATTTCACTGATAGTAACGAAACGATTTTGTCAGTCAAGCACATCAAGACGAACTCGCAAAATTATTGTGGTGATGTCAAAGAAGAAAAAGTTGAATGTCGAGACAAATCGTTCCAGGTTAATTTAACTGACAATTTTTGTGAATGGAAAACAAAACGATTGAGAGAAATTTTTCATTTAACATTAGATTTATGTGATGAATAAATTATAAAAGTGAATCATGAATCATTAACTTTCATTCTTGGGTACTTGGCATTAATTATTAATAAATCTCTTTTTTGGTGGATGAATTATTTATTTATTTTTATTTAAAATAATTAAGATAACTCAGCAGCAATTCTCCTCTTTCTACTTATCTCAGAACATCTCGCCAATGTCATTGACACCACCAAGGACGCCAGAACTGAAAGCGTCTGATTCATGCAGTAACTCGGACTTAGAATCGTATAAAAGTAATTTCCTTACGGTTCCCGGACAACAAATCGCTAGTGGCGATTCATGTTTCTCTCTCTACGATCTTCATCAGGTTAATGGAATTGCATGAAAAAATATTTTTAAATTTAATTTTTCACTGTGTGAAAAGCAATAACACTTTCCTTTAACATTTTTCTCTTCGTAAAGGAATCACAACAACACATGGAAAAATCATTTTCTGAAATCAATTTCTCACATTGCTTTGAAAAAGGCTTTGATGAGAATAATAAATATGAAATTGAACGACTTCATCATCAGATGAGTGAAATGGAAAGTGAGAACGGTTGCAATCGGCTGTTGATAACAAAATTGGAGGACGAATTATTAGCATTACGTAGAAGTGAAACTAGAATAGTAAGTCAGACGTTAATTAGAAAATATTTTTTATTATTTTTCATCAACACTTAATCTAGAAAAATGATCGTGATGTAAAAGCTGATAAGTTGAAAGTTTTACGTCATCGCGTGAGAACAATTTCTGGAAAAGTTTTAGATGTAAATAATGATGAAGGCTTACAAAAGCTTCAAATGCATCACAGTGACATTGCCGTGTTGGAAGAAGAATTAAAACCTGAACTTGATTTATTAAAAAATCTCGTAAAAATGATCAGCACAACAAAAGAGAATCTTGATAAATTAACAAATGAGAATTCAACTTTACTCTCGACAATAACAAATCTTAAAAACAACTTAGATGGTTAGAATGAAAATTAATATTTAATTAAAATGAATATAAAAAATTTGATTAAATCATCAGAATCGATTCAACACAATCAACATCTTGAGGCAGAGATTAACAGACTGAACTCAGAGACATCGTCACTGATACGAGACAAGTCAACGAATAACGTCAATCAACATCCAGTGGAAAGCGGAAGAACTGTAAGTAATTACGCATCATCTGTGCAAGCAAAACAATTTTGTTGTCTGTTTTCATAAATAAATACAATGGCATGGGAGGAGCTTAAAAGAAAAAGAGTAATTCGCATCATCTTCATAATACAAAACGTAAATTAAATGCTTATAATCTATTCAAATATCGTTAAATAAATAGAACTTTTATCAGATATAAACAGTGAGTACATAATCGTTTGTCAACATTAAGGAATTTTTACGATCACCAGATGATGAATCTTCGTTTTTACTCTTTTATGAATAAATATTTTCGTTCTTGTGTGGCAAATAACTGAAATTATCTTCGTCTGTTTACATATTCTTGAAAAGAATTTTAAGGATTTTGAAGTTTTGCGTATGGAGATGAATGTCGTGAATCATCAAGAAAATTAAATATTCCGATTTTTAATTAAATTTAATTAAAACTAGTGATAGAAATCTTTATGAAATCACGAAATTAATTTCAATCAAACCCACGCGATACTCAATCAACCAAATTTCAATTTTTCTCGCTATCGTTTTGATTACTGATAAACAAATCCGCTTTCTGTATTCAGAATTGAAGTTTTCATTCTAAAGCCCACATATGTAATTTACAATTTTGTATCGTCATTCAAATATCTGCGTATTTATTCGTATCTTTTTAAATTAAAATTTAAGCAAACAAAATGACGTTTCTTTAATTTATTTGATGTTTTAAAAAATACAAAATTAAATGAATGATCTGACGATGATCATGGAATAATTTTTCATTGTAAGTTTACATCGTGAATGGAAATTCCTTCATTAAGTGATGAGAGTAAAAAAAATAGAAGCAAACATTTGTCAGTAAATTATCCCATCTCATCCGACTGCTAATGTGTAGCAAGTTTTATTTTAAAATGTTCTAGACTCGTAACTAATTCCAATTGTTATTGGTCTTCGTTTCCCAACGATTCCATCAGACCCTCAAAAAGATACTTAAGAGCAATTAACGCATAACATAAACGAGGTTTTTTTTTCTTAATGTTCTATCTACGCATTCAATCTCTGAGCACATCCCGTTTTAATTTTAGAAGTTTCTCAATCTTCTTTCGAAGCAAAAATGTTTACATCGCTTGTTTTCCCAAAAAAACTTTTCTCTGAGTGTTGGGAAAACATTTCTCAAGAGAAAAACGTGTGTGAAATGCAACTCAGAGTTTAGTTTTCTTTGAAACATCGCGACGGTGAAAACATTTTGAGAAATTGAAGAAAATTGATACATTTAAGAAAGAAAAATCATTTTGTTGATTCTATCTAAGCCTAGTAATTAAAATATTAATCTCGTCATGGTGTTGTTACAGCTGGGCAACAAGGAAGTGCTAAGCGATCTGACATCGAGTTCACCTGAAAGTGGTGAAAGTAGTTTAAGTAATGGAAACTCACTAAGTGACGTCATCAACGAATGGAAGCGCGAGTTGGAAGCGAAAAATTGCGAATTAAGAGACAAGATCGTGTTAATACATACACTCGAAGATCAATTAAAGCATAAAGATTCCGAGATTTGTGATGTACGCGACAGATGTAAGTCGGTGGAATCTGATCATGAGAAAAACTGCCAAATGGTGAGTGAAGAACTAAAAAATAGTTGAATATGTCCAGTTCGAAGTTTGAGTTATTGCATGAATATGTAGACACCGCAAAGCGCCATCGTCTATTTTTAAAGTTTCATTTCAACAACACAAAGCGCAGCATCGTAAAATGCACGAATTGCGACATAATAAAAGTTTTATTTTTATTTACATCATAAAGTTGAATTTGAATCAATTTTTTATTTTTCTTTCTCGCTTGTGTTAGATTAATCAACTTAAAAGTGCCATTCAAATCCACAACGAATCGATTCAGTTTCTGAAGCGACAAAATGCTGATTTACGAGACGAGTTGGAAGAAACGAAAGGAAAGGTGAGTTGATCATCTTCTTCTTTATGAAATTCTTACAATGATTCATCGTTGTCAGCTTGAACAACATCACGAGTATTACAAAAAATCCAAAAAGGAAAATATTGATTTGGAGACTGAAGTAAGTCAAGTGCTTTGTTGTAATTGGTCATTAAAAATGTCTATAAACGAAAAATTTATGTAAATTACAGAACAATAATCTCCATATGACAATAACGAACATGCGGTCAACTATCGAAGAACTTAAACGAGGAAATTCTGTGAGTGGAAAGAGTCATAGATCGTTAATGAATAGGCTATTTAAGAGTGTGCATGATGTTTGACAAAAATAAGTTCTTATTGACTAAGTAATTATAATTTATAATAAATTTTAACGACTTCTTTGTGTGCTGGCTTCTTTCTGCATTCAGTCATCGATGTTGTAATTTCACTGAGTGAAATGTCGTTTCACATAAATATGAAAATTTCATGACGATTTTGTAAGAAGTGTCAAAACTTTGTACCTACTCAAATGTTCTTCTTTTGAAGTGTAAGAATTATGTAGTGCACTTGATGTTTAACAATCAAAGCTCAAACTAAAGATTTCACTTGAAGCTTCATTATTCAGATTAGTTATTGATTCCCATCAATTCTTGTTGTGTGCCGTTGCTCCTAAATGAAGTGCCAGACTTAAATGATTGTTTACTTTACAAATTGTTTAAATACAATCTTTACAACCCTGGATATGATGAGACTAAAACAAATCCTATGAACGTTCTTAAAGAAGATTTTCCCCTTGAAATATCTCACAAGTCATAAACAAAAAAAAGTAAAAAAGAAGAAATTTATTCTAATAATAAATCATCACATTAATCATCTCGATGCGCTACGTTTGTTGACCTGACTGAAGATGTTCTAAGATCAGAAGTGAGAAGAAGATTTCTTCTCGTTTTCTTTCAACTTTTCACGATGACGCCTTTCTTAAAATGTCTCAAATGTTTACCTTTTCACTATGAATTGACACGTTTATCTTAAATAGAAAATCAAATAGAAACAGATTTGTTTTCTATTCCAAAAATAGACAACAAAATCGTTCTACTTATGTTCTAAATAGCATGAGCAAACACAAATCAAGTGAAAGTATGTCTTGATGTTACTAATTATAATCGACTTATGGAAGAAAAAGAATTTAAACTTCTCCGGTGTCGAACGTTGTTGGAGTCGCGTGCAGAAAAATGCTTTAAGAAGAATTAGGGGAGGCGTAAATGAAAATTACTGACGAGAGAAAATAACAACAAATTTTCACATCGTTAACGATAAATGGAGAAAAATTAACAAGATTTGTAAACTTCAACTTATCACACTTTCCAATACTTAATTTTCGCATTATTCACGTCAATTTTCCATTTACATTTTGCTTAATCGATGCAGATAATTCATGACATTAAATATTCAAAATAATTGCCACTTCAAACAAAAATCCTCGCAATTAACTGATTAATATGCTTCTCGATACTGAACGTGAGAGAAAGAAGAAGGAAACAAATATTGAAATAAATTAAAAATTAGTTTGGTTAAATGACTATTTAGGAATTAAATGTGAATCACTTCATTAAGTCGTGTCATGTCATTGTATTAAAAATTTGATTAATTTAAGTAATTACATAATTTTAAGCTTTTATTTGCTGTTGATCTAATGAAAGAAATAAATAGAAATGTTTATATATAAGACTTTATTTGTGCTTTTCTTTTGTTTTTGTATATTTTGCTTTTCTAATCCTAAAAGTGCATGTGTCGATTTTCTGACCTTTCGTCACGCTTGTTTTATGGCTTTGACGGTGACATTTGTTGCCATTTTTTATAAATTTTGACTCGTGTGATTTTGTTCAGGGAAGAGATTTACAACCTTACTTTCAGATCCAACATTCCAACGACATTGAAGCGTTGAACGTGAGCATAAATCTGCTTAATGAACAGTTTTACAAGGAAGTAAGTTTAACGTTGTTGGTTTTCTATTTCTTTCTAAATCAACAGGAAGTATTCACAATTTTTATTTTACTTTTCCCAATTAATCAGAACATTCAGAAAGACGATCAAATGAATTTGTTGCGCGATGCAAATCTACAACTTCGAACACAAGTCTTCGATCTCAATCAGGATATCGTCGATTTGCTGGAAATTGTCGAGAGCTTAAAAAACCGACGAACGGTGAGTCATTCAATAAGTAAAGTGAAGTAAATTGTAACAGCGGATCAAAGTAAAAATATTTAGCTTCGAATGGTTTATTTTTTTCCGTCTCTTTGTTGTTTCTCCTTTGACTTTGCGGCGTTTTGTTGGCCTCGAGCCAAATTAGTTTCTACAATAAACATCGGAAGAAACATCATGTTTTTTAACGTGGCTTTTCCTCTTCATCTCATCTTCAATTGCATAAACATGAATAGAAAGAAGCGAATACAAAATTGCCTCACCTTTGCTTTTATTTTTAAAACTTTACTGATTTAAACTTGTGCGGTTTCGACCGACATTATTAATGGCAAAATCAATTTTTCATTTACTCATTGAACTTCAAAATCATTGGTTTAATTGGAAGCGTGACCTTCTAAAAGTCTGAATAACGTAATCTTAATATCATTTATTTCATGTCAGACAACGTTGCATTAAGTAGACATAAAAAAATAAATGATTTAGATTAGAGTTGTCAATGGAGTTGTCAACATACATATGTATTGAAATCAAAACATAACACGACGACAACACCACAATTTAATCTCTGAAATCATCAAGGAACGAAACACTTCATGGTGAAAACATTTAAATATCGTTGAAATAAATTAAAAGTAAAAGTTCGGTGACCTACTAAACTTCATTCAAAAATTCTGTTATTATAAATATTTGTAACTCATTCAAAATTTATTTGCATAAAACTTTCAACTCAAACCATTAAGTTAAATTAGGGAAGTAAATATATTCCAATGACGCACTTAAGTAGCACCTTTCATTTTCCCATTTTGCTTCTTCTCATGCTAATTTAAAGTACAGTAGTAAACTATGTTAAGTTTATGAATCATCTCACAGCAGCTTTGTAAACAAACAACCTCAAAGATTTTGTGTATAAATAAATAATTCGATTAATTATTGTCAATCTCGATGGACATGCTGTGAGAATTGATCATGTAATGTCTTGCTAATCTTTCATTTCGTTAGTAACCACTTGATGATTGGTTTTCAATGTGATTGTTGTGTTACTGACAATGTCATAAATGTGTGAATCAAATAATGGAATTGTTTATTGTTCGTTAATACTCATAAAACGTCAAATCTAGCTGTGATCAAAGATAAAGCAAATGAAGATTTCATGAATTTAATTCATAAAGATTTTAAAGATTATTACAAGTCAGTTTTTTTACTTTATCTATGTTCACATGTCACTCACAATCATTCATCATCCTTGATCCTTCTGTATTCTTGACATCAGCGTGATGCGAGATCAAATCACACGTTTTATGATTTGCGATAGAAAAATGACAACTGCTTTCAATATTCTCTTTAATTAACATTCAAACTTTATAATTTAGAATAAAGAAAGTGGAATTAAATTTTCTGCTGCTTAAATATTTCAAGGGAAGAAAGTTGAAGTTTCTGTCGAAAATCAATAATCGAAAAGAAAAGCAATAAATTTACTTCGCTCCCGCTTACACCAAGAATCAACGTATGCAAATATATATAAAAAAAAGAGAAATAATAATATAGTGAAGGTGAAATGTGTGAATAGACTTTGCAACTCATCGTATGGCGTTCCTGGAGACAATCATAAAAATAAACAATAAAAATCACGATTCAGAATTGTTTGTTTCTTTTCTTTCGATTATCAAATGAAATCGAATGAAAAATAAAATAATTATAACACAACCAATCAATTTATTCAATTGCATCTCGGTTAGAAATAAACACAATACTCCCACGTATTTAGTTAATAACTTTTTATCAACTTCATCACTTTAAAAGGCTAACAGCGTGAGCCTTGACTCAACTTGCTACGAATGTGTTCACATGTCGATGTATTTGCAGTAATGATTGGAAACTAAAGAAAAAGAAAGATTTGAGAAATAATCGAAGAAAAACTCTCCAAGTTAGGTAGTACAAGTATCAACAAATATCGTGGGTTTGAATACAAATGCGATTATTGTTTTGTGTGTCAATTTATCAATAAAATAAATATCCTTTCCAACACTACGATTGTCGAGGTTGGTGTACTGAAATTTTCTAACGTGACCAAATAGTATTTGTAGACATCAATACTGGATGAAAATTCTTCGAAAGTTTGAATAAATTTCCAGTTCTGTTGAACTTGTTTGGATGTAAAATTAATTTCTCTGAAAGCAATTAACAACAAACATGACGAATGTAAACAAAATAATCTACATGACAAATCTAGTTCATCAACTTACAACCAATTTACAACTGTCGCTAGTAAACAAACATAAGAAACGTAAAATATGGAAATCGTTTTATTATTTATATTCTCCGACTATCAAACATACTAAACACTATCAAAAACAATCATAAAACGTATTCGTTCGTATTGTTTTTGTGGATTGTGAAGAATCGCGATAAACTGCTATGCATGCATACATACATTTGAGCATAACATTTCCATATTTAACATATATCTTTCTTTTGTTTTCCTTTCCTATGTGTCTTTGTCTGTAGATTTAGTTTGAGAATTTCATTGTCGTAAACAAGGCGTTTTTGTAGAAGAATTTCCTAGATTTTCGCGCGCTCTCAGGTGTTGATTGCATAAAATATTACTTCAGACTTTGATTTTTTCACTGTTCTCTGAAGCATTGACCCAGAAATGTGAAGTCTAGAAATATTAATATAAAAGGAAAAACTCTGATTAATTATTTTTTTAACATATCGATGAATAAATGAAAAAAGTTTTGAGAGGGAAAATTTTCTATAGAATTATGTAATCGACACGTCTATCATGATTCTACGAGCTTTTGTGTAAGGAAATGAATTTTAAAAGGTGAAATTATGTTACTTGTTTGTACTTGAAAACATGAATTATTAAATAAAGAACAGAACAAGATTGTGAAGTTGAAAACAAAAAAACTTTTAAAAAGAAAGTTCAATGGAAAATAGAAATTGAAGTGAAACATGCATAAATAAAACTTTTACGATTCAACAGATGAAACGATTTTATTAAATTATTCTTGTATTTTCAAAGGATCCTTAAGTGAACTTTTTGTTTGCTATCAAAAGTTCCACAATAATCCTTATAAAATCTTCATCTAACATTATGCAAATAGTCGAAATAAATCCTTGTGAATATTCTGTTAAAATCCATATGAGTTATTGTTGTTTCCCGGAAACATACTGTCAGATCGCTGGATCGAATATGTTTGAAGTGCGCTACACAACATATCAATAAAGACAATAAATTTCCAATTGATTCAGAAAACAATAAAATATTGCTTTAGTCACGATCATCTTCACATACTTTTCCCTTTGTTAGCGTGGTATGTAATCGGGAAGAACATACCTATTTGTTCTTCTTTTGGCCATACTTACGACTGTTGATGTAAACAATTCCTGTTTGAACTTCGATTTTTCTATTCATTCGATTTTCTACGATGCGATCGCATGCGAAGTAAAATTTCAAGGATAAGGCAAAATTTATGGAAATGGATGATCGATTTCAGAAATTCTTTAGCTCTTCTTTTTCTATTTCATTCCAGTTGGAAGACTTTAAAATAGCACAGAAGGAACAAGAGCGACAGATTGAAAAGGAAATAAGCAATCGAGAACGAGACATTAATTGCTTAAAGCATTTTAGAAGTCGTTGTGCTGAGATTGTAAGAGAACTTTTAAGTATTTTCTTACAAAGTTTTTGAAATAAAATGTTTGTTTAATTCTTAGGAATCGGAATACTTGGAAAAGATGGCATCACAAAAGCTCAAATCAGATTCGACAATCAAAGAGTTGGAATTGGAAATAACATCACTCACTGAACAACTCATTCAATCACATCAACAGAACACTGATTACGATGATCTTATGAAGCAAACAAATGTGATGCAAAATTCCATGCATGATTTGGAGACTCAAAATGACATGCTTAGAAGAACGATTGAGTCGTACGAGCAACGATTTAGCGAACTTCAGGTTCAATTAGAGAAGATCAATTTTGAGGTGAGTTTTATTAATATAATTTAACTTTTCTTCCTTTACAATTTGTTTCATAAAATTCTTTCATCCTTTTAAGAATGAAAGTCTCATAAATGAAATCGAGAATTTGAAATCAGATGTAAGCGATAAAAATAAAAGAATATCTGAGATCACTCTCGATCATCATAAACTCGAAACTGATTACGAAAATCAAAAGAAAAATTGTAAATGTTCTTTGAAATCATCACCGGAGAAACGTTCATCATCAACAGTCATGCAAATCAATGATCTCAAGACGAAACTTATGAATAAATCCATGGAACATACGAAAGCGACAGAAGCTTTGAAGAGAAAAAGTGCGCAGCTTGAGAAACTCCAAAAAACTGCATTTGAAGAGAAAAATCGACTACGAGATGAATGTTTGAAATCAATTCAGACGATTGGTGAGCTTAAAAGCAAAATTTCCATGCTCGAATTGAGAATTCAAGATCAGAATGAAGAAGTTGCAAGTTCGAGGGAGAAAGTGAGTCAAGCACTTGCTCGAATGACGACAATGGAAACTGAATTAACATCAAAGACTGCAAAACTTGAAGATCTTGAAACAAGAGAAGAAAAGTAAGTCCCTCTCCTTTTCATGTTCAATCAAACTTATTTTTATTCACATTAGATGGCGAACACATGCTTATGAAATCACACACGAGATCAAAAATCGTAAAGAAGATTCATTCAAACGCGAACAAAAATTATTGGATGAGTTAAATGTGAAAACAAACGCAATGAAGGATCAAACGAGAATCATTCTTCAGCATGAAAATTCTATTCATCATCTAAGAAGTGAAAACGACACATTAAAATCGGCAAATGCATCTTTGAATCAAAGAGTGAGCTTTAGAGTTAGATTAACATTTGATGGATTAGTTTAACTTCATAGTTAGATTAATCATAGAATTAAATTCTAATTCAGATTAACTTTTCATTAATTTTTCTTGTTAAGATAAATGAATTACGAATGGAATTGGAGGAATTGAGAACAAAAGAAAACAGTCTATGTGACTTGCTTGAGAAAACAGAAGAAGAACTTAAAACAATTAAATCTGAAGTCTTCCAATTGTTTGTAAGTAAATCGAAATATTTTATGAAGAAAAAATTTCATTTTCTTCTCTTAAGAATACGACAACATTACCAGAAGTGAAAAATGTTCATGGAAAGATGAAGTTCGATAAAGAAGATCTCCAAACAAAGTATCAAAATCTTATTGCCGATTATAATAAACTCATCGTAGAAAATCGTCAATTGTATGAGATTAAAAATGACACAATTTCTGCTATTGAAATTTTTAAGAATCTTCAAGAAGAAAGTGCTGTTCGTGAAAACTGCTATCAACAACAAATTAAAAAGTTGACTATTGATAAACGCAATCTACATAAAGATCGAACAAATCTAACGAAACAGCTTCTTGGAAAACATCGTGACATGATCATCCTGAATTCGGAAATTGAAAAGTTTAGAGATCCAAGTGATTATGAAACGAAGTGAGTAACTGAATGAAAATAATTTACCGAATTTATTTTTATTTATTTTTTTACCAGATCAAGCAGTCAACATAATTCTATAACACCCTTTCAATCTGTGATGTATCCATCAACAATCGCTCCAATATTTCGTGCTAGCAGCAATCCAAATCTCGCAACAGATCCCATCGCAATCGAAGCCAAAAGCATCACCGAACAGATGCATCGTACAAGAAAATTCTGGTCGCATGGAATCAAAGTTGCTGCAAGTTCATTAGTAAATATTCCATCGCAGTCAGAAGCGCCCAAAGAAACAGAAAATCCATAATAGGAAAAGAAATATCTAAGAATTTTGTATTTATTTTTAATGTTTATCTTTTAACTAATGCACAACAATAATCAATGAAATTAGAAAAGAAAAGTTTTGTTTTTCAATATTGTCGATGATTGATCACTTATGTTTTCATCTTGGCTTTCAACATTTGAACTTCTTGTTCCATCATTTTCATCTAAAAATAGTTTTACAAAAAACAATTTAAGAAAATTTTATTGAAGAATTCTCCTACGTTTTCTATCATTTTAGTCATCAAAGAGTTGTCGACTTTTATCTTATTATTGTCAGAAACTTGAGAATTTTTTTCAGATTTCATCATTTCGTCAATTGTCAGCTTTTTGATCTTTTCTAAGGCATTGATAAGAAGACAATGCGTTTCATAAGCTTCAGTAGAAACAAGGGCAAGTTGCATAGTTTTTTCGGATAGCTGAGCTGTTTTCTCTTTCAAGTTTTCTTTCAGTTCCTCATTTTCATGAGAAATCTTCTGCATTCCTGCCAACTTGGCATTACTTTCTTTGGCTATACGATCAGCAACATGAAATTGAGTCTCAGCTGTCTTAAAAAGTTGCTTTAGTTCTGATATTTCTTGTTCTTTAACATCCAGAGCAGTTTTCATATCAGAAAGAATTTCATTGCTAAAATTATCAGTTTTTTGAAATGAATACTGTAATTTAATTAATTTACCTGGAAGAATTCAAAGCTGATTGTTGTGCTTTCTTCAATTCCTTTATTTCCTCCAAAGCCACTCTAAATCAAAATATATAATTAACAAAAAATTGAAATTGGTTTTAATTTAGTTAGGTACTTGTAATTTTCTGTAACTCGAAAAATTTCTTCGAGTAGACGAATGTTCTGATCTAACGCTTGATCTAAATTGGTTGTCATTTTACTAAGATTGAACAGAATGTAAAATGTAAATATTCGTTCTGAAAGTTGTTGTTGTTAGACAAATGCAATTGAAACTAGTTTTCTTCCTTTTGGAATTTATTTACATTTGAATTACTCATGGGTACTTGTACTAAAATTATTGAACCTTATAAGCCGATTTGAACCATTTTGAACTTTTCGAATCTTCCAAATCCCCAAACAAAAAATTTAAAATAAATTCTGTCATCTTGTGCTTGTACTTACAAACCGAAATAAAGAAATAGGAATTGTTTATAAATTAAAATACCTGTTCACTAGCCTGTTCATAACGTTCATTTCATACCAATACATAACGTTCATTTTTATTTAAGCTCCACTTTTAAACTAAGCTCCAAAATAAAAACATGTAGAAAACAAAATCACCACTTTGGAGCGTAGATATTATTGAGAGATTTTTAATTCATACAAGTTTTCTCTCGCGAGAATCTTTTCTGCTCTCTCATGATCATCTTTGACTTGCTTGTGGATTTAAACTTCAGTAACTTTTTGATTTTTACTTTGACATGATGTGCAAAGTGCTGTCTACTTACCTTGTAATGCTGTAAAAGCTTTGAGAAATACATAATGAAACATTGCTAATTAAAAAGAAATGACTTTTATTAACAATTAGTTATATCATGTTTAAAATGTGGATATAAAAAGTGAAAATTAATGTGACTGTAATTTGAGAGAAATATAATCGTTTGATGCGGAAGAAATATCGTATCAGCAATGCTGTAATAGAAATAAAAAATTGGCATTACTTTACCGCAGTTTCATCCGCATCATCGTTCTAATAAGAAATCGTCAGAATTCTAGAATTCCAAAATCGAGTCAAGGTTTGCTTATTATGTAAATAACAATGTTTCGTTAGAGTATAATTTGTTCAATAGAAGGTCAAACATAGCTTGAAAAATATTTAATCTTTTTTCCATAAGTAAACGGAGTTTTAAAAACAACATTAAAATATCAAATCACAAACACTCGCTCGCGCCATGGCTCAGCATGAAATCCCAAAAGTCTTGAGACACGGAAATTTGCTTGTTATCATCATAATAAGAAAAATATCGCGCAATTAAAAAAGCCAAAATTTCATGAATAAATTTCACTAAAAGGAGAGAAAAGAAATCGAGCGATGAAGCTTCGAAGGCAATGAACCAGTTCCTGAACTGCTTTTGGTTTGATCAACTTTTTTGTTGTCCAAAAGATTTTAAATTTATTTTTGGGAATTTATGATTTGCGAATGCTTAATGCGTTCAACCTACATTCGATTGACTTGCGGATTGCGGTCACAAATGACTCTCGTTTAAGATGATTAGAGGAGGCAATCAATGAATTAATTAGTTCATTGAGTCTTTTATGTTTATTCGTTCTTTGATTGCATTTAATTAGTTCATTTATTGAACTTGAACATGAAAATTGAATAATTTGATGTTTGAGATCACGTAAAAAGTAAACACATTAAAAACATTAAATGGTTTGAAAACAAAGTTACTCTTATACTTTTTACTTGTCAAGTACTTTTTGACAAGTAAAAAGTATAAGAGTAACTTTGTTTTCAAACCATTTAATGTTTTTAATTGAACATGAAACTTTAAAACTAAGCCTTGAACTTACTCAAATTTCCGATCATCTTTCCGATTCACAAATCATTTAAACAAAAATTTGTGCAAATTTATTTCATTCCGGTGAATGTTTTTGTGAGAAATTTTCAAGTTCAACGGATCGAAACATTCACTTCATTCACGAGATTGGACTAAACAACATCATAATCATTCAGAAGAGGAAACGGAAATGCTTTTAGTGATGATAAATTTCAAGCTCTTTTTATAATGCAAATCTGTTGAGAGTATAAACAACGATAAACAAACATTAACAGCAATTCTCAGCGTTTTTCGTTCCGTTACGATAATTTCAGGTGTGCAAGCCTCTCGTGAATGTCAAATGTTGAATTATTTGTTATCATTCATAGAGAATTGATTGAAGAACCGACATTAATTGGACTTCTCACTTCCACATTACAAGACAACAGCGAAGATTGAAATAATTTCTATGATGAATTTCCTTTGATCAATCGATAGAGCGATCGAGTGCTAATGAAATCAGATCACTACTAAGTGCTTTGATGGCAGTGAAAATGAGCGAAAGAAGAAACTCAAATGCGAGTAATCCAATTTGGAGTAACAAAAAAGTGAAGCAATCCAAATTGATTACCAGCGGCAGTTCATAGAAGTGAGCTGTGAGACGCCGACAATAATTGCGTTTCATGCTTCTTTTTTTTTAATTTTTTTGTCTCTATTTCTCCCTCACTTACTCACTCAAGATTTTCAGCTTTTCTTCAATTATTTAAGGCGAAATTACTCTTTACAATTGATCTGCCGACATTAATCGGTGGCACACAAGTTTCTAATTGAATGAGAAAATCACTTTCATAAAATTATTAATTAAAAATCGTTGAGAGAGAGAGAGAGCAATTTATGCGAATCTGATCGTCTCAAGTACGAAAAGTTTATTCACGCGTTCAATATTTGTCGCTCAGTTTAAGATGAAAGCGTCGAAGCATAAAACAAATTTCACGCTGAGAATTCAATGAAACGGCGACACTTGAGTCGAACCGTTTGCGAAAGTACAAGCAGAACAATGAACACTTGAAAGATGAATTTTAAGATGCGCAATTGATTAATTTCCACATAAATCTTATGAGAAATGGCAAGCAAGGAAGGAAAGTGTGCCAAACGCAATGATCATATTTAGCTAGATGTGCCAGCTTCCGACGATAAAGCTTCTCTAAGATTAACAAATTTTCAGGCACTCAACAACAACAATGGAAGATGAAATTTATTAATTATCGCTTTGAGATAGCATAAAGTGCCAGTTACGATCATCTCTGTCGTTGTCGGTTTTTTGAAATTTCGTGTCGCACTCAAATTAGTCGATTACAAATCGAAGCTTTTACGTGCGTCTTTCAGCGTGTAATTAGAGTCATTTATCGTCGTTACTAGCACAGCCCAATCACCATTTCGATCTATTGAGTAACAAGCAGCATAGTTATTTGTTATTTCTTTCTTATTTGTTACTTAAAGAGAGAGAGAGAGAAAAATCTTCAACTGCAAGTTCCTGGTTACGCTTTCTTTTCCAAAGACGAAGTCCAACCAACTATCGATTAAATTTTGTATTTTCACGAAATCTTATCATCAACAAAGGGAAGAAAGAAGAAAGAAAAATTCCATTCAATTGGCTGATGCGATGACGTTAAAATGATTGGAAAATAATGTTGCTTTAATGGTATCACAACTTCAGCTTGTAAGTTCGTTAATAATAATCGAAAATATCGAAGAAGCGAGAGAAACTGCTAATGATCGTCTTTCTTCGGTTCCGATTTCTTCATCGATGAGATTCTTGAACGTTTAAATTCCGATAAATCATAATTATTACAAAAAAAGCTTTTTGGATTTTGACGCCAACATTTGTAAGTATTAATTGTGTTGTTGCGACAATGATCGAATGAGGAATGTGCAAAGAGAATAAATGAGACATTTAAGCAAGCCGAAAGTCTTCAATTTTGTCCATTCAGATGGAAATCTTTTCCACTCATCTTCATCAACACTTAACCACATTGTTGTCGATGTTTGCTGGTACTTGATCCATGATGTTTACTTCTTTTCGCAAATAAATGTTCTCAACTTCATCGTTGTGTAATAACTGCGAATATTGATTGCAGGAAATGCATTCAAGCGAATAATTCGCTGACCGCGTCAGTTGGCGAAGAATTTTTTTTCTCATCCACCAAAGCAAGCAGATGGAATTGTTTTTATGTTATTCTCTTCAAATGAAATTCTTCGCGGCAACTCCCATCGATGATCCATCGACAGAATTAAGTGAAACCTTCATGGGAACATTTCTAATCGATTTCGTGCGATCACCCAGTGCCCATTTCTAGTTAAAGTGAAAGAGCTTAGAGAAAGATGCAAACTGTAATGAATCTTAATATGATGTGTCGTGTCAAATGGACTTAATTCAAATGCTGTTGAACGATTTCGGATAATCCTGAACGAAGCGAGATTTTATGGTCGTTGAAGTAGCATCAAAAGAAATATTTACTTTTGCAAAGTATTTATTTTTTAAAATTTCTTTCCGCAAGCTTAACAACTTAGCTAATGCTTGATCATTAATGTCGGCATCATGTTTAACAAATACTTTCATCATTGTGGCTTTAAAGCAAATCATCTTCGATGAAAGTTTTGAGAAATGCGATTGCTTTTTTGCGCTTTTTCTCGATTCGTTTTTAAATTATTCTTCATAGAGAGACCGCAAAGAAGTTGGAATCGATTTTGCTGATGGCATGAAGCGGATTTATTAAATCAATCTCATATCCAATATCGAACGTGCGAAACAAATAAAAATATAAAAAAATGTGCTGAAAGTTCTTTACGTGACTGTAAATGATTTTTTAGTTTTATTTTATTCTTGCCGCTGGAATCTTTATTCTTGTATTAAAATTGCATCATGATCTTTACTCTGACCTCGCAAACTATCAAAGTATCACATTTCCCCTGGCTTTGGAAAGAATGTTGGGAGATAATTGAAGACGATTATTGATTGACACACTAATGTGAATTCATGCAGTGATCAAGTTTCATAAAGTCGTTTGATTGAAGTCAAAGGAAGCAATGTTGGCTTTCTTTTCATGCTTACAATTTAAAAATAAATTTAATTAAATTATCTTAATAAATTTTCTTTTTCTTTCTATTTTCAGACCACGATTGTAGTTTTATATCGTCACAGAAAAAGGTAAGAATGACTTTCATTTGTTTAATTTCTTTATTTTCCATTTAAAAGCTATTTTCATATCTAAGCAACAAAATCTCAATGAATAAATCATTAAACTTCTCCATTTACTCGCAAATGAAAACAAATTTGTGTCAAGATTCATTAATTTCCCACCGTTTGACTTTGGATGTAACTCATTTGTGTCGTTTTGCAAACGACCGGAAGATAAAAAGCGATCATTTTGTTGGTGGATAAAGAGCTTGTCTACTTAAAAAGCATTTTAGTCAAATCTTAAAGTCATCAAATCAAGTGCAAAAGATGAAGAAGACAAAACAAAAAACAAACTGGTTTAATTTGTAGTCTCGTAAAATTTCACATGTTGATCCACTTTTCATTTGATCAAAACTTTTGTTTGGATTCGGCTTGCTGATAAAACATGTTATTTTATGTACGAGCCTCTCGTTTTGCTGTTCATGTTAATGATGGAAAGAAAGAAGAAGTCTTCTTGTTGTTGGACATCTCGCAGTCAAGAAATTCAATTTTGACGTCTACTATGAGAAAGAATTCTCAATAAAATGAAATGTTTACTTCTTCTTGGCATTAACTGGATCTTTGCGAGAGAAAGAAATAGATTGAGAGGCAGTGTCAAGAAAGAATTAATATTTAATATTCGTAAAGCTCCGACACAGTAACATTAAACCGTTTTATTGTTTCTCGATCTAACAAGACATCCAACAGTACACGATAGGGTTAGACAGGCTTTAATCTTAAGACATGTTTCACTAACCTGATCATCATCATCATGATTCTGTTTTCTATTTTATGTTGTTTGATTAATGAATCATTCAACTTTTTGTTCACCTTTTTCTTTTTCGCCATAATTCGTGAGAGACGAGACAACGAGAAAAATGCTTGTGACCTAAAAAAACAAAGACTTCAAGTGAATGGTTTATGGCACAACAATGAAGCACGTGAATATTTCTTTCTGAAAATTTCATTAAAATATCATAAAAAGGTGCTGAAAGTAAAGATATTGATTTCACATTCAAGTGATTTCCCCAAACTTGTGTCTAATCAATTCGAGAGTGAATAGGAAAGTTTGAAGTTGTGATAAAAGAAATTATCGCTTCAAAGTAGGTTTTCAGTCCCTTTCGAATGGTTTGTGAAGCCCTTGAGTGGAGAATCAAGTTGACTATGAAGATCCACAACTGAAATCTGTTTGCAGTGTAAATTAACTTCTTGTTGTATGTAGATTGAAAATGAAATTCTAACAGTTGATGGACAAACAGCGGTCATTGCTCAAGTGGTGAAGTTGCAATAGATGACGTTAATTATCATTCTTGCATTTCCTTCAATTACTCTGTAATTATCACAATTACTTCGCTTCCTTTATCTTCAACTCTTGTGTCGCTTTGATCTAAAGCAATGAAAACTTTAATTTATTTATTTTATTCCACTCAATGCTTCTGTTACTACATCCAGCGCAGTTACTTTTTTCACTTGTCTCTTAGGAAAGTAAAGAAATTTATTTCCAGGTCGATAACAATTTCAATTGACATTTTTATCGATATTCAGTCGTTTCGCAATGTTTGAGAACTTTTATTCTTTCTTTTCTTTTTATTTTGTTTTGTGTTTAATGATCTGAGAGAAACAAACGTCTCACATGTGGAACATGTTATCGTAGCTTTTGCTTTTTTGCAAGCGACTCTTCGGGTGCTTTTAATTAATACAATGTCAGATTGTCGATAAAAATGGAAAGAAATTGGAGAACATGAAAAGGAAATGTTCGCTTCGACTTTCTACTGAAAGAAGAGAATTTCATTTAAATTTAAATATCATGGCGGTGAAATTGCACAGAAGAAAGAAAAAGAAGTTTTTTGTTTTTTAATTCACGAGATAAAATTTCTTATCTTCTTATTCAAAGCAAAAGTTACATAAAATTCATTTGTAAATATATAAACTTTCCTCATGTGAGATGATAAAAATAAATTATGCTTTCATTGCTACTGTTGATGTGAATTCATGTACTCAATGATTGTCTGCATAAGCTCAGAATCGTTTCTTTCATCATTTCGACGAACTCTGGCACTAAAAAGGAGTAAAAGGTGAAATATTATAATTTCGTGTAAATATTTTGTGATTCTTACGCATTCGTTTTGGCTTGTTTTGCTGCTGATGCTGCTTTATAAGCAGCTTGCTTTGTATTTGCATAGTCAGCTCTTGCAGTTTTTATTTCACGAAGTAAAGCTTCGACCCGATTCTTTGCTGCTTCCAATAATTGAGTTTTCTCGCTTAGTTCTTGTTGTGCGCCTTGAGCAGCTTGCTCTGAATTGCCAAGATTTCCTTGGGACATCTGAACAGCTTCAGTTAGCATCTTAAGTTGAGTTGCAGCTTGTTGAGCGGCTCTCAATGCTGCATTTGCATTTGCTTCAGATTGTTGAATGCTCGAACTTAAATCTTGTACGACAATTTCAGATTCTCTTAATTCACGTTCCATTTGCTCAACAATTGCTTGCTTTGCTGATAAAGCAGCTTGAGCAGCCTTTGCAGCTTGAATTGCTTTCTCGGCGAGTTGAAATTTGGCCTGCTTTGATGCTTCTTTTCCTGCAGTCTCCTGAGCATCTTCAGCTGCCTTTGCTTCTTGAGCAGCTTTCAAAGCAATGTTTGATGTTTTCTTACTGTTTCCAGCACTTGAATCCATAAAACTGTAACTACGTCCATTATTTTTGTTATTACAATCAGTTCCCTCTTCACAAGTTTCTGTTGATCTCGGATCAAGATATGAACTATCAACACTTCGAACAACTTTTGAACCTTCTTCAAAATCTGAATCTTCACGCTCATCAAATTTACTTTCATCGTCTTCCGAATCGTTAACGTAATCAATGTTTTCACGATCGTCATCTTCTTCTACCTCCTCATTGTACTTTTCCTTTTCTTTTTCGACCTTGCGCAATGCCACTTTATCATTGTTTTCGTGTTGACGATGTAAAAAGTTTTTAAACCAGTCGAAATGTTTGAACATTGTGCCACCTTCATTTGCTGCTTTATTACAATCTTTTTCATCTTTTACGAGTGGAGTTTGCTTCGCATCTTGCTGTAGATGTTCTGAAAAGCGATCACGATGTTTGATATACCGCACAAAACGGTTTCCAATGTCTTCAGATTCCTGTGAGAATATTCAAGAACGACTTAAGGCATTATTCAGCTAAAAGTAGGTGACTTACTAATTGGTTCGATTCATCGATTGCTTTATTCTGACACAAGCCAAATGATGCAATCAACATTAGCACAGTAATTACAAAATAAAAAGAACAGCACGAGAACTTCATTTCACAGTTAAGAAATTGTTTTATGCACAAACAAGTTGAAATACTTTCAGAAATGAATGGAAAAATTATTGTTCAATTGCAACGCTTACTTTAATTACCGCGTATACAAAATTGTTCAGAACTGGGCGTGGAGTCACAAGTCGTTGGTAAATTAGAGTGATTTATGCATTTGCTTATGTTGACACAACGACTAAGTCATGGAAATGCAACCAAACATTTTTCTATTCCTTTCCGTCGCAAATTAAACATTTTCATGCAACATGAAGAAATATTTCAAAGTTTAATTCACAAACATGAGTCGTAAGCGAAAATTTTTATTTTGTTATATTCAATATTTATCTTGATCTTATGCATGATTCACATGATTTGTGAAACCAAATGAATCAATTATTTGACCTTTCTAGGGCAGGTGAAAGGAAAATATTAACGTTTTTTATGGAAGATTTAATTACAAGACATCGACGACGGTTTTGACTTTTCAATAGCGATTGACTTTGTTAGATTATATTTCGTGATTTGTGCGTGATTAACTGTCGATTTTTAGTAATTTACTTATGGTCTTTCTCGTTTGACCTTATTGAGCAATTCAATACTTTTCTTTCAATTTCGAATTTATAATTGAAGAACCTTCCATGCCCTATTTGATGTTGAAATCCGCTCCACAACCTACTAGCTTCAAACATAAAACAAATTCTCGTACTAAACAATTTGTGATTAAATAATCTCAATAAGGTATAAAATTGTTCAATTACCATCGTAATCTTCAAATGGAATAGAGAATGCCTAACGAGAAAACTATTTCAACTTTCTTTCTACTTCATCATCGTCTTCTCAATCATCTTCATTTCGCACTGTCCAATGCATTTCAACATTCTTTTCTTACAAAGAAAGTTTTTTTCATCTAAAATTGCAACAGTTTGAATTTCTGTTTAAGGTCAAGACATCTTAAATGCTTTTCACTTTCAAAATTACTTTGATATGTTTGCAATTTAGTAATTAAAAAGTTTTCAACAAGCATTTTCTATTGCTAATTGGATTGTATCCCCACATGGCATGTCGTCGTTGTGTGACATGTTCCAATAAGATTATCTCGCTCATGTCATGATAAATAAAAGCGAAACTTTATTAAATGTAATGGAATTTATTTATTTTGCATTAGATTCATGATTTAAACGAGCTTGAATGTCCAATAAATTTATTCTGTTTCGAATAATAAGATTGAAGTCTACAATTATTCAATACATTTGATTCCATGTAATTATATGCGATTTTTCACTTACGATAATTAAAGATGGAAAGGTTGAAAGCTTGAAAGCACTGAGAATGCAGAGCGAGATGTTTGTGAACTTTCAGATTGTTGAAACATCGATTAAACATAAGAAGAGTTAATGAAACGTCAGAGATCGAGCAATTAGCATTGAGAAACAATTAACGCCTCTTTGGAAAGTCTCAAACCTTGACATCATCACAATCATCGCCATCAACTTTGATTTAATTGATTTTTTATTTTCACTTTTCAGATTCTTCTCAAAATCGGTGTTGCTGTGTACGAAGCTCTAGATTTTAATCTTTCGCAAGAAGAAGAGTGCATCTTGTCACAAGACCTTCATGATTTAATCAACATGATGACTTTTGAAGGTAAGAAATTCCACAAATCTTTCTTTTTAAAATTTATGAGAGAAATTCGTTAAATTCCACAATAAAAGTATAAATAAAATTGAAATCAGATTAAGTTCTTGTTCCCACGTATTATTTGAAACCAAGCCACCACCTTTTGAGCAAGAAAAAGTGTGAGAAGTTTCACTTGAAAGTGTCGAGAAAATTCACACAATTTTATTGTTTTTACTTTTGGGGGAATTTTTCTTCTCAAGTTTTAGAATTATTTTCATTTCAATTGCTTCTTAATTCAAATTCATACCTTTTGGCACGCTAAGTTGAAAGCAACGGAATAGAATTCTTGCATAAAAAAACTGAATTTCATGTCGTTATCTCTGTGCTTACATCGCGGATACTTAGCAAATGTTCATCGCCACAATGGCGAATAAAAATCCAAGTTAGACGACGGAGGTCGTTGAATCTTGTTGAGTTGCAATTTCCATGCGAAAATCGTGATTGCATTCAACGATTATGCTCATCTCGCATTGTTTACAAGCAACTTAAGTTGCGAAATTACATGGAAATGAAGGAAATTTACTTCAATTTCTGATGAAATCTTTCGAAAGAAATTTTTTCTTGTCTTGAATTTCTATCCAAACCAAAATTCATCCGAAACATCTTCACAAATTTCCTTCAAATGCAAATCATGAAATTTGTTAACATTCAAAAAAATTACACGCAAGAGATTTAGAAATTGTGGAATTAATTTCAAGTTGTCACGAGTAAATAAGCGACTCAAGTCGGCAATTAGTTTGTGATGAAAACCAACTTGATGTCCAATTTTTCTTTGAAATTCAAACGACAAAGAGACAGAAAATCGACTTTAATTTATTTCACTTCGTTTCTTCTCTCCTCACGACGACAACAAGTCAAAAGAACTTAATTCTCACGATGCTCAGTCACTTGTTTCAATAAAGAAAAAGAATCTCAAATATCTGCATAATTAAAGCAGAAACTACAATAAATAAAAAAAGAAAGAAATGCAGAATAATGAAGATAATGAAACGTTCAAGTGTTGAAACAATTTTCATCTTCATTTTTGGACAATGAATTGTTTGCTTCCGCTACGAAACGAAATGAAGCTCAGAAGATTAAAGAAGAAATCATTCCGCGATCAAACTCATTCGACGATACCCAAAAGATGACGCGACTGATCGTTTCATGTCTAAATGATTTCTTCGCATTCCAATTCTCATAAATTGAAGTTGAATTTCTCTCTTTAATGATCTTTCAGACCTTTTTATACACAAAAGGTGTTAATTGAATTATTTTTCTCCAATCTCAAAGCGGAAGCCGAAATCGACGACGAGGGGATTGAGCGAGACTCGGAAGAGATCGACGACGAGAAGTTTTTAGACACCAAAGAACTGGATCATATACTTGAGGTGAGTTTGTCGTTTCTCTTGATCAATTAATTCTTTGATTGACTATCTAGATCACTTTTTGTGTTGTTTATTGCGACAGATTTTCATTCGAAACTAGTTCGCTTGAATCACGACAAGAATGTGAAATGAAATTTTAAAATTTTGAACTTTGACTTTTACAAGTTCACGTCAGTCGACAAATTTGCCTAATTCAATGTTTAAACGACAAAGTCGCGTTGATTTCCAAACAAATTCCAAGACTTTGTTGAATTTTCTCACATAAAATCTCGCATGTTTGTCGACGACCCGATCTAGCTTACGGTATTGTGTGTGCTGGCAATGACAGAAATGGTAGTTAAGTTAACAAGATAAAGAAAAATCTCCACACTAGACTTGATCAATATTTAGTTGTTTTCGGGGATTTTAAATTATTATTTATTAAGATTTGTTACACGAACGTTTTAAGTGGCGTTTTGTACGCTAAAATGTTGTTTTCAGAAACTTTTCAACTTACTTTATGACTGACTGTTTGTTGATGTCCCGAGGGCATTTAAAGAATAATTGCTGGTGAATGGTTTCAAGGTTCGAAAAGAACCACTTGCATGGCGACGTATAAGGAAATATTTTGACATGAACATGTGCAATGAATCTAGTAATCGCTTCATTGAAGGATCTTCCTTTTCATGCCTGATCGACTTTTGTTTGTTGCTGATGCTTATCACACATCGTCAGTCAGTGACTCACTCACTCATTCACTTCATCGACTGCTGACAACATTTTAAGCTGCCACCACTTTGTGAAGTTATAAAGAATTTTAATCAGATTTGTGGTTGAGAATTCGGCAATAAAATAAATCACAAGAGCTTCGAATCCACTTCAAGGTTCATTTAAATGAAGACAAATGCGATGAAATGGCGAGAAAAGTATTAACAACTCGAAAGAATTTTAATTGAATTTCGAAGAACAACCAACAACCTTTTATGGTTTGACGATGCTGTTGATCTCGAATCTCATAATTTATTGTGAAATGTCCTCAAGTCTTTTGTAACTACAAGTTAAGAAGGAAGGGCTCAGCACAACACATCACATCACATTACGTACGACCAAAATAACGACTACGACAACAGAAAACAAAATTGAAATTTAATGAGATCACGAACGAATTTGAATTGAGTTGTGGTAACAAAAGCGCCAACTGCAAATGTTTCATGTTCACCATCGATCGTCGAGAAAGAAAAATAAAAATCTTAAGATCACAATAAATTGCGTAACTTTAGTTGAATATATCACACAACCTTGATCACGTCATTTATTGATCTCATCTTTCGACTTCACGATTCATCGAAGCATGGAAATAAACTTTCTACAACAAAAAGCTGCAACAAGCAATAAAAATCTGCTGCGGTTTTTGAATCTCGTTCAGCTCAATTGCATTTGAGATAAGAAACGATGTTGTAGTTGACGATTTGGGGTTGTCATCAATTGACGTTCTAATGTGTTAAGTGGCGGTGAGTGAAAGCGACACAGCTGATCAGCTTTGAAAATAAAGTTTCAAGCACGAACTTTGTTGGTTTTGTAAATTGACATGAAGAAGCCGCAGATACAAACAAACGAGTTATGAATCAAATTCCAGTAAAAGTGCGTGAGATATCTAAAATGTTTAAATGCTATCTCGAACTTCGCAATCACTTTCAAGTTCATGTTTAGTCTGAAAATGGAGAAATTTGATTTCAAGTTGAAAAAGATAATCGGGATGGTCATGGAACGAACGCAATTAAGATCACAAAGTAAATGAAAGTTTCGCGACTTTCTTCGTTTCCAGCTGAAAACAGCCACGAAACATTTTGACCTTCTCAAAGATTATTTCAAAGAAACTTTTACTAAGAAAACACGCACAGTGATCGTCTGTTGAACTTGTAGCCTTTCTTGGGTGAAGTTTTTTAAAATAAATTGAGATGATGATGTTGAAGAAGAAGATCGTTGCGTTGATTACTTTTCTAAGTTGCTTCCGCTTGCTGTTTGTTAATTAAAGATGAACCTCCATAACAACAAAGACGAAGCTAAAGATTTGTGAATGAAACAAATGATTTGCTGCCAACATTTGTCAAAGTGGAAATCGGGACAATTTCTTATCTCATGAAATTATTCATTTAAAGACGAAGATGAAGACGACATCAAGAAATGCGTCGAAGCTATAAAGTTTAGGGAAATGGTTAGATAACAACTTAATCGCTTTACTTGCGACTCAACATTTATTTCAATTATGAATTCGAAGTCGAAAATCCGCTCGTGAATGTGGCAAAGATGAAAACAAAAACAAACATACAAAGCCGCGGGAAAGCAAAAAGCGATGTGGGTGGCGATCGAATTAACAATTTTGTTTCTAATTTTCATATTTTGGAAACAATCGACGATCAACAAGCTTCGCACAAAATCGAAACTTCATCAATGAAGGAGGAAGGAGAGAAATAATTGATCGATGATTTGTTTAGAATGATTTTTAATTCTCATTGTTTGTTTTCTTTGCTATTTCCAATTCTAACGAGGAAAGAGAATTAGAAGAAGAATCGCAAAAAAAACTGCTAATGACTTTCACATCGTGCGAGAATTATTCCAACTACGACTCATTCACTTCTTAATCATTTTCGTTGTTTGTTGCTTTTGCTGTTCAACGATGTGATGAAAGATTTAAGACTTGTGCTTCTTGATAGCATTCTTCTTCTGTTATTCAACGACGAAGACGACAACGATTGATGTCTCGTGGGCCTCATGACCCAATTCACTACAATCGTTTTCCCATTTCTTCCCCAACTAAAAAACTTTTCAATGAGAAAAAGAAAAATAAACAAAAACATGGAAATATGCAGAAATGGAACCACGAAGAAGTCTTCGAGAAAACTTCAATGAATATCATCAAAGCATCGTTAAAACGGTGCGCATTCGGTAATGAACTTGACAATTCTGTTTCGTCAATAAAGAAATGAATGAAGTCGAAATCAAGTCTTTCATCACCGCCGTCGTCATTTCCTGGAAAAGATTTAACTGTACAAAGTTTGTTTGTCTTTCGTTATGTTGGAAGACACCGAGAGAAACTTTAGTAACGTCAACACCTGACACGGTGGCATTCTCTTGTCATTCTTCTGCAAATATCTTACTCTGCATCTTCTATACAAGATCATCGATGGAGAAATTCTTTAATTTAATTCCAAACTAATTAAGATCGGATTCGATTGACATTCAGAAGTTTTTTTCTTCACTTTGTAATTTGCAATTATTCGATTCGTTTTAACGATTCAATGAATGCACTGAGAATGATTAATCTTTCATTTCTTAAGATATCGCGAGAATGACAGACGAGAATCAAATGACATAAAAGGAATGTTGTCCATCCACATCTTCAATTTCATCTTTTGATGTCTGCTGCTGCTTCACTTTATCTGTAAATGGAAACTTTAATGAAGAAATTATTTATGAAAAATATCGACAATAATCTGACAGTTAAATGAATATTTTGATTAAACGGAAATGTGACTTGTGACCTTAGAGCTCAGTTGAAATATTTTCCCCACCCACACAATTCAGTTTAACTCAAAATGCAAATTAATTATGTTGGATAAAAATTTTAAGTCAGTTGCTGTCATTAGCTAATAAAAATATTTTTACACAAGGAAGGCTTGAAAACGCATTAGCGAGAAGCGATATTAAGTTAATGGAAATAAAACCTGACACCTCCAACATTAAGCACAGCCATCAGCCAAACGCCGCCTCTCATACTGATCGCTCGCTCATGTAACATTCATCATGACATCAGATCTGATCATGATTGTTGTGCTTGTGACTTGTTAGGAATTCATTTGATGGTGTCGACGAAAATAAAACAAAACGAATTGTTTGTTAAAGACGACCACGAACCACCTTTCGAATTCTTTCTTCTCAATTTGTTTTGCTTTCCGTCAATAAAACACTTCGATAAATCACAAGATAACGAGAAATGTTGTGATGGGATTGTAAGAAAAGTTTTCGTCGTCTCGTCAGTTGTTGTTGAAGTTGAAACGAGTTGAATCTCCGGAATTATTTTATCAGACAAAACTTTTCTTCTTTCATTAAAATTTTCGTGGAGTTCTCTTCACGACCCATTTAAAAGAAGTGAAATTAAGTCGTCGATATTAAAGCAAAACAGCGAAGTTTTTCTCATTCAATGATTTTCCTTCTTTGTGCTGCTTTCTGCAGTGTGGTGTTTAGTTCCACAAGTTGCCTGCTCTAAGCTTTCATGAGTCACGGAACGAAACAAAACTAGACGAGAAATGAGCTTAATGTCAATACGAAAAGTCATTTTTTATCTTATTTTCAGTTCTTCAAGTGCCAAATGAAATTATGGAATTTTTTGTGCGAAATTCAAAGGAAAACGTTGATGTTGTCTTATTCTACCGTTACTCGATCATTGCACACGTTGATGCAGTGCTTGCAGATGCTCTCGAATGAATGAATTGTTGCAACCTTCGCTTAGATCAACCAATTAACATAAAACCTTGAGCAGATGAGTTTAAATAGAGCAACGAGAGGCAGTTGAATAACGAAATAAATAAATAAATAAATAAATCCAGAAGCGATGAAACATGCAACACGAGCAGAGACATGCAGTAAAAATTTACAATTTTCCTCTAAATATACAACATCGCCGATGATGAGCTGTTAATGGTTGCGTAACAAAGACATGTCGATAAACTATCCGAAATTAAGTTTGAAAGTCTCATCAATAAATTGAATGTGCCATCAAAATGTTTTTTATCATTTACGAATTTTCTGCAATAAATTTTTGAAACACTCTCTCAGCTGCACTTCTTTTTGTTTTCTGTTTCTTCTCTTTTTAATTAATGATGAATCTGGAAATGGAATTGAGACGTGTTTCTCCACTTCCCAAAATGCGACTCCATTAATTAAGATTTGACGACTTGATAGACCATTAATCAAACATACATACATGAAGACTGAGTAATAAAACATTTCGTGGCTTAACCCAAATCAAATCACATCACAACATATCGACTGAACTTTCATTTTAAGTTTCCTGGCCGAAATTTATGTAACAATATTTTTAGGTCATTCGCCAAATCAACATGAAAAGTAATAAAAGCTTTTATTTCTTGTCACTTTCCATCTCATTGAACTTTTGATAAATGTAATGAAAATTTTCTTCATCTATTTGAATTAAAAATCTCAAGAAAAAATGTTTAAGAAGCAAAACTCAGCAAATGTTTGATTTGTTTTGTTAAAGCTAAACTAACATGTGACGTGATGTTGAAGGCTTGACTGGAGTATGTTCTTATATTTTAATGAAACATTTTTGACTTCAAAGAGTTAAAAGCACTCACTTGAACTTTATTTAGTTCGCAAAGCAGTGAAGTCAATGTTATATATGTACATAAATAAAATAATCAGCGACTATGTAAATATCTTTATGATCATGAGAACCGTTAAACATTTATTTCCTAATGTTTTAGTTCTAAGCAACTCAAAATTTCTTTCTTTTGTCTTCAGCCATCGACCTTTAACTGACAATAACTGACAGCACAATAATTTCTAATCAATTTCAAAGCATGCTTTTCAAGTTTATTTAAGATTTGAGATTTATTACGAAGAATGATTGAAACACGATTTGTTCTTTTATAGAATAAAAATTTTGATTAACTTCTCGATTAAATTTAATTTTTTCTTCTCTTTCTTTCTCTCACAGTTGTGTACGCCACGAGTGCAGCCATCAAGTCCCGAAGATCATTACCGCGCTGTGTGTCGAGCTTTAGCAACTGAGAGCAGTGAACTTCGAGTGTTTCTTACGAAAGTTTTTACCAACGATGCTGAATCCCTGAGAATAAAAGCAGATGCACAATCATCGAGACAAGAATTGGCAAAGCTAGCATTTAGTGATTGGGTAAGCTTATTGAAATTTTGTTTTCTTAAGACTTGTTTACCTCCAACGTAGACTTTTGAATAAAAAAAATATATTGACTAACTTTACAATGATTGATCAATGCAAAAGCCATACTCAATACGATTGTTTAACTGTTCATGTAATTTTATTATCTTATCTTTACGCTTCAAACATGTTCAGAAGTTACAACAATAAATCATTGATTTTTACTCGAATTTCACTTCCTAATAATTGAGAATTCCACATCAGATACCTACCACAACTGTTCATTCGGAAATAATTCCAACTTAAAATGATTATGAAACTGGTTCACTTAAGAAAAAAATGTTGTAAATGAAATGAATTATGCACATGGAGTTAAATTTTCGATAACAAACGTTGATGTTTTATTATATTTTTTTTGCACAGAAGAGATTATGAACGAAACAGATTATAAACGTACACTTTGTAAAAGTGCTCATAAACGTTACAACTTAAAGAAACACTTTAAAAAAATGACTGAGTAAAGATCGAGTAACATGCACTTATCAAACTAGCATCTTACAAAATCATTTAATGATCAAAGATTGCGCATCAGTTTAATGATCAATAAACCAAAAAAATAATTAAAACTGTTTGCTAATTAGACAACTTTTACATTTACACTCGTCGAGATTAATTTCATTTTATTTCACGCTCATATAATTACGCAATTGATTGAGCACTTAATAATAATTTTCCTCTCAATGGAAAAGATGAAATGTGAGAATTATTAGGAAACATTTATTTTATTCTCTTTTAATTCTTAATTGATGAACATAAATAATCATTTAAAAAATCACTAAGAGTTCCAATCCCCTTGACATTTATTAGTCAGTAAACCTAAAATTCACTTAGTTACTCTCCCCCCAACATTATTACTTCCATCGACATTTCGTATGTTTCAAACACAACAAATCGTTTCTATTAATGAATTCATAGTGAGACTTTATTCATTCCAATAAACATCATAAATTGCGTAACATTTATTTGTTGTTTTTAATAAAATTTTTTAATTACCTCATTAATTATGAGCAATAGAAATAAATTTTCTTCATTTTCTTCATGCTCCAAAAAAGCAAAAAAATATTAAATTTACGAGAATTTTCTTATGACGGTCAAAACAATTTCTGTTATTTTGTGCAAATGTGAAGTAATTGCGATTTATGCTTTCGACCATTAAGCCAATGAGTGCTGCAAATAAATTGATTCAGCTCAACACTTTAGATTTGTGGTTTGAAAAATATTTCAACCTCAAAACTGTAACAAAATCAAAAGAATTCGAGAAACCGCTAAGAAAATTTTCAATTAGACAAGTCCATGACGATCATCACAAAATTCGCATCACTGAAGTAGATATTTACGTCTCTAGTTAATTTTTCTCATTTTTATGTCTTAAGTAATCTAGGCAGCGGTTTCATCTGTGGATCTTCTGCACTTTAATTTAAGTAAATGTTTCTTGTTTGTTACATAAAAAACGAAATATTTCTTAACGCACAATAGTTAATTAAACCAGGCAACAATAAAATAGTTATTTAAGTTAGGTATTCAAACCTTCAGTTGTATAATTTACATATATGTGACGAGATAAATGAGCACGATTATGTTCACAAGAGACTTGCGATGATATGAAATGTGCGTTTGATTGCCTTGTGCCATCATTAGTTGTAACCTTTGTTATTCTTGTGTTCATTTGCAAATGCAAGAAAGAAGCACAATTCATGATGTTATAAAAAGATTTTCTATTATTTACACTCGTTGACATCTTTCAATTTTTTTTGATGCGAATTCATCTCGTTAATGATTTTTTATCGTTTTTCTTTCTCTTCCTTCCCTTTCTTCATCTTTTATGATTGACTCATAAATGCATTTGATTTCCAAGATGAGAAGTTAAGTAACTGTTGCTTCAACTATCTCGTTATTTACTTTTTAATTTATTTATTGGGAAAATTAAACTGTTAACAGCGAAGTAAATTACAATAGTCGCGGAACTAAAATGTGGAGAGATGAGAAGCGAAGAGAAATTGTAACAATTGTGGAAAGAATGTGATGAGCTCAATCATTGATTACTCAAGCGAACAAAGTAGATGATGATGAAGCTTGATAATCACAAAGTTTTCCTTCAACTAGGAAGTANATTAAAGCAAAACAGCGAAGTTTTTCTCATTCAATGATTTTCCTTCTTTTTGCTGTTTTCTGCTGTGTGGTGTTTAGTTCCACAAGTTGCCTGCTCTAAGCTTTCATGAGTCACGGAACGAAACAAAACTAGACGAGAAATGAGCTTAATGTCAATACGAAAAGTCATTTTTTATCTTATTTTCAGTTCTTCAAGTGCCAAATGAAATTATGGAATTTTTTGTGCGAAATTCAAAGGGAAACGTTGATGTTGTCTTATTCAACCGTTACTCGATCATTGCACACGTTGATGCAGTGCTTGCAGATGCTCTCGAATGAATGAATTGTTGCAACTTGCAACCTTCGTTTAGATCAGCCAATTAACATAAAACCTTGAGCAGATGAGTTTAAATAGAGCAACGAGAGGCAGTTGAATAACGAAATAAATAAATAAATAAATAAATCCAGAAGCGGTGAAACATGCAACACGAGCAGAGACATGCAGTAAAAATTTACAATTTTCCTCTAAATATACAACATCGCCGATGATGAGCTGTTAATGGTTGCGTAACAAAGACATGTCGATAAACTATCCGAAATTAAGTTTGAAAGTCTCATCAATAAATTGAATGTGTCATCAAAATGTTAATTTTTATCATTTACGAATTTTCTGCAATAAATTTTTGAAACACTTTCTCAGCTGCACTTCTTTTTGTTTTCTGTTTCTTCTCTTTTTAATTAATGATGAATCTGGAAATGGAATTGAGACGTGTTTCTCCACTTCCCAAAATGTGATTCCAGTAATTAAGATTTGACGACTTGATAGACCATTAATCAAACATACATACATGAAGACTGAGTAATAAAACATTTCGTGTCTTAACCCAAATCAAATCACATCACAACATATCGACTGAACTTTCATTTTCTTTGATAATTAAAACAAAATTGAATTCATGTTTTAAATGACAACAAACGCAAGTAATATTGTTGTAAAAAGATTTTCTATTCTTTACACTCGTTGACATCTTTCAATCTTTTTTTTGATGCGAATTCATCTCGTTAATGATTTTTTATCGTTTTTCTTTCTCTTCCTTCCCTTTCTTCATCTTTTATGATTGACTCATAAATGCATTTGATTTCCAAGATGAGAAGTTAAGTAACTGTTGCTTCAACTATCTCGTTATTTACTTTTTAATTTATTTATTGGGAAAATTAAACTGTTAACAGCGAAGTAAATCACAATAGTCGCGGAACTAAAACGTGGAGAGATGAGAAGCGAAGAGAAATTGTAACAATAGTGGAAAGAATGTGATGAGCCCAATCATTGATTACTCAAGCGAACAAAGTAGATGATGATGGAGCTTGATAATCACAAAGTTTTCCTTCAACTAGGAAGTAAATTTATGAAATTCTTTAAAAGCATTACAAGACATCTTTCGACTAACTCACTCAACTATTCATGTTGACCGTCAGCAACGTGTCGCGTGTTCAGCTCATTCATTGAGTGAAATGAAAACTATTGAATCGAAAGTCAGGAATTGGAGAAAGATTTATCATCACACGTTAATTAATTTTAATTGAATGTGACATGTGTTGGGAAACTGAAGCAGTAGCAACAACGGCAATGACAGATATTTGTAGATTCCACTGGCAGCATGCAAGACCAAATTTCATCTCAGACAAGTAAAATGAAATAATTAAAGGTGAAAGTTTATTGTTTTGTCTGACAATTGATGCTGTGAATAAATAAATCTCAACTCCTATCACAATGCAATGGATTGCGAAACTTGCACAGTGCTGCATTTACTTGACAGATGAAAATCATTTCAAGAAAGAAGTTGAACGTTTCATGTTTCATTCAATCCGATCCTTCGTTCATGAAATTTAAATTCCTGACCATTCTTGGTTGGCAACTGCCGAGATTCAATTCGCTCATGTTTCTTATTTATTTCACTCGACGTCCCCACGAATTTCCATCTCCTTTTCAACAAAAAATTGCGCAACTTCTCAATTGACAAATGAAAGCTTAAACTGATAACAAAACCGAAATTATTCACCTTAATTTCTCAAAGCAAAGCATCGGCTGCGGTAGCGAAATGTAAGAAATTTGGTCACTTTAAAGGCTTTTAAGATGCGATTTGTTGTGTAAGTTTAGCCAAATAAATCCTCGTTTTAAAATATCCAAGATAATGTGGGTGCGTGGGAGTTACTTAGTGATTCGTTTATCTTCTCATCAACAGAAGATTCATTATCATAACTTTATCGATTATAATTCAAATGCTTTCTCGCTTATCATTTTTTGCAACTTGATTTCCAATCTTCAGAGTGAGGATCTTCGAATATGGCGAGCAATCCAAGTATGTATTCAAACCAAAATGAACTGCAAATTGCAAATTAAGTTAAATGAGCTTTTTCCATTTCTTTTCATTTGCCATTTATTGGAAACATTTTCATTTGAATGGGCTTCGCCATTCGCTGCAATCAGCACAACGATGCCAATAAATTTTAATGTTTTATCATCGTCCAATCCATCGACCGATGCTGATCTCACTTTTCTTATCTTTCTTACATGTGAACATTGCAAGTTTTTGTCGTGCATGGCAATTACGTTGTTGGTTTTCTTCTTCTCATTTGCCGTTGGTTTATGTTCATGTTTGGCACATTTTTTCATCCTTTTCTAGTTTATTATTTGCCAACTACTTCATCCAATTGATTTTTAATGTTTCGTCGCTTTCGGTAACAAATATTAGTTCAGTTAATTGCAATGATTTCTCATTCTCAGTTCATTTTCATTTCATATTCGCAAAGTGTTCGTAAATGTTAGATGACATTTATTTACGATTTCTTTCCATGTTGCCCGCATAAAACTAAATATAAGCTTAGCAGCAGCGACTTATCTTGACGATGGCGAATGGAAGTTATGCAAACAGCCAACAACAAGTTAAATGCTTGAAAACAATCGACAAAAAATGCTTTTTGCCTACACGATGAATCATAAACAGCGCACATGATTTCATGCACTTGATTGCATCTTCCGGTACTGAGATCTGAGATTTTGCATACTTTTTCTCCATATCTAAGTTTCATTAACTCAAACGCTATCTTATAGATAAACGCGCTTTGGGTGAGTCCACAATTGCTGCTGTTGTTGTATTGTCAAAAGGTTTCACCCGAAATGATCTCAACATGACGTAGAAAATTCCAAACTTACGAGATAATTACGCAATCGAAGTTGAATTAATAAAGTGCATGGATTAATGTTGATGTTTACGATGTACGCATATAACTTTCCTGTCAAGTCACTCTCGATCGCGCCATTCACAATAAAACTGACTGTTTTAATGTTATCTCACCAATATTTTTGCAGCTACTTTGTTGCTATAAACGATATTTAATAAGTCTTTTCCTTAATCAAAAAAAAATCAAAAAGTGACACAAATTGATGTTAATTATACAAGAATTAAAATAGATGGAGGTTGAAGTTGCGATGAAAATATCACTTCGAATTTTCAATCATATTCGGAACGATGCAAATTCCCGTCAAAATTTTATTTGTTTACTCTGCTTATTTGATTTTCTATTCAACATGTTTTTCATCAGCACAACTTCCAGAAGTTCATTTTCAATTCTGCAAATGCAGTTTTTCCAAGGAATTTGTTTTCGATAATTATTCATGCTTCGCGAAATCGTACAGCAGAAACATGTCAACGGGCAACGTTTATGCGATAGCAAAAATACCTGTCGACAATATTTTAGTAAAAATTAATTAATTCTTATAATTTTCAATAATTCATTCCCATTGAAGGTGGATGGCAAATTATTATATAAATTTGGGAATATTTACCGCGAAGTTATGAATGGAGAACGAGTCGATTAGTGCAACTGGCGGGACTGAGCCAAAGGGAAAATATTTGCGGCTTTCGTCAATCTCATAAAGTCGTATGCTCCAACACTCGTCCAGGATTGTCCATATACAGTAAGATTGGAAATTAATTGAAACTGTTANTTCCGGTACTGAGATCTGAGATTTTGCATACTTTTTCTCCATATCTAAGTTTCATTAACTCAAACGCTATCTTATAGATAAACGCGCTTTGGGTGAGTCCACAATTGCTGCTGTTGTTGTATTGTCAAAAGGTTTCACCCGAAATGATCTCAACATGACGTAGAAAATTCCAAACTTACGAGATAATTACGCAATCGAAGTTGAATTAATAAAGTGCATGGATTAATGTTGATGTTTCATGTACGCATATAACTTTCCTGTCAAGTCACTCTCGATAAAGTTGCTTTTACTGTTGACTTCACAATAATCGTTGACATTTCATTTAATACGCATTTTCCGAGGTGTTAAATTTATTATAATTTAAATCAGAGAAAGACAAGAATTTATTTAAAAACAATTGTCATTTCGTGTCGAATCAGAAAGTTTCAAAGTCACAAGCACTTGAGCTTTAATTTTTCATTGAACATTGTCGCTTATAGAGAAAAAATAAGCTAAACGAAGCAACACGCAAAAGCAATTCACTTTATAGAATGATATCTTGCTGTGGAAGTTTCCAAGATAACGTTACATGTGACTGGGTAAACTGACACTTTATAATATGTATAAGAAATGGACAATTCAAGCAGATCACGGAGCAGTTTGCATGACGTTAATATCCAACAGTTAAGACACTTCATTATAAAGTCCCAACCCACAACATCAGACATTTAATTTCATTAACAAGCATAAACATTGAGTTTCTCTTCAAGTCCAAACATCCAAATTAAGCGAATGAAACTTTCTTAAAATCAATTTGCGTTTAATGAAATTTTTATGTTGACTTGCATGAAATAATTTAAGTTGAAAATTTTTTCCTTTTAATTTCAACATTGTTCACAACATTAATCGATTAATGTTTTCTCTTTAATTTTCTCAGGCTAGATTTTGGATGCAAGTTGTCGATGAGCTACGGCGTGGCGTTCGACTGAAGAAAATTAACTTCAATCATCATTCGCCTACTGAATATGAGTTGACACCGTACGAAATCTTAATGGAAGACATTAGATCGAGGTGAGAAATAAATTTATGCTTTCTTATGATATTTGTTACAACATTAATTTTTTTCCAAGGAAATACAACTTACGTAAAGTGATGGTGAACGGAGATATCCCACCAAAAGTGAAAAAAGACGCACATGCTGTCATTCTCGAGTTTATCAGATCGCGACCGCCACTACGAAAAGTAAGACAACAAACTTGTTCTTTTCCTTTCTTATCTGTCACAAAATTTCTTCCTATTTGGTGATTGTTTACTAAAAAGAATGTTTTCATAATGTTTGTTTGCGTGTGATTTATTAACAGGCGACTGATAGGAAATTGGCACCGTTGAAACGTAATCCATCACCTCGTGAACAGTTGCTTGACTCCATACGCAAAGGCAGAGTTTTAAAACCGGTTGCACAAGGATTAAAGAATCGATGTGAGTACACTTGGGGGATTTTAAGTTGTATAGTTGAAAGTAGATGGTGGTTTGATGACACGAAATGAAATGCAAAACACACACAAAGCTTAACTTGATTGATTTCCAATAATTGTGCACTTAAATCGCTTTTTGTGCAGCTCGTAAAACTTTTATGAATGATAAATGCGTGTAATCATACACAGCATGTTATCAAACTCGCAGGCACTTAACAGGAGATTGTTGTCTCTCAGCAAGAAGCTAAAAATAGAGACATTTATGGTACATCTATATGAAGGAGTCGGTCGGTGAATGGTAGAAAGTGCAACAGCAACAAAATAAAAGTAATAAATTGATCAATGCACAACTTGACTCTATGCGATGGAATGTTTGTGATATCATCAATTGCAGTGCAATATGTTTGTTGAAAGATCAAATGAACTCATAAGAATGAGAAATACTTCCAGTCAATATTTATGGGAGTGAAAAGATTAAATTTATCTGATTTGGCTTTAAGTAGAAGAAGATTGATTTGCATGCTTAATAGCTGAAATGCATTTTCCGTTCATATTTATTTATCGACCGCACTCTCTCACTCAATCGTGCTCCTTCGTCTGCTAAAGTTACCTTCAAGCTGAGAAATTCGTTGGCGACGAGTGATTTATGGGATTAGGAAATTGCATTTCTTTCCTTCGCTTTCCTTCACTTTACTTCTCTTTGAACTGAAAGCGTTTCAATGAATTTTTCCTGAATTATCTCTAAACTCGATTCTTGGAATGTTTCTAAGCAGGCGATGAAAGTGAAATGCGTACACTTTCGATTTCTTCACTTTAACTTTGCTTCATGATTTGATTAATAACATCAACGATGAATTAATGAAAATTTATTCAAAACGTTGAACTTGTCGTTGATTTAGTTGAATAAGAAATTAAATCGTTTCACTTCACACATATGAATTAATTAAATTCAATTTTATCTCGATTTCGATTTCGATGGAAGAAATAAGTTTGGGTCTTAATTACAAGCATCAATTTCGATAAACTTCACTTCTAATTCTCACGCATCCAAGTGCAAAACTATTTGTTTATGCAAATATGAATTTCATTCGGTTTGACGTCGTGGGATCGTGAAGATGTTGGGGAGTCGAGTCATAAATTCATTTCTTTCATTTGAACGCCAACATGATTAAAATTATTTATGTTCAAACTTTTCCATCATCATTCTGAGCCCATTAATTTATTTCTCTCCGTCTTTGAGTTCCATAAACATGCGTCGAGTCGATGGTTGAAGTTCGAATTCAAATTCTGTTAAATTCATGTTTTCTCGCTCATTTCACTTTTCGTTGGTTGTTGGTCGCTTCACATGTTTGATTTCGAATGCGACTTAAAATATTTTAATGAGCTCCAGACACTTTCCAAACAACCAACACTTCCACTTTCTGTGAGACGAACGAACTGCAGATTAAAGTTCCAAAATTATAAACAAGGAAATATCTTTGGACTCTAATTGCTGATATGAGTCGAATTTTAAGTTCACTTTGACCTATTTTCATGTGTTTGGCCACAGTCAATGGTCTTGCTTTTTATTTATAATCATCGGAAGATTATGTGAGTGATTGAAGAACAACAATTGAAATTGAGTTAATTCCATTTAAGTAATTTATTGGTTGATGAACTGAAGAGACTTGAATGGCAATCACTTGATGAATGGAACTCGTTTGGCTGCATTTCTTGTGTTAGATTGGTCAATGTACTTGAGATTCATGCAACTCGATGCACTTGATGCTTTTACTTGAACTTTCATTCTGTTTCTGGGTCAACAATTACGAACAGGTTTCGATTTCAACCTCAAAGGGTTTTCCAATTAATCTTCTCACTCTCTTATCTTTTTCACGGTTTCGTGCCCTAAGGTGATGTGGAAGTTTATGAAGTATCGAGTGAGAAAAGAATATTGAAAGTGTTTTCGTTCTCCAACATTGATGAACGGCAATGTCAATCATCGAAACGCATCAGTCGATCCATTCGATGCCATAATGTTGGCAAATCCAAATCCAAATTCATGCATAAAAAGGCGAAACAATTTTCAAAGTCCAATCATTGACAACATTCCAATCTTTCTCTAATGAGTCGTTGCAAAACCTGCATCAACATCATCTTTAATATTTAAGGTCCACAACCGCATTTTTCATCTCCCACTTCTTCTCATTAACATTTTTTCGTCGTTCGATTGTTGCTGCTGCTTCGATTTTCTTTGCTTTGTTTGCATGTGTCAAACAATTTTATTTCTCAATGAATTTTCTCATAATCAGATGCACGGCTTTATTCGATTCACGAATATTTATGTTTCCATGAAATATTTTATAGAAATCAACATTGATAGAGTTGTTTGTGAAGTTCTTTTGCAAATTCTTTTGTAAACCGATCTGATCTGATAACAATTTAAAGTCATTTGTGGGTGGATTGTTGACTTTAATGTTGCAGTAAGGCGATCTTGGGAACATTTCTCTGTCGATCGTCAATTGTTATTGAAATGAAGTTGATTGGGGAAGAAATAAAAGTTAAAGTGTGTCACTCAATCAGTCAGTCAAAGTCGTCATCATCGTCGTCGTCGTAAAACGCATTGGAAGCAAAAATGTTTATTCGCAGCTTAAAGTGAAAGAAATTTCTTTCAACTTCATATTTTTTATGCTTTCAACTTCGTCTTTTAATCTTTTTTAAATTCTTCTTTTATCAATCGAGAGAAGAAAATTTCTTCGACTTTCCCCATCGCGTTCCATTCATAATCGTCATCGACACTTTTACGTGATTGAGGTTTGAACTTTCATGTTGTGGATTTTTCAAGCACGAATTTGTTGCAATAATCACCAAAGTTTGAGAGATTTTGAATCAAAATAAAATGCGACACAAGTGTTGGAAATAAATGAACAAATGATGCCCACCGCAACTAACTTTCGAGTGTTCAGTCTCGAGAATTCTTTAAGTTATGACTCTCAGCCTCTTGCATGGCAATCCGATTCTTTCATTTTCTTGTTGTCAAGTATTCGATATTTATGGCTTACTTAGGGAATGAAAGAAGGAAAAATATCGAAATGCAAGTCTTTGTTGTGTCAAATGAAAAATGAAATATTTTTCACGATTCAAAGAAGTCTCCAATTGAACTACCAGTCTTGTCTTCTGTTTGATATTTTGGCGATAAACAAATGAAACATAAATAAGAATCATTTTCTAGTTATACGCCCACGCATAAACATTTAAATTCAGTGACAATTCCAATATCGAAATATGACGAAGAAAGTGAATTAAATGATTTAAGCATGACAAATATCAGAAAGGAAGACGACGACGGTCTTAATGTCGCAATAAACTTTATAAAAATCTATTGTCGAGCTCGAGTGAGTGACGACTTTTCACTTTCTTAGATCCGTTGCATAACAAATAAAAATATTTATCATGAAATTATTCAACATTGCGCAAGAAAAGTTTTGTTTCATTTTTTGTTGTGACAGTTGACAACAACAACATGAAAAATCTTCTCAACCAGCGCAACAACAAATGTTTAATGTCTTTAATGTCGCAAAGGTCTTGTTATTCATTGCCCAATCATTGAAATCCCTTTCCTTATAAAATCTTTTTCATGGCGCCTCAACTCCAAAATGTTGTTGGATAACTTTCATCTTTTCACATAACTTGTCTGATGATAACAAGCAATTAATCATAACTTGATCACACTTTGTGACAAATGCTGTAAAATGTGGTCAGTTTCTAATTTTATTCTCAGCTTATACTGCTGCTCTTAAATTTCTCGGTGTGTTTTTCCTCGATTCTTGTTGAGCTATTAAAGCAGACGAGAAAAGAACGCAACAGGTGAAAGAATGTTATTTAGATAATTTCGCTCAAGATTTGATTGTGATTATGAAGATGCCCAAAGCAACGTTTTAAAAATCTTAATTTCTCAATTTTCAATCACGGCACGAAATGCGCAATGGATGATCAGCGTAACAATCTTTGGTTGTTGTGTAAATACAAAATGAGAATCGAATTACCGTTTTAAAGTTGGTCAATGACCATTTAAGAGTGAAGCATATTGATGGTTTCATTGTTTGTAGTGCGTGTGATGCACGTTTTTCATGTTTCTCTATTGACATTAGAATCTTAAATAGTGGCATTTGGGATATTTACGAGAGAAGATCGTTCCGAACTTTATTCTGATAATGAACGTTTTATAATACACGAATTTTATTGATGATAATTCATCAAGCACAGTTGAAGTAGTCATTAATATTTATGATGATTTCTTCTGGTAATCACTTAATAAGATAATATTTGTTATCATTTTATTCACAAATCTTACCTGAACTGCTTCCATTTCCATGATTCATTCCAACTTTAATTACTACAAGAGGAAGCAAGTTAAAAACTTAAAATGATCACTCACAGACTGAATGAAAATTAGGCATACAAAAATAATTTTGAATCACTGATGAACCTAAGCCGAAAAAAATTGTAATCACTTGAAAAATTTACTTTTTGCTGTGTGATGACGTCAGATGATATGAAACAAAACAAATTCACTTTGTTGATAAGTGATAAGTGTTTGGTTTTGTGATAACAGCAAGCACATAGTACACACTTTAAAACTTGAGGAAATATTTTTTTTCTATTTCACCACAATCAACTAATTTTTTTTCCCTTCAATGTTAAGTTTTTTCATGCTGGTGAATAATTTAAGAAGAAAAAAATTTCACGCGAAAATCTACGAACAGTTTCAACAACCGGGTTTTCCGTCTCGATTGTTCTGCTTTGAGTGTTCTTTTTGTCTCACTCGACTGCCCACCCCGGTGAATTAAGTAGCGAATAATATTTTTTTTTGCTTCATTCAAACTAATTTTGATCCATTTAAATATTTATGTGCTTTAAACTATTTCATGTAATATGCAGGAAAACGCATAAAAGAGAACTTTTGTTCGTTGATGCTTTTGGCTTTGACACACCTCGGAAAAATGTAACAATCTCAACATTCCTCAGAAATTATATCAAGCCGAAGAGGGAATGAACAAATCGAGAGTAAATTGCTGTTAATGTTGTCTTGAGATTGTTGCGCAATTGTTGTGTTTAGAAGCAATTAAGCTTCTTCTCGAAATTATTCACAAACCGTATGTTTTCTAATGATTCTTAAGAATAATTCGATGAAGCTGAAGACAATGAAAAGAGCTCGTGTGAGGCTTATGATGCTAAGAACTTTCGCAGTTGGAGAAGAGTCAAAGTATTGCGTGAATAATGAAGAGATTAATTCGACATGGTGCTGTGTGCTTGTGTTTTATGGAATTAACGACTTTTGGAACAATTTTCAATTCTCTTCGATCGATTCTTCAACTTCCTGTTGCTTAATTAATTTCAAATCTCTTTTTGATTGTGTTATTTAAGAATGAAGAATGAAGAATGAAGTTCAAAGAACATTAAACGCTTTTTAAGAGCCATTAAAACTCCACGGGATTTCTTTCTGACTTCATTCTCAGCACAAAAGTAAAAAACTTTCTTAACTCATTCAACAAATAAAATTCTTTTTATTTCAATCGGAATTCCTTTTAAAAGGAGAAGTTCTAAGAAATCGCCGAACATTCTTCTTTCTCTCCTTCGTACTTTGGAATTTTTAATTCCACACGAATCTTAAATTTCACCTGCACCACCAGTTTGAGAGCGTTACAAACGTGAGTTGGTGATGCAATCATTGCACGATTTATTGGAGCAAAAGGAAATGGAATTTGAATAATCGTCAAGCTTGCGAATGAGTTCGTAATCAAGTCGCGCACACACCTTGTAATTGACAATAAAGCGCTGAGAATTATGCAAGGTCTAATTCACTCTGGTTTCTGCTATGATCTGTCCATCGTTGTCTCTAGCGGAGATCAACAACAGTCACAAACATTAAATTAAGATGTGTCTGAGACAACAACAAATCAATGCAAATTGCAACTCAATCAGCTGACTTTGCGGTTCGCGAGTAAATATCGAATTTCAGTGTCGCGACTTGATGAAAAATGAATTTATTTATTTATTTATTTCAAGTCATGAGTCATGAATCAATAACAAGTCGACATTCGATATGTTTGTATCAAAAATTTGACTTGGGTGTCCAATCTTAAAGTCGTAAATTCACCGCGACCAAACATTCATTTTTGCGGGGTCATAAAACGTTTTATAGTTNTGCAGTAAGGCGATCTTGGGAACATTTCTCTGTCGATCGTCAATTGTTATTGAAATGAAGTTGATTGGGGAAGAAATAAAAGTTAAAGTGTGTCACTCAATCAGTCAGTCAAAGTCGTCATCATCGTCGTCGTCGTAAAACGCATTGGAAGCAAAAATGTTTATTCGCAGCTTAAAGTGAAAGAAATTTCTTTCAACTTCATATTTTTTATGCTTTCAACTTCGTCTTTTAATCTTTTTTAAATTCTTCTTTTATCAATCGAGAGAAGAAAATTTCTTCGACTTTCCCCATCGCGTTCCATTCATAATCGTCATCGACACTTTTACGTGATTGAGGTTTGAACTTTCATGTTGTGGATTTTTCAAGCACGAATTTGTTGCAATAATCACCAAAGTTTGAGAGATTTTGAATCAAAATAAAATGCGACACAAGTGTTGGAAATAAATGAACAAATGATGCCCACCGCAACTAACTTTCGAGTGTTCAGTCTCGAGAATTCTTTAAGTTATGACTCTCAGCCTCTTGCATGGCAATCCGATTCTTTCATTTTCTTGTTGTCAAGTATTCGATATTTATGGCTTACTTAGGGAATGAAAGAAGGAAAAATATCGAAATGCAAGTCTTTGTTGTGTCAAATGAAAAATGAAATATTTTTCACGATTCAATTGAACTACCAGTCTTGTCTTCTGTTTGATATTTTGGCGATAAACATCAAATGAAACATAAATAAGAATCATTTTCTAGTTATACGCCCACGCATAAACATTTAAATTCAGTGACAATTCCAATATCGAAATATGACGAAGAAAGTGAATTAAATGATTTAAGCATGACAAATATCAGAAAGGAAGACGACGACGGTCTTAATGTCGCAATAAACTTTATAAAAATCTATTGTCGAGCTCGAGTGAGTGACGATTTTTCACTTTCTTAGATCCGTTGCATAACAAATAAAAATATTTATCATGAAATTATTCAACATTGCGCAAGAAAAGTTTTGTTTCATTTTTTGTTGTGACAGTTGACAACAACAACATGAAAAATCTTCTCAACCAGCGCAACAACAAATGTTTAATGTCTTTAATGTCGCAAAGGTCTTGTTATTCATTGCCCAATCATTGAAATCCCTTTCCTTATAAAATCTTTTTCATGGCGCCTCAACTCCAAAATGTTGTTGGATAACTTTCATCTTTTCACATAACTTGTCTGATGATAACAAGCAATTAATCATAACTTGATCACACTTTGTGACAGAAACGAAGTTGATCAATGAATTTTTCGACAGTTTTAGGAAATGTGCTCATATGTGATGATTCAGCTTTGCTTTTAACAATCTACAAACATCAGCCGACGACAATTCTTCTTTTAAATGACAAAGTAAATTCCAATCACAGCAACTTAACATATGTACGTTTGGTTCTTCTCACGCATTTCTCAAAAAACTGCTCTGAATATGAAATTGCATGCTTTGAGCCACCGATACCTGTTGCGAATCTTATTATGATTTCAATTGCTTTTTATAACTTTTCGGTCGATGAACTCACGAATTTTTGGGAAACATGTTCAGAATATCTTGCTCACTCAAGTGGCGTAATAAACTTTTGCAAATTCTTAACAATTAACATTACAACATTTAAATAAATTTCTTAATCTGAAATGATTGCTAGCGGTATGAATAATAAAAACGTTCAAGAATGAAATTCAGATGAAAAAAATATTCCGTTCGTATTTTGATATTACCGAAACTCTTTAACAGAAGGAAAAAAAATTTGGAGGCTATTTTACATACAATGTTATTAAAATACCGTTTATAATTTAATAAACGTCAAATTATTTAAGTACTTGCAATCACCTCGTCAAGATGGCTCAATAAATTTTTTTAATGTTTACGACATACATTACAGGCGCATTAAAAGTTTATTTTCATTGCGCCTTACAATGTATGCAACTTTGTTTCTAACATAGATGGCGCTTATGTTATATAAGAGATTTAACTTTGCTTGAAAAATATTTATTTAATCTCAACCTTTCCACTGGTTCAGTAGAAGTTACTCATTCTGTGTAGTTCACGTACTTAGTACGCCTCGCGAAGATAAACATAATTTAAAGTTACATAAATTAAAGTTGACTTAGAGGTTTACTGCATATAAAAAAAAGTTTAAAAATTTATCAAAAGATTAAAGAATATTTTTTATCTCGAAAAAAGAACGGAACTGTATTAAGTGTGGACATAAAATCATGACAGAAGGTAAGATTAAGTGTGGGTCAAAATATGTTTAACGAAACCGCACGCGGTCGAACAAAAGAAGTTTAAAATGGAAACATAATACCCAAAGTAAAAGAAGTCAAATGTCCATGAAGCTGTCACTTTTGCTCTCTGGCGTAAGACCGGATTCAAGGTTTCATTACAATCTCATAACGAAAAGTAATCTAAGCTACAGAACAATATGATTCATGGGAGATTGAAATTAAGACTTTTGCATGAAAGCGAAAAGCATTTTGCTTAACGAGTTTTGATGGTGAAATAATATTCGATCACATATTGTGCGAAGTTGATGACTGTAATTAATCATTTTTGACTTTATGATTTTATTTCTTATAACATAGACATAAGAAGTTGATATTTCTTAAAAGTTTAACATAAAAACATCGAAAAACGTTGACCACAAAACCTTTTCTTCAATTTCAACAATCCGCATCAACTATTTACATAAATATCTTTGACGTCAGTCCCGTTAGTTTCTATCTTAAAATGGTTTCGCTATTCTTCTCTTCCGATTATTTTATTCGTCTCACGATGATGCTGAATCAAAAATTTCTCTTCTTTGCAATCTCTCGAGCATGTCAATCGTAATAAAGTTTGGTTTGAAAGTTGACGATTGAAGTGAAATAAAATAACTCCCGTAGATTTGCTTTAAAATGCTTTTGAAAAGTTAAATATTTCCCTTACTGTATTGTTTTGTATCTCAAAGATAATTATTGACCGGAGAAGTTTCTGAAATGATTTTGTTCGTTTGATTAAGGTTCAGTCAGTAAATTGCTAAGTTCAGCTTTCGAGGGATTTATTAACTTTACTGGAAACACGCGCTGAAGGCACCTCATGGTTCACGGATCATTATCTGTTTTCGTTGTCCAAAAAGCCATTCGTTGAACTTTAAGCAAATAATCATTAAAATATTTCTTTGTTTCTGTGCAGCGAAGCTTTAAAGAAGTAAAAAAGAGAACTTCATGGTTCAAGAAAAAAAAAGAAAGAAAATTTTCGTTTGTAGATCTGACAAGAAAATTCCATCATAACCAGAATCAAATTGATTCTAAGAACCGTGAAAATTCTTTTTTCTTGTTTTAATTGTCAACACGTTTCAATTACAATTAAAATTCCTACAAAATTTGACATTAATTTTAAACTTTAAATCATTTATTCATGAGAAAATAATCTGAATTCGGAAAAGATAATTAAGAAGTTTCCTTGATACTCATTATTTAACGTAACTAATTTCCCACGTTAATTCTTCATTCGGTTTTAATTAAGCTTCAAAATGTAAAGCTTCACTTCTTACAACTCTTACGATAAGAAGGAGAAGGATGACGAGACGATTTGACGCCTCGTTGATTAAAACAAACAGCGATTTAATGAAAATGTCAAGCTGGTTAAAGAATTTTTTTTGCACTAATTTTGACGATAAAATCGTTAATTGTTCTGTTTTACGACGTGCCCATGGGTGAAGGTTTGTTTTAACGCTACGATGATTCATCTAATCGATTTCAAACCCTTTTGTGTTTTAACCCAAAAACATTTTATTGACATTGAAAAAATGAAAAGGAAGTTCCGATCGTTAACTGTGAAAAGGTTGAAAGGCTTTATATCATTTGCCATCTTATCTTCCATTATCGCAAAGACTTTCATTAAAAAAACGTTCCTTTATTGAATTTACGACTCTTTTCAGAAAATATTTTTTAAAAGTTTTTTGTTGGGTAAGCTGGGAAAGTTAAAACATAAATAAGCATAAATCTTGCTTCAGACCTGCCTGCTTGGAGATGGTTAAATATTTTATAACTTCATTCTTATGTTGATGATACTTAATTCAAGGAGATGCGAGTTTTAAAAGCTTTTCATTGTTGTATGTAGTAACAGTAAAATTAATGCGACAACTTTTATACACCGTGAATGTTATTTAAAAATTCAATTAACGAGCATAAACGCAATTGTGGTGAAATATGTTGTGCTGAGATTGTTTGTTGATTTATTTGTCGTCGCACTTCGACCTTTCATACTCTTTTTTTTTTGCTTTTTTCATGACGTGACCTAAATTTCCTTATTAAGATTCAAATCATTCCATGCCGAAAATGAGACCTGGAGCTTTCTTCAAGGCTTAATTAAACATTAACGAAGAATTTCTTTCTTCTTTAATAATCACAAAAAAGGAAAGATTATTATGTTGCATAATTAAGGAAAGAAAAGTTCAGAGGTGAGAAGAGAGATTCATTTGAGCTCATGTTCATTGCATTTCTGTCTCTCTCGTTCTCACAACCATCACTGCACAAGTTTTCAACGTACTTGCACTTCCTTATCATCAAATTTGGTAAACATTTGAATGTTGCGGACAAGAGCGCATGCGTTTGAATCGAGAATGAGTCACTGAAACCTTCGTTTCGCTCTTTTCCCTCTCTTGCTTTGATGCAAGCGAAAGAAAGGAAAAATATTTGTGAAAAAAGTTGATTCAGTCGTAAAGACTCTGCTCGTAGTCTGAAAAGTTGCTTTGTTGTGTTTGGAGCGAAGTAAACATAAATTCGGAGCGTAGTCTTAAATATGTGAACATTGTTTGAGTTCCACTTGAAAATTACAAAAAGATTTCTCATAAAATCACCAAAGTGTTGTGCAATTCTTTTAGTAAATTGTGAATTGCATAAATTGTGAGAAAGAAAATCTTAATTTGTGACTTTTTTAATTGAAGTTATACAATAAAATCGCCCTAAATCGTGTCACTACAACAATCTCAATCATCTTCTTCCATCGATGAGAATCTTCACAGACATTTAATTTACATGAGAATAAAAGAAAACTTAGTGGAAACTTTGCAAACAGCTGATGAAGAAAGTAAAGAAAATTTATTTCCTTAAATAACGACGAGAATTTCGATCGATATTTGAGACTGTGAACAAGCGAGGGTGGAAGAAAAAATTTGTTTCTATTTTTTTTTCTTTTCCTCGACTTACCCTCAATTTTTTTAATATCGTGAGTGAAGATAAGCGACTTCGTTAAATATCATTTGATGAAATGGACATTTAAGGAGTGATATAAAATTGGTTAAGACAATCAATCGGTGCTATTACTTATCGTAAAGAGAATCATGGATATGATTATGCCATCATCACCATCTGTTGATGCAGCACGTGATCTTAAATATTGCCCAACAGACGAACAACAATCAACGACGCCCCAAGCAGCTCCACGCATAGCAGCTCCAAAATATCCACCGCGCCCAAAGCCACGATCAGGTGATGACTAATATTGAAAAATATTGAAAATAGTCTGGTCAATCACTGACCGACATAAATCGAATTTTGCTTCCATCATTCAAAATAAGATCAATCAATTAGCAGATGGAAATTGATTTTCTTTTATTGTCTAATCACGATTTATTTGCTTTGTTGCTTTGTATTGAAAAAGTAAATTTTATTTGTGTTAATTGCGTGAAATTATGCGACAGCGTTAAAACTTTCATGATTGATTTTGCTGACGACAGTGGCTGCTTCGACTGCTTATATAAATTGTGCAAGGTTTTATGTTTAATTAGCTAGAAAAGGAAACCACAGAGCAGCTTAATTATGACAGTTTCCACATCGGAATTAGTTTTGTTGAAGTGTTGTCGAGGAAATGACTATGGCGTCTCTATGAAAAATACTTAAATTTAATGACGTGATTGGGAACAGAGGAAGATTAAATGAGGTGAACAATACAACTGAAAGTTAATTCCATTTGTAGACAACGTGAAGACTTTTCTGTTCTGCTGCCCTTGCTGGAATCAAATAACAAATCGACTAATGCTTGGACTATGACGCTGACAAATATTAATTCGGGAAAGACATAAAATGGGATTTTGATTAAAGAATTTTATTTATTTCTGATGAATGTTGTCGTTTTGATAAAATATCATGGGGAGAAAAATTGATTTGTTGACAGAATATCAGTAATTTTAGGTCAGCTTCGATTTCGGACGTTGGTTAAGTGGAAATTATTTCCTTTCATTCAATCAATAATTAATCAAGCACAATTTTTATTTTTATTCGATATTTATGGTTCATTGCTCTCTGTTCCAAGATTGAAAATATTTCGTTTTGCTTTCAACGTGAAACGTTTTGAATTTTTAACATTACAGAAAAAGTTTAAACGTTGAGAAAAATTTATGAGGCAAAACCGATGTGCAATAAAATTCGTTTCTCCTTCTATCGCTTATCTTATCCTTAGTATAGAATTTTTTAGAAAGGAAAAAGAATTTCATACGTTCTAGTCATAAATTTCAAAAGTTGTTATAAAAAAATTCTTACTTAAAAGCTTTTATGTAGTTTATTCCCATTTGCACATTTTTAAATTATTGTTGAAGCTTATCGAGGCTTAGTCAACGAAGCAAATTTTTCCACGAGAAATTTCCTTCACCAGTTAAAATTATCAATTAAGAAAAATTGAATTTTCCACGCCAATTTGCCTTACCTTTAATTGACTCAACGCTCGAAAGCGCCAGACGAAAATAAACTTTCGATCAGCGTCTGCTTCTTCATGGAATTTGAAATCGTGTTTGGAATAAGTTGCTGTGAGTTTTTCAACGTGGTTTGCTGAACTAACAAGCGAAAATATTTGATAAAGAAAAAGTTTGAATTAAGGAAATGGAAAACTCGAGAGAAAATCAATAAGTTAGAGATTTCCTTTCAAACTTGTTAACAAGCGAAATGATTGACATGATCATAACAAATGAAGTTAATAATAATTCAATAACTGAGTGTCAGTCACGTTCATCGAAATTACTCAAACATTAAAATTAGTTTGAATTGTTTGAGCATTTAAGTTTACTGTCATGAAACAAGGTGATAACAGTTAAAGGTTGATATCATGACTCCAATCTTAATATGGATTAAAAGATGATTAAATGTCACGACATGTTGCGTCAAAAACACTTCGTTGAAAGTTGTTTAAATTTGAATGGATTATTATACTTTCATCGAATAAATGCTGACAACAGGCGATTGTAAATTCGAACTATGTGAGAACTTTCACTTTTCACAGCAAGACAAAAATGTTGTCTTCATTAAAAGTTTTACCACAATTTTAGTTGCGTTATCAACAGCTGTTGATACTTTGCTTTGTTTTGCTTTAAGTGTTATATAAATATTCGCACGAAAATGTAATTGAAACTTTTGTTTTATTTCTTTCTTTCCAAAGTGTTACCGCCAACAACAAGCACATCAAAAGCCACAAAATTAGAAGACATTTGTAAGAAAATTGATGAAGAAGATTCGTCATCATCGTCATCAATCGTCACTAATTCATCGCTACCATCGAGAAGACTGATAAAAGCTGATTTTTCATTGTTTAAGGTAAGTCAAGATTAAACTTTATAGATTTGCATAAAGTTTTGTTTACCCTCCTGAGGCTCTTTTAAACTTTTGCGATAACAAAAAATTTGAGTCCCTTTTTTATCGTACAAATCTTGCCTTGTTTGTTTAAACTCATCTTGATACGTTGTTTAGCCAAAGACCGTCACTAAATCATGCTACGAGCCTCTGTCATGTTCAAAGCAGCAGAAAACATTTTAATGAAATAAAATGAAAAATTTCTGTGATAGAAAAGTTTCAACATGAAATGAATTCACATTTTTTTAATGAAAGTGACGTCAACAATGATAGAAGTTGCGTTGATGACTGAAACTTGAATATTCAACAAACATTTCTGTTTCTCATCACAAAATTTTGATTGTTTCACTCTTTGTCTTGTTTTTTTATGCTTCGATTTGTGGTTTTGTTTAGATATTTCAAGACGGAATGGAATGGGAAAATGACAGCAGATTGTCGTTGTGTCAAAATTAAATTTTCTTGATGCATACTTAAAATAACTTCACATCGAGTATCTTTAGATGGAATTGATTTCAATCTCTTCCATAATTACATCACAAGCATCTCGAAATCTGATCTACATTAATTGCGCAATTAAACGTTTAGTTTTTCGCTTATGTTTACATAACTTTGATGCTATAAATTGCAAATTTATCTCCCTCATAAGCTGTGCATGAAATTAATTTTACAGTTCAAAAAACAACTGGCATTTTCACTTAAATATTTACGACTAAAAATTGTTTCGAACAGTCTTGAAATGAAAGTTTACCTTCAAGAAGCTTCAATTCCATCGAGACGTTCGCAAATGAGAAAAGATATTTTCGAAGCTTTACTCGGATCTAATTTATTTATAGATTGTCGTGGGAAGTTTATTTTGTAGATATCTATATGAAGACGTGTACAAAAGCTTCTATATGTTCTATAAATATTCCCTCACTCTGTTACCTAAAGCAACTGCTGTTCTCGTCGATTTCATGATGCAAAGAGTCGTTACATAAAAAGCAGAAGATATTCAGATACTTGCTTGTTGTTGTTCATGCCATTCAATTCGAATGAAATCATAAAATTTTGCAAGTTTTGTGGGATGAAAATGAGAAATCAATAATTTTCCTTTTTGCTAGAATTATTTTAAGAATGTAATTGAGATGTGAAGTAATATTTGAAATTATCTGGCGATGTTTCTTTTGACCCTTTTCGATTGAATAATTTTATCATCAAAATGTGAGGAGAGGCAGTAAAAAATATACTCTGCGACGAACACAAACCTTCTTGTTTCAAGCATGAATTATCTTGTTAAAGCTTCAATGTAACAAGCAAAACTTAATAATTCTCTTCACGTTCTTCGAATAAAAAAGAAAATCTTCATTTTCTTATGCGTCTTGAAAATCTCTTCTATTTGTTATTGTCTGCAGAATATTGTTTGATTTATTTAATTAACGTTTCTTTCCTTTTTTTTGATATTCCAAAAGGATGATGAAACGTCGTCAACAGCATCTGAAGACGCGCAATCGTGTAGGCCGGAAAGCAGCGGCGATGAAAGCGTGACATATCGTAGAAACAATAACGAAAATAACCAAAACAATATCAACACAATCTTGAGACGAACAAGTAAGTATAGTGAGGCGTAAGTCTCTTCATTTCCTTCCTTAAAAGATGATGGAGAAAAAATATGAAAATGTTTTAATCGAATCTTAGGTTCAATCATCCAAGGATTCTTCTTTAAACGATCGAAAACGTCACTTTATTAACGTCTCTCAACACTTTCTTCTATTTACTCTCTTTTTCTTCTCTTCTTATACAATGCAATCAATTAAATTTATTACTTAACGAAAGGAAACAAGATAACGCACGATGAGTATCATCGATTTTGCGACAAAACTCTTGAAAGTAATTATGAACAGAAACTTCTTTTTTTTGGTGAATCATTTTAAATGTTTTGTCACATTATTTTGTTGTTTTCATTGCACTTGAATCCTTGTTTTTGTTTGATGGCTATTTGAGATATTTTTTGGCGATTTTCTGTTTGTAAATGTTCAAAATCAAAGCTTTTCTTCACAACTCACACATTTTGTCGATTGTCTTCATCATTATCGATTTGTTTGATTTTCATTCGCATGAAACTTTTCTTTTGTTGCTTTCGATTATCTTGATAGTTAACAAATGATTTATAATGTCACTTTCAGCTTATGATTTAGCGACACAATGCGAGTCACGACGCGCATCAATTCGTCGTCATACAATTGTTGGTTGTCAAAATTTTAAGATGGGTGAAAGTCAATCAGTTCCACCATCTCGACCAAATTCACGACAATCAACTGAACAATCAAAGCCACCACAACCAGTGTTAGTATCTTCACAAGTGAAGGCTCCAACACCACAAATAAATCAAGCGACAAATTTAAATTCAATGGATCAATGGTCGAAGAACTCTTTAGACGAACATCAATGGCGTGATAAGCTTGAATCCGATCGATTATCGTTAACACTTGAAGAAATTGTTCACATTCGTTCAGTGATTACAAAAGCGGAACTTGAAAGTCTTCCAGTCGGAATACATATTAAAGAAGACGTCGAGAAACGTAAATTGTGTTTTCTTTGCTTACGCACAAAGTTCGGTCTTCTAAGTTCACGTGGAATTCCTTGCAAGTTATGTCAACGTACTGTCTGTGCTAAATGCTACACAAAAATGCGAATACCAATCGAACATTTTAGTAACGTACCAGTTCAACTCTTGTCACCATCGCTGCAAAGCAGCCCAACAATTTCGAATGCACCGTCACCAAATCATCATGGTGGAATGGATGAATCATTTCCACGTTCACTCATGGAGCGATTACTTCGAACTGATGTCGATCGAAAGGTAAGTCAGAAAAGCGAGGAGTTTTTAAAAAGGTATTGAAAATTTTCTTATTTTTTTCATTAGTCTCGTAATACTGTCGGCTCTGCACCATCATCACCAAAAAATCAAAGATCAACATCGAGCACACCTGGCTCTAGTCAACCAAATTCATTGTGCACAATCAACAATGGCGTATCATCATCAAATACAATGACAACCTCACAATTGAGTGCCAAAGACAACCAGATTTCACTTCGTAATTCAATCATGTCAAGAAGTATGGAAGGACCGAGAAGCTTACCACCTCAAAGTCCAGCAAAAACTCATTCGAATTGCAGTACATTGGATCGAAGGTAAGTTCATGATGAAGATCATAATTAGGATTCGACAATTAATTCCAATTTTTCCAGAAGTGGCTTTAAAAAAGCTTTCACTTTAATGCAACAGCAACAATGTGAACAGAAAGAATGTCTTCGTGGTGAACTCATGGCGGTGTGCAATGATTGTCGTGGTCTTGTCCTTAACATCATTCGCTATTCACGTCAAACACGTTCATCAGCTAGAAACCACGCACTGAAAAATCTTACATTGGACCTTAGTCCAGTTTATAAGCGATGAGATCGACGACGCACTGTAAAATATCATGTGATGACAATTTGGATGTGTAAGAATCGTTAATTAAATTATCTAATGGGCAAAAACAAAATTCGACTGAACAAATTTTTTATGATTTTCTTTTATTTTACTTTGTTTTTCTTATTCTTTTTCCAAATTTTCATCTTTCATGTAGAAATTTATTCTTAATGAGAAGAAATTTTTGTTTTGTTCAGAATTCGACGTCAAAGTTTTCTTTCTCGAATTGTAAATTCTTCTTCTCTTCTTTTGGATTATAATCTGTAAAAAAAATGTAAATGCAATATTTTTCCAAACAACATTGAAAGGAAGGAAAATTTTATCAAAACGTTTTTTTTGCCTTGTAAGAATCGATGGGAAGAAGAAAACAAAATTTGATGTGCATGGGAGGAAAGTGAAGATGAGAAAATAACTGAAGAAAGTTTATGTAAATATTTCTGTTTTTATATATTTATCGTCAAAGAATTTAAAAATAAAAGCTTTTATCTTAAGAAATCTTCACCTTTTCCTTCGCTTCACCTTCATTAATTTTCCAACTTTTCCCGTCGATTCGTAAATTTCAATAAACATTTAATTTTTGTAATTTATTATTGAAATGAAATGAAGAGAAAAAATACGATGAAAATTCTTCCATTATAAAAAGAGAAAGAATATCAGGAAAATGAAAATAATAATAATAATAAATTAATTAACAAATTCAGCTTTGAAAGCTTATGTTGGAAATTGGAAAAATAAGACTTGTTGGAACAATTTCTTTTTGAAAACGACATGCACGCATCAGCTGCTTTCAGCTAAATGGCCTTGAATAAAAGATGTAGCGTGGGACATTGACAGAGAGTTCTTTCTATTTTTATCAATATTCCAATTGTTGTTATTCTAAATTGAATAAAAAAACATTTTCGAATGCTGATGAATTTTGAAATTGATGATAAACAGAATTGACAGAGAGAAAAAAGGTTTCTATTTATCATTGAAGAATGCATTAATGCAAATATTTTATTACATTTAGAATAAAATCATTTATCATGAGAAATTTGTAGAACTAGAAATGAACGTCAATGGATGGATTCACTTCAAAGCTTCATTCGAAACTTTATAATCATAGAAGTGAATCGCATCAAACTTATGATTGATATCATTGTGATTTATATTAATGAAAGGAACTTAATTGAAACCTTGGGGAGTTTCCCACATGAGTTTTATTTACCATAGAAAAATTTGCTATCATTTTAAATGAATGACAAGTTTAATTTTTCATTTTCTTAACTCATTTATGTGGCATCAATCTCCCGAATCTCAATGAAAAGATGGACAAACGATGTTTTAGCTTGAAAAGTTTTTGTGAATAGCTATGTAAAAACGATTTCTAATTTATTAAGTTGAATTTTAAGCAGACCAGGCTATGATAGAATTTAGATTAGTATTTTATTTTCGAGATAATTAAAAGATTCAATTTTAAGATTTCGTTAAGACAATGAATAAGTTTTAGATTTTTTTTAAAGAGAGATAGTGCAAAGTACGTTTAATAATTAAAAGTTCCCCATTAAATAAAATATTATGAAAAAAAAATCAACTGCGAGTTTTTCAGTTTTTATTTCAGTTTTCTTCCCACTCTTTGCTGCTGAGAGCGCCCTCTTCACATCAGAATTTAAATTTTCTGAAATATTTAAATTAAGTGTGAAATTTCAAACTTTATTTTTCCATTTTACTTCAATGAGAATTATTTTTAACTTTATTAAAATCGTAATTCACAGCAAAAGATGTAGTTCAGTTTTTTGTTTGGTTGCATAATTTTCAGGCTCATTCATGGCTTTCTACTCCTTCCAATTAATTACGCTGTCGATCCAAGCTTTATGAGAAGCAACACGCGTATAAACATCAGGAAAGCCTTTCGAACATGGAATTCCCCAAGAAACAATTCCAATTATTAGATTATTTGCTACTAAAGGCCCTCCAGAGTCTCCCATACCTGTTGATATCGGAACAGTTAATAAAGTGAAGAAATATTTAATGAGAATTGATTTTACATGCACCACCAGACCCACTTGCTGATTCTGCACACAACGACGATTCAAAAAGCTTTGCAGAATTCGGTAAAGTCATTCTTTTTCGACAATTATCTCTTGATATTGTTTTTACTCTTATATATTGAAGGCTTTGTGAAGCCTGACCAGGATAAGTTGTGTAGCCCCAACTAAAAAATATCAAAGAAAACAAATTTAAAAGAAGAGTCAAGACATTTAAGATTCTCACCCTAAAGCAATAGCATTCGATCCATCGGGAACTGGATGTGAACTTAATTTAATCGGTTGAACTGTTGGAATGAACTTTATTTTCTTTACCGTTCTAACAAGCGAAATGTCATTAATTAAACTTGTTTTCTGAAATGAAATTTTAAATTAATTAAAAAATGAAGTCAAATAGTTTTCATCTCACATCGTAATCTGGATGAATGACAAACTTGCTAATAGAATGCTTAATGCCTTCATTAGCTTTCACTGTAGCTCCAACAATTGCGTAAGTATTCCACGTCCATTTTCCTGATGCACAGTGTCCTAGAAATGAACAAGAAATTATGTTAGTGATTGAATTGAAATTATTTCTTAACCACAATAATTGTTTACCAGCTGTTCCAATCCAATGTTCTGTGATTATAAATCCTCCACAGAAATGACTGCAAATATTAATTGAAGCTTTAGAAAACAGTATCAGATTTAAAAACTTTTTTTTTACCTTTGCATAATTCCACTGCGAAACGAGACAAGATAAGGAAATTGCCCTTTAACTGCTGTTGATCCACCGATCACTCTTCCGGTCCAAATATTCTTATTTGGCTGGGGAAGTGAATCTAAAAATTGGAATGTTTTCGATGAATTACAAAATTAGTCTGTTTATCATTCTACTTGCTTTTATGTCCACCAAATAAAGTTAGGAAATAACAGCACAGCATTGAAGTAAACATTTTAACAACCAGAAATCAGAATGAAGAAAGAAAATTCTCAGTTTTAATTGATTTCTTTTATATTATTTTTCATTCAATTTTATCTTATCACAAACACTCAATATGTCAATTTTTTCGTTCTTTAACCTTCTTCCTCATCAAAAATGATAATCAAAACTTCACTCTGACTCTTCCTGTACGTTCAGTCAGTTCAACGTGGCTGATGGAAAAGCTCGAGCACTACACAAATCACTTTAATATTTTCCATATCAGTTCACGCAAATTCGAAGCTTTTTTTTCCTAAATTTGATTATTCTGTTGTTTTGTTTCTTTTTATTTGAAAATTCAATTATTCTGTTCCGGTGAAATGTGTTAAGTTGAACAATTTGTGAAAGAAAACACTTTCCAAATATCAGTCTGGAATTGACGTCGACAATTTTATCAACTTTGTTTTTGAAACTTTCTGCATGGAGAAATAATTCTTATAAAAATCGAAAGTTTTCACTTAAGACAAATGATTCAAAGTTCTTCATGACATTCGTTTCGTTTCCCGGCATCATTCTGTTAATTATGAACAATTAATCATTGAGCTGAAAGTCATGTCGCTGAGGTAGATAAGTTCGCTTTTGTCTGGCAGCAGATAAATGGATCACCGTAAAACAACATAAATCCATTTCAGATGAACACGAAAGATTCGAAAACCTCAGCATCAATCAATGACTCAACTTTTCCCTTTCTTTTGTCCCCTGATTAGATTTTTTCTCACTTCTTACTTTCAGTCTTTAAATTTAATGAGAAGTCATTTGTCTTGAAAGTCTCAATTCTGACTGGTCTCGTTTTCATTTCTCTTTTAACTTCAGGTCACTGCATTTGCAAATCTCTCGATTTATCATTTTTTATTGTTACACAGTCAATTACATCCCGCAAACTTAAAATGCGTGAAAGTTGGTTGATGTAGATCGTGACATTTTTATTTGCATTAGACTCGGAAAGTGTATCAGAGGCTATTAATAAAAACTTCAACTATCAGCGTGATCAAAAAAGAAATGTTACTTACACTCAAGATAATTAACTACGATCCCAAAAGTAATAGTGTTGGAATGCGCGTGGATATTTAAATTATTCAACAACGAAAGAATCAACTTTCAATTATTGAAACTCTACAAGTCATTTAAACAAACCATGAAAGATTATTAAACATATTTAAATTTTTTCATTTCATTAATGAATTCAAATCTGTTTTTAAATTCCGATGAACTAGAAATTGCAAATTGATTTTCGCAATTTTTCTTTCTTTGTTTTTTAATTTGTTAAAAGACTTGATTCAGCCTGTCATCACTTTTCTTGTTGGTATCTTCAGTTCCGGTAGCTTTGTATGATGATCAGGATTTATTAATAAACAAATCGTTTTACAACTTTCTAAAGATTTTTTATTCAAATTTGCACTCCTTTGATATGCAAAATTTAACGCCAATCAGCTGTAAAAATGTCAACTCAATTATCGCTTAAATGTTTCAAAACAACAAAAACGATGCAAAAAACTGTTGATGGAATTTTTCTGTAATCGATTTTTAACTCATCACATCATGAGTTACACAAAACATTTATGCAATTCACTTTACGACTTAAGTTTCTTTTCATGTTGCTTTGGATGACACTCAAGTATTAAGCGAGCATTCGAAAAATATCAAAATCCATTTTAAATGTTAATTATTGCGAATTCAATCTTCAGATAATTTATTTAACTTTTAAAAATATTTAGCAATCGAAGATCATCCGATTTAAATTTCGTTTCCTGACATGACTAATATAAATAAATATTTAGATATGTATCGTCCAACATGTTTGTCAGAGAAAATGTCAAGAAGATTTCGATTTCAATATTCATGAAGATTTCTTTTAGTGCTGCAGAAATTTCACCAAAAATTTGTGGAAGAATTGCAAAGAAAATATTGCCATTAATTAAGATCGTTTTATTAACAACAAAATCAGAAAATGTGCTCAGATATTTATATATTTATCAATAATGTTCGTTCGTTGTCGACTCATCATCATTTCTTCTTTCTTGTTCGCAGTTGGAAATCGTCAAAGAGTGAGAAAGAAGCAATTTCTAGTCAAATATGTATTTATTGTGGAATATGTTAAGCGATTGCAGACGAAGAGGCAGTTCCTCAACTCTCTCAGAAATTAGAGAAATTTTCAAAGAAAACTATAAAACGTTTTATGACCCCGCAAAAATGAATGTTTGGTCGCGGTGAATTTACGACTTTAAGATTGGACACCCAAGTCAAATTTTTGATACAAACATATCGAATGTCGACTTGTTATTGATTCATGACTCATGACTTGAAATAAATAAATAAATAAATTCATTTTTCATCAAGTCGCGACACTGAAATTCGATATTTACTCGCGAACCGCAAAGTCAGCTGATTGAGTTGCAATTTGCATTGATTTGTTGTTGTCTCAGACACATCTTAATTTAATGTTTGTGACTGTTGTTGATCTCCGCTAGAGACAACGATGGACAGATCATAGCAGAAACCAGAGTGAATTAGACCTTGCATAATTCTCAGCGTTTTATTGTCAATTACAAGGTGTGTGCGCGACTTGATTACGAACTCATTCGCAAGCTTGACGATTATTCAAATTCCATTTCCTTTTGCTCCAATAAATCGTGCAATGATTGCATCACCAACTCACGTTTGTAACGCTCTCAAACTGGTGGTGCAGGTGAAATTTAAGATTCGTGTGGAATTAAAAATTCCAAAGTACGAAGGAGAGAAAGAAGAATGTTCGGCGATTTCTTAGAACTTCTCCTTTTAAAAGGAATTCCGATTGAAATAAAAAGAATTTTATTTGTTGAATGAGTTAAGAAAGTTTTTTACTTTTGTGCTGAGAATGAAGTCAGAAAGAAATCCCGTGGAGTTTTAATGGCTCTTAAAAAGCGTTTAATGTTCTTTGAACTTCATTCTTCATTCTTAAATAACACAATCAAAAAGAGATTTGAAATTAATTAAGCAACAGGAAGTTGAAGAATCGATCGAAGAGAATTGAAAATTGTTCCAAAAGTCGTTAATTCCATAAAACACAAGCACACAGCACCATGTCGAATTAATCTCTTCATTATTCACGCAATACTTTGACTCTTCTCCAACTGCGAAAGTTCTTAGCATCATAAGCCTCACACAAGCTCTTTTCATTGTCTTCAGCTTCTTCGAATTATTCTTAGGAATCATTAGAAAACATACGGTTTGTGAATAATTTCGAGAAGAAGCTTAATTGCTTCTAAACACAACAATTGCGCCACAATCTTAAGACAAAATTAACAGCAATTTACTCTCGATTCGTTCATTCCCTCTTCGGCTTGATATAATTTCTGAGGAATGTTGAGATTGTTACATTTGTCTGAGGTGTGTCAAAGCTCAAAGTCAATAACGTCAGATTTGTAGGTAACTTCTCGCCCAATTGATTTTGGTTTCAAATTAGTTTTTATTAATCTGATTATATGCTTAGCAGTGAACGCATTAGAGTAATCTGATTAGATTGATCTAATTTATGAGATGATAGCTTATTTTGAATCAGTTTTGATCGACAGTGATTATGGTTAATAAACATTCATGAGGAATGCGGGAATCTTTTGGTTTTAAATTCTTGGATCCACGATTGAATTGAACATTCTTCTCTCGTATCACAAAAGACATCATTTAAGATTCTAATGTCAATAGAGAAACATGAAAAACGTGCATCACACGCAATGCAAACAATGAAACCATCAACATGCTTCACTCTTAAANAATTCAGCATTTGACATTCACGAGAGGCTTGCACACCTGAAATTATCGTAACGGAACGAAAAACGCTGAGAATTGCTGCTAATGTTTGTTTATCGTTGTTCATACTCTCATCAGATTTGCATTATAAAAAGAGCTTGAAATTTATCATCACTAAAAGCATTTCCGTTTCCTCTTCTGAATGATTATGATGTTGTTTAGTCCAATCTCGTGAATGAAGTGAATGTTTCGATCCGTTGAACTTGAAAATTTCTCACAAAAACATTCACCGGAATGAAATAAATTTGCACAAATTTTTGTTTAAATGATTTGTGAATCGGAAAGATGATCGGAAATTTGAGTAAGTTCAAGGCTTAGTTTTAAAGTTTCATGTTCAAGTTCAATAAATGAACTAATTAAATGCAATCAAAGAACGAATAAACATAAAAGACTCAATGAACTAATTAATTCATTGATTGCCTCCTCTAATCATCTTAAACGAGAGTCATTTGTGACCGCAATCCGCAAGTCAATCGAATGTAGGTTGAACGCATTAAGCATTCGCAAATCATAAATTCCCAAAAATAAATTTAAAATCTTTTGGACAACAAAAAAGTTGATCAAACCAAAAGCAGTTCAGGAACTGGTTCATTGCCTTCGAAGCTTCATCGCTCGATTTCTTTTCTCTCCTTTTAGTGAAATTTATTCATGAAATTTTGGCTTTTTTAATTGCGCGATATTTTTCTTATTATGATGATAACAAGCAAATTTCCGTGTCTCAAGACTTTTGGGATTTCATGCTGAGCCATGGCGCGAGCGAGTGGTTGTGATTTGATAATTTAATGTTGTTTTTAAAACTCCGTTAACCGCGATTGAAAGCTTTTATGTTTTGTTTTTAAAATCTCTTTCAAGAAACAATGTGAATGGTTGCAGAACAATCAATAAATATCCATAGAAGGTTGCGACGGTTTTATTTTTAAGCGAACATTAATTGAAAAGTCATTGCCAAGATAGCAAGTGGATCGTAGCGATTATCTTTGATGTTCATGTTTCTTTCAATTTTAAAACTTCAACAGTTGTTTGTCTTTAATTAAGTTTATTACTGAGTTCTAGCTTACTTGGTTATTCAAGTGAGTGTAGTGAAGTCGTTGAAATTAGCTCATCATGAAAAGCAAATATTTAAATAAGTTTGCAAGTGATAAATATTTGTAAGTCTCGAGTAAGTGAAGGTAACACGTAAATTTTCGCGTCTGATTGACATCGTTTTTTCCATTGTTACTTAAGCGAGAGAATATCCGTTCATTGACACAAACTTTATTAATAAACTTTCAAACATTTCTCGCCTTCGAAATGATTTAATTCGTTTTCTTTTTCATTGTCAAGGCTGAAAGGCTGTTAAGCATTTATTTTCAACATCTCTCAGCAACTCGATTTGCTGCGGTTTTCAATCAAGCTATTTAACTATTTGTCTAATCACATCCGAGACGTTTTCTTAATTTTTTTTCTTATTGTCAATTGCTGCTCTCGACAACATGTCCAAATGTGGTGAAATTCAACGCCTAATCGAGTGTAAGTAAATCTTAAATAAAAATGTAAACAAACAAAGCAAAAGCATCCGGCAAGAGAAATAAAGAGAGAAATCATTGCCGAACAAATTCATTAATTTCACTTAATTAATGCTTAAATTTTTTAAAAAGATTTCTCAGATGTTTTAATTTGCAAATGGTTAAGTGATTCTGACATTTTATCTTTTCAATCGTTTTGATTTGCAAATCGTGATCGCATTTGATTAAACTTTTCGGTAGCGTTTTTGCTGATAATAATTTATCGACTAAAAAGCAAAAATCAACTTTCTATTCACAGCTGATGATTTGCTTCCTTCATAAGGCACAATGATATGTAAGAAAGATATAAAATGTTATTCATTTAAAACAAAAGATTCGTTGTGCGTTATGCTGTGCTGATTAAAAACAAAAGATTAACAAATCGTTTTTAATCGACTTTGAAAAGGTCGAAATGACGACATTCATTCGTTTGATTTCTTGTGATTGGTTTCACTTTTAATTATAGAACTTTATCGCATGATATAATTGATGTAGAATGTTCGGTATCTTTAAAAGCTTAAAGGTCGTCGAGATAAGAAACTTTTTCATTCTTTGTCAAGTTTAAGGAAGTTCATTCCACTTAACCACGATTAAAATAAGTAAAACTTGCCATAAACATCTTAAAAGATTTTCACAGCAGAAATTATTAAAATAAAACAAGTTAAAGTTTATGATAAATATGATTAAAAGAAAATAGTTTTACTGCGTCTAAACTGAAAACTGTTTCCATTTGTTAATTAAATGTTTTATATGAAGCATGCGACATTCCATCAAAAAGTAAATTAACACAAGCACTGACTCGTTCAACATTCATGGGCGGATTATGTTAATGAATGCTGAGATAAGAAAACTGATTTTTTTTTCTCTTTTCCAATTATTTTTTTAATCCTTTGAAAAGCGAAAGACAACTTCTTAGCTTTAAACTATTTATGTAGGCCTTTGAGCGACAAAACATTTCCGTCAACACATCACTCATTGGTGTGATAACTTTTCTTCTCCGACACATTATCCCGGCCTATAATTTTATTAACAGCGATTATGCAACACCAAATGCAATCAATTTTCTTTAATAAAGTGTGGCAAAATGTTGAATCATCGAACGAGTTTTGCATTGAAAGGAAGACTGTTATTGCGATAATCGGCAGTTGGTAAGTTGTCGTATGGCAAGGTAATCAAAAGAGTTTAATATGATTGAGGCTATTTGGTTATTGCTTTGTGGGTCTCACAGCATCGTCAAGCTTTAAATAGACGATGGAAATAACTTTTTATTTTTTGCATAATTGGTCATACAACCTCGCGACGAATCGAACCGCGTGTCCATTGTCGCCATGGCATAAAAAATATATATATAAAAACCTATTCATAAACGCTAAATTTACTCTTTTTTCTTTAAATATTTTTGCAAAAATTTTCAATTCAAATTCGACAAAAACATTCGGACAAATGCGAAAGCGAGAAAATAAATTCCATTTCGTCTTTTGTGATTATTAGTGAGTTAAGAGGGAACAAACAACTCTTTCACTTTCTTCTCTGCTTGTTTTCATCGATGATAGTCTGAAATTTATTTGAAAATTATTGAAATTTAAAAGCATCTTCCGCGTACGATCCAGCAGACCTGCAAATCGAAAACATTTCGATTTCAATATTCATGAAGATTTCTTTTAGTGCTGCAGATATTTCACCAAAAATTTGTGGAAGAATTGCAAAGAAAATATTGCCATTAATTAAGATCGTTTTATTAACAACAAAATCAGAAAATGTGCTCAGATATTTATATATTTATCAATAATGTTCGTTCGTTGTCGACTCATCATCATTTCTTCTTTCTTGTTCGCAGTTGGAAATCCTCAGAGAGTGAGAAAGAAGCAATTTCTAGTCAAATATTTATTGTGGAATATGTTAAGCGATTGCAGACGAAGAGGCAGCTCCTCAACTCTCTCAGAAATTAGAGAAATTTTCAAAGAAAACTATAAAACGTTTTATGACCCCGCAAAAATGAATGTTTGGTCGCGGTGAATTTACGACTTTAAGATTGGACACCCAAGTCAAATTTTTGATACAAACATATCGAATGTCGACTTGTTATTGATTCATGACTCATGACTTGAAATAAATAAATAAATAAATTCATTTTTCATCAAGTCGCGACACTGAAATTCGATATTTACTCGCGAACCGCAAAGTCAGCTGATTGAGTTGCAATTTGCATTGATTTGTTGTTGTCTCAGACACATCTTAATTTAATGTTTGTGACTGTTGTTGATCTCCGCTAGAGACAACGATGGACAGATCATAGCAGAAACCAGAGTGAATTAGACCTTGCATAATTCTCAGCGCTTTATTGTCAATTACAAGGTGTGTGCGCGACTTGATTACGAACTCATTCGCAAGCTTGACGATTATTCAAATTCCATTTCCTTTTGCTCCAATAAATCGTGCAATGATTGCATCACCAACTCACGTTTGTAACGCTCTCAAACTGGTGGTGCAGGTGAAATTTAAGATTCGTGTGGAATTAAAAATTCCAAAGTACGAAGGAGAGAAAGAAGAATGTTCGGCGATTTCTTAGAACTTCTCCTTTTAAAAGGAATTCCGATTGAAATAAAAAGAATTTTATTTGTTGAATGAGTTAAGAAAGTTTTTTACTTTTGTGCTGAGAATGAAGTCAGAAAGAAATCCCGTGGAGTTTTAATGGCTCTTAAAAAGCGTTTAATGTTCTTTGAACTTCATTCTTCATTCTTAAATAACACAATCAAAAAGAGATTTGAAATTAATTAAGCAACAGGAAGTTGAAGAATCGATCGAAGAGAATTGAAAATTGTTCCAAAAGTCGTTAATTCCATAAAACACAAGCACACAGCACCATGTCGAATTAATCTCTTCATTATTCACGCAATACTTTGACTCTTCTCCAACTGCGAAAGTTCTTAGCATCATAAGCCTCACACGAGCTCTTTTCATTGTCTTCAGCTTCATCGAATTATTCTTAAGAATCATTAGAAAACATACGGTTTGTGAATAATTTCGAGAAGAAGCTTAATTGCTTCTAAACACAACAATTGCGCCACAATCTTAAGACAAAATTAACAGCAATTTACTCTCGATTTGTTCATTCCCTCTTCGGCTTGATATAATTTCTTAGGAATGTTGAGATTGTTACATTTGTCTGAGGTGTGTCAAAGCTCAAAGTCAATAACGTCAGATTTGTAGGTAACTTCTCGCCCAATTGATTTTGGTTTCAAATTAGTTTTTATTAATCTGATTATATGCTTAGCAGTGAACGCATTAGAGTAATCTGATTAGATTGATCTAATTTATGAGATGATAGCTTATTTTGAATCAGTTTTGATCGACAGTGATTATGGTTAATAACCCGAGCGGCACACACGGCAATGTCTCTCACAAATCTAGCATAGGTCTGCCATAAGGCTAAAAAAAATTGACAGTTGCCGATAGGTCATCCCCACGGTGCCACATTGTGCATTTGTGCCGCTCGGGTAAACATTCATGAGGAATGCGGGAATCTTTTGGTTTTAAATTCTTGGATCCACGATTAAATTGAACATTCTTCTCTCGTATCACAAAAGACATCATTTAAGATTCTAATGTCAATAGAGAAACATGAAAAACGTGCATCACACGCAATGCAAACAATGAAACCATCAACATGCTTCACTCTTAAATGGTCATTGACCAACTTTAAAACGGTAATTCGATTCTCATTTTGTATTTACACAACAACCAAAGATTGTTACGCTGATCATCCATTGCGCATTTCGTGCCGTGATTGAAAATTGAGAAATTAAGAATTTTGAAACGTTGCTTTGGGCATCTTCATAATCACAATCAAATCTTGAGCGAAATTATCTAAATAACATTCTTTCACCTGTTGCGTTCTTTTCTCGTCTCTTTCAATAGCTCAACAAGAATCGAGAAACAACACACCGAGAAATTTAAGAGCAGCGGTAGAAGCTGAGAATGGAGATGTTTAAAAAATAAAAGGTACAAAGGAAAGATTGAAGTGAAAACATGACAACTTCACAATCAATTAAGAGTAAAAGATTTTTAAAATAAAAGTTAGAGCGTTTCATGATTCGGTTATAATTTATATCGAAGCTGGAGTGACTTGTAATGGCATGGGATCGAGAGAAATAAATAAAATTGATTGGGAACCAACAGCGTTAGACGCAGTGAAATGAGAAAAAGAAAAAGAAGAAAAAATTCTTATTGGGGAAAGTTTTCAAAGTCAAGATAGGATCGCAAGATGATGATGAACTTTTCACTTTTTCTACGCAATCACGATCCGATCATGAACATGAATTGCCTTTTTCCATGTGACGGAGGTCAGGTCGGTTCAATTCTCAAAGTCAAACACTAAAACTTTTTTTTTAATTTCCATCATTTCGATTCGGAAAACACTTCAATCAAAGTCAATACAAAAGATCTGCCGCCGGAACGAGAGTGAACCACATCAAATGAATACGTGAGAGTCAGACAACGAAGACATTTCACGGCCATACACGAAAATATTGATTTTTTTATGTTGTTACACGAAAGCAGATAAACATTTGATGAGTTTCGTGAGACAAGTGGAAGTGCGAACTCACCTTTGTCACTTATGTGTACTGATCCATCCTTGTGTACACTGAGATTCTTTGTTGATTTAGGCACCTTGATTCGATGAGACGACTTTTGTGTTGCATCCTTCGTATATTTGTCAATAAACTCAATGCGTATGAAGTTACGATAGAGTTGCACCGACTGATAAATTAGCGACCAGGCTTGTTCTTCTGACAGTGGTGCATTGAATGAGTGCAAAATGTCGTTGAGAGACAGACAGTTGTCTTTGTCTGAACAGAACTCTAAGCAAGTTTGTGTCTTTGCATTTTTTCCACTTGCCGGTTCTTTTTTCACATCCAGCGATATATTTTCCTTCTCTTTAACTTTTTCCATTTTTGAATAATTTTTACTATTCAGCACGCAAATTTCAACATCGCTCACATGATCCCTGCGAAATTGTTCGTTTTGCTTCTTTCTCTTATCACACATAAATTATAATATTAAAACACTTATAAAACCTTACACTAACTTCTCACTTTTGTTTTACTTGACGTTGATGATGTTGTTGTTGTTGGGCAAACTAAATCGATTTTTTCTTCGTTTTTCTTTTTTTTCAATAAAATTCTTTTGTTATTCACTGAACTTCACTTTTTCGTGATTTGTTATCATTAATCTTTAATAAACTGAAATCAATCTTAAACAACTACCTATTTATAGTGATTCTTGTTAAAAGCAAATTTTAATTTTTTTATCTTCTTTCAGTAATAAAACGGAAAATTTTTCAAATTGCGAAATTTCTTGTTATCACTTGTTACACTTTTAATTTTCATTCTCTTTGAATTTCCGGAATTGTGAAACACTGAATTTCGTTAATTTTCCTTTTTTTTTAATTTTCCTCGGATGAATATATGAAATCTCAGAATTCTAATAAATATATTATTATTCGCGATAAATTTGTTCCGCGCTCGTTAGGCAAACTTGTGTTAGCTTAGGCGTTCAAACGATTTCTGAGCGAAATTTCTCTAGAAATGCGGCGTATGGAAATGTTCAGCGGCGAAATCCAAAAATATGAGAGAAAAATCAGCGTAATCCAGAGAAAGAGAGAACTTGAATTCTCACAAGCCTTCTGCACTTGCAAAAGGTTCACTTAAAGTGGAGAAGAATGTTTTAAATTTCATGTAAAACTGGCGATTCCTAAATGCTTTTAAAATTTAATGAACTTGCTTGGAAAAAAAGTTGATAATCTGTGAAGTTTAATACTACTAATTGCTTTGATAGGTAATTCTGCAACCTTGGCTGCGGCTGTTCGAGTCAGAATTTATGAATGTATCAATGACATAATGAAGGCTCTTGATAACCTTTTAGCATGTGTACAAGAGAATTAAAATGATTTTCTTTTATAATTTTACGTTCGGCTTAACGGCCAACTAATATGCAGGTATCTTGTCTTGAAAACATTTCTAATAGATATTTCTCTTTCATTCTAAAAAATTAAACTTTTATAGTTGACTACCTACATGACGTAATAAATTACTTAACGAAACCAACTAAAATATTTCATACTCAACTTTATTATATTTACAGATAAGGACTGCAGATTGTATGAAATAAAACGTTTTAGCATCGTTGAAAGAAATTAAATTCTTTTTTAATTGCAACAATTATTCACATCAACAAATCGATCATTTAATGGAAAAGATGTCGACGTAAAGACTTGTTAATTAAAATTGAAAGTTTTTTATTACTTATTTTATTTCTTTTCTTTATAGAAGCTTAACATGAATTTCCTTTAAGGTAAGATATGTTTATGAAAATTCTTAAGTAGTTCAACATTGGAAGACAATTATGAACAATTAATTAATCATTGAACTGAACGTCATGTCGTTGAGACAAAATTTAATTTTGTCTACCTAGCAGATAAATGAATCACCCAAAACACAAAACAAATCCATTTGAGATGAACACGAAAGATTCGAAAACCTCAGCATCAATCAATGACTCAACTTTTCCCTTTCTTTTGTCCTCTGATTAGATTTTTTCTCACTTCTTACTTTTAGTCTTTAAATTTAATGAGAAGTCATTTGTCTTAAAAGTCTCAATTCTGACTGGTCTCGTTTTTATTTCGCAAATTCAGCAATTTATCATTTTTATTGTTTCGACTAAACAAAATTAAGCAAATGTTAACTTAAAAACTTCATGTTGATTGTTGGGTTTAATATCGAAGCTTAATTAGTTATAAACACTTTTTCATTATCAGGTGATAAACTTATTAGATTACGCATAAATTGTAGAGGTCTGAGAAAATTCATGTTCTTATGCAGGCCAGAATCAATTATGCTATGAAGTGGAAAAGCAGATAATTTTCAGCTTCAGTGCGTGACTGATTAATGTATATTACAGAGTCATTACATACTTATAAGCATACTTCATTTTAAACTGCATTATCATATTAGATACATGTAATCATGTTCACTCAACATTAAAAGAATTCAGATCAATTGAACATCACATAAATCTGACATTTATCTGCTTTTGATATTTCTTATTAATCCGAAAATTCTTCGATGAAGAAACAGAATGAAGAAGAAAAATGTCAAGATTATCGACGGAAAAAAATCGTTAATATGATCATTCTTTTAGACAGGAAATGACGGCAATGTTATAAAGAAAAAACATATTAATGCTATAATGATCATTAAAATTAACCGCACCTTAGTTAAGATTGATGTTTTTTTAATGGTCACAGTTTTAAAATAAAAATAACGAAATATCAAACAATAGTTTTCTTTACATTTAGCAGAAATGTTCTCAAAATCTTAAGTTGAGGTAAATGAGTTCGTTTTATTACAATGATGATATCAATCTAAGAAAGAATTTGCATTCCCACGACGCTAAATGGAAATTGTATTATTAACAAAATTGTATACATTTGTAGATCACCGATCGGCTTAAAAGTATCATGTTTAGCAGTCAATAAGTCCTTGATCATGTAGCTTGTTTTGTGAAGGTTGGTTGATTGAATAAACCGTTCAACTTCACTTATCCGAATTCACGTTCATTTAGAGTCATTCCATATGGCGCTCAAAAATTGTTTCGTTCAACACCATATTGACTGATTTATGTCTTGAAGGAATCATTGACGCCATAAATTTGCATAAGAAATATTTTATCGCAAGAGACGATTAACCGCGGCGGAATTTGAAGGACATTCTGGGTGCAATCTTAACGAGTGATTTACCACTCCTACCGCGATATTTTTACCTGTCGGTAAATGTCCCTTTTAATATGCCAGAAGGCACAACACCAATAAATTGTGTGTTTCTTTTTTTGATTTATTGAATGATGATGGCAAACTTTTGCATTCATGACAAAAAGAACAATCGCATCAAAAGAACTACTTACAATTTGACTTTTCAAATCTCTCTGTTTTGCATATTATTTTGTGCTTTGAACATGTCATGGGAAGTTAGTAATTTAATTCATAAAACAGATTGAATTGCTTCTTAACCATGTTGCCGCAACAAACAAGCAAAGATGAGAGATCTCGAAACTCGTTATGATATTCAAATGTATTCATTATATATTTCGAGTCAATTTATTTTCATGACAAAAGGAGATCATATTACTTTTGATTAATTTGTTGATTTAACGATTGTAACACGATTCGATTAAGAAGACAATTGAATGTTTTCCTATTAAAAGTTAAAATTCCGTTTAATAGATTCAAGAATGTTTGTTTAACAAGTTACATGTGACGCCTACGATTTCAATTACTCCTTAGCTTTTTTCTTTCATATTTGTGTTACATAAATTCAAGTGACTTAAAAATTCTTGGAATCTCTCAAAGAAATTATTTATTCAATGAGATTTTCCATCAACAATGAAAACGTTACCAGTTTTGGGATTTTTATTGATATAATGACACATCAAATTTTATCTATTTTTAAGCTATCTGGCGTCAGTTTTAGAGAAATAAATCTTGACCCGAATGATGCCTACAAAAGTCAAAATCCAAAGTAAACTACATAAGTCTCAACCTCTTAAAATATATTTCAAAAGAAATCTTAGCTAGAATTTCTTTCAAATTCCATAATTTCAACATTTAACTTTATCAACCGCAACCTTTGTTGCTTGTTAACAAATATTTCATTGCTAAATGTCGTGTTTAGTGTTATCAGAACAACAATGGATAGTAAAAGAAATTTAAACTTCATAAACTTTAATCTTACAATGCGATCGTTTCTTAACTGGATCTTGTGACATTTTCCATCGCAACCTTTTCTGATGCAGTAAATTAACTTACACAACAAATTGTTTTCACTATAGCTACTAAGAGTACGAGGCGAAACTTCGCAGTAAAGAACCTGACGAGGTGTTTTATTTAATGTTTTCCCTGCAAACAACGAAAATTTCACTTTAAACTGCATTGCATAACGTTATAAAAATTTCCCATTAAGTAATGCATTTATAAGTTTCCGATCTGACAATATTCCCTCATTAAAATCGAAATGTTTTTTTTTTTATATATTTTACTGCGAAAATGTTCGATACAATTTAATTAAATTTCTTTAGTGTTTTGTTGTAAGACAATGGGAAGCTGATCGCAAGAAGAATTTCAATTGAACTTTCTCGTTAAAGAAGCAGCATTTAGTGATGTGTTCAAGAAGCAAGTCACGAAGAAAACCAAAACGCTTCAGTTAGTTTTTCGATCAATCGTACAGCAAATTGGGAGAGGTCGGTATTGCACATATGAGATACAATCGGATACATGTTTTCAATTAGATGGTTAATAGCTTTATTAGATTCACGAGATGAAACTACTAAGTAGAAAGTTTTTCTCCTTAAATGAAAGTTGCTACTTGCGTAACTTTTAAGATTTCATAGAGAAGTGACGTGTCGAAAGATATCTCACTGGTGCAATAAATGCAAAACTTCTAATGTTATTCAACACGGTCGGCAAAACTTCAATCGCGATTATTTGCATAATTTTCACAACCCGTCATCATTTAATACTAAAGGAAAATCGAATTTCTTGTGCGTCTTAATTTCAACAGGTAATAAAAATAAATATCTTCATAATAAATATCGATTTTGTTTATTTACGGCTCAAGTAACTTGATGTGAATGAAATTGAAAGAATTTAAAGAAATCATCTGTCATGAATAAAGGCTTGTCAAGGTTTGAAATTACGATTCGGTTTTTTGTTAGTGGTACTTCAAACAGTTTATGAGCCATTTTTCGGTTGCTGACATGTGTCGTTAAATTAATTTACTGCAAATTTTATTAAACAAGGGAAAGGAGAATGTAAAGTCAAAATATGAATACTTAAAAGTAATTGATAAACGTTGCTTCATGACGATCATCAACTTGAGTTTCAGTTAATGACTTTATTAAGTTACTGCAAATAATTGCCACTCAATAAGTCTCATAAATATTGACGCGATGAAATTAGTCAAGTGTTGCTTTTAATGAAATCGATTTTTACGTGCACCTACATAAAGGTTTTACTTTCGGGAAATTAAGAAAATTGAAGTGTCTGTAAGTGACCTGCCAACAAAAATTAGTCGCTTAAAAGCAGAAAAGAAAGATTGCTCGTAAAATCATTCTTAGTCTCAACGCATCCTACTGATAATACAAAGACGATGACGGAATTGTTTTTCGCTTTAAAAAGTGATAACACAAAGGAATGTTATAATTATAGAAATGATGCAGCATCCAGAAATTTGTTCAATATACTTTTTCCTTATCACAATATTGTTTTATTCTCTGTGAGTCATTGATAAATTTATTGTGCTTAATTTATGGATGATGGTCATTAATTGAGTACATTGTGTCAAAAACAGGTAGAAGATTTCGAAAGAAGAACTTCTCACGCCTCTAACATTTCTATTTTACTGTTTTATTTTAGTAATTATCCGTTAAAAAGTAAAAACATTAAAAGTAAATTCAGTTCAAATGGGTAATTTGCTGCCACTTTACACATATTGTAACTTAACCATAACGAATTAAGTAAAAACGGTGATAAAAATTAACGGTTAAAAAAAATTCAAATTTTTACCTTCGTTAAATTTTCAAAGTGCTGAAGTTCTTAACAGCGTTCAGTAACTTTGGAACCTCAATTTCTAAACTGGCATTTATTAAACCTTAAGAAAAAACTAAAAAAAATCATTTATCTGTTGAAAATATAAAGAAAAAGAACAGTATTAAAGATTTATCTATTCAAGTAAGTTTTATCATCAGTTTAATAGTGTAAATCAAATTAATAATCTTGTAATTTTGATAATAAATTGCCAAGAAAAATAATTCCGGCTATAAAAACACGTTTTTAAAACATTTTCATTATTTTAGGAAATTCTGAAACTGAAAATGTCTGAAGAAGTTAAAGTGCAAACTGAAAATGGTGACAAAAAGGAGGAAGTTGTTACTGACAAGCAAGAAGAGTCGAACGAGGAGGCAAAACAAGAATTAAATAACTTGACTAAACTCGAGCAAGACATTATCCGACAAATTGAATATTATTTTAGTGAAAACAATTTACGACGTGACAAATTTATGATTCAGAAGATATCTGAAAATGAAGGATGGATTGACATTAGCACATTGTTGACTTTCAATCGTTTGAAAGCTATAACAGAAGATGCCAAAGCTATTGCCGATGCCATGGACAAATCTCCAAATGGAACCGTTCAAGTAAGTGAAGACAGAGAAAAACTTCGACGCCATCCTGAAAATCCATTACCAGAATTCAATGAAACTCGTCGCAAAGAAGTTCAATCTCGCACAGCATATGCTAAAGGTTTTCCTCTCGACTCAACACTTTCCCAGCTCATCGATTACTTTAACAACAACTTTGAGAATGTTGAACAGGTCATCATGAGAAAGTATTTTTGTTCGAAAGAGAAGAAGCATTTTTTCAAAGGATCAGTTTTTGTGACATTCAGCAAACGTGAATATGCTGAGGAATTCGTAAACAAACCAGAATTGAAGTATAAAGAAAAGAATTTACTTCGTTACACACAATCAAAATATATCGAAATCAAGAAACAGGAACGTGAAGAATTTGGAAAGAAGAAAAAGGCTAAGAAAGATGAAGCAGAGTTGGCTGAACTGAAAGAGCAATTTGCATTACCAAAAGCTGCTGTCGTTCATTTCACAGGAGCTGAAGGAGACATGTCTAGAGAAGATATTAAATCTAGAATTGGTGAAATTGATTCATCATTGGAGGTCGCTTTTATCCACTTCCAGAAAGGTGATAAGGAAGGTGACTTAAGATTCAATAAGGAAAACGCTGGAAGTCAATTATTGGAAAAACTTGATGACGGAAAGGTGAAGTTTTCATTGATTTACATTTTTTATTGATTAATTTAATTTATCTTCCTTTAAACAGATGAAAGTCAACGAAACCGAGCTCAAATTCACACTCGTCGAAGGAGAAGATGAAGAAAAGTTCCTGGAAAAAGCCATTTCTGACATGAAACAACGTCGATCAAACTTCCAGAAAGGAAAAGGCAAAAACAACTTTGGTCGTAAGCGTAAACATGATGGACGAAATGAAGGCAATGGAAAACGAGTTAAAACATAAAACAAAAACAATTTTCATTCTAATTTGTAATATTTTTTGATTTTTTACTTTAAATCCCATTTTTACACAAGATTATTTGATGTTCATTAAACTCTTGTTACACATAAATAAACTTTCAAATAAAATTTTACCCAATTCTCATTCTTTATCGTAACTTTCATTTATTGAAATTTTAAATCGCGGGGAAGGGAAAATTTTTCTTGAAATCATCATTTGTTTTCAGCTAAATTCGCTAAAGAATGTTTTTCCAGAAGATTAACCAACAATTAGAACTCCTTCGTCAGTAAAGGAATATGGTGGAACTTCCAGATTAAGAGGTGCTGGTCCTTTTCTAATACGACCACTAGCGTCATAATGTGATCCGTGACATGGACAGTAGTAACCACCAAAATCTCCGGAATTAGAGATTGGTACGCATCCTAAGTGAGTGCACACACCAAGCACAACAAGCCATTTGGGATCTTGAACGCGATCATTATCGTGTTGAGCATCGCGAAGCGTTGAGACAGCAACAGATTGTTCAGTGGAAATTTCTTCAGATGTACGATGACGAATGAACAAAGGCTTGCCTCTCCATTTAAATGTAACTGATTTGCCTTCAGCGATATCTGATAACTTAATTTCAATTTTAGCTAAAGCAAGAACATCAGCTGATGCACTCATTGATCCAACAAATGTTGTCACAATAGCTTTTGCTGAATAGGCTGATGCAACAGCAGCGCCTGAAGGGAAAATGCGAATGTTAACATATCAACAATAAGAATTATCAAATAATTTACTTCCAACAAGCATATAAGTGAATGCTTTTCGTTCCTCGGCTGTTTGCGTTTTTGATGCTGGACGTTTCGTTGAGTCGCGGCGATAGTAAGAGAAGTCTGGAACTTTGATATCCGTGTGAGCGAATCGCACTTGTGTCGTCACTAAAATGAAATTTTGATTAATAAGCTGAAGGATTTTCAAAAAGTAAAAATGAAGTAAGTATTCTAAATCCATACATGTTATTGTGATGAGTTAAGAAACTCAAATATTTTTATCTACATTTTATAAGATCCCTTTGGTTATATAATTTTTTATTTTAAATTTAAAAACAAGTAAACAAACGAATATTCGCAAGGAATGTCTACTACATCAAAACTTACCTGGTACTCCTGATGTCACGCACATATTCTTAGCTGGAAGAGTCTGCGTAAGGGACCAAACTGTTTCAGGTTCAAAACTAGTAGTGACGACCTTTTTCTTTTCAGAAGCGATACCTCCGGCTAATGGTTTCAGGCCATTCGACACAACTTGGTTGGTGGCACGCAAATAGTTTCCAGCTTTTGATGCGATATTAATCATTTTTCGTAAGCTCCTATGCTGGTTAATCGATTAAAACGTCGATTGAGATTTTTTTTCAGTTTTCGACTATGCAGGGATTGACAAGAATTTTAAACATGAATAAGGGGACAAGCTACGGTACCTGAACTTGAAAAATGTGCAACGGTTTTAGTAATTTTGAATTGCAATTTAAATCGTCAAAACGTTTTTGTCTTTAAATTCTTAGGAACCGTTTAAATTTTATTTAGTTTTAACCAAAATCAATTTGATATTAAATTAACCAAATGCACAGGTTCAATACACAAAATATGTTATTATAGAACAAAGAATATCTCACGTAAATATAAAAACATTAAATATGAGACCCAAACATCCGAACATGTTAGGGAAACATGAATCGTTACGAAATTTTAATCTAAATGTTTAAACTTGTTTCAAATCTGCATAGCAGTAATTCCACCCCGATTTTAAAATGAACATTGAAGTGAAAACGAAAGTGAAGGACTTTTAAATGGTGTGAGTTGCACAACGCATAATATTATAATATAGAATATGAAGTTTACTAAATTGCGATACCAAAGAAGAGAAAACGATAAGGAAAGCAAGCGGAAACGAAGAAAAATTTCCCCCCGAATAAAATTTCCATAATAATATAGCGCTTTTTCTATTGCATAAAGAACCAGGAGAGTGACGTCAGTTGATTTTCGTTGTGTTAGATATTTCATGAAGTCAGAGGATTTTCTTTTATATAGATATTTAGTTATCTGAACTTTCCGTTCGTTCTTTACAATCTTTGGAATTTCACCTACTTTCATCTTCTCTTTTGTCAATGCCTTTGAATAAAGTTCTTTCTAAAATAATTAGTTAATTGAATTGCAAAGATTTCATGAAGTAGTGTGGGACTGAAAAGGAACATTTTCTATAATTTCCATTATTTCATAATGATGCATTGAAAAAAGACATTTCAGAGGCAAAATGAAATTAAATATCGATTGTTGCTTTCTTTTGATGATTTTTCTTAACTAACCTTTGCAGTTAAATTTAAAATTTGATGTCATCTGATGAGATGAATTTCCTTCAATTTCAGGCGTTATTTTTGTTCCTATTGTTATCAAAGTTTTTCATGTCCCCGGTTTTCTCAAATATTTAAGGACAAGAAAGCAGCGCCAATGTAGTAGTTTGCTGCCTCGATTATTGATTTTAGATGCGCAAAATGTGCACAAAAATGTGTACATGTGAGAGAGAAAACTGATGTCCCATTAAAAATACCCTCGTCTTTCCTATCCGCACATGTATTTTTTAACAGAAACGCACGTAAGCGGATCGTTTCATAGCTATAGGAGAAAGAGAAGCGCATGTAGAAAATTCTGCTATGTAATAGAAAACGAACAAGTAGATTTATTTGATTAAAACAATTTTTAAGTTTCCCTGAAGCTCTAAAATCGGAAATTATTCCAACCAAAAATGAAATGTTCAAACGTATAAAAAGTATTCAAATTCACTCCCTAAAAAGTAAATCAAGTCTAATTATAAAATTACTGGGTGCCACTCGAAGCGTATTTCATTGAAAGTCCTCCATCCACATCCAACCTCAATCTAATTCCCATTCCCATCTTTTTCAACATAGAGTAAAAGCGAAAAGCATTTTTGCGTGTGCATTTTTTTAGAAAATTATTTTCCACCACCCACCAACGCAACAAAACAGTGTTTGCTATCTCGCTTTTATTGGTTGTACATACAATGAATTTGAAACAAAGATTGAGGGGATGTTTAAATTGAGAGTGAAAAAGCTTCATTTACGCATCCAGGAAAACTTCTCCAAATTATGAAAGAAACTTTTAAGAAATTTCAAATAGATGTCTTTGTTAAGTAAAGTTGAAAGCAAATTTATGGTTAGTTTCACTTTGCAGCCATTACTACCCTTACCGGAGAACAAACCTCAAATCATCCCGGAATGTAGGCAAAAGCTAGGCTAAGAAATTGTGAGAGAATAAATTCTCGTCGTTGCTTTTTCTTGTTGCATACTTACACTAACGTTTGCTTCGCATCCTTATGAAGTATTTTCAAGGAGAATTCTTAAAAGCAAAGAAAATGCGGGTGAACATGTTTGTATGAGTTTTCCATGAAAATCGAAAGTTTTTCTTTTCACATTGTAAAATGGAAAGTTTCTTCCCATTCCGTCAATCCTTCGCCTTGAACCTCATTCTCTAGAACCTGAAAAAGAAAAAAAACAACAGAAGTAAAAACTCTCGAGAGAGTGAGCGGCTTGAAGTGAAAGTGAATGTGGAAAACGAATGATGGGAGTTTGAAGAGGGAGGAGGATTGGTGAGAGTGTGCATGGGATGGAAAATTTTCTTTCGAAAAAATTCACTTTTTTTTCCTTCATCTTCGGGAAAATTTTCGTATTTTCTTGCGATTGTAGTGGTGGATGACGCTCAACTGTATAGTGGCAATTCTACGTTTCTCCTCTGCCTGCCTAATGCCATGTTACATAATACAAATGATTCTCTAGCACCCTTATACGCTCTCGTTTCCTCTGAAGCCCCCTTAAGCATTCCAGTTGCCAATGTTATTCCCTTTCAGGATATTTCCCTCCTTTCTTCTCCATGCACAACAACAATTGGAAATTTTTGCTGCTCTCGTTCTCCATGCAAATGTGTTCATCCTCATTCTCATTGCTTGCTATGCTTTGCTTTGCTTTGCTTTTTTTGTCGTATTCATATTCAGGGCGCCCCGTCAACAACCACCCTGCTGCCATGCTCTTCAGCATCACGAAATAAACGTCACCCCACACCAGCTCGTAATCATCTCCGGATGTCATTCAATTTGAATTAGAAAGCTATAATAGCTATGGCAGAAAACGAGGAGTTTTTTTTATTTTATTTTTTGCTATGATGTGCTCTGTTTTGGCATCCTGAAACGTAACAGCAGCATATCTCCTCGCTCTTCAATATGACATGCTCTATGATTGTTCGTATATGAAACAATTTTGTGCAAAAAAGCACGGACAGAATGTTCCGCACCTCGTTGATGTTTCTTTTGTGCGAACTTTAAACTTCAAAGTGCATTAATAAAAAACTAAAGTCATTTCTAACATTTCTATGAAATAAAACAATTAAATTTCAACGAGAATTCTTAGAGCTTTGTGGAAAATTAATTGCGAAACTTAATGTTCATCGAGGATACGCTTTGTGCGGATGGAAGCAGATTGTGAAGCAATTAAAAACAATGGTTGGAAAATTGACGGTGCATGATAAATTGGGTAAAATTTACAAAGCTGGTGCGGGTAAGGGTGAGAAAATGAAGACGGAAAACGATGCTAATTTTCATTAAGAAATTTCCCCATCTGAAAATCAAATATTTCAAAAGAAGGAGAAAGTTTTCGTTTCTGTTTTGAAAAATTATAATACCCACGAGATGAACAGGAAAAAGTAATTAAAAAGAAAACTCTTCATTTCAACACACACACCAATGCAAAAGATTTTCGATAAAAGAATTTTCTTTTTTTAAAAACCAACTAGGAAATTTCTAAAAACTAATACAACCTCGTGGAGACCAATCGGAAAATGTTTTTGAAAAAAAAATTTCATCATTAATTTTTCCAGTTGATGTTGAGTGTGGGTGGTAAATGAGAATCTAATAGAAATTGATTCAGGGATGATAAAGTGTTCCACTTTCAATTTCTAAATGCCTAAATGTAAAATAATTTTAAACATCAAAGCCGATACATCTGGAAAAGTGAAAACTTCCACCACCCCCTCAAAAATTTTCATATTTCAAAATTTTAATGTTGTATGCGACTTTTCATTTTTGGTTTTACTCGTTTTTGTATCAGGCGAGAAAAATTATTACATAAAACTTTACGCACAATAATCCTACCAAAGTTCTGCTAACTTCGTCTTTTTGTTGTTATATCCAGGGCGCCTCACAAACTCGGTTATATATCTTGAGAGAAGACGTAAAGCGCAGGCAACGATATCGTTTTAATCTGTTAATCATTATCATCATGCATTTGTAGATGTGCTTTAGTTTTAATGTTGTCGTACGCATCCCTTGTTTTTTCACTCGTTATCATGAAGCGCGATTGTTATATGTTTTAACATTGCGCTCGTATACTTTCACTCATTCCATCGACTGCAACAGAGCCAACGAAAACATCACCGTTCGATATAAATTGAAAACAGTGTGTATATATGCTCTTAAAATGTTATGTGTGCATCTTTTTATCATTTTCTCCTTTCTCTCTCGCACGAATTTCATCTCTCAATGCCCTGTAGCTAGGCGTTGTTATTATTTAGGTCACGAAAAAAAACGCACAACCCACCAACACAACCAGTCAAGAACAAAATCATTTCTTACACCACCACCCTAAACACTTTCAGTAGTTTTTCCCATTTTCCTGTGAGCTTGTGTGAGTGTCAAAAATGAAAATGCTGTTGATAACGACGCAGTCGAAAAATAGGAAAATACTTTCGGCTTTTTACTGACTTGTGTATGAAATGTTTTTTCCTCGAATGCTACTCATCCCCATCGTTCCAAGTGCTGCTTGAATCGTAAGAGAAAGTTTACTGAAAAGAGATGGAATAAAATATATAATCGGAGGAAAAACTTCACGAAGCGTGGGGAGTCTTAAAATTCCTTTCTCTGATAATGCTACGCATTTTCGTGCGATTCATGAGATGGCATGAGTGAATGGAGAAAGTTTGTGCCACATTTCAGGTTTGTGTTCGTGCTATTTTACGAATGGGTGAAGAATGTATTTTTTTCTCTAAACTTTTCTACAGCAGTAGGGGAGAAAGCTTATTGGGTTGAGGGAAAGAGAAAAATGTGAGCTGTGTGTGCTTGGGAATTGTGTGTGCTTTCGTTTCTGAAAAAGGAAAAAGGCAAAATCTTCTCCACGTGGAAGTGAGTGTCGAGGACGAGAGACGTGAAGGTAAAAAAAACACTAGGGAACTTCAGAGCATTGTGCGGGATTGATTGCTTCATGGGAAAGCATCCGCTTTCACTTTCTTTCTTTTCTTTTTTATTTTTGAAATAGCGAAAAAGAAGAAAATTTTCCAACTTTTACCGATGAAAATAAAAAGTTCTTCCTTTCTTCGTAGACAAATACAATAAACGAATGTAAGTATCTTCAATAACTTTCTTTTTTCTCTTGCAAACTTAAATAAGAAGCCTATGATCATGAAGCCGAAGCCCAGGAAAAATGGTGCCTGATAGGACATCAAAGCGACACAAAAGGCTACACGCTTTATTAGGTACGAAGGAGGGAATTTATGTTTTATTAGTTCTAGTTTGTCTATGAAGGTTGTTCAGTTTCCAATAGGGCAGGAATGAAAGTGATGGGATGCTTGTGATTAAAAAATGTTTCCGACAATATCAACAGGGATTTTAAATAAATGTATTTGTTACAATGAAAACATTTCTACAAATCTTGTCAGTACAAAGTCTGACGTAAGAACAGATCCTCAATTCATGCATCCATCCCCGAAGAAAGAAAAATTCAAGGATAAAGAAAACTTGAAGGAAAACTTTCTTCTTAGTCGTCATTTCATTGCTTTCATTTTACTTTCATGTCAATTGAAAAATTCTTTTTTTTTTCTTCTTCTTTTCGTGCTTTATTTTCAGAGGAAAGAAAAAGAAGGGAAACTTTGTCTTATGAATCCCACTTTGTGCTTGTAACATTTCTTCTTGATTTTCCTTTATTTTTGTCGTAAATACTTCATATTTTTGTTGAAAAACAATTTCTTTTCCTTTTCAATTGCGAGAAAAACAACTTATCTTGCTTTTGCTTTCATTTTTTTTCTTTTTGTCATCGAACGAATTTTAGTGTCGCAGGGAGATTGTTGTCGTCATTAGGATTTTATTTGAACGTGAAAGTTCATCATCAACATCTGTTTGTTTTTTATTCCGTTGCTGTTTGTTTCTTTTTTTTCTGAATCATTCAATATGCATTCAAGGTTTCTGAATTATTAATTAATAATTATCTATCTATAAGTAAAATCTAAGCAAGAAATCAATAAAAAATGCACTCAAAACTCCATAATCAACAGTATCTTACTGTAATTGATAATAATTTAGCGTATCACACATTTTCACTTCCTGTTTTTACGACCATGGAATCATTTTCCTCTCCGTGCTCCACTTCAACTCGAAACGCTTGCAGGGTTGATTTTATTTAACCTCAGCATATAAAACGATATAAATAAGATAATAAAAAAAATCCCCAATAACAATCAAGTTTATGATCTTTTATGGCATCAAAACGAAAGCTTGCAGTGGAATGAGGGAAATACCAAGAAATTCTTCTTCTTTCGTTTCGTTTTCCGCCGTCATCTATCTCATGGGAATCAGCGACGGATGTGGTATGAGTGTGTATGGGGGCGAGTGGTGCAAGGAAAAGAAAAAAAAGCGAGCTGTTTATCATCTATTTTTCTCTTAAAAGAAAAAGGAAATTTTCATAAAAAAAAGTTTTGTATGTGTGCGATATGTTTTCCCTTCACACTTCATATTTCTTCTTCTTCTCTATCTCCAACTTTCACTCTCTTTTGTCTTCACTGATGTACGTATTTCAATGTTTGTTGATGCTTTGCATAAATTGTTTGGCGTCTTCTAAGGGACCAAAGCTTGTAGATGGTGGGAGAGCTGCCAATCCTAACACAACCCTCGGGGAACAATAATATCTACACAAATATATCTGGAAATTTGTCTGAGCTTTTTTTTCTCTTCTCTTTCTTGCATTGTGATTTTTGTATTCAACTTCAATGACATGTTGTGTAATCTGAAATAATCTAGTGAACACTTGATAAGTGCCTATAAAGCTTAGATAATTTGTATCATCTTTCATTGGCATTCTAAAGACTTCTGCTTCGACTGGGAATCAGAAATCATTTTCCCATGAAGAATTATGAAGGTCAACAGATAAAAATCAAAGAAATGAAAATCTTCAGGCGAGCAAAAAAGAGATTTCCGTGTGAATTGCAGAAATAAATATCGATTGCTGTAATTTAGTGTCCTGAGTTTCTTTAGGAAAAGAAAAGCCATTCGGCACATCCTTGGAATTGTGAAGCCTTTATTTGGAGCTCAAAGTTATTGCGTTATGATACACCATGTGCCGTTTGTCACTTCTTCTTAAAATGCCTTCTTTTCTTTCTATCTCTCTTCCTACAAATTTATTACTTCGTTTCTCTACGAAGATTTAAGTCAAACTCTGAATTGTAAAACATTTCTTTCTTCTTTAAATTTCAGAGCGTATTCATCTACAAGATTGGAAGCAAGCGTTCGCATGTGGCTCTGCTTGAAAAAGGGGTTTAAGAAAATAAAGAAATTTTGTGTCTTCTTCTTTTGTTGTGTACATCAATGGCTATTTAACTTTAGTATTCAAATGTCCAGTTTCTCCCTTACTTACCAGTTGCAACCCTTCTCATTACGCAAATAGCTGAAGAGAGTATGAAAACGTAAATCAACTATTCAATATGTACATAACTGCACACGTGGAAGAGAAACGAAACGTGATTCCAACATAAATTGTGTGCCCGGAAGAGTTTTTCTTAGGCAATCTTATGGTATGATGCTTCGGTTATTAAAAAGAAAAAAGAAAAAAGATTCTCTCTGAAAAGTTTTTCTTTAAAATCAGAAAATCAATGATTTAATTCATTTAAAGAATTTGTCAATTTCTGAAGGAAAAATTTAATTGTTTAATATATCCAAATTGAAACACATCAGGAAATTGCATAACTGAATATATGTATCTACAACAAGAAAATTTTAAGCGGTTATTAAATTATCTATGATGAAATTAAGACGCAATGCATGCATGAGAGCCGTTCATATTACTGCGACGTAACATAAATATTTACATTATTTATGTATGCTCAATGCATAAACATTTTTAAGATTCTCTTTGTATGTTAATAGAACAAGCCAAGTGTTGTGAGTGTCGTCATAACTAATTTAGTTCTACTTCCTAGACCTGCTAAGAATTTAAAATTTTAATTGGACTATTTTTGGGTCAAAATGTTTTGTAATTATTTCATCTATAACTCAGTGCACTTTGCTTCTGTATGGATAAACATTATGATGCGATTACGAGTTCTTTATCATCTGATAATAATCCAAAACCCTATGAACATAAACATTGCAAAGATATTTCTTTAACCTTGCCTTCAACGGCCTCAATAAAAATTCTGTTGTTTCATGATCCCCATGGGAAAGTGAAAATATGACCAAATCGATATTTTCCATTTCCAAAAATAAACTTTGTTCGATATAAAACATTGTAGTTAAAATATTTAAACAATAAGAGAGTAAAATAAGGAATAAAATATTAAATGTTGTCTTGTTGATTTCAAAGATATTTATTATAATTCTATTCAATAATATTAGTAAAAACTTATGAAAAAAAGTAAATTCAATCGATTTCAAATTCAAATTCAAATATTCAAAAAATTATTTGTTTCAATTTCTTGAAGGCTTAAGAACTAACCTAAGCCTACGTCTAATACCAATGTCCTGTTGGTGATGGATATCGACGATATCTTTTTTGTGGTCGGTATTGAAGACATCTTTCCTGTACTGAGAATCGTCGGTAACTTGATTGTGTTCCAATTTGTGGCTTTGGCTGACGCGTCGATGGTGATCTAGAAGAAGAAAAAAAATTCCTCTTAAAAGTTCATTTTCTTTTTTCTTTTTCATTACCTTGATCGTCTTCTCGTATTGTAATTTCTGCAAGGAGATGACCAACGAACTTTTCTACGATAACGTTCAGTTCTGTATTCATTTGAAGATTTGTGTCTACCATAATTCGATCTTTCAGGTGTTGAATATCGTTTCATCAATGATTTGTATGGAACAATTGAAGAGAATCCCCTAACTGGGAAGTCATTATTTTGTGATGAATCTTCAACAGTCAGCTTTTCTGGTGTTGGGGACGTGTAAGACGAACAATATTCGTTACGATTATCTGCTATGGTTCCTGATTCTAGTGCATCTGTAGAAGTTTCACGACTGGGAGTGACACTAGAAGACTTGTCTGAAAAACATTAACGAAGATGGGTAAATATGGATGATAAAAGAAAATTTTAAGCTAGTTTTAATTACTTACCTATCGATATTGGCTCAACGTTCACTATTGGATTTAAATTAAGTTCTTTCACGAATTTCTCTAATGTCGCTTTTACGTGATTGTTGATATCGTTGCAGCATTGTTCGAATAATTTCTTAGTGTGATTATTAATTTCTTCGATGTATTTCTTCGTCATCTCTTCAAGAAATTTATCATATTCATGGATTATTGGTGCAAGAATTTTTGATGATGTCGATGTCATCATATCGTTTTCGTTTGACTTTTCTATCTTCGATGTTGATGCTGTTGGTTCTTGTTTTCCGTTTTCTTCTTTTATGGGCAAATAAATTGATTTAATTTCAGGCTAGAAAAATAAAAAATACTTGAGACAAGTGCGGAACGTATTCTTTTCAATGCAAGCGTTTAAAAATGTTTAATTACAGAGTATGCCTTCCTAGGTAGGAAAAAACTTACAAGAATGTGTTGTAAATAAGGCGTATACAAATATTCTTTGGAAGACTTATTCGACAGAGTTCCTACAAAATATGTGCGAATAGAATCCCATGTTTTCTTGCAATATTCTGTTGATGCTTTTTCATCTATTTCACTGTATTCCAGGAATACCTTGTGCCATGCCTTTTTCTTCTCTTTACGCTGCCAAATCTTGTCTCTTCTGTAAAGTACATCATATTTTTTGACGATGTTGATCTATGGAATAAAAAAATAAACAAATTTAGATGCATTAAACAATATCGATAAGCAACAAATACTTATCTCTTACCAATTTGATTCTTTTAATGTGATATGGTTTTTTTAACAATTGTGTCATATTCTCAAAGATATTTTCAATTTCTTATTTGATTTAGATGCCCTCCTAATATGTAAACAATATGACAATGACGGACTTTAAAGAGTTGAGATAACAATTTTGTAATGATTTTTATTTTAATTATGTTAATGAGCTATGTACAAAAGGCTTCTTATTTTGAAGAAACAAATTTAAATTAAGTTCAAATCAGTTTGATCCTTTGAACCGCGGAAGAATTTTAGGGATCTGCTTAAATTACGTAACAAAAAAATATAATTAGCTTAGTACCCTATCATAAAACAAAAGAAATTGACATAATGATTGCTGCATTAACAAATGAATTTTGAATGCGAACCAGAAGAAGTTAAAAAAATCAAGTAAATAAATAAAATCTAATACCCTAATTAATTAAAATATAGTATTCGAAGTACATGCACCTGTGTCCATTAATAATACCTACCTACTTAAGAAATTACATGCAATCTAATCAAAATGCAACTAACTTCACTTTGGTCTTCAAAGGAATTTCAACAGGACAATTTGATCTTAAAAAATTTGAATAAATTTGTCTTCGACTTATCATGTGCAGATAAATGAAAAGTGAAGAAGAAATTGACTCATTAGAATAAATTTTGATGAAGATTGCATTGAAAATTCATTCTCTAATGCGAAAATAATGCCAAAGAGTGTTAAAAAAATAGACCGTCACATTTCATACAAAAAATTTCTATGAAATTGCTTGAGCATTTCATTCACTGAACTATTCCATCATCATCTTTTCTCCTTTAATCTCTGTTAAGCCTTGTTTAAAGTTTTTGGAAACAACAGGCAAGCGATGGAGAAGTAAATAAAAAAATTTATTTCGCCTAACATTTACATGCATATTATACCTATAATAACAAGAGAAAAAAAAGCAATTCAGAATAGCGAATAGATGAACAAGTAGGTAATTTCAGATTTATATGAATTTATTGCCGCTTGTTTGAAGAATTTTTCGCAAATTAATTTTTCAGTGAAACCTTTTTTTATTAGGAGAAAATGTACACAACATTAATGAATACTTTATAAAGATTCTTTTAGAAAAATGTACGCTGCCACTGCTTCATGATTTAACTTCATTCTTTTTTGGTTGTTGCAAGAAATATTTTCAATATACATGTGCAAAAATTAGACACTCATATGTAGCGTTTTATGAATTTATAACGAAGAATCAACTCAAAAGAAAAAGACAAGAAATGAATAGAAAAAAGAACCAAAACTAGAAATATGTAAACTTTTTTAATGACTTTTGGGAAATAAATGGCGTTGCAAAAAGTTCATCGAAACAGCTTAGAGTGCAACGAACTTCAACCTTGGGAATATATTTTGGCTATTTTATTTTCGCATCATTTTTCTAGTTGTTAGGTACTTTGTTGCGACTTCTCATCTCTATTCAAGAATAAGGTAATAAAAATGTATTTTGAAGAAATTCATTAAATGCTAATGATAATTTTGAATATTCTTCATCACGTTGAAATCTTAATCAAATTTTACATTTTCAATGTTGCAACAACATTAATTTTAATTCTTAATTAATTGGTTTCATTCGAAGTGAAAGAATTTTTTTTATATCTTTATTTAAGACATTCTTCAATCTCTTTGGGGAAAAATAAGGTCTTCGGATCAATGATGGCAATAAAATTTCATAATTTCTGCTTCCAAAAGCTTTGAGAGTTTCCACTTGAGAGGGCATTTTGATTGGATGCCATTAAATACACCAGTGAATCTATGCTCGCTCGTCAAAAATTATTGGCAGTCTTGGGAAGGCCGTATAAGCAGGAAAATTAAGGAAAAGGCTTCTTCTTACATCCCGTCGACCGATGAAAGAATTTAGAGAAACAATTCATGAGTAAAATAAATTAAAGAATGAGATTAAGGACACAGAAAATAAAATTAACTTTGAGTATCACTGAAAATGGACAAGGTTCTTACATATAAACATATATACGAGAATAAAGACATGAAGGAAAAAGGGATCGAGGATTTCAGCTTTTCACGTCTGGGCTTTACTTTTGCGTTCTGCAACTATTAGGGTTGGTGCTTGAGAAGGTCAAGTAGACAGAGAAAGTCATTAATCAAAGTGTCGCTTAAACTTGAACGCCTTTCAAAATGTTCATTTCTAAGACATTAAGAAAAACCTTCACAGTAGCTTCTCTCACCCTAAATATTCTCTTTGATGCTTTTTTCAACAAATCTGATTCCAATTTATTTCATTCTTTCATTTTAAGTGGACTTTGCTTCCTGACCAAAATAGAAACGATTAAATTCTTTGTAGTTGATGTCCACATGCCAATGTTTATCATAGTTGAACAAGTTGAATATTTATGATGTGACATTCTATACAAATCATCCACATTCTGCATGATTAAATTGGACGCAATTTTCCCAACTTTGAAATTCACTTGAGTTCATCAATGATAAAGTTTCGGATGAATCAATTCCCTTGCTTGACGTTTCTTAAGACCATCTATCTATGACCCATCCAGTCAATTCGTTTTCACTCAGGAATTGATGTTGTTATATCCCTGCAGCTTTAACAACAAAATGAAATTACTTAAAATATTATTTAATTTATTTTTAAAGCGTAGTTAGTGGTGCCAACCAAAGAAGCTGAGTTTTTAATGAGAAAAAATTATTGAGAAAAAAGAAATTATATCAAAGCGTAATTCGTGCTTATCTGTAGTAGAGAAGGCATTATTCATTGGATAATAAAGTGTGCTAAACAGCCGACAATTTTTTAATAAGGACTTAGGAATAATCAATCGAAAATGTTTCAAACTCTGAAGCCGCAAAATAATTTTGAAGCTTTTTCAAGTCGATGAGAATTCCAATCATTGGAGGATGAAAACTTCTCTTACAGCATGAGAAAATTTATATTGAGATAAAAGATGTTAATATTTGGAATGATTATACAAGAAAATTATTTATTTAATTAGCAAATTAAGTGATAATTAAGAGAATTTTCATCGGATGAAAATTTATCTGCTTGTTCGTGATTCCCTTAAGTAAAAAAAATTTGCTTTTCTACCAATTGCCTCTAACTCCGCGTTAGCATTTTCAATTCATTCGCCCGCGAATTTATGAAAGGTATCAGAGCATATTGTAGGTGGATAATAATTTAAGATTGAGGCTTACATTGAGGTTCATCGTTGATGAATATTCTGAAATGGAAGCCTCCATCCCTTTTATTTATTTTTTTTTCTTTTCTAAACTTTCACTTTGTTCGGAACAAATACGGCGTGCTTGAAAGAAAAGCGTCCGAAACGAAAGTCTGTTTAGTTCAGACGAAAATAATTAAACGCTTTTTAAGGGGCAGAGAGGAAAAAAGAATCAAGCACGCTCGGCTGTAATTGAAATAATTAATAGGAAAATCGGGTGAAAGATGAAATACTTGTCTTCATTTAATAATTTTATCGCAGCATGGAATTATTCCACTTCGTTTCTTGGTATCATTCTCAGGTGACTTACAATAAAAGCAATTCGTTCTGATTAAGACAGCAGTGTAGTAAAAAGCAGCCACTTGCCCTTACTCTACACCAAGCACTTTTTTATAAGCAACACACGATAATCAGGCGAAAGCACGTCATTAAAATGTTGTGACGAAAAATTTATGTTTTGCTTACAGACACACACGCTATTTCAACATCTGTTTTTATTAATACCTTGCGGGTGATCCTGGGAAAATTTAGCTGCTTTTCCTCGTTTTTTAAATTAAAAATAATTATCACTTTTCACAAAAGTACTTCAAAACAGCATCGCATCGCTTCTACTGATTGCCATCGCTTTCAAAAGTCATTTAAAATTCTACTCGAACACGCAATCGTTCAATGTAGAGTGAGCAAAACATTTCCTATGTTATCACTCGATACTTTCAATCCCAATACCATCATTAGGAACAATTCATCGACGAAAAGAATCAAGTTTGGGTTCTATTAGAAAGTTGAAGGTTTCGAAAGGTCGAATAATGTTAAGAAAAATTGTTAAATTTCCTGTCACATGCTGTTTAGAAATTTCAAGTGATAGACAAGCAAGCTACGCCGTGAACAAATCATGGTGAAAATCTTTAAAAACCGCATGCCGCTCGCTCTTACTTTGATAATACATGACTTCTACTAAATTAACAAGTTCACGTGCCTATTTTTTAATTTATTTTTCTAAAGGAAGCTTCGAAAACGCCCCAAAATAAATAATGATTTCGATAATTCGAGAAATACTTACGGAAACACATCGCTAAACTTTTGCTTGAAGATTCTGTTTCTACTCCTAAAAATTTCACTGTGATCTGTATTTGTTTAAGTCTTTCTTACTCGCACTGAAAAGGAAAGCACTCGAAAATACAAAACAAGGAATCAACAACCAAGCACAAACAGAAATTTATGTTCGGAAAAGATTTAAGAGGTTGGAGGAAAACACAACGGAAAAAAAATAAAGCAAAATCGGCACGAATCTGTTTTTCTTTTTATTGCTGATGCTATTTAATATCGTTGAGCTAAGAAGGATATTTAAAAATAAAAAGTTGGGAAGAGAAAACAAAAAGTTTTATTTAGAAAAGTAAAATAAATAATTAAGTAATAATAATCGAGTTTAAATGTGATGAATATAATATTGAAGTTGAAACTATTCCCTAATCATCGCCAATGTATTGTAAAAAGATTTTAATCATTGATGTCTGTTTCAGTGTTAACATAGAAATGCCATAAATATTTATCGCAATGGCAAATAAAGTTTTCCCAACGCCACAGCACAAATTCGCGAAATTCATTCCTTAACTTCCGTTTCATTCCTTAGCAAAATGTTGCTATTAAATCCAATGAGGCGCAATGAAACGCAGAAGGAATTAGAAAGCATGTTGCAGATTTATTGATGCTATTTTTGAGAGGGAAGCATGATGTGGAATGAGTGGAAGCAGCTTGCTACATTGTGAATTACAATTTTTATTACCATCGAGAAGTGGTTTTACTGCAATTCATGCTAACAGTTTTAGTATTTTATTTCAAACAGCTAAATAAGAAACGTCTTGATGGAGCCATTGCAGTTTCTGTTTTCCTTATGGTAGAATAATTTCTTTTATTTGTCACAAATAAAACAGAATTTCTCTTCTACTACAGATTATGAATTTAAAAGGATCTAAAAAAAGATTAAAGAAGTTCTAAAATTTTAGAAATGATTCACATTTATTAAAGATTTATTTCAAAGATAAATGCTACAAAAAATACTCAAATTGCTAAAAAGAACGATTATTCTTTTCTCCTTATACACTTTTAGTTGCCAACTAATAATCCTATCTACATAGCAATACAACTGAGAAAATAGCAAAAAAAAAAATTAGGCATTGCCGCAACGGCAAGCAAAGATATAAATGCAAAAGTTCATTGAAACTTTGAACAAAGTGCAAGAACCTCGATGGACCTTGAATTCATGTATCGTATCATAAGAGCGATGGGATGTTATTCACTTCTTTGTTATGTAAGCATTGTGAACACACATATACTTAGAGTAATTTAGAATAAGAAGAGCATTAGAAACGATGAACTAGTTTGAATGCCCCGACCATCAAAAGGGATTAAATTTTAATTCCAGGCTGAACTAATTGTAGTTTTTGCGACTTTTCTAAAGGATCTCAAATTTATGTTTGTCATAAAATTTTATCACATTTCGGCTTTTTATCATAACTTTTCTAACTCAACATCTTTTGCTTATGATGATGCAACTTTTTGTATTCGCAAAACTTTAAAACTTTTCTTCAATACAATTTTTTTTTCTTCGTGTTGTGCCAGAACCACGTCATCCGATAATCATTAAGTTTTTTTTTCTATTTCAAGTCAGCGGTTATTATATTACGAGTTTGTGTTGGTTCTCGCAACAAGATTCCTATCCATTAAGATTGAAGATTCTAAATATTTTGTTGCTTTTCTAGCTAAGCTATTTGACTTCGCAAAAAAAAGAGCATTGTTGAAGTTTCTTTTTATTGCGGCGAAGTGATGTGGCCGTATAAAGTAACATTTTGACTTTTTGTGTTGCTTTAAAATGTTTATGGCACATAATTTAATTTTTCTAACGAAGAATGGAGTTGGTGGACAAGAAAGAACAAAATGAATAGATACTTTCTGAAATTATTTCTTTCTCAATTATTATTTTCTCATTGCTATTATTTGCATGCTTCTAATCATAGTGAAGCATCTCTTTCAAAAAATAAGATAAATCAGATTTGAAAGTATTGTTAGAGCATTAAATTCACATTGAAATTTCTTCTCAAGCTTAGATTTTCTTCCATCAAGTACACACATTACGCATCATGGCTAACACCGGAATTCGTTCTTTTATTTCCTTTCTTCCCTCATATGACATCACAAAACAAGTAAAATCTCAAAATGTATCATAGCAATATTTGCTCGATTGGCATTCGAAGCTATGGGGGTTAAAATGTGTTTCTAGATTTCGATTAAATTTTTTTTATATTCTCATCCATCGTTTTGATGCCAAAGCGAGAGCTCGATTAGAGATTAAAAACAAGAGGAAAAAAAAGTTGAAACGAAACATGGCTGCAGAGCGAACACATTAATGTGTATGTACGTGAAAAAAAAATCCACTGAACTGGTTGAGTAAACATGAAATATAAACTCATCCTACGAGAGGTTTTTCCTTCCTCTTTGCCCAATCCAATTGCCATAATAGGAGAAAACTCATACGTAGAGTTAAAATGTGTGCAACAAAAAGAAAACACAATAAAAAAATAGATGTTTTATTGATCTGTGTCGTCCATCCGATAAAAAAGCGAACGTGAAATATTGGTTCAAAAATTGTTTGAGTTTGAGGGTGGTGAAGGAAAGCGGAATGTATCACATATATGATATGATACGATCAGATCAGAACATTCTCGTTATATGTTTCGCCAAAACATACATTAAAAATATTTCAGGTTTTCTCCCTTTCTTTGTCTCATTCAACCTCCGCACTCAAAGCATTGAACTGAAAAAAAAATCGGAAAATGTCTAAAATAAAAACATCAAGTGAAAAAAGGCTGATATTTTGCCATCTCTCTTGAACGAAATAAAAAAAAAGGAAAAGGAAATTAGACATGTCAAATACAGTGTGCGATGGTACATGTGTTTTAATACGAAGCGGCTTTGTGCGTTAGAGTAGATTGATTTCTTCAATTCTTCAAAAACGGAACTTTTCTTGAAATCTCCTTGCTTTTTAAACTTAAATTATTTTAAAATTTTTCCTTGTGCATTATAATTGTATGTTGTGAGAATAATCCACAGTCAGATTTTGATTTAGTTTTATCTTTATTATAAATCAATCTTGATACAATGCTAACAAAAAACCTGTGCAAATGATGAAAGTCGTGTACACAGATGACAATATAAATACATATGCTATTCTATGTACACAAGAGCGACAAGAGCCTTCTTTTGCCCCATGACGATATGATGTATTAGCTTCTCTTTCGCTTGATGAATTTTTCATTGATTTGTTATTTGTCGAGAACGGAGGGGGACAAAAAAAAGTTGGATCTGATACGTAAAGACAAATAAAAATAAAAATTCGATATGAGAAGAAAAACCCTGTTGATGACCATTGTCTTCATTAATCTACTTTTTCTATATTTGTATTACTTAAAGACTTCATACGACAACTTCTAAGCAAGGAAAGTGATCCAAAGTCGAGATATTTTCCTTCAAGTAAATATAAAGAAAATGAATAGAAAAGAAAAACTTATCAAGAAGCAAACTTTCTTCTCGAAATTTTATTTGGTTAATGTTATCAGAAACCACATAAAATCTTTTGAAAATCTATTTGTTTTCCACTTTCCTTTTCTTTTATCAATTCTAAAAAGAGTTTGTTGTTGTCGAAACGCATTGTATTGATCAGAGAGGCCGAACCAACTATAAAATTCGATTTGTTCTTCTTGTTGATGTTTCACTCATAGAAGTTTTCCAAATCACTTCCAAATTTCGAAGTTTTTATTTGTTTGTCGTTATTTGTTATGTTTTCCATCCTTTTACTATTTTGTCTTTTCCTAAATCACATTACATGAAAGACAATTCTATTTAGAATGTTCCTTTAAAGCATTTAATTTTTAAAGCAGCAACTTATACTTTATAGCATAATTTCTCTCTGATCAGAGTTCAGTTCATTGCAAAAATTGTAATCTTCCAAGCATCGACGATATGCTTTTCTTTACAAAAAAAAAGATGAAAAAAAATCAACCTTGAATCATACTCAACAGTATTTTAGTTGTCAATAAGTTGTAAGCATTGAAATGGTTGTAGATGCGTGTTGGATAACGTCATCAGATTCCAAGTGTGAATTAAGCTGATGTTGTTTTTATTTGCATACTGAAGCTTGTCTCATACAAATAACATTGGCAAGTTAGAAGCATTTTAAATAATTAATTTAGAGACAAATCCAATAATCTGACTTGCACACTGCGCTTGTTCAAAGCTTGTCGCCTTAAGTGGGCGAAGCATTAAAAATAAAACAGAGAATTACATTCAGGGGCATTTCCAATTCGAAACGCGTTTTTATCTCGCGTTTTAAGAATGAGAAAAAAAAATCATTTCCTTGTTTGAGTTTATGGCACCAGGAAGCGCAGAATTTTAGCATTGAAAGTCCGTTGACTTTATTCAATCGAAAAAAAGATCGATTGTTGTTGTCCAAAATTATGCAATTATAATTCTTTCTTGTTTCTCATACCAAGGCGGATTTTCTGTTGTTGCCTCCTAATGAATGTTATTTCTTGTTTCTCTGTTGTGCTTCGCTATTCATGCACGCGTTTGCCTTTTGTCCGATGCCCGAAACGAAGCAGTAAACAAACTATTTAGGAATGTTTTTTTTCTTCTAATATTCATATTCGCCTAATACTAGCGAAAAGAAAAGATTGAGAGAATTCGTTTGACTTGAATAACCTTAGAAGCGAAGCGGTCGTTAATCTTAATGCAATATACATTCAGTTTGTTTCAATTCCAGCAAAAACTAGCGAAGTAGAAGAAAATGAGTTTTTTTTCGCATTCGCTAATTTTCAAAAGAATTGCGGCTGTAGTTGTCTATATATCTATCTAACATCACCACATGCCACTTCTCATTTTTTTTTGTTATTTCTAAGCAATAGCAAGCATGAGATTTAGAATGCTTATATGCCATTTGAGATGGAAGAACTAAAAATACACACGCAACAAACAAACGCGAATCAAAAGAACTTCCACACAATGCTTGATGAATCGGTGCGGTTTCTAGCTGAAATGCTATTGCAAAAAAACTATGAATATATGTAAGTATATCTATATGTTGCGGAGTAGGAAGATTTCTAGACTTCTAGAGGTGAATAAGCAGAAAATCTTGATTTGAAAAACATCAAATAGCAAAAAAATAAAAAGGTTTGGAGAGGTAGATAATGACTGAATGACGTTCATTTCAAATTTTTGTTGATATTTATGGAAGCTTTGAACTTTTGAGACGCTTGAGGTGGAGCGTTTGATGAAAAAAACTGACTTAGGATAGAATTATGATTTCAAAAAAAAATTATTTTGATTTCTTTTGCATCATTTAAAAAGGTTTTCAAGATTAAATAAATTCTGACACTTTCAATATTCTAGCAGGTTTGAGATGAGAATAAATTAATTTCGCCATGCATGTAATGTACTTGAACCATCATCATTTTTTTCTAGAATGATTCTCTATTCGTTTTTATTCTTATTTTCTGCTTTGCCACGCCACGCCACGGCTCAAGATCATAGATTCGAATGCGTGTAGTTGTTGATGAAGTTTTTCGCTATTCTCATCTACTCGCATTCTTGAAAAATAGAATATAAAGAAAGAAAACAATGAGAGGTAAATGGTGAAGAACAGGAAAAAAACTACATTGGTTTGCTGTGAAATCAAGAATTGGCCTTGAATGTGCAGAAAATAAGCGAGATTAATCTTGTTCTCTAGCTCTAGCCACGTTAACCATTGCTTCGTTGCGAATAGAAAAAACTAAGAAACAAAAGCCAGCAATTTTTTGTTTCTTATGGATAAATTGAAAAACGCATGAAAAGCTGTTAATTTAGTTTGTTTTCAACCTGCTCAACTAATTCTATTTTATACATTTTCTAAGCAGCTCTTTTATGATTATTTCGTTGAATTAATTAGTGTTAAAACAATCAAATGCGCAATTTATGCAATTTTATTAGGATTTGAAAGTCGAAACTATTAAATTGCTTGATACATAAATAAAGTCTTTGACGAAAATGAACTTTGAAAGTTGAAAAGACACACAGAGCGGAAAACAATGTTTCGTTTCAAATTTTAATGAACTTTTTTTTTCAGGTTCGATGATGTTGGCTTTTATGACATGCCATAGCACTAAAAATCAAGCAGCAATCAACCATTTCTCATCAGAAATTCCAATTATTGCTTAATTTTTATTTTTAACATCACATTTGATGACGTTTGTATCTATGTTTCGTTCGTTAAGCTTTTAATTATTCATTGAATGATCTGTTGTGGAAAAGTTGAATTTGCAATGATTTCGGGAATAAAATTAAATTAATGTCATTTGATTCTTGTTGTTTCGTGATGTGACTGAAAAACATGCAATCTTCAAAGCTTCACTCATCTACACACCTAGAAAAGATGTTGTTTAAATATTTATTATAATAGAATCTAGTCATGCCTCTTAGCTTACCTTAACACTAAGATGTGCTGAGTTTACATACAAATAAATTACTGCAATAAGCATACATGATTTAAAATTCTCCGAAAAGTGATATTTGTAGAAAAAGGTAATTTTTGGCAAACGAGCAAAAAATGAACAAATTATAGAAAAGAATGTTGGCTTAGTGATGAGATCACCACGGAGCGTTCTAGGATGAAATCGCGTTTGAAATCTCTTCTTACTTGCAAAATCGAGTACAATGCTTTTCTTGTTCACTTCATAGATCATAGTCAAAGCATTTATCAATGATTCTCTTTTGCCCTCGCTCTTCGGGGTTTTTTATGATGAGTTTAATGATATTAAAATGTTCATTTTTATTTTTGTGTTTTTTCGAGGCGGAAATGCTTATGGCAGAATTCGTTTTTCTGAATGAAAACAAGTTTCAACGTTGTTATCGCTACCAGAAAATATGTTTTAAATGAAAACACCTTAATATTTTATGAATTACTTTATTGTGGAGAGATGATGCAGAACTATCTGATTAAATACAAGCTTCTTATTGATTAAATGCCTTGTAGAGTTAACAATAAAATAAAAATTTAAATTCGAATTTATTGTTTATGGACATTCACTTAATAATTAACACTCTAAAAGTTGATCGCATTTTATAATAAAACAATTTTAAAATTTTAAGCTTTTTTATTAGATTAATAATGGAAAGCAAACAGATTTAAAACTTCCAGAAATATCTTGCAAACGCATAAAAATCTCTTCAAAATATTGTGTTCATTAGATAATCACATGTATTTAAATAATATTTAACTGCTTATGTCATGAGCAAAACAAATATGAAAAGCGATTGAGTTCGAGCAAAAAAGCAACAACAAGCGTCAGTGCATAAACACATCTATTCATAAAGTGCTAAAAATATGCGCGTAAACTATTCAGCTTTGAAACTTCGAACTATGTGTTGGTTGCTGATGGGTTGTTCATGAAACAAACTTAAAAGATATCCTTGAAGTGGGTCATCAGCATTTAGCAAGATTTTTTGCCATTGCAGCTTTTTTAAATGTTAGAATTATTTTTTTTATTCTTCTCTGCACGCTTGTTAATCTAGTCGTGAAAACAACGCTTCGGAAATATCTAAATTTTTACAATGGCAATTTATTGCCACACATGCAAGCGCACAAAAAAATATGACAAATGCCACACACAAAAAGAATAATAACAAAAATAGATAAAAGCTTGATTCCAGAAGCTTTGTTATTGACTTTTTGTTGAGAATATAAATACATAATTCAATGTCACATTGCATAATGATGAGGTCATTCTCGCAATTGCGCGAATGATGTGTAGAATGGGATGAAGTTAGATTCTCTTGACGTTGCGTTCTATTCGTCAACGTGTGTCTTTTATTAGATTTTTTCGTTCTATCTGGCAGTTTATTTGTTTCTTTAGGTTTTTCCTGAAGTTCTTTGTCTTCATAGAAATAAAATCTTTTGAATTGAGTATAATCCATGTAATTGCACATCAATTCTATGAGACGAGAATTTGAACAATAAATGGAGAATAAGATCTTCGGCGCCCATAAAAGCTTTTCTTTTCAATCAAAAAAGAAACTTTTGCGAGGAAGCTTTACTCGATGGGCATTTGTGCTTTTCATTCTTTTATCAATGCGATTGAATGACAAACTTTCAGGATGAATGTAGTAATTTATAAGAGAGAAACAGGAAAGATTCTAAACAAGATTGAAAACAACAAGAAAATATTTCTAAGCTTCTCGACTTCAAACCACATTATCAAGTTTTTGAAAACATCAATAGTTGCGAAGACAAATAGAAACGTTAACAACTTCTTCAGATGAAACTCTCTTCATTAATTCAAGATGATGATAATATCTGAGACAATTGAAAATTTATTGACACGAATCAGGGGAATTTTGTTGATTATATTTTCAGATAATATTCGTTTCTATGCCACCGCATTAAGTTACGAAACTAAACACACTTAGTTGTTTATCATCAAAGTTTCCCTTCCGAATAAATTTCGAAGATTCTTATGGTGAGGATGAAGACATTTACAAAACTTACAGAACAGAAAAAAAAGTTCTAGAACTCCAAAAAAGGAAAACAAAAAGAAATAGCAAAAAAAAGAGCAACGTTAAGAACTTCAATTCTTCTTGCCATTTCGTTTCGTGTCATTCTTCATGCGATAGCGAGATATTTTGAAACAAACACATTTGCATTTCTGCCATAACTATAAATTCACAATAGAGCGAATAAAAAGCAATTTTTGGAAACCTCAAAAGCAACGACGACGACGATGATGATGAAGAAGAAAAAAACGCTCTACGCACAAAAAATTCACTATTTCAGCATTTTTTTCTTCTCTTCTATCGCAATATACGAAAAAGAAATATTTTAAATGTGTTTGAAACTTGAAGCATATACAATACAATGTATAAGCATTTTATATGACTCTAGAATTCCAACTCAAGGTTTTCGCTTTATGTAAATCAATTTTGTTAATGCTTGGCTAAGTCGCATTCTAAATTGCGCTTAAAGCTTTTGAGGTCTCAACGAAGCGTCGTCAACCGGCACTTTACACTTCATTAAGTGCATAAAAAATTCTGAAGATAAGTTTTGGCAGGTGTGCGTTGAAAATGCGTATTTTTATCATCTGTTCGTATATTGTTGAATGATTAAATATTGTCGCAGTTGTCAAATAACTGTTGTAAATGTACACATAAAATTGTTGTACGAGTCGTAATCAAAAATTGAATTAATCAACGACCTGATGTTTCATCTGTAAGGTTTTCTGATTTCTCAAATCAATGAATATCAATAACATCATCATTGGAAATCATCATGAATTTTGATCGATAAATTTAAAATTCAAAGCTTTTATTTATAAGTTCAGTTCGAACTTTGATGTAAAGTTCATTTGAAAACTTCTTGTTGCTGATGTGGATTCTTCTAGCTACTTTCATTTTGGACACTTTCTCATGCATTAATTATGTCTCATCAAAGTTTCTTCTACATTTTTCTTCTTCCAGCTGATCTACCTTTCAATTTGAAGCAAACATAAACAATAACAAAATCAAACGAATTCCATAAATTAAAAAAAAATACAAAAAGTCAACGCGTGCTTTGCTTGTCAATTTTTCTCCAGTCCATACACTTAAAGCATCATCACCGGAAAAATATATCTAAGGGATTGCATAATGATTTAAAACACACACATCTGAAATGATTTTAAGTATTTTGGCATTGAAAAGGTCTTTTCTGAAACACGAGAATTATATTTTTTTACTATTTGCCTCTTGTGAGTTTGATTGTTCATTTAAATAATCATTTGATCATTTTTTACAGTGAAGTTGATGATGTTATGATAACGAGAGTGTTTAGTCTTGAAGATATTAACCGTGAAATGTCCGTTTGAATCACAGTTGAACAGTCTCCACTGTAGAAAATAAACGCACAAAAAATAATTTTAACCGACAGTAGATGCGTAAAGGTACAGGTTTCACCTGTGCGTGGTTAGTTCCTATTTTATTTTACTTATTTTACGTAGATATGTGTACAAAATATAATTTATTAATTTCTAAAAATTGAGATATTTAATTCAAAATTTAATTAAATTCTAATGCATTGTATGACAAAATCGAGCAAGGGCAAAAGAAAAAAAAGGTTCTTTCTTATATCCGCCTCCACGTTCCTCTATTTGTGAAATCCTCTTTATTAGATACTATTTTAAAGATCGTTTCTCAGAAATAGAAAAAGAAAAACAGGTTCCCGTCATTTTACTTTGACTACGACATGCGAAGATCATTTGTGCAATATTTTTTTTTCTTTTTATGTGCGCTCTCACATATGTAAGCGCAAAAAATAAAGAAAGAAACTATAAAATGAACTTAATGTTTGCAAAATGGAGTTCTTTGCATGTTGCTTTCGACTTTAATTCGTCGAAGATGAAGTTGGATAGCGACGAATTAGAATTTTGCAATGAAGTTTCGCGTAAAATGCAAAATTTTGAACTCTGACTTATACTTGATGTTGCTTTGTTTTAATTGTGTAATGGCAACGATTGATTAATTACGTTCATTGCATAATCAGCTTAGAATTGAAATTGTTATTCATCACACTATTTTTGATTAAATTTAAATGATTTAAACGTATGCTTAGCACAATACCGGAAAAGCTTTGAGTCGTGTCATAAATGCCAGTGCCATTGATTACGTTTATGCAAATGTTAAGCAACAAACTTTGTTCAAAATGGCTGCACTTTTGCGTAAAATATTTATGTATTCAAATTTGTCAAGAGTTTTAACTGCACTTGCCATTGAGGTCATACACTAAAAAGAGTTTTTATGATTGAAATTTACATTACTTCATTTTCTATTGTTTTAAAAGTTATAATTGAGTGACAGGTACGACTGTAAAAATATACACACATCGATTCATCATGCGTAATTAATTAAACCATTATAATTTCTCAAAACACATGCGTTTTGAGTTTGAATCGTGTTGGTGAGAAAATATTAAATAAGTATATTTGAAACTCATTGTAAAGTTTTTTCTTTTTATTGCTGAAATTAGTACATGAAACTAACATCAGTTTAATATCGCAATACTCTCGACAGCACTAAATATATTTACGCATATGTACATAAGCATGTATATTAAAAACAGAATGCGTGATATTGAATTTGTACGCAGAGGTCTCTTTGAAACAACGCAATGATAGAAAAAGTTGCAGTTTCAAGGTCTGATTTATTGTCGTTCTATTGAACGCACACGAGCCATTTGGTGACGTTAGATATCACATTTAGTTCCTGAATAGCAAAATAATAAAACTTAACTATTGTTCAAGTTCAAGAATGTAATTGGATATAATTAACGTTAAAGAAACGAGAAGCATAAAAAGTCTTTACATCAATGCATGATGCTGCCTCCATCAGCTACTCAATATACCAGCAGCTTTTTAAAACCAAATACGCTTTAATTAATAATCATAAATTTTTATCGCATACTTTCGTGCATGTGGCTATTTCGGTAGCATTTGTTTTTAATTAGAGGTGGCGTAAAATTTATGCATTTCGCTTATAATAAATTGAACATTTAACATCAAATATTTCCATCGATGTTTTCAACTGGAATTTAATGCTTTGTAATTGAACTCATTAGTAGAAAGAATTAAAATTCATGTTCACCTTTAATCTTTATTGTAATAATATTTATGTTTTATATTTATGAGCATTAAGTCAGCGATTTAGTTCACCTTTAATGATTATCTGAAAAGTTAGATGAACGTTTGGGATCAAAAATTTCTCGAAATTTATCTAAATTTCTTAGACAATCCATAGAGGCTGAAGTGTAACAACAAATATCTGATATTATTTTCTCTCGAAAAAGAAATGTAGATTCTTGAGTTGAAAGCATATATTTCTTCGTTTACGTCGCCGCAAGTGATAAGTTTAAGCGAAAATATCTCCTAAGTGGCGGGCATTAGACGATCATATTTGTGTTTTCGCACAAAAAAAATATATACGAAGGTTAATGAACCGAACATACATTTGCGAAAATGAAAGAAATATATTCATTTGAGGTCGAAACATATGTGCGTTTTATCTAAAGTTAGGGTAGAGCTACGTACGATAGCAGTCTTTCCTCAATTCCATGTTATTCAACTTCAATGTTGTCAGAATTTTTTGTTTAGAATGTTCAGTTCTAATAAGTATCTACTTAAGCAATGTGAAAGAACTTAAAATGCTTAAACTGACAGTTCGTATCACTTTTAAGTATAACAAATCTTTATTTTGTTTTTTGATTTGCCAGTCATATATAGTTCACGCATGAAAACGATGCTCCTCAATCATTGAACGATTAGATTTTATTTTTTAGACATTTCAACTATGGCTTATATTTGTGCGTTTTAAAATGCGTTAGATCATCAATTCTCTCTTCTCCTTGAATGCCACGAAATAAAAAACACACATGAAAGAATAAGAAGCATTCGGAAAAAAAATTATCATCAAGCACACATTCGCACGCATTTTTTTCCGCTGCTGCCAAGACTCAAGAGCTGTTTTGCAACTTCAAACCTTTTTTTTCTTCTTCTTTTTAAATTGCGTTGTATGTGTTAGAACTTTGAAATATTTTTTTTCTTCTTCGGGTTATTATCCGTCAGTAATGTCCAGTTGAGAGTTAAGCTAACGTAAAGATGTAAACTCAACACGGAAATTGATCTCCATGATGATGATTTCAATTTAAAAATGAAAAAAATTCATTCATCATCATCGATATAATCGAAAGCTTACATCATTGAAGTATGAAACGCATTTATAATTTTATCGTTTAGCATGTGTTTTCTTCAAACGCAATCCGTGTTGTTTGCAAGCCCACAAACAGCCCCCCTCCCTCCCCTTGTTATCAAAAATAAACGACATTGAAACGCAATATTTCGCATTGAATCGGGCGATGGCATGAGCTTCATGATGACTTTGCGGAACATTTTTCTATATCAATTTTTATATATTTTTTTTGTTCAACATTGGATTTGAAATAACCTTCGGTGCAAGCCGAAAGCTTTTGTGTTTTGTGTTAAAGGCAGCGTAAGGTTCATGAGAGTTTAAATCGATCGTTTGAGGAAGGAAAAGTAAATCGTTAGAAACTGTCGAGCAACAAGAGCGTAATTACAGTTTCATTTGAGAAAATGGACGGGAAATTCATTCATTACAAGTTACAACTTCGATAAGGTTGTCGAAAATCTACAATCTCCAAAAGTCGAGACTTCAAAAGAAGAAAGGAATTCTGGAAAATGTGAATGTTGCGTGCTTTTCCAAATTTTGACGATTTCATTTTATTTTCTTACGTTCTAACTTTAGCACACAAGTCTTCCACTCCCCATCTCGATAGCAATGGTTCAATGTCAAATGCGCGGGAGCCTATCCGACCAAAAAAATCCGTTTAGATATGGAGTTTTATGTTTTAGCTTTGTAAATTATGCATAAAAAGCTTCCCTCGACTTCTCTGCTACATTGAGCTTATTCCGCTTTCGCTCCTTCACTATAGTTGTTCAAGCAATTCTATTCTTTTTATCAAAAAGAAAAATGTTGGAAAAATGGATATTACATTTATTTTTCTTTATGAAAGTTCAGCAGAAATTTTCCTTTCGACGCTATGCCACACTAGCTTTAGATACACTTTTTCACATTGCGTAATAATAAATTCGAAACGAAACATAAAGCACCCATGACTTTTCCTTAATTTTTCTGCCTCTGCTTGTTCTGTTAACGGAAAATTTATTTTTATGGCACTTTTCCGAAAAGAAAATTCGCAGTTTTTAGTTTTTTTTTCCTTCTTCTTCTTGTTTTTGATAATGTTTGTGAGTTGCTGATGCTATTCGACGCATAAAATGCTTGCTTCGCGAGCGAGCAAAGTTTGTGAAGTGTAACAGAATTTCTTTATCGGCTTATCTTCTTGTTTGTGAGTTTTGGGGTCGTTGAATGCTTTTCTGCTTTTGTATTCACTGAAGGAAATGAGATTCTAGGGATTTTTATTTTTTCAGGGATCGTATGATGTTCTTTTCACATGAATCGTTGAAGATTTTTAACTTTTGTTTTGAATTTATGAAAGAAAGTTAAAAAATATTTGTGGAAATGTTTTCTCGACTTTTTTCCTTATACCACAATAAATATAAATATTGATAATCTCTTTTACTTCCTAAATGTTCAGAACTATTCGAGAACACTGAGAAAATGTCATTGAAAACCTTCAAGCAAAAACAAGAATCATTTGAGTCGAGTGTCATAAAATATTCTGATGAATGAATTTTTAATTAAAAAAGTTTTAATTTTCTTATTAAATTTGTTTTCTGTTCATTAATTCTTGAGCCAAAATGTCACGCATCAACACAGCGGAAAGACAGAAAAAAATGCGTAAGAAAGTAATTGCTTGTATAAGTGAATAGCAAATGTATTTTCATTTCATTTCTCTGCTAACATTCTGCTTTGTGCAAAACGCGACACGCATATGAACAAGAAAAAATCATTTAAATTATCGAATTCGATTAAAACTTTGTCCGACTGTCTCATGTTGATAGTTCAAAATCAGCGTGAAATTACAAGTCTCGTCGAAGCAGGCAGCTTTTTTTTGTCTCGTCTTCTCTATCCCCAATTCAAAGATCTCGTTCTTCACATAATCGCCAAGAAATAAAAAAAATTTACGCACACTGTAGGGCAGCAAACACGCATGAAGATTAATGAATACAAAATGAACATCTATGAAGTTTTTTTAAGCTGCGGCTTAAGTTTGTTGCGATGTCAAAAATCTAATTTATATTTCACCTTCCCATTGACCGGCAACGGCTATCGAATTGAAATCTGCATTCGACATCTGCAGCTGTATACAGAGGTGGCTAACATCACGGATATGAGAGCTGTAAATATGATCGTAGTCCAAGATACAGCAAAAACACATTTGGCAAGAATTTTTACAATTTTTTTCTCATTCTTCCTCTTGCTAATCTCATCGTAGAGTTCAAGGATTTTTTGCTATTTTGTGCGTTAAAAGTCATTTGAAAAACAAAACGCGTGAAGTTTCTTTTTCTTTCTCGTGCTTTTTTTGAGTTTGTCGAGTTCGCTATTCCATTTTTTGCAATTGTTTTATATTTTCCAAATCTTGTTTCTTTGTCAGTTCATTTTTGTAATGTGAGACGTTTTTTCTACTTCAATCAAAGTATTTTAAACGAAACAAAAGTAAATGATGATCATTGATCGTGAAATTATTACCACCCAAAATTAATCTTTACTGACAGCAGAAATGTTATTCATAAACCTTTAACTCGAATAATTATTTCCCGCGATAGGTGGAACTTATGCTTTTGAAGTCTGTTTTAATAGATGGTTGATTAGATAGCTTTATAAGAATAAAATCAAGCCCTTTCCTGATCCTAATTCAGTTCCCTTCCAACCATATTATTATTGTTACATTAATTTTACAACAGCAGATGTTATCATAATAATTATCTAGTTCTAGAGTTTAACAAAATCTTTCTAAGAATCTTTCGATCTTCATCAAATTTCTAAGAAGTCACCAAATATCTAAGTCGAATTTTTCAAAGCTTTCCATTCACAGTTCAACTTTCTTATTCATTCAAGATTCTTCTGAATATATTCAAATTTGTTCTGGTTGATAAGTGGCGGTTTGAAATATTTAAAAAATGTGCGTTTTTCGTTCCGAATTTTTTGAAGCTTTACATGGAAACGATTGTAATAGCAGTCAGTTGCTTTCATATTGCTAATGCCGATGGTTATTCCTTGTATAGTTTGTATAAATACATAAAGAAACATTATGACATGACGCTTATTTTATTACTGATGGCCAAAGAATATCGCATGATAGATTTCGACTATAAATGGTGGACAGAAATGTGCGTAGATACGTAAAGAATGAAACATAAAAGATCTGAAGAAAAGGCAACAAATTATTAATTCTTGTTCTTCATTCCTGGTTCAAGGCAGCAGATTTGGAATGTTTAACAAATGCTTTGAATGGGTTATCAACCTTCTAGCCTTGAAATATTGCGTAAAAGAACTAGCTTTGTGAAGATTCGATAATGAAAAGAAAAACTGACATAGAGAGTGTCAAATGACATTTGCGATGGTTTATTGATTGTTATGCGACTTTTAACAAAAGATTGTAAATGTGTGAAGGAGAAATAAAAGAAATTCGATGACACTGAATAGGAAATGGATATGTGTAAAAGCTCCATCCAATAAATGCACAAGCATGAATCGATGTAATAACAAAATTGTTTGTTTATACTTCCCATTTCCATTGAACAAAGAATAAACTCACTTCATGTCATCACATTACATGGAAGGAAGGGAAAATTCTGAAGAAAGGACAACGAAAAAAGCAAAAAATATATCGATTTATGGATTTTTCCAAATTTCCGAGCACAAATAGAATAAAATTTTCCTTTTTTATATAAATATAAACATTTGTAAATACATCACGCAACATCCATATTCATAAATTGATATGTAAACATACAGTAGGAAAAGGTTTAAATGATAAACATGTCTGATTATTGAGTCGTCTGTTTAAAATTATGTTGATGACAGGGTTCTCATGTTTTGTAAGAATAATAATGAACTTCATACAATGTGCTTTTAAATTCACTTTTTATTACATCAGAAAACTATGGAAGAATTGAAAACTTTTCTTCTTTCAAAGCAAATTTGAAGTCAAGTTTTAGCCCAATTTCAGTTCATTAAAATGTGTGAAGGTCACCAAACAATTTGAGTAAAAGAAAAACCATGTCAAGATTTACTTTTCCTTCTTATCATCATCACACACCACAAAATGATGTGTTGAACTTGAAGAGTTCTATTCATGAAGGAGTTATCTGCTTTTTTCTCGGTTATATATTTATTTATTTACCTTATTACCGTATTTTTTTTTCATTCACTTTCATTCGGATTGTATACAACATAAATGGCTGAGGATTCTTTTTTTATGGTTGAAAGTACATTTTCACGTCTGTCTGGCTGGTGGGTGGGAGGGAATGAGTCGAGACAGTTCAGATTATCACTTTCTATTTGACTGTGTGTTTATGTTATAAGCAAAGTCGTTAATTCGATCATAAAAAAGAAGCTTTTTTCAAGAATTTAAGCGAAGGAAGCTTTTCTCATTTAAAATGAAATTTCTTTTCACGAATTCAAATTGTTCAAGCGTGAGTCATGTTGGGGAAAAAAGACGAATAACTATTTATTTAAAGTGTTGAGCTTCCGCGAAGAAAATAATAGTTAGATTCCGACACACCATAATCAACTTTACATCGTGCAGTGCTGATGAGAATATTTATTCAAGCAGGATAATTAGTAATTCCATCAAAGTTTCATTCTTCATTTCATCACAAAATCGCTAGCAATTTTAATGTTGTTAATCATCTAGTTAGGAGAATAGACGAACAGAAACACTTGTAAGGCAAGGGCCGTAGATACTTACATTCGAGAATGAAAATCGTTTTTATTTTTCTATTCAAATGAATAATGCGAACGAAAAAAACATTATTTAACCTTGAATTCTCTTTTCCTGTAAGAGTCGTTGTAAGTTTCTTTACATTTGTGGTGTAGGTTTTTGGCTTCTTCATTTTTCTTCTTCACTTTTTTCTTCTCATTCTCCCCCAGAATTTTATAAATTTTTTCTTTGCTTTGTGTTGGGAAAAATATAAAAAAGCTCAGTGTTACATAGCCATAAAATGCGATTAGAATTCATACTTTGTTCATTACATTCAATTTGATTTTTTTGTATGTGAATTTGTTATTTGTTGTGCGAACCTTAAAAAAAGATCAAGTGAAGATCGCAAGAATTTCTTGGGCTATTTCAGATAATGACACGCATTTTTTTGCTCTGTGTTTGTTTGAATACATCTTTTCATGAGATGAGAAAAAAATTTATTTTTCGATGACAGTTCAGATGCGAAGACTGTCATTCATAATTTAAAGTTTAAAAAAACGATTTTGAGATATTTTTGGTATTTCTGAGTGAAAATGTGCGTTTTATGCGTAAGCGTGTGTGTGCGTGTGAATGATCATGAACTAGCCAGAGACAAAAACGTTTTCGCGATAGAAAAAATGAGCAAAGTTACATTTTTTCAAGATTTCTGTTCGTAATTCTTGCAAGCGATAATTTGTGCGTTATCAATTTAAACTTCGCTTCTATAGTATAAACAAATTCATAAAACAGCTAATGCAACAATTGTCAGCTGAACAACAATGTTTTATAATTTATTTGACATGTTTTTAAATAATTCGACAGAGGTTGATTTCGGTGTTATCTTAATTAGCATATTCTTAATCTTTTGCTATGACTTTATGTTGGTTCTAAGGAATATTTAATATCTTCCATGAAGGGCCTTCTATCGATGTTGGCTACACGCATAATATTCCAATTTATACTTCTTATATACGTTGAGATATTTTTTGCGATGCCACAAACCTGTTTCAACAACAATTTATTGGGCGATGTCGAGAATGGACAAGTAAATTTAGATTAGAGGTACAAAAAAGTGTTTTAACATTTTTTAATACATACTTAGTAACAGTTTTCGATGTAAGTATTGCGTGAGATTGAATTGATATTTAATTCAAGCTGTCTTAAAAAGCCTTTAAGAAAAATAGGAATAATTAAGAAGTTACCCTTTGACTCGTGGTTTATTCATAATTATATCAATCGAAACTAATAGCAAAATAATTAAATTAAAAGTGAATTTTCTTAAAAACAGGATATCATTCATTTACATATGTTTTCTTTTGTTTTACCTGATCACTTTTTATTATTTACGATTGAATGTTTCTACCTGTCCACGGTCACATGCGTTTAATGGTTTTCGCAGAATCTTACGCACCTTCAAAGAATTGGACATCAAATCCCTTCTTTTTTAAAGCGATATAGATCATGAACAGCAACAGAGTTGGATAAGGTTCAATGTATAACTTTATCGAAGTTACAACGATAATCTCTAAAGCCCAACACTGGATTTATGTAGAAGGTAACGTTGATTTCGGCAAAACCTTAAAAAGGTTGAGTATGAGCGAAAAAGCAAAGTGATTATTTATTAGAATTCTGGACAGAATAAACTGCTTCATCGTACTTAATTATTCCAACCATATATGTGTATCTAGGTAATAATTTCGCATTATATTTAACTCAGACTAGCATAAAGTTCCCGCATTACACAACAACAGTTCACACATAATTCGTAGCTAAGGGCAATGTTTTTGTTTGCTGTCTTCACTTACTCATCCATCTAGCACAAAATCTCGCCATTAGCATTCAAAACTCATATCGGGCCCACGTTGAATATTACATGACTTTAAAGCTGAGGTGCGACGATGAACAATTGATAATCTCCAATAGAATAGATTAGCAACGACTCGATTTCAAACGTTAGAATAACATTTCGTCGTGTCAAAGCAATGAATATGATGCCATTATTGGACTCATACAATATTCTCATAAATGTCAACGTTATCGATAATATCTTGTGAGATTAAAGCATAAAAGAATCAAAAAGTCAAATCTTTCGATATTCTGTCCCCATCGTATCAACATAAAATTGAAATAAAAAAATAATATTTTAAAGGAAAGTTTTCACTTGAGTGATCGCACACCAGTTTGAAGTGACAGGATGTTTTAAAATAAATAAGCGAAGCAACAGAAGAAAATAAACTGACAACAAATGTTGCAGTTCCAACATTAATCACAGAGCAGAAATTGGAGCACATCAATTGAATTTACCCCTCAAGCAATGTCTTGTTTCCAAGCGGATAAATAGCTTTAGGGCCTAAAGCGTTTGAATTCAAAAATCATTTGAGATGCGAATAAAGAAACTTCAGCTGTGGCATCGAGAAAGATAAACGCATATTTTATGCGTGTGCGAATTGACTTGCGAAAACAGATCACGAGTGAAGAAAATATTTCTTAGTTGGCAATTGAGTGAAAAATAATTTTTTATTCGCTTGGAATGTTTTTCACTGCAAGAACATTTTGAAGGAAAATCAATAGTTTCATGCAATCTAAAAATAAATTAAAAAATATGCCCAAGCGAGGCCAACAACGCTTATCACAACTTATGTAAATCATGAACTTTTCTCTTTTATCTGATTGAGGTGTAAACGGTTCACAGTAACCATATTGGGGCACGTAACATGCAAGCTATATTTACGCTTTAATTCGCCATTGTTGTGACTCAAGTAGCACTCTCGCATTCATTTTTTCGCACACGGGCGCGCGAATGAATTATGTTTCGAGTCGTTTTCAGTTAATGTTAAAAACACACCTTTTATGAGCCAATATACAAATTGGTTCGCTTCAAGTTAAGCTCTATGATGAATCGAGAGTCTCACCGCCATTTTTCCTGCGTTATTTATGATAACGTCAATGATAATATGGAGAAATACTCTTCTTCTGGGCCAATGTAAAAAGTTCATTTTCCTGTTTTGTGAGTGTGTGTGAATTATGTAGGTTAGGTAAAGCTTTTTTATGTTTAGGCACCGCATAGTTTACAAACTTTCCTTATCATAGAGAACTCAATTTTTCCGTTTCGTTTGTAGGCAAAAACTTTTCTCTATATTCGCCTTTGGAACTGACAAAAAAAACAAGCTCTAGACACAAATTTTACTTCACAATGATGAGCATAAAGGAATGTTAAAAATTCATGAAAAACTACACGTAACATGCAAAAGGGTTATGAAGATTCACAAAACTATGATATAGCTAACTAATTTTTCAGTTGCGTTGGGGGAGATTTTGTTGTCTATTTGGTTTCGGTAGCGAGAAGCAGTAAAAGTAGATGATGGCATCATAAAAACTCGACATTTTCATGAAAAACTTTTACTCCATTTGAAAGCACTACTTAAGCAGCCCCGAAAACTATTTTTATGGTTTTACGTTTTTAATGATAAGCTTTTCATACGATTTCTTTATGCTGAGCTATGTAAAAAAAAATCATATAATGTTACTTTCAACCCTTGCATTTCGATACATTTATGAACGAAATTGTGAGCGCATGTCTAGGCTCGCATTATAGAAAATAGAAAAATTCATGATGTCAGGAGACTTTCGATTTTGTTCACAATTTTTTATATATATTTCACATTGTTCAACTATAAAAGGCTCTTATAGATAGGTTTTTAACTCGAGGGAAGAGTTTAGAAAGATTCAACGATGTAGGAATGAGAGATGGAAACGAGAGCACAAGTGAACGATGTTCATCCATTGTAAAATACATAAAAAGTGCCTCTCAAAAAAATAAATATTCGACACAAAAAATGAACAAAAAACTTTTTTTACTGATTGAAACTGTGTGTACACTCCTGCGTGGCTAGGATCTTTCAAATTCAACTTCATGCGTAGGTATCTTGTGTTCGAGAACAAAAAATATAAAATAAAATGCGATTCAGTGGAAAACAATGCTTGAATCCTCTTGCTGCTTTTCTGCTGATTTTCATCATTTGGTAGATTTATTTTTCGCTATGCTATGTGATGAACATGATTCAGAAGTGAATCAGGAAGGCAAAAAGTTGGAAAAGCATTATCGTTTGTGTCTATGAAGCATGGAATCATATCGCATCCTTCTCTTCTGTCGTTTGCTTTTATTAAAATTGATCTGTTATGTAATGTACCCTTCTGATTCAATTAAATTTTGATCAAAAAGTAGAATAAAAGCAAGAAGAATATCATTTGATTGATGCTTCATTCACATCGCATTTCATTGATGAAGATTATTAATTGACAAAAGTTTTCCTTGCAGTATTTTTGTGTTTATTTTTGTCAAGTCGTTTTGCCCTGACAAATATACAATTATTGAAATCAGAGGTATTTATTAAAGCTATGTTCGTGATGATTGAAGTCATATTAATCTTGAAAAAAATGCGCAACTAGCTGTAATTACAACCAACCGGTTGCTAGTGTCAAACTTAACTTGAATCTCCCACCATTCCCATCACAAGGAAGGCAAATACATTTTTAACGTACATTTAAATTGCTCTAATGATAGATCTTGAGAACCAAATAGAAAGTTTATTCTGCTGCTGTTACTTTTCCAAATCACGGCCCCCACTAGAAAGGCATAACGCAGAGTTCAAAATTATTTATTATTTAGAATTGCGTGCAGCAAAATTTGAATAATGAACAGTTACTTCGTTTCATGAGCTATTTGAAATTTTTGTGTTTGTTCCAAGTTAGATATTCGTAATGAAACTTCAAAAATCTTTTTTTTTATTCTTCCATTCAGTGAAATTTAAATAGAATATTTTAGGTTGTATGAATTAATAAATGAATAGCTTTCGAATATGTTCCTTCAATTGCAATCATAAGTTTGTATGTACGAATAAAATCTATAAATCGACAATAACAATTTTTGAAGAAAAGTTTCGTGAATGTCTTCAAAACTTTTATATAGTTTAATGTTCAAATATTTCAATCCTTTAAGTTCTCATAAAACCTTATCAAAATTTCATAACAATTCTTTTCAATCATTCACGCATTCGATGTCAATTTCCACATATTAAGAACCATAAAAATTTATTCCATTTATTCATTTTCCATCATAAATTTATTGAAGGGTTAAAAGGGCGAAATTATGTCAATTTATTAACCAATTTTTTACTTACAGTGGTGAATATTCAAGAAAAATAATCATCTTTGCACAATCATATTTCAATGTGCAATTGAGAAGTTAAGCAGGCAGCAATAAAATTGACATGGATACAAGACTAGTCTTTTGAAAGGAAAATATTTTTCAGTACATTTTGATGAAAGAAGTTGAAGGTCTCTGTTCACTCGTCCTTTTTATGCTTGATTCTTTGGTACTTAAGTATTAATAACTCTTAATAACATTAAGAAATGTCTACTTACGTAGTTACTGCTAACAAATATGAGGTCAACCAAACAAATTTACGAATCTATTCAACAAAAAGCAGAAAACTCAATTTTCAAAGATCATGCAACATAAAATGTAAAATCTTTTAAAAGTGCCTTCTAGACTAGAACAGGAAATAAAAAGAAAAATTATAAATATTTACTTAGAAGAATTCTTTTTTTAAGCCTCTTCATTCTTGACAATTGAAGATCAAATCACATAGAAATCTATAAAGTTCATTATTTAGCAATTGGAATTTATCCTCTCATTGATAAAGAATTTTCGAAACAAAACACATTTATAAAGAAATTTGATCAAAAAAGAAATGACATTTTAGTTGTTTACTTTTTATAATGTTAAAGAGCTCGTTGTCTATCATTGCTAAGTTTCCATTCTGGTTGCTGGTCAATTTCTTTCTCCATCATTGATACCCGATGTCATCTGTGTTGCTTAGTTTCCATTTCCATATTCCTTCCATTTTTCAATGCTTATAAGGAACAACGCAACCAGTCGTCTCCACGTTTAAACTTTCTCACATTCAAATTTCTCCCCTATCAAAACATAAATAATTTAAAGTCAGCAAACGAAGCGTTCGCTAGCAGAGTACACAACGTGCTCAGTATTGATTAGCTGCAATCATACTCCTTTAATGTATAAGGATTTATTAATTAAAAAAGCAAATGCCATACAAATGAATCTTGTGCTGTCGTGTGTGCGTACATCGCAACCCTTTTTTGTTTTTCATGATAATTCTACATTTTCCAATGTTTTTTCATCTTGTGCTTTGTCGAATGGCTTTTTCTGTTCATTTATGTCATTTTAAGTGAAACAGTGGCATGAGTTTTACGAACCCCGCTTTCGTTTGTCAAATCTCCACCCCACCACCTCGATTTGAAAATCTTGCGTTGTTCTGTGATAAAATAAATTTCGTTAAAATTTCTACTCTATTTTTCAATACATAAAATACTTTAAAACAGCTCGGCCCGGGCCTGAAAGTTTTTCATTTTTTTTCGAAAAACAAAAAAAAAGTCTTACGCAATGAAAGATGGCGAAAATTGAAAAAGGATGCTGTGAAATGTTTTGTATAAACACGAAACTATATAGAAGAGCGTACCAGTAGCGTTCACGTTAAGTAGAAAGCTCCAATACATCTAAATCACCTTTTCCTTTCGTCACACGCACTATCTATTATGCGCGAAATAATTTATTTCATTAAAATAATTCTTTGTAAAGGATTTTATGAAAAATAGAATGAGTTTGGAGGATGGGGGAAGTGAAAGGAAGAAAGTAAAGATTGGAAAGGGTTGAACATTTTCCAAAAATTTCGAGATATTTATGCTAGATATGTATTCGAGTTGGGGGTGAAAAATGGTAAAGTGACGCTGATGGTAGAAAATGAGAGTTATATCGATTTTTCTGCAAGCAATTAATGAGAACAGTAGAATTTATAATTCTTCTAATAATAAATACACAAAATTTTCATTTCTTCCACTCAAAAACACGATGGTGAACATATTAAGTGATTTTTTTTATTCTTCTTTTAAATATTTGCTTTGTTTTCACCCCGTTAGAATAAGATTTGAATGAGGTAATTAACAATGTAAAAAAATTTGAATATTTTTATATAATGTGTGGGAATTGATGTTGTTTTAATGAGACTTTATTTATTCCACAATTGAAGCATTTTTTTGTGAAATAAATTTAATGCACTTAACCGCTCTTCTGTCAACTTGAGAACAGATTTGCTTTGAGCTAATTTTAACTACGATGATATATGCACCCTTTTCCCATTAAAAATGTAATGAAAGGAATGATAGATAACTGAAAACAAAAGATTTGCATCTCAATGACTTTCGAGGCATGCACCAAATAACAATGTGCCAGCATAAATATTCAGTTGATGTGTGTGCGCTCATCTTTTATGATCTATGTGATCTCTTTATGTTAATTCTTTTAGAGAAGTACCTCCAAAAAATAATAGGAAAAGCATTTAAATTTGAATTTCTAATTGAATGTATCACGGCATATCTTGAAATATCTTTCAACTTTATCGTTCTAATTTTTCTACGTTTACAGTTTTCTTTATTGTTTATGTTTTTCTTTTTCTTTTCTCTTACTCAACAACTATGTACTTTGAGAAAATAAATACGAAGAAGAAGTAATAAAAGAAGCATAAGAAAAGCAGGAAAATTATCATTAAATCATGGTAGAGATGAGATAATGGGTTAGCTCGAGTGCATCTTTTTTAAACGAAACGGTCAATGGTCATGCTACGATATTTTGATCTTTTCTTGTTTTGAAATTGATGCGGAAAAGATGGATGTAAATAAACATATCGCTTATTATAGGTTCTTGAACTTATTATTGAATATATATGAAATAAAAATAAACAATGCAATCAGAGTTTGCTTTTAATTTGTCAGATTGTGATTAAGGTTTACCTTCATTAATTAATCTATGAAGCAATATTTGAATTCTTTCATTTCCTTGCATTGTCAAAATAATTTCATAAACAAAAATTTGATATCTGCCTCGAAGCTTTCTCCCAAAGTTGAAAAATCGCGGCCGCAGTTACCTTTTGTGTGCTTAGATAATTTGAGAGAATTCTTCACATGTGTGGTCATGTTTGCATGTAATGTCATCCGATGAATCTGAAGATTGAAAAGTTTCAAAGATTATTTCTTTAAAAACCGCAATAATGACAACATGCACGTGAAATGTAGCATTTCAATTGGCCCACGGCACTCATGACCCATGAACATGCATGTAATAATTTCTTTTTTTATCTTTCTTTTTCTTCCTTCATTTTTCGGGTTTCATTCAACTTTGATTCATTTGCTTAATGTAGTTTCTTTTCGTGGCCAAATAATAGGCAGTTTTAATCTAATATGTAAGAAATGAAGAGAAAGAGCTTTACACAACACGTTATTGTTCTTTTTCTTCTAATTCACATTCATTAAACATTTTTCTTCTTGATCTTCTCTCGTCGTTTGCTGTTTCTTGCTTCTACCACTCGGATGCGAGTTAATAGAAAAGTGCAATGACATTAATGGCTATCCACGTATACAAAACGAAACGTGAAGGTTTGGTTTTTGTTTTCTACTTTTGCATGAGAATAAGAAACACGACAAGAAAAAAATAGTAATGAGTTTAATTAAAATGGAGGCGAAAGACGCTGAAACTGGTAACTTAATGGGCTTGCAACTTATTGTAATCTTTTAAAAGGTTTTCTTTCACAAGTTGTTAAAGAAAACTGTCATTAATAATCGTAAGACTATTAAAATCTAAGCACTTTTTAATGAGGGTCGGAAAATAAAAACTACAGAACTTCTTCAACCGAAATTTTTTGGTATCAACTTTTTCTTTATCTTTCGATTGGCAGTTGATAGAGAGAGGGAAAGAGAAAAAAGCAGGAAAGGGAAGAACTTTTGATGATGAAAGATTTCTCAAATTTTTTGAAAAAATTAGAATTTCTAATTTTATCTAAAACTGATTGGGGGTACCAAAATATATTTTTCTTCTCCCTTCAAACGCAGAAAGCGCTTTAGTATCATCGCCACCACCCGCACTCTTTCTTTTCTTACACATCTTAACCCCTTCTTCGTGATGGTAAATCAAGGGTTTCTCGTGCGCCCTCAATAAATGAATGGAAAATATTTTTAAGTAATTAGAAATTTTCCTCGTTTCTTTGACAGTATCTGAAGCGAGAGAACTTTTTAATTCATCCGCAACGAGAAAAAAATCTTTTTGTGCTTTTATATTTTGAAAAAAGCAAATTCTTATCGCCAGGAAGATGAAAATTGCGAAATCATCGAATCAATAAAAGTGGTAAATAGAAAAAGAAATTGAATAGATAAACATAATTTAGAGTGTTGTCGATTCAAGGGAAACGAACTATTAGATAAAATTGTAAGACTTCCTTAATATTTATTTTATATTTATTTGAAATAAAATATTTCAAATTAGAATCACGAAAATTATTCGCCAGTGCACAACACCATTTATATATCAATTCTATTGTCCAAAAAATAAAACTCTCCTGAAAATTAAAACAAAAGCGAAAAATATTTGTAAAAGCAACTTAAACTATATAAGTATTTATATCTAAAATTTCATTTTATATTATATAACTTACATCCTTAAGGCTTTCTCCCACATTGCAGAAATATATGGGTTTGTTGAACAAGTTCAAATCATCCACTTTCACTCTTATTCTTGAGCCCTCAAACCCAAACCGCCACCACCCGCATTGTTCAAAAATTTTCTGCTGAAAATAAGGAAAATTTTCTTCGTGAGCTTGTTTCCTCTTTTTCCAGTTATTTATTTCTGGCAGCAAAACGAGGAACTAAGGAGATGGGTGGGAAAACTGCGAAGCTCATTGTGCTGTCTATTATACAATAAGTACATGTTTTTCGTCTTTGCTTACTCGCTTACTTAGTTGCTGCTATAACGTTGCTATATCTTGATACTGATGTTATTCCTATAGAGATTGTAGCTGTCTTGATGTGGATGATAGGAAGTTCTCTCTCGCTATTAAGTGAATTTTTGAAAAAAAAAAAACGAAAAATACAAAATATAAGAAAAACAGCCTCGCAACCGAAATATAAAAGGCGGAAAACTGAAACAGCCAAGAAAGGGGTGGAATGAAATCGGCAAATGATCTTTTTGCTGGTTGCGTTTTGTCAGTGAGAAATTATATTGTTGGAGAAAAGTTTTATGTATTTCACCGCTCAAGATAAGAACAAAAGGCGAAAGAAATCGAGATTTAAAATTATTTTTCTTTTGGAGTTTGGGGAGTTACGAAAGGAAAAGCTCTGGAAAATGTTTTCCTTTCACGATTTTAATTCATCTATGTTGGCAAGCGTCTTCTTTTCTGCGCTTTTTCAACGAATTTTCCATCTGAAGAAAACGTTAAGGTGGAAAAGCAGGTGCTGCTGTGAACATTAATTTTATTTATGTGTGTTTTTAGTTTTCTTTTCCTTTACAGAGCTTTGCGTTTCTCCTTCACTTTGAAACCACTCTCATTAGCTTTCTCCTTTACTTACTTTACATCAGGTTAAAGCTTTACAGCACATTTTGAGCCACGCAAGGAGTACGGGGGAGTTTTGAAATGAATGAGGTAGGAAAAACGTTTCGTAAATTAATATGTAATTACGAAAACGCACATACGTCGAGCGTTGGCATAGATTTAACTTTGCCTTTCGTTTCTACTTGCCTTTTTTTTTATATGAAACGGCACCGGAAAGGGTGTTGCATGTGATTTGGAAATTACATGTTGTTTCATCAAAGCTGTTGTTCTTGAAAAGGAAAAGTTTTATTCCTACCAGGGATTTTCCGACGAAAATATAATTTTTAAATAATTTTTTATATATTCATTTGAAGAAGTGAAATTTTGATATTGCAAAAACCGAAATTGTCGTTGTTAAGGGAGTAACTGGAATGAAATAAAAATTCAACAAGCATACATGCAAATCAAGGCAGTTATCTATTGTTGAACACTTTTGAGTCATAAATTTTAATCCTGTTTCCGTTAATTTCTCTTCAGCAAACGAAAATGTTTGGGGTTGAATTTACTTCGAATAGCGATAAATATTTATGAGCGAGATGCGAAAAACTTTGCTCCATCTTCTGCTAATGTTGAAGTCGAAGTGTTAATACATGCTACTCAAAAAACTGTTGCCATGGATTAATTAAAGTTTAATCAAAATGATAACATGGCTCTTATAGTCAAAATCACAAAACATTCTCGCTTTCAGTTTTCATCTCGAAAGGTTAAGATTTTAAGCTTTAATATCCTTTTTAATGACTCATAGATTAAACATCATGGTTCATATCACAATAGATATTTGCCTATGACTCTAAATTTTTAATACGTCATCATAAGAAATTAGTAAAGAGTTGAGAACTTTGAGTGAGATTAGATACATAACTGGAATCGTTGATAGATGTACGAAACTCATACCACATACTGATAAAAGATTAATTATAAATTTTGCATCTAATTCTTCTCCATCAATGTTTGAGATTTTCTAATAACACTACAGTTACATGATGAATTAAAATTTAAACTTAAATAAAAACAAAAACGTACTGTTAAAATATATAAATTCATGAATAATAATCTAATTGAGATTTCACCATGAGTTACATATGATATCAACAGCAACTTTGAAGGTTGAAGCAGTAACATGATTTTATACTAATAACTGACATCCAATGGAAAAACTAAATTGTTGAGAAGTTTAGCTGAAAACCAATGGATGTTAAAGCAATTTTATTATTAGCAATCAAATTGCTTAATAGCTGCTTTTTTTCATAAAGTTTTAAAATTATGGATTAAGGGCAAAAAGAAGGTTACAATCCAGAAAATAAAACAAGAAATTAAAAATTCAAATCTTCATTCTACGCATGTCGATGTTATTGCACTGTTGGTTGCGTTTTTTTAAACTTTAATATATAATTTTATACTTTACCTACCCGGTAATCAAAAATAACATCTTAATCTAATCCACTAATATTTACTTCGAACCATTAAACAGCAACAACAACAAGAATTTGTGTTAACTTTAAGTATTTCACGGAAAATATTTATAAAATATTCAACTAACTTCAAATGAAAATAAAGCGAGTCTTCATTAAATTGCTTATGACTATCATAAACATCTTTAAATATTTACTTTTTATGTTAAATGTGAATTATGCATTCGTTTTAGATATCTGAGAAATTGTACAGGAAATATTTTTTTCTCTCTTTCTATTACACGCCGAATTAAGTTGAATATTTTTTATCATTTTTTTATGACTTGTGAATTATGATAACGTAAGTTGCAAGGCCTTCAGAACTCATCACGTGTTCTTTAAACTGATTATCAAAGGACAAATTCCATGCCCCAACACGGGACCTTTTCAAAAGGTTATCATAATTAGTTGCTGCGTTAATTACCCTTGGCTTTACGTTATCTTGGATGATTCTTGCAGAAATACATTAAATCTTGTGTTTATATTGTGATTCTTCTCGTATATCGATGCTACAGTAAGTAAATGTAAGATTTCATATTTTTCACATTAAGGCAATAAAAAAAATTTGTTTTTAGCACGCACAAAAACATTCAATTTGACTTGACTCATGTGAATGAGCAAATATGCGTTTGGACTATGAAAATAAACTTATTTGTAACAAAGTTTCATTTTCAAGCTTCTCAAATAAATATAAAGAATGAAGAATATTATCATAAAGTGTAATATTTGTTAAAAAAGAAAAAATGCTGATCAAATAATTTCAGAAAACTGAATCGAATCGTCAGAGCTTTTTCCACTCAGTATAAAAATTAAACTATGACAAATATTTTTTTGATTTCATCGAACGACGTTCATTTCAAATGTTCATTCGCAATATTTTGCGTTAATTTGAATTTCTAATTTGAAGAAAACGTTTCGAACGAGAAAGATAAATGAGCGACGCACACCATGTAAGTCGACTAGAAGTTTTGCTGCGTTTCTTGTGCGTGTGATAGGCAGTGAATAAAACGAAACCCAAATTTATGTTTACACTGGCAAATGCGAGTGTGAGTGGGAGACGATTTTTTTTGCGTTCAGTGAATTTGATATTTTTGGATCCGCTTCGAAAACGCAAAATTATAAGATGAAATAGAATTGAATTCTTTTAAAGATCATCTTAGAGATCTTTTTTTCTTCTATTTTCTCTAGCTTGTTCGGCCTAGTTTAAACTTTAAAGTTTATGATTATTTGGACTATCATCCTTGGAACAGTTTTTCATCTCTATCCCTAAATATGTGGCAATGAAATTTTCTAAATATTTCTTAAAACTTATATGAAGCATAAAAATGTTTTTTTTGTGCAATCGCGACTTATGATATTTTATTTGAATCTAAAATTAGCATATCAACTGTCCCGAGGGAATTTTGCTGACCGAGAGAGTCGAATTTATTAAACTGTGATACTCTTAGAATGTGATACAATTATTTCTGTCATACACACGCAATGCGTGGAGGGGTTCAAAATATCGCGAACAAAACGATATTATTATCTTCATGTTTGACAACTCTGCATTATTTCTGTTTTTGCTTACGCATGCATGGGGCTTGAAGAAGCATCGCAATCTCAAATATACGGTACCTACTATGGTTCATTGTTATCAATATACCTACATTGATTAATTCCTTTTTATATTAATTTTTGAGAATGTTTTTTGTTGTTATTCTGATTGTAAGTAATATACCTAAATAGAAACATAAAAAGTGCGTGTAAAATCATTTCATTGTTCATTTATCTATTTTGTTTTCATCTAAAGTCAGTTGCCAATATTCCAAATATATTTATTGTTCACATTTTTTTTCACCATGGCGATGATAACACAGCTGAAAAGTGCGTAGACGCATACAAAGAAAGTTGTTTTTTTTTTCTTCTTTTTTTTTCAACACAGAAGACACAAAAAGCATTTTTATGGCGACTTGAAATTGTGATGATGCAAGACAAAAATGGCAGCGTAGAAAAATTGCGTATAGTTGTATGCAAATGCTTATCGATCAACGTCGCAGACCTGCCATCTATCTTAATAACTCAACAATTTTGCTTGCATTATACAACCCCACTTTCGCTTCCAAATTGATATGAACAAGGAAAGAATAAAGCATAATGAAAAATGCAGTCCATGAGAGCGAACCTGATGTGCAATAAGGATAAAAAGGGGTTGAATATAAAAATAAATTCAAACACTTATACCATGATAGGAGTTCGTGCAATTTCACATTGGATTTTCTCATATGTTTATTTTTCTCTCGAGCTGTTTCATAAACACGAATCTTGCCCATTTCCAGCAGTCGAGGGTTATTTTCCTACAAAAAAATAAATAAAGAAAAGTATAACAAGCAAGAAGAGGTGAAAACTACATTCGATGAGAAGCAACACAGAAAAAAGCTCCAGCACATGACTTCACTCTCTTGTGCCGAAAAAAGCAAAGCACGACAATGTGTTCTGTATATAAGGAAAGCAAAAAAAAGTTCATTCTCGGTGGGCTATGTACTTCCAGCAGCAACACATACGAAAATTTCGGCAATTTTTCGGCTTGTTGTGTTCGTGATCAAGTTTTTTTTTTAATTTTCGGTTCTCTCAAAATCATCAAAGACAGTGTTAGTGTCAGGCTTACGCACACAGCCTCGCGGGCTTATTTTCATCTCTTTTATTCGAAAAACGCATAGTATACGCAATCTGACAAATGCTGTATAAAATTCGGCAATCTCCAACACATTTATACAAATTTATGCTGCCTGCTATTTTGCCTTCGCTGGTTCTATCCACAATCGCAGCGTGGTGTGTTGTGCGTTCCAACACACACCAAAAATTCTCTCTCGCTCTTTATCTATTGCCGAAAAAATATTGAAATAATAAAAAAAAGTTTTGGTTGTAGCTTGAATTTGAACATTTGATTCACTTTTGACTATTCGGTTTTTGAACATTTGGGAGTGAACAGTGCACTAAAAATTTTTTATTTTAATTTTTCATTGAATCATACAAAAGTAAAGGAAATTGATACAAATAAATTAACAAGTCAAGGCGAATATAACGAGTAAAAAATAAAAGTTTAATTCAACTGGATTCGTAGTGCATTGCATTTTTGATAACTGAAAAAAAGGCAAAATTGCAAATAAAAAAATAATAATTAAAAAGTTAAAAAGCTCGACCGGTGAATTTATATTTTCTTCGGTTTAAGTTGAATGTCCATTGCATGGGGTTCTGAAAAGTGAACATTAAATCGATAAATTGTAGCAAGAACTGCAGAGAATAGGAAAACATTTTTTTCCTGCTTACAAACGAAAGTGAAAATAATTTTTCAGCTTTCCTTTTGTTTCGCATTTTCCTTGCATCATACCGGAGACGTTCCGAGTAGATTGCAGTAAAAATATTCTTTCGTCTTGTGTTTACAAAAGAAACTTTGGAGAATTTTTTTCTGTTTTTATTTATCACAAAAACTTGAATTTCAGCAAGAACTTTTAAAGACGTTTGTGTTTGAAAGAAAACAAAGGAAAAATTAATAATAAAGTGAAGTGTGCTGAACTGCAAGTGACAAAAGTGCAAATTGATTTTGCAAATAATAAAAAACAGGAAAGAAACAAAAAACAATGACAACTCTTTTCGAAAATTTTGAACATAAACTTTTTGGTGTGAAAAACAAATGATATAAAAATTACTCATTTTTGGCACAACTTAATGAGAAATCGAGTATTTTTCATTTCGGCCCCTTTTCGGATGTAAAAAATTGTTTCGTATATGAAATATTTCATTGTTAACGAAACTAAAACTTTTGGCAAAAATCATTCAAAATTTCAAAAACATTATTTTGGAATAAATTTATTCTTGAGATTGAAAGACGTCTCAGAATTACTTTTGGAAGAAAACAAAATTATCAAACAACGCGATAAAAATCAGCGGACTTTTCAAAACTATCAAATATCGAAGACGGAAGTTTGGTGTTATCTTTGGCAACAAAAAA